GGGGGGGGTGACGTACCAGGTGCGGGGAACGACGACCAGGATCTTTTGCCCGGACGATTTCACCCCCTGTCGAACACATCACTCACCTTCCTCATTCAACACTGGTCCGAGGCTTTAAATGTTACTTAAATCGACAACACACCACGCATTGACCTTGGATCGTTTATGATGATACGAATCCAATCTTAATGGTACTTCTTTCGATATATCACATTGTACCCATTACTGTCGCTGCTTGTGCGTCGTGTTTCTTGATTCCGTCTGCTCTACGAAACATGGCTGAGCGAAAGGTGAGCCTACATAATGCGAAGAAATTCAAGGTGTTAAACAGTACTTCTTGCAGGAAATCACGTATTTCTTCGACAAGGTCGAAGATTGGCAGGCAGCATCGAAACCGTCAGAAGAGTACGAGACATCGTGCCCGAAGACTGATCATTCCGCTGACATCTTCCAAGGCTCATAAAAGAGGACACTGGGGCTGATCACTGGCGAAGTACCCGAACTATGCCGCCAACTTACTATCCTCCGTGAATACAGCCAGTCAGGGAGTGAAAAGACAGCGCTGACCATGATTTCAGGCCAATGACTCAGCAGGCTATTGAGAAGCTCAAAGAATTCAAAGGTGTGGTTGTGAAGGATCTCTCTGAGACGCAAGGTTGATAGAAGAATTATTGTACACCAAAGATTATCATAGTTGATTGAATTGTTCTGCTATCTAAGAGCAGTGCTATTGTCTATATAAGTTTCTTAACTGGACAAGCAATTGAGAGCTGTGCTTAGCTGGCTTAGAAACTTAGATAGACAATGGCGATGCTCTTAGCTAGGAGAATAGTTCCGTCAAAATGAAGCGTTCAATCGAAATCGCTCGTACCTACATGATGGAGACCAAGGAGGGAAGGCGCAGGGAAAGAAAGCATTATGATGTATCAATTCCAGCCCTGGGGCTCACCCTCGTTTCTTGTTGTATGAATAAACACAAAAGCTTAGAGACTTTGTGCCGATTGCTTTCATTAAAGATACTCTTCTACCCGGGGTTTGCTTGTGACACATCTGGTGATAATTAGAGATACTTCGATGATGCTATTTGAGTTCTTTGAAGAGTAGGTTCTTCAAAACGCACTGATAAGAGAACACATTGACATATCATAGACTGAGACGGCAATGATGATAGTCAAGGTCCGGGTCAGAAGGTATATATCTAGACACGAAAAGGATGCTCTCGTGGGTCATATGGAGCCTTCAGAGACACATAGTTTCACTCATCTGGCTCGAACAATGAAAATGCTTCAACATATGTATTTGAATCTTAACTATGTACAGAATGTAATCAATCCAATCCATCATTCCAATCATGTCATCCAAATCTCAGATTCTCTTCATCTCAGCTACTCATTCCATCATGTTACAGCGTTTAGGCGTTGCTGTCAACCCAAGATCGGAGGGTGCCAACGCGAGCGTAGACACCAGGGTAGTTGGCCAGGGCACATCCCTCACCCCAAGAGACAATACCGACAACGGTCTTGGAAGAGTCAACAATGGGACCACCACTGTCACCCTGGCAAGCATCGCGACCACCCTGGGTGTAGCCAGCACAGAACATGTTGTCGGTGACGGAAGAAGTGCCGTAGCTGGATCGACAGCTGGCGCGAGAGACAACGGGAACGGTAACCTTGAGCAGGTTGACGGGGCTGGAGGCACTGCCCTGGGTAGTAGCTCCCCAGCCAGCAACGGTGAGCTGAGTGCCAGAAGCAGGGTCAGAGCCGGAAGCAGCAAGGCGACCGTAGGAGATGGTGCTGCTGGTGGGGATGGAGGTGGACAGCTTCAGGAGGGCAACATCGTTGTTGAGGGTAGAACCGCTGAACTGAGGGTGCATTCTGATGCTGGAGACACGAGAAGTAACTCCACCAGAAGTGCGAGACTAGAAGGAGCATGTTAGCTGGTGAATGCTCGACATGATACCGGGAGGCCTTACGTTAGATCCAGCACGGATGGCGAAAGCACTGGCAGATCGTCCCTGGACACAGTGGGAGGCAGTCATGACAGTGTTGGCGTTGATGAGAGTACCACCGCACCAGGGACCGCCATTGTTGGTGATGCTGACGATGAAGGGGAATTCATTAGCAGAGGCTGAAGTTCCACCAACGATGTTGGGGATGCTGACATCTCCAGCATCCTGGGGAACAGGAGCAGGAGCAGCAGCGACCAGAGGGGCGGCGAGGGCAACGAGGGCGGCGATTCTGACCATTGTGGCGGTTTGAGGAGTAGCTAGTTGAAGAGTGAAGAGAGGCTGATGAGTGATGATTATCCAAAGAGATCTTTGCCATCCTTTATATACACAATCTCATCAACCTCTCTGGATAGTACCTGAGTCAGTCAACCTCAACATAGTCTAGTTTCCTTACCTGCCTCTCTGGTGGATACCCCGCGATAAGCTTGTTTTGTGATATCGTGAGAGTGTGCATATTGGCGTACCTGCCTTTCTGGTATCGTTGTCCGTTGTTCCGTTGTTCAGTTCGGCATTTGCTAGAGAGCATTAACCTTATCATCCTCCCGTGCAAGTGATCGGCATATGAGGAGCTTGGCGACAAGGATCATCGTCCCGATGAGGAAAGTCGATAATCGCGTTGACCATTGAGAATGTGGGGATGGCCGGTTAAATGTGACTGTTTGTGATGAGGGCACAGACAGTTAAGATGAGATGAAGAGTGATCGAGGCTACCGCGAGCCGTGGAATGTTTTGCTGGGTGCTTTGCAGGCTGACTTGGTAGGAGTTCGAGGTAGAAACAAAGATATGGGTCCGAAAACAACAGCCGGAGAATCTCAAATCCGTTTTATTGCCAAGCATTAAAGAGCTTGCTGCACTGCTACTATAGGCGGGGATAATTCCTAGAAAGTGGTCATGCGTCCATCAATCACAGATGCCCAGCTTCAGCGGATCTGAAACCGGTCAACTAAGCGCGAGGAACCTTTGTAGCTCACGCAATAACCAGGATAAGATAACGCATTGACACTCTAAGGCCTTGGCCAAAGTGCTTCTTTGCATTGCAGCTGCGAAATCGCTCATACGGAAGCGAAGCAGCAGAGCGATTATCATATCTTATCTACCTTCCAAACACGGTATCTGTAGCCGGCTTATCTTTGGCTCCCTCGTATAGTGCTGTGCTTTGGCGGCGTGTGGACGGCCATACGGTCTTGGGGTATGTGATTGAGGTTGAAGATTCCTGTATAGTTCGCAAGACCGGTCTCGCTTGGGAAGGTAGTTTTGAATTCTGCCACCTGTATTTCAAGGAACTAGACGACTTCTGCATAGTTGAGATGTTGACCGCATACGAGCACTATCTTTATCCATGATCTGATGTCTTAATTGATTTGTTTGCTTACTCTATATGTAGGGACGGACGGTTTTCGAGCTCATCTGATAGTTGCCAATCAGGAAGGTCGCCCAGCCTCTTCAACTGCATCCACTTAGCAATAACAAACTGTCAGAACTATAGCCTACTAATTCATGGGGGAACTATTCTTGGCACATACGGGACGAGCTCATCTGGAAATCAGAAAGTGTTGAAGGTCTTTGAACATTCTACGAACAATGGGAGATTTCTGGTGCTGTGAATACAGGTATATTACACTGAGTCCATACCAAATAAACTTTGAGATAAAGTTTAGCATGGGTTGAGTACTCTAAAAATATCATCGAAAACTGGCGATCAATTGAACAGCGGTGAAATCGTAGAGCTTAATTTTACGCTATTAAGAGAATCTTTTCCACTTCCAAGTTTATTAGACTGTTAAGATGCCAGTAAGGATAGTGATTAGAACGTGTGTGATGTTTGCTTTAGTGAAACTAGGAATAAACCTTTTGTTCTTTTACTCGACGTCCGTTTCCAAGAGAAACACCCGATCAATCCAGAACATTATGTCAGTCTAGGAGAGGCGAACCAAACATAGGATCAAATAGTACAACATTTTGGAGGATCTAAACAGATGAATCCCTAAGAGCTATTTAATACGTTTCTGGTTAAGAATAACCTCAAACCCTTCTCTAAAGCCGACGTAGGGTAAGTTGAAGCCTTATCTTATCCATCAAACCACCTCATTTCGTGAGCACTCAGCTATCCACCTTCATGGTTTTTTGGCCAATGACTGTCTCTCTGTTCCTGATAACCCCTACCAAGCCAGGCAGGTACCAGAAGAATTGTCTTCTAAGGCTTAGGAAACAAAAATAAGGTATCCCAAAAGCTCCTCTAAGCTATCGTACAATGATCAAATTATTTCGTCTCTTATGCTTTGTGGAAACAATTCTTCTGGCACCCTGCCGCCAACTAAATGGCTTAGATAAAATGGCTTCCCGCAAACAGGACGAGTACGCTCCCTTTGGATTGCATGAATTGCGAGCGCTATGGGACTTTTGATCGAACTGAAACATTTCGGGGATCTACTATACTTCAACCCAATAACAATACGCCACCAGCGCCCAATCCCTCAGGTACCGTCTTATCTCAATGGATCAAGGCCATACTTCTTGTAAAGCGGCCAAAACTCCTCGAACATCCATTTGCCGATCTCCTTGATACCAGCCAGTATTCGAAGGACACCGACCTCTGTAGTCGTTGAGCCGAGAAAAAGGCTCGACCAAAGGGTCTGTCATATGCCGTCAGAACCTGCATAGCCGAGTACATCGATGCACTTACCAACTTCGTGTCTTTGAATGTGGTCGCAACAAACTTCCACTCATGACCTTCAACAATAATCCCTGGCAGGAAGTCCGCTTCGAAGATTTTGTTACGCATCAACTGTTCAAGATCCTGCCACTGGGCTGCTTGCTAAGCGGCCAAGTGATGCTCAGGGCTGACGGGATCTTCACCGTGGAGCTCTTTGGACTTGATGCCCAACACGATCGGGTACTTGTGCGTTGGCTTGAATGCCATGAAGTTGGCGGGGTCAAAATGGGTTTCTAGATTATCGAGTAATTCATTTGTCTCGTCGGAGCGTGGGACCATGAAAAATACGTAATCCGCGCAAGGCTTGATCGCTAGTTTCTTTTGATAAGAAAGGTTCGACGACAGCTCTTTCACTGCAGACCAAGTAAGTTGGGTGAGTTAGAAGGCCATGGCGCTTCAGAAACCTACCATGGCGCAAAGTCCAGATGCCAATGGCCTCTCCCCGTATTAACACCTCTGATAGCGGCATTGATGATTCGTGGATAGACGAGGGTATTCCATCCTGTTTTGTCGTACTGCCGAGAATGACACTTTTTCGCGCAGCTGACGGTTCCTTCGACACCACCAAGTAGCTGTTTAGCGTAGTCTGGTCCAAGAGAGGGCCGATCATAGTATGCATCAGCATCCAGTATCTGATAAATAGATTTGGACTTCCATTCAAGAGTTTCCTGCACCAGGCTTGTCAAAACGCATGCATCATACGAGATATCTGACCACTGACCTTGCAGCTTCGAGGCATGATATTTTTGTCTCTCTGAATGGGGAGCAGACGCATGTAAAGCGCCTTCAGACTAGCTGGCATGTCGTTGTCTGAAGGATTCAAGGTCTTATGACTCAACCAGGGCTTGGCTTGAGTGATGCCTGGCACCGATGGGGCAGAGTCTGAAGAATCGTCCTCCATCTTCTTTGGTTCCGATCGATGAGAGGTGATCGATAGAGAAGTGGGATGAGAAGTCTGATCAAGGGCTTTGGTATCGCTTCGCTTGCGCTTCATGGTCGATCTCTCGTCGTCAGGTGTTGTTCGTGGTGAGATTTTGTCTGGCTGTTGTTGTTCAAGCGATGCTGAAATGCTGGAGGGAGTGTTTTCGGAAGGAATGCTAATGGTGAATGGCTGCCGGGCTTGAGTGGAAGAGTGCCCCTCGGCTGCAGGATGTTGCACGCGTCACGTCGCGAATTATTTGTTGCTCATGTAAGCACGAAGTGTAGATTAACAAACATTCTATTGAAACACCATTTCAACAATCGAATTCTTCCTATATCAGCATGCTGGATCTTCCCCAATATGCTAAGTTCAATGCTGACTCAGCATTTAGTCGCTGTTCACGAGCCCACGCAATGCCGAGGCTAAAGACCCCTCCAAGCATCAACGACCGGCTGAAGTCATCGACTTGGAGACCGCGTTCCTTCTTCACCAGTCTACCGCTCTGTTACAGAATCTATTGAATCACTATGGTGAACTCATCATTCTCGACGCCAATTATCATCGGCGTAGGCGAAATCCGTCAAAAAGACTTCGCGCTCGAACATTGCCTTGAACCAGCTGCGCTCATGCTATCAGCGATCCGCGACGCGTCAAGGGACTCTACAATTGATGTCACAAAGCATATACAGAGCATCTATGCTGTGCCTCCTTGGTCCTGGAACTACGAGAACCTGCCGAAACTTCTGGCGGAAGGACTTGGTGGTCAGGCGACCGACCTTGCAGTTGCTGATCATGGAGGAAACACGCCTGCGGCGCTTTGTGACTCAGCGGCTTTGAAGGTTGCGAGAGGAGAGACAAATATGGCTGTTGTCACAGGAGGAGAAGCGTTAGCCTCGTGTATGTGTCGTATATGAACGGGCGAGGTGCTATTGCTGACGTATTTGTAGTATTTGCCTGTCAAAAGGCTGGACATATGCCTCCGCCAGGATGGACTGATGGGAATCCCAACGCCAAGCAATATAGTCCAGGAGACACTTCTCTCATGAAAGGTAAGGCCGATAGGTGGGTACGATTGAACGAAGACACTGACTAGTTGTAGGAGCTGGCGCCACGCACTCCATTGGTAATCCGATCCAAGTGTACCCTCTATACGAAAACGCATACCGCAGACATTATGAGCAAACTTACTCAGAGAATCACCATGAGTCGGCAGCACTCTACGCTAAGTTTGACAAGGTCGCGTGTCGACATCCGAATAGCTGGAGGGCAGGCGAAACCCCCCGACATATCGACGCCATCAAGACCGTAGGCAAGGAAAACAGAATGATATGCACACCCTGTACGTCTTCTCCTAGAGGGGTGTAACTATCTGCTGACTTTTCAGATCCATTGTTAATGAATGCATTCAATGGTGTCAACCTAGGTGCTGCGTGCATCATCACTTCAACCGAGTATGCTAGGAACCTCGGAATACCGCAAGAGAAATGGGTTTATCTCACTGGTGGAGCTGGTTCAAACGACAGTTCAGATTGTAAGATGCTTTGGTCTTTCCTCCAGAACTATTGCTAACGTACCATGTTTCACAGTTTGGGAACGATCGAACTTTTACTCAAGCCCTGCCATTGAATATTCTATCGACAAGGCACTCAAAGCCGCCGGCCTCACAAAAGATGAGATTGACTGCTACGACTTCTACTCGTCAGTGGCACGAGCCTAGCTATGAGTGTTGTGCTAATAGTTGAACAGGTGTTTTCCTATCGTACCCAAGATCGCATGCAAACATGTTGACATCGACTTGATGGAACCAAAGAAGCCTATCACCCTCATTGGAGGACTGACTTCTTTCGGCGGCGCGGGCAACAACTATTCACTTCACGTAAGTCCCCTCTACCCATTTGTACGATCTCCTCTGACGACTCAACAGGCTATTGCTGAGATGGCTAGGGTTATACGTCACGGCAAGTATCAGAACGGTCTAGTCCTTGCCAACGGCGGCGTTCTATCTTGGCAGCACGCAATCTGCCTCTCTGCCCAGCCAAAAAGAGACGGTTCGCCCTACGAGAGCTCAACATTCCTTGACAACGGTCAACTGTCACAAGGTCCAGAATTTACTGCCAAGGCAGAGGGCGAAGCTATCATCGAGGTATGTGAACTCTGTTTGAGATCTCGCTTATCTAACACAATTCCAGACATACACTGTGGACCATGATCGAAGCGGGCCAAAGTTAGGCCATGTCGTGGGAAAGCTTACCGAGACTGGGCAGAGGTTCATCGCAAACCATGCCGATGAGTTTACTTTGTCGACCCTTGTCAGCACCACGACGGAGCCGATTGGTATGAAGGGCTTTGTTGAGGTTGGATCGGATGGCAGGAATCTCTTCACGATTCAACCAAGTGTTAAGCTCTAGCATAATATTTCACAAACGATGGAGCTAGTGTATGAGACAAAAGAGAGGTGATGAATTCATCGGTCTATCAACAATCAAACAGACAGGCATACAGTAATGACAGTACAAACGTGCGAGCAAAATACAAGTCTAGAGAATCTCGTGCAAACCATCCTTCCTCCAGTCATTCTTCCTCCAAACCTTCCAGTCCAGCGTTCCCTTACTCTCGTTGCCACTCACTCCGCCCTACTTGCGGCGAGGGCGCAAGACTCGGTCGGTGGCAGGAACCTCCACCTCGGCCTTTCTCTTCTTCGAGGGAGTCTTGGTCTTGGCCTGCAAATCGGCATCAATCAGCTGGGCCGCGCGCTCAATAGCGGTCTTTCGCATCTTGCGGCCATTGGCTTCAGCTTCTTCCTCCATCATCTTCTTCGCTTCAACCTCAGCCTCAGCTTCCATCAGCCGGGCTTCACGATGGATAGCGTTCGCCATCTTGAGTACTGCAACTCGTTCATCTTCCCAGTTTTCGTACCATTCTTCGTGCTTGACAGTCTCTTCGAAGTTTCGTAGGATGATGGAGAGCGATCGCAGGCCGGTCTCCCAAGCTGGAGGGTACTCAGCCTCATCTTGCAGAGGCTCTGTCTCACGGGCAAGGAATTCGGCGGCTAGTAGCGCGGGGTCACTGATGGCTTTGGCCAAGAGGAATCGTTCGTTTGTTGGGTCTTGCGCGTGCTTTTTGTGGAAGTTAATAAGCTGGCGGGCGCGCTGAAGGAGGCGCTCGTATCTGGTAAGCCAAGCCATGATGATGGTGAAAAGTGTAGTTGAGTGGTGGTGGTTTTTTTTTGTTTTGTTTTGCGTAGACGGGTGTAGTTGCGGTTTTAGTTTTGGTTGTTGCTTTTGTGGATTGTTTAGGTTATTGCAAATTGCAGTGGAAATTGTGGTTGTGATGTTAGATCGAAAGACGCTGGATCAACGGGCTTAAATATGTCTGGACGCGACGGTTATCGTTCGCCTCATTTCTACCTTTACAATCACTTTCCTATCACTTGTCATTTTGTTCCTCAGAATAAAGGTTGATACAAAAAGAGGCGTTTCTGGAACAGGGTTCTGAACAAAGACTGAACGTGGTCACAGGCAATGGTTTCAATATTACAACTCAGCAATCAGCCCTGACAAGACCTCATTGCGCAATCTCTTTATGCTGAAGACAGTTGTCACTATCATACTATTCTTCTGTTCTTCTAAGGACCATGGTAGTCATTGTCAATAAAGAGTGTTGCCTCATTCTCAGCCCTGTTGTTGAAGTTAACCATACACCTGAAATGATGGAACAAGGGTCCCACGTCTCAGTTTTTATTCAGCGGCATACTGTAAGGATCTCCTTTCCCGCCTTACTCATGACCTCTTTCTCCGGCACAGTTCAAGACAGCAATAGAGAGTTACATGTCATATTTTTGTCTTTGTGGTGGTTTGGCTTATGGCGTTTATTATGGAGCCTGAAGTTCATTGACTTGGCGGTCTACCATGACGACAAAGATAGGAAGAGTCAAGATTTCAGTGAGGCCAGCGCGTTGGAAATATCTATCGTTACATCTACGATGCAGCAAGTTCATGACACATGCGAAGACGGGCTCTAATACCGGAATTACTTTTTCCCCTTGGACCTTGGAAGAGGACCTGTTTGTTGACCCTCAGAGCCTGACGAACAACAAATTGGACCATTTCCTGCATCCCATTCTATGGAGATAGCCATGCCATTTGTCTTGTCTTGTTCCTCTGGTGTCGATCTTGCTTCAATTCTCGGCAGCTTCCCCGGAATGCAACCTTCACCCCGCAGTGAGCGCGAGCGGTTCCCCGCATAGTGTTGTTGATCTCTACCTACTCCTACTTAACCTTAACGGGGACAATCATGCGCACCTATGAGAAGTCGATCCCATCCGCATCGAAGAGCTCAACATCGTATATCTTCGACCAAAATGCTACAGACGTTCGTTTACGACTAGCCGCGCCTATGGAAACCTAGCCATTATGTCATAAAACTACTCTCATCAATTTGAGGTTACATTATTGATCTTTTGACCTACCATCAACGAAAACCTGCTCCGAAACTGACTTCATCCGGGTATTGTGGATATATAAATACAGCAATGGGCGACTCAGCCCTAGCAGCGCATGATCGACGGGGTATAGGTCATTACAAAGGTTCTATAGCCATCGCAATGTCAGCACTCGCTCTCACGGCACTTCTCGCCGGTATCGGCGGCACTTCCGGAAAGACTGTCAAATCCCCCACGCCGCCTATGGGCTGGAACTCTTACAACCATTACAACTGCTTTCCCAATGAGGAGATCATCAAGATCAACGCCAAGGGTCTAGTGGACTTGGGTTTTCTGGATCTTGGTTACAGTGTCGTTACTGTGGATTGCGGATGGCCATCGAGAGATCGAGATAGTGAGGGCAGACTTCAGTGGAATGAGACTTTGTTTCCTTCAGGACCCAAGGCGCTGGGCGAGTATATCCATGATCTGGGTCTGGAATTTGGTCTCTACTCCGGAGCGGGATACCTCCAATGTGGTTCTGAGGATATTCCTGCCTCGCTAGGTACGTGCCCAATCCCCAGTCTTGCAGAAGTTGGCAACTGACTCAAAGCTATAGGATATGAAGAAATTGACGCCAAGTCCTTTGCCGAATGGGGAGGCGACACCCTCAAGTAAGTCTCGCTCATTTTCCCTACTATGTATCCAGCTAACTTCTCGAGGTACGACAATTGTTATGCTACCTCCAAGACCGACATGGTGGACTCCGACTCTGCCGAGGCAAAGAGTCCCGATCGCTTCATCAAAATGGCCGCCGCTATCAATGAGACGGACCGTGACATCCAATACTTCCTGTGCCAATGGGGTATTGGTGAAGATGTACCGCAATGGTAAGTAGCATGATCCGATTACCGTACCCTCTCTAACATTCGGTAGGGCTGCTCCACTTGGAAACTCTTGGAGAATGAGCAACGACATTTTCAACGCGTGGAGAGCGATCTGGCGTATCACCAACCAAGCTGTAGCTCATTCCAAGTACAACCGCCCGGGCGCTTTCGCAGACATGGATATGCTGATGTGAGTTTCAAATCAATAGCCTGATAGCATTGCTAATGAGATTAGTATCGGCCTTGGTGCCCTCTCCTACGAAGAAGAACGTTTCCACTTCGGCCTCTGGTCAATGATGAAGTCTCCTCTCATTATCGGAGGCGTAATGGACGCCAAGCAGATCCCCGCCCACTCGCTCGAAATCATGTCCAATAAGGAAGCCATCGCCATCAACCAAGACTCCCTAGGCCAGGCTGCCGAGCTTGTGATTCGATACACTGAGGAAGAATGGGATGTCTGGTCGGGCAACCTATCGTCAAACCGCAAGGTCCTTGGTGTTGCGAACTGGAAGAATGAGACGCAGACTGTCGAAGTTGACTTGTCGCTGATTGGTGTGGAGAAGGCCAAGGCTCGTGATGTCTGGGCTCATGAGGATTCCACTATCAAAGGTACTCAGAAGTTTGAGCTTAAGCCTCATGAGCTACGTCTTCTCGTTCTCTCCGATATCAGCCAGGCTACCACGCCCAAGTCTTCGGGCTACCACGCTGCTTCAAAAGCAAGCCTCGAAGGCTCAGCATCACTCGTCGACTGCAAAGAGAACGAATGTCTACCAGCCAACGAAAAGGTTAAGTCGATCGGCAAGGACGCCAAAGTCACTTTCAAGTCCGTCAGCGCACCCAAGGATGGATCGCTCTTTGTTGGCATTGACTATATCAACCATGAGTATCATCACACGATCGGTGACTGGGAGACCAACTCACGGAACATGTCAATCTCGGTCAATGGAGAGGATGCAAAGCGTTGGGCGTTCCCTAATGCTGGTGGCGATTGGTTCGAGAGTGATCGCATGATGATCCTTCTGGATGGCTTCATGAAGGGCGACAATAACACTGTTACCTTCAGTGCTTCAGCCTCCGGAACCTGGGCGCCTGACCTGGTCGGTTTCGAGGTTCTAGCATAGACTGGAGAACAGGCCGAAAGCAGGGATGGCAATGACGGGGGATCAACATGGCAACATGTTAACTCGACACTCTGGGCCACACAGGTGGATGTCAGAAGAATTATCCTCTAAGGCTTAGGGTACAGAAATAAAGTGGCCTAAATGCTAGCCTAAGCCAGCATAGGATGATCAAATTATTTCGTCTCTTATGTTCTCGACCGCCAATTCATCTAATACCCTGACGCCACACTACGCGATTAGACAGGGTTTTTGAAGATATTCTGAAAGGAATACTGCTATATACAAGAAATTTAAACATCCTGAATTCACACCTTGACAGTGAAGTCATACTGCTCCTTCCCACTCAGTTTCTTATCCGTACCCTTAAACTTGAATACACCGCTAGTCTTCTTCGGCGCCTTGATCGTTACAGACATATTCTTCTCATCGCTGCTAAGCTTCCAAGTAACCTCGACCTTTCCTCCGAAAGCAGTCTGCAGACGTCCATGTGCATAGTTCAAGCCCATAGACAGACCATACTCTGGTCCAACGACCCAGCTTCTGTAACCATATCCCTCAATACCCTCCGCGGGTCGAAGACCAGCTGCCCACTCCGTGAGAACATAGGTAGCTGCGCCTCCCCAAGGATGTCCTAGCGACGTAAACAAACCCAGACCAGGAGTTCCATCGTGAAGGACATATTCCCAACTTGCGCCGCTGGAAGTCGTGATATTATCGACCATAGGTCCCCAGAGTGTGTCGATGAGCTTAGAACCGCGCTTCTCGGCACCGGACTCGAAGAGGGCGGGGAGGAGAAATCCGTTGGTGTTGGGGCTGATGCTAGCGGTTGGTGCATCAGGGTCTGTGCGGGTGTTGTCAAGGTATCCTGGTCCGAGAGCAAGTTTGTCCAAGGCCTTGAAAGAGCGCGTGGCCTGTGTGCGGCTAGCTGCTTTGCTCGTGGTGCAGAACGCGATACCGTTGACGGAGAAGTCGGTCTCATTGGCGGTCGACAGCTTCCAAACGCCAAGCTCCTCATTCCAGAGGTTCTTGCGAATAGCTTCAATGAGTTTGTCTCCTGCTTTCTTCCACTTCTTCATGGCGCTCTTCTTGCCGATCGCTTCGGCAAGTTCGGCCATGGAGTGCAGAGCCTGGGCTGTCATGCAAGAGACGGAAGAGCCAGACTCAGCAGGACCTGTAAAAGCGCCATTGAGATGGACCAGTCCGTCAGTCTTGTTGATAGTGCTGACAGACCAGTCGACAACACGCTCGAAGTACTTCCATTCCTGCTTGAGGAGGTCCAGGTCGTTGCTGGATTGAATATAGTAGTACAGCGACAAAAGGCCAAGGAGTTGGTAATCCTCCAAGCCGTAGTTATCAGCGAAGATCGTGATGTTGGCTTGGTATCCGAGCGGGGCGCTCATACTAAACAGTCCCTCCTCATTCTGTGTCGGGATAAGGGACTCGAAAGTTCCGCGCTGGAGGTCGAAGCGAGACGTGCTGACACCGATGATACGAGATGTGTGGTAGTAGTCTCCGAGCCAGATGAGACGATCACGCTTGGGTCCATCAAGACAAGCCGCGAAAAGGTTCTGTCTGACACCATACTCATCGAGGATATCGTCAGAAGTCAGACTGCTCTCATACACGACCTTTCCAAGATCATCGTCGTGGACCTTGACGTTACGGTAGTAAGCCTTCTGGTCCTGATACGCACCCAGACCGAAGCGACCAGTCAGTGTGATGGGTTTCATCTGGCCTCTGAACAAGACACGGTAGGAAGTCAGCGACATGTTAAAGACTTTGGCGTCGTTTATGTGGGCACTGAGGTAGCCATCCTTGAGGGTTGTACGGATCTTGTACCACTCGTTCTCGTGGACAGAGAATGGGAGGTCGAAGGTCTTGAGAAGGTAGGTGGGTAGAGTGGTTTGGTTGACTTGACCCCATCCAGAGGTGACCTGCAGGGTGTTGCGAGGGGAGAGGGTATAGTTGTGGTTCTTGAAGGTAGTCGCTTTGGGTAGGTCTCCAGTGATTTGAAGACCGATGCCGCCACCCTTTCCGATCTCCCAAGCCTGTCGAAAGTCAGTATCTCTTCATGTCAATTTGATGGGCTATGGCTTACAACACCATACCAAAGACCGCCTCTCTGGATCTTGGTCTCAAACTCGAGAGTATGGTTTCCAACAAGTGGCGACTTCTCACTCTGAATAGGTCTCAGCGACTCAATCAAAGCGCCATTCTCAGGATCAACTCGCCACGACGAAGGCTGACTACCCTGCTCCAAACATGAAGACTGCGCGCCCCTCACACCCACCTTCCAGATCTCATTGAGCCTCTTGTCGCTGCACTCAAAGAAGCCGGGTTCCTGATCAGGATCCACATTCGGAAAGGTAGCATGGAACCCGACATTCTCAAACTTGATACTCGCCTCATTCACAAGTCTGAGAGATTCCCATCTCTGACCACCTTGTGTGAGAAACGCGTTATAACGGCCGGTCTTTGTAATATTGAGTGTTTCGATGCGGAAGTTATTGCTGAGTTGGTTGCCGTAGAGGAGGGGGCCGTCACTGAAGGGCTCGTTTACGGAACGCCATTCTTCGCCGTATTTCACTTCGATCTGGGCGGGGCCACTGAGGGATTTGACGTCGAAGAATGGGACTCCACCGACGATGTGACCGTAGTCGAGGACTGCCACTGGGTTTTTCCCGTTGAGAGCAAAGCTTTTGAAGGCTTTAGTTTTGTAGGTGGGTTTGGAGCCTAGGGCGAGACCTTTGGGAAGGAATGGCTTGTGGGTCCTGGGAATGAGTTAGCATAGTTCTTCAATGAGTTCTGTCGTAGAGGTCAATACTCACGTTGCATCAACAAGACCCGCCGCTCCCAGCAAGGCAACACCAAGAAGCTTCAAGCCTGGCAACATGACGAATTCGCGTGCTGTTATCCCATCATCACTTCATCAGAGATCCATTGAAGTTTTGTTCTCATCGATCGGCAGTTCTTAGGCTCGGCACGCTTCGGCTCGGAATCTAATCGAGGGGAAGAAGCCATCACGGAGTCACATCGTCGCTTGGCGCTATTCTTGCCGTGGACTAAAAATGTTGGTCGAAGCTCGAGATCGTAATTTCGGTGGTTAATGACCCGACGATCGTTACTGCCCCGGATTCATAATACACCGACCACTGAGAAGGCCCGATGTTACCCCGCGTTGTTGACTCCAGCGCGAGTTTCGTGGACGCGAAGTTACCCTACATCCAAGCTGTAAATTGTCCAGCCGGGAATTCCGAGATGAGTGGTTGTCAGTTCAGGAAAAAGTTTTCAAGATATTGAATGATCATTTTGGAATAGCAACTTCCAGTATGAATTTTGTCAGTATTTGTGTGAGGTCAATTGGATAGCCTCGGTGGCCATTTCACAACAGGTGCCATTGATCAATGGCTCGAACTCTGTAATATTCTAGACACAAACAAAACCAGTACAGAAGTGCTCAAAACTCTAGAATAATAGAAACCACAAGCATTCTGGACGCAAAATAATCTCTGGAATAGAGTAACTGGATTATTTGTATGACCTAAACGAACAAATGCTGCCAAGAACCGACGAGGTGCTGGACAGAACATGCTTATCGATACAAGCGGTTATCGATTAGAGACTTCACAGCCAATTAAAATCCAAGTCACGTCGACGACCGCTCCACTTCCAGACCTAAAAACAGCAAAAAAGAACTCCCCGAAACCTGGATCGAACAAGTGACCTTTCGATGACATATAACAATTACAGTCGAACGCTCTTCCAGCTGAGCTATTCGGGGATTATCTCCGAGACGGAGGAATAGCTATTGCTTGTTGGGATGCCGGATCGCAATTGGCATATATGTTACCTATCAGGGCCACGTTACCGCCGCGACAAGCACTTGCGTCAGTTTTCGCTATGGAGCGCGCGACCGGGATAAAGATCTTCTGGCTTTGATGCTTAGGCCTCGGCATCCAAATGTCAATGCGACGGTGAAAGTGGTCTGACGAGATGTGCACTGGCCATAAAACGACGCGATCACCTAAAGTGACAGCTGCCAGCCCAGCTAAAAAGATTGCGCCCGTCGCATCACCTTACCAAAGTATCCATGCAAAAAACAGCAATAAAAAAGAGTAATAACATTCTAGAGCCCCCAAACACTATTGTCAATAGCGCAAGGCAGATAGGAAAAAAAGCAAAAAAAGATATTCGTAGCTAGCAGCTACTGGTTTCGATCCAGTGACCTCCGGGTTATGAGCCCGGCTGAGGAGTTGTTAGTGCGAATTTTGTACACAAGATTCGAGTAAACATACCGCGCTTCCACTGCGCCAAGCTGCTTTTGTCGCTTTACTTTGCCACTTGCTTTTACAATCTATGAAGCCTACCCTGCTCGCCCTGTGGGCATGCTTTAGCTCCGCACCATCTCCATCCACATTCGAGTCAACCCGTTCATCAATTAATCCTCTGTAGAGCTGCGATTTCTTTCACTTTACATTTCTTTTCCTTTGGGCAGTTCAATATTATTTTCACTGGATATTGCCATAGCATGAAGATTGATTCACGCCGCAAAGATCATGCTATGTCTCGCTGATGCGTTCAAATTGCGGGCGCATCGCCAAGAGCTATCAAGGTTGCAACCGATTGACATTGCGATCTATTTTCGCATCAACAGATCGATCTACACGACACCGGCCAACAGCTAAATCCTTCGGCCATCAATGGTTCATTCTCGGATGTCTCCTGTCTTTGAACCGGGTCGTTGGTTTAAACACTGACTCATGGCATGTCCCTAGTGGACCCCCGGAATTGTTTTTGCGGAGGAGCTGACGATAAAAATCAGGGGATTATTGAACCCCTGCGCCTAAGACTTCGGCTCATGTCCTTCCCCTTTCTTCAACCACGTGGAGTCATGGAGTTTTTGTTATCTAACGGATGCATGCTTGCATCGCGGCGCCTCCGCAGTTGATATTGACATCGGATGATGGCGGTTTCATTCCGTGGTGTTCGGACGTACGGAGCCGAGAGCTTCGAGAAGAACCACTTTTCTGCGCCCGCGAAATGACTGATGACACGAGACTCTCGATTCGAGAAGGTATTCACGACTACTGACACAAACCATGGCCTGACTTTCGATATACCGATAATTAGGCGATCTGATAGGCCGCGACAAAGCTGGGGTATCGCTGTACAAAGCTATAAAGCCGACCAATATCCAGTCGGATAAGGACTCGGCAAGTCAATGAGATTATGCAATCTCAGCGACAAACAAGCTATTATCAAATAGACCCAACGAATGACACATCCATTTATGGTCTCTCGTCTTTCTTTCCCCGGAGATTCCACTCCATCCACTAAACCGTTTTTCGCTTCCGCAAACGGCCGCCAGCTCTGGTGATCAACCGAGTCATGGAATGCGCCACAGCAAGCCATCCGGTTGGACGCCGGGGATGCTTTGTGTCTTAGGGCCTACTTTAGGATTGGAACAGGATGTCTACTAGTGTGAACTCTATTGATGAGCCAAAATGATGCGACGACCTTGATCCTCTTCCATGCAGGGTCCAAACCTTTCAGGTAATAAAAGTGACCTAACAGGATTGATATCCTTGCTGTCTCACATGCCATCCGAAGACGAGACATGCAGAGAAAGATCTATCATCGTCTGGTCTTTCCAGAACGCTGATCAAAGAGTCTAGGCGTAAAAGGACGGCTCGAGACTGAGACACATACCAGCTAAAGTTGATGCATCAGGGATGAAAAGACAGCTACCCGCTTCTGTATGACGTTAGTGAACGACACTCAGCTGGTGTCACTACCACCTCAGCCCACCCACATCAAGCGGCCAGAGCTAAATTCTGGATCTAGACTAAACGTTAACCCCTGCTAACGGCTAACGAAGGATCTAGCGGAAAAGCCATTCATAGTGCAGTCCCTCCCTACCTCGACAGAAGGTCCCGAGGAACCGGACATAAGATCAGCGCAGGTACCTTATCGAAAGTCGATCCCTCTTCTTTTTGGCTTCTTCCATTTGTCCTGTCACATTTTTGGTCATCTCGCGGCGATAGCTGCATCGGTCAATTTACCATGGATTACTTCGAGGTGTGCTGGTCCATCTTTAGCACCATCTGTCTGGTCAATGTCTTCTTTGGTATCCTGGTCTGCGAAATCACCACGTTCACTGTCTTGGCTGCTGTACCGATCTTCTCTTCTGCTGCGGGCGCTATCGCGAACGGTCTTTGCTATTATGTGTACTACAACGATCACCCTCTTGTCAATGAGGTGGTAGCCGCCGTCTTTGCTGACTTCTTCTGGCTGGTACGTGTACCTCAATTGATATCGTTGATGCGCTTACTTACCCTCAATAGTTACAAGAAGGAAGTCTGTTGCTTTACAGTTATATCATTCTCGAACGAGTCCTCCGCCCGACCCAATGGCGCATCTTCAGTATCGTCTTTTGGGCTTTGATGGGTTTAACCGCCATTTCCCGAGTCTTCATCGCCGTTTACCGCGCTAAATTCTTGATCGAAGGCGTGCACGAGTACGAAGTCATCATCAATTACCTACATATCGGATACTTCACATTCATGGCTATTTCAGAATGCCTTAGCGCCTATTTCCTTGTTGTCATTTTCGCTTCCGCTAAGAACTCGAGTATGAATGCGGCACTTAAAGTCGGTCTCTTGCGATATCTCACACGCAGTACCGAAATGCGTGTTGCCTTCTTGGCTTTGATTGGAGTCGTTCGAACTATTATTCACCCGTTCCAAACACCAGGACAAAAGGCTGTCAATATTGCCAGTCAGCTCGATCGATTTCTCTACGCCCTATTTTGTCTCTACCCGATCGTTCTTTAGTATGTATTTTGCCCTTCGCTTCTTGATAAAGCTAACCTGGTCACTAGTTTCGATACCCTTGCTTCCAAATTACGCTTCAACGAGGACCGATCCATCTATACCCACAGTGATCAGGCCGGCAACCCTACTCGCTACGGCATCAACACCCAAACAAGATGCTACACTACCACAAAGTCCAACTATGCTTCTAAGATGTATGGCGGAAACGACCCTATCCAAGAGGGAAACAATTCACAAGAACAAATTGTTCAGCCGGATGGATCAACCAGGTCAGGTGTTTCGGAGACGGAATTGGAGGATATGGATGTCGAAGGACTCGTTATCAGGAAGACCACCGAGGTCACTGTTTCATAATGCGGACTAGCCCAAAATATACGACTAAATACTCTGCATATCATAATTAGATAATCACAAAGCAATTTACTATTATAAAGATGGCGATATCAACCAGAATCCAACCATCGGAGCGGAGAATCCTTAACCCGTTGGGTAATCTCGGATAAGTCTAGCTCTATGACTGCCTAGAGCTGTCTCAACATTGTTCATGCTGGGTGCCTGTTCAGAGACGTGAGGTCGTGGTATTTACTAGCCACTTTCCCTTCTGACCGGAAGTTCTTTACACGAAACCCAAGTCATCCTGGTTACCATTTCTGCCTGTACACGATGAGTGCTCCTTCCTTCCACTGTCAGATATGCGGTGTAGACATGGCTATTGCACGCATCCGCACGCCCAACGAGCCGCCAAGTGCAGCGTGGAATATAGACGGTGCAAACTATGTTAGCTGGATGAAGTATCCGTTTAATGATGTGGCGGAGGACGCAGACTGCAAAGGCTGCACGACTATAGATCGAACACCGGCTGATCCCCAGGTTCTTGAGTGGGATACGCTCCCTATCTGGCCGGAAGATGACGACTCCGATGATCCTGACTGGATCCCAGATGACCAGTCGCAGACGGATAGTGAACCCCTGGAGTATGATTCGGGAGCAGAGAGCGGTTCTGATGACAGCTCATCTGAGACAAGAGAAGATCTCGACGATACAGAGGAGATGTACTCTGTTTCCAATCTATGCAACCAACCACGACCTGAGAGGTTTCCTCATGGGACGTGGTACAACAACAAGGTCTTCTACACAGGAGCACGCGAAGATCCTGTTCTTTGCGATTTCCCCGAACAAGATGGGCGCAAAATACCGCGTGAGCACATCGCCTCACCATCATGCCAGAGCTTACGAGGTATCAACGGACATGTGCTGAGTGTGGAGCAAATGAAGAACTGCCGCAACTTGCGCCTCATAATCCCTAAGCAGGCGAACTGGGAACTCGGAGCTGAGGATGAGCTGCTGGAGAAGGATAGCTTGTTCTTTCTTTCAGGAGAGACAAACGGTTCAAACGCCGCGCAGGGTAATCATTGGGCTGCGTGGCGGTCATTCTATCCTACGAGACATGGAGTGCAGGAGTTGAGGACTTCCTGGGATTGCGTTAATAATGGAGTCATTGTAAGTTTCCCGACATCGTGTTGGAGATCGAATTAACCATGAGGCAGGACTCCGACGAAACATTCCCCATTGCCGTTCACTCCTACTGTCTTGACATGTATGCAAAGACATCCTTTCGCAAATTAGGCCATGCCAACCTTGACGGACTTTGGCATTGGCGGGAAATAGAAGATAACCCGAATGGGTACGGGATCAGTCGGAGCAAGATCCCTGGCTTGGTACCTGAAGTGTCTGGAGCCCGTGACGTATGGTATTATCCATGGCACCACTTCTCCGGAGATGAGTGGCTCGTTGCCAATCCAGTTGAGATTTCTGGAATTGGAAATGCTTTGGAGCTGTGCTTGAATTTGACAGTCGCCGAAGGATCTGCCCAAACTCACGCAAAGCTGCTAAATCTACCCCCCGAGATGATGGATCTGATCCTCGGGTCACTCAAGCCCTCAGATTTGAACGCTGTCGCTAAGACCTGTCGAGCAATGTACCACCTTACTCAGCCCAAGTTCCAAGCACATGTGCTGAAGAAGATGAAGTGGCTGTGGGAGATATCCGAGGGGAAGCAATACCCAGAATCGCCATGTCAACCTGTGGCTTGGGATCCTATTTGCCCTCTGGGAATCCCACCACCAACCTTTCCAGTCGGCCTAGAAGACGAAACATTCGAAACACGCCTCTGGGAGGAAATCATTGGAGAGTTCCCAGAGATGGAAGAAGTTGGTACAGCAGTCAGAGCTATCAACACCCTACGTCGTAACGAGATCGAAGTACCATACCAAGACAAGCTGGTAGCTCTATCGCAAGTATGGCATGATTTCCGCGTCGGTGTACGAGAGTGGATCGGTAATACCGCAACCTATCCTTATTCGAAAGTCGATTGGAGACGAACGTGGGTACTGTTCAACCCAAGGACAACTAAAATGCCCGGCATACGCAACCGAAAGAGGATATGGGATCGCTGCGAGAGGATTGTTGATTGCGTGAGACAGGCGCATAAATTTGGACAGATTGAGAACAAGGCTCAAGAGCTGGCTGCGAAGTTGGCGCATCCCCACCACCCTGGGTGGTACACTACTGAGGCGGAAACGCGATGGGATTGGGGCAATATCTAGGGCAAGGGTAAAGACTAACTGCAGCTTCCAACTTGTACGGAGCTGGGACAAGTGAATCAATACCTATTATAAAGCCAAGTACATTAGATGACCATACTCATGATGCCTCTTGTATTCTTCTTATAGATGTGCCTCTTTCTAATATACGGTTGAGCAAAAAAGGTCTCGGTTATACTTTTGTAACGACCGGATCCAAGTCTGACCTTGTAGCAAAGCCGATTCGCTTCTCCCCTATGTCGTCGAAAACGGTTACCATATTATCAATAAATATTCAGCCCAGAATCCATGTATACTTCTTGGTTCCGAAGTACATATACGTAACAGGACTTCTCAGATAGTCTGATCCAGGGACGTGACCCAGTGATAAGTCTTCTTTGTTGAGACTGAACGTAGCTTCTTCTATCGTATCGCCAAAGGTGAACAAGAACTCTCTTAACCCGCCACTGGAATAGGTAACGATCCGATTGCTGGCTTTGCCTTGTACAGCCTTTGCTATATCGATGCAGTAGTCCTCAGTCATGGTGAGATATAAGGCTGTCGAGGCTATCGATATCGAATGCATCGAAGATCAGAAGGCCCGAAAGGCGTAAATATGGATTATAATTGAGATACTGCTTTTCAGTTATCAAGACGGCCATGTACACCAAGCGATGATAGCAGTTGTCTGATGGGGCAGCTGGGTAACAGAAGGATTCTCCTCCAAGGCTTAGGTTGCCAAAATAAAATACCCTAAGAGCAGGTCGAAAATAGCATAAGATACCTAAGCTATTTCGTCCCTTATGCATTTAGCTGCCATTTCTTCCAACACCCTGAGCCGGGGTTCAATAGTGATACGGTGTTCTGCAAACTGGTTTCTGACTTTCCCAGTAGTTCCACTGGGTACACAAAAGAATCATCAAATCAAGTCCCTTATTAGAGACCGGTTATCTGACTCTTGACTTTGGAGCAAGTTCAGGTAGTTGCCAACTAATCTGATCCATATAAAACGTGCCACGCTGTAATAGTCATGATAACAGGCAAACCAATGATCATGAGCCACCGAATGCCAGCTTCCTTGAGTATCTGTAGTTCCAATCCCTTCACAGCATCAGCATCATTGACCCTTGGAAACGATGTATCGGGTGTAGGCAGTTTCAGTGCGTTGCTCAAAGGATCCCAACCCTGGCTCAATTCCATCATGTGGAATTTATCCGGCGGAGTAACCTTTCTGACGTATTCGTTGTGTTCATCAAGTCGCGCTGCTTAATCAGCAATAATCCTTCTTCTAACGGAATGAGCTTACCTGATGTCATCGGGCCGAACTTCTCATTTTGCCTAAAGTCCGTCAGTGATGAAGCAATCGCCACAATGCTGCGTTCTTACTGTTCGAGAAATTGAGTAACGAGCTTCGGATACCATCTCTTCCCGGGAACGGGCATCAGGAAGACGTTGAGAAAGCCAGCTCCTGCCATTTTCGACACAGCTTCCCAGCTCGCCCACCACTTTTCTCTGTCGCGTGTGACGCAAACGACCTTTGCATCAGGATAGATTTCGAGAAGCTCTTCAACAAAACAATTACCAGGCGCGTCCGTGATAGCGACAAAGCCAGCTGTCGCCGCTTTCAGAAGCTTAAGTAGTTTGGGTCGATCGTGGCGAGCTTCGAAGACTTCCGTCCAGAGCTTGACATAGGCTCTTATCGTCAGCTGCTATTGAAGGTGATACGGATAGAGCCTTACCGTCTTCTCTGCCAAGGAGCTGGGATCCGCCGTGCATTACTGGTCCATCTAGAAGCTGTTCCAAGGCGATAGCCATAGACAGTGTTCCTGTCCTGGAATAGCCTGCGCCGATGACCTTGAGTGACCGGGTGCGGTCAATGGGTACAGACACAGTACCTCCCATTTTAACAAACACTGGTCGGTATCTCTAAGGTTTGTAGATTAAGTCAAAGGTCTGCGGTTCAGTAGAGGGTATCGGATCTTTATATGACCAGCCTATTCATGGTGGCTTAGTGCTTACTCACAGCGGCACATATGTCCGTTTTGGCACATTTTCACAGCGGGCTAGCTATGGTAGTCTTGGCGCACGGTGTAGACTGATGCATGGAAACATGTGATTCTGTGTGTTTGTTCCTATATTTCAGTGATTAACCTGGAAAGACGCTTGAGAACGGAGAATGAAGATGGTGGTTAAGTGACAACAGAGCGGCCTTCTTTATCACACCTGTCAAGATAGCAGTGACGCTACTCGAGGTCTGCTTGTGACACATCTGGGGACACACTGTCATACATTGCGTATAAAAAGCAGCAGCTTTCGGTCTCACGGTAACGGAAAGTCTTCTAACAAACACTCCTTAACAACCACAACATAGGCAAAATGTGCTTCATGAGCAAAACAGAGATCTTCTGCCCGGCATGCAAAGAGGTATACCACAAGATGGAGCTGCCCGAAACTTGTCGATTCCTTCCAAGGGGATTAACATGGGACCAATGCAGCTTGAACCCGGAGACACTAAGATTCAGCAACCCTGGACTCGAGTGTGCCTCTTGTCGACGGAAGCGGGAAGAGGAAGAGGAAGAGAGAAAGAGGAAGCGCGAGCAGGAGGCATAACTTGGTTGATGCCGTCAGTGGCTTTTGCCGAGACATGTAAATATCGGAGTGATCGTTAGTGCCATAGATCAAAGGCAGTGGTTCACAAACAAGAGAGCAGTCTCCGTCGCTTCACTTACCTATCATAAGGCCATGTGCAAACACAATCAAACAGTGACTTGCTGCAATGTAAAAACTATATAAACTAGCGCGATTCTCAAGCTGAAGAGAGAATAGAACTCACCAAAACCATTATTAAAAATCTACTATAAACGCAACATGTGTTTTATCACGCATACGGAACTATACTGTCCAGTCTGCCGGACATCATACTACGAGATGGAGCTACCATCATGCTGTGCCTTTCTTCCTACAGGGTGTACCTTTGGGGCATGCGGTTATACGACGCAACACTTGTTCTTTCAAGCGCCTGGACTAGAATGTGAGCCATGCCGAGTAAGGCGGGAAGAGGAAGAGAGGAGGAGGCGTGAGGAGGAGGAAGAGAGATGGAGGAATAGCTTTTACGGTTATTTTCCGGGTAGAAGTAGTTCCTGCTAGCAGGTGATATTATAATGCTAAACTGTGTTTCCTGATGATTTCTTCTCAAGAAATACGTGATGGAAGTTCCTGTTGTAGGTAGTCTGAAGGGTAGTGGAACCTCAACGTGTTGATGTACAGATGTCTGTTTGGCAAGCCTTCGTCTCGTCAACACATTGTGCCGTGTAGGTTCCCTGATTATCACAGGATATCTTTTATGTTTCGGATCACGAAACTCAAATTATTCCTTAACAGATATGTACTTTGAAAGCATCATGACTGCAAAGTCCGGATAGAACATTCTGGTAACATGCTCTACCAAATCTTGCAACTTTTATGTATCACACCTTGAACTACCAACTGAACTGTACAACTGCCGTTTCACATCCATGTACTGGGTGCGATTAGTGAATCACACTACGGGTTAGTGCGTCTCTTGTTTGTTGAAGATATTCACCTGAGTTCATCTTCAATTCGACTGAATCGTCCCTCATCACTCGATTGAACATTTTATCTTCCCTGGGAGTACAACTTTGAAGCACCATACTACTTTATTTGCACTAATATTACAGTGGTTCACGCCCTTTTGGGAAGTATTTAAACGTTTTGCGGAAACCAACTTTCAAACCTCTCCATAAACCACACAGTCCACCTAACAATCGACTATCAACCAAAACATCAACTCTTCTATTATATCAAGATGTGTGAAGAATGGCATATTCTGACACACTGCGAGACATGTCGTAAGACAATTCAGGAATATGTAAAGGCCGAGATGTGCTCTAATCGTCGACCGAATGGGGTTTATGGAGAATGTCCTACAGGACCAATGACAAAGTGGCAACACGACTATAATTTCGAGTGCGCAGACTGCAAGGAGAAGCGTGAAGAAGAGGAAAGACGCAGGCTTGCGGCTATTCAAGAAGAGGAGGAGGAGGAATAGGAAGCATGTGGTGATTCGGCTTGATGAACCTAGGTCCTAGATAGTATTAGAAACTGTTGTTATATCTTGTTCTGCCTACACTTGCCCAAGTTAATTAGCAGTCTACGAACTTGCAAGGATTATTCGCAATGGATATGATCCGGACAGAGGTCAGATCATGCCACTGTGCAACCTTCTTGTCATCTTAATCGCTCATGGCAACTCAATCAACCCAGTCAGCTCCGTCAACTAACTTTCACTACAATCAATAACAACACTTTTTAATACAGAGTTTGCGACGCTAATTAGGAAGGGATGTCTAAAGCAAATAGCTCTGCGAGCCAGATGGGACGAAAGGATGCCTCTCCTCCCACAACCGCCGCTGTAATTCTAGACCCACAGCACTGGCCCGAAATACAGAAGGTTTGCTCACGGGAACCTACTTTCGAGACATGTGACTAAGAAGCATCCAAAGGCGAAAGGGTCAGACGATGAAGACGATGGCACGGCCATAATGTCTGGCGCCGACTCAACGACAGCATCCATCACTTCCAGCATCCTTCAGTACCGGACCATTCACGGTCGCACTTATCACAGCGAGCAGGGCGACGCTCAATATTGGTATGATTGCCAAGTATGTATATAACAAAACCGACTAGTTTTTGGTCGAAGGGGATCGAATGATGATCAGCAAAAAGACTTGATGGATCTCACGTGAGAACTGAACCTCTGATCATGATACATAGATTCTGACATGTAACAGCCATCATATTCTTACCCTCGGTCTTGGTGACAAGCTTCACTTGGCCCCGTTGAAGAAGGAAAACGTCCAAGTAAGCTAATTTCGCTACGACTTTCGTCAACGTGCCTATCATACCTGAAGCAAGCGATTGACATTGGCACCGGTACAGGTAAATGCCTTTTCCTTGGTAGATCTCATGGGAATTATTGCTAAAACTTGATCAGGAATCTGGGCCATGTAAGAAGGTCACACCAGACAATAGCTACCTACTAACGATGATTGACTTCCAGCGACTTCGCCGACCAGTACCCGAACGCCACCATCGTCGGAACAGACCTGTCGCCCATCCAGCTGTCGTGGGCCCCACCAAACCTCCAATTGTAGGTAGCTTGTCCTTTAAGCTATCATAACTGATACTCTGCAAGCACCATCGAAGACTGTAGTCGTGAGTGGACCTTCAAGAGTGATTTCACGGATTACATCCACGCTCGGTGGCTTATGGGCAGCATTGGGAACTGCGATGCGTTTTTCTGGAAAGCTTTCAGGGTGTGTAAACCAGGTGGCTGGGTAGAGAGCCATGAAGCCTCGTCTATCATCAGTAGTCCAGATGGCACCGTAGAGCCTGATTCTGCTATGGGCCATTAGGGCAAGTTCTTCATTGAAGGTAGCAAGAAGATTGGAACAAGCTTCACAGTCGTCGAAGATGGAACACAGAGGGAGGCTATGGAGAAGGCAGGATTTGTCAACATCCAAGAATTCGACTTCAGAGATAGTATCTCTACCACGATAGTTTCTGCTTTCTGCTAACTATTAAACAGAACCCGATTGGCGACTGGCCTGAGGATCCTGTTGAGAAGCAAATGGGCATCTACACCAAGCACGGTCTTCAGAAGGATAGCGAGGGCTTTGTTCTTTTCATGGCACATACTCTTGGTTGGACCAGAGAAGAAATCCTGGATTATGTTGGACAATTCCGAAAGGAGATTGGAACTGGAAAATCATCATGGCTACTTTGCTCAGAAGGTTGTCTGGGGTCAAAAGCCCGAGGCATCTGATAGTTGAGCTGGTTGTCTCATATCGACAAACAACTTCTCATCGCGGGTGCAAAGAAAGTTCGGGGAAATAAGCAAGGAAACAATGTGAGCTCATGGAATTGTGCTTGGAATTGTGCTTGTTTGGGCCTGGCAGAAACGGGTTCAGGTCTTCGGGATATGGTAGCATTTTAACGCCAAGCTTTATTATAAGCGGGCTAATCGGCTGTTGTTTGTAGGCGCTGATCGTCGCCCATTTTCCCGTCCACTAGATTACTTGTTCGCATCGCAATGGGGGAATAGCTCCGAGCGATTGGCTTGGAAAATGCCTTTGAACTTGCTGAGAAGTGATATCTTCATCAAGAGTATATCTTCACATGGAATTTCGCAGTCGTTGTCCAGCCCTGTATGGATCTGACTTTGGGAAAAACGTGAGATACTGTACCTAGTACATTTCCTGAAACCCTTTACCCACGTAATTGACCGAATGGTATGCAAGGGGTAAGTGACAATACGAGTGCTACCGCTGGTCATTCCCCCGAAGGAAACACAGTTCAGGAAACATTGCGAAGCCGCTACCGAGGACCGCCAATTTTGCAAACTCGTGATAGTCACCCCGCATTGACGACCAGGGGTTGATGGGGCCGGGGATACCGGAGCCGAAGGGTCCAGGGTAACATGAACTGAATGCGGGGAAATCAAGGTTTCCCTTGATCGTAAAGATCAACGTCCAGCTAACCTGTTGAGGGAGGACTTTGGCTTCCCCAGGTTATTTCCCCTGTTCATCGTGTCATTGTACCAAGGAATACCTACGTCAGGTGTTGTTGAGACGATCTTGGGAACACGGGGTTGCCAAGATTGTCGGTCCGCTCCGGAGGATGGAGTGTTTATGAGCTTAATTCGATAGCATGAGGGAACTATAAGATGCCAGAGATCCGCTTGTACCAGTTAACCAAGGACCAACCAACTTGTCCATACTTTCTCCATAGCCCACGATGAAGCAATTCGTGCGCCCCCTTTTGGCACTTGGCTGCCTCATTGGCAACGTCGCCGCAGCCTGGCCCAACGGTCCCTTCAAAACCTCTGGCCGATGGATTGTCAACGCCAATGGCGAGGAGGTCAACCTAGCTGGTGCCAACTGGCCCGGTCACGGTGAGGTCATGGTCCCCGAAGGTCTGCAGTACCAGTCCATCGAGGATGTTCTCTCGGACATCAAGGGCATTGGCATGAACGCCATTCGCCTGACCTTTGCCACTGAGATGATTGACCAAATCTATGCCAACGATGGCAAGGACATCGACATCAAGACTGCCTTCGAGGAGGGTCTTGGAAAGGAGAACGGTACTATCGTCCTCGAGAAGGTGTTGAAGAACAACCCTTCCTTCACTCCTGAGACCACCCGTCTTGAGGTATGAGGCACCGACACCGATTTAGAGGTGTGAACTAGACTAACTAAAGACAGGTTTACGACGCCATTGCTGCTGAGTGTCTTCGTCAAGAGATTTACATCAACCTCGACAACCACATCTCTGAGGGCAAATGGTGCTGTGGTGGTGAGGACCTTAACACCTGGTGGGGGGATGTTCAGTTTGACGCTGAGAAGTGGGTTCGCGGTGGTGCTTACATGGCTGCTCACGTATGTCTTCTCCATTCTCTCCTCAAGCAATTCAACTAACACACATCAGGCCAAGAAATGGCCCGCAAAGGTCTCCCAATCTCTCCGTAACGAGCCTCGGGAGCCCACAAACAACGACAAGCTCAAAGAAGAGTCTTATCACTGGAGCGACCTGTACAAGTACATGCGCCAGGGTGCTGATGCAGTGCACGAGGCTGATCCTGAGGCCATCATCGTTATCTCCGGCATGAACTACGACACCTACGTCACCCCTCTCTACAGCGGAGAGAAGATGGAGCCCCGCGGTGAAGTCTTCAACCGCGATGACTTCAAGGGCTACGGCAAGGACAAGCTCGTTCTCGAGATCCACACCTACGAGAACAAGGGAACGAGCTGCCCTTCTCTGCGCTACAACCTCTACAACAAGGGTTTCCAGGCTATGAACGAGTCTGACCCTAACGTCGCTGAGGTCTTCCCTGTTATGTTGACTGAGTTTGGTCAAGCCATGAACGGCCCTGACTACGAGACTGCTAAGACTTATGTCAGCTGCTTGTCTGAGTATCTTCCTGAGATGCAGGCTAGCTGGTTCATCTGGGTTATTGTTGGACGATACTATACTCGCCAGGGTACTCAGGAGTTTGATGACTCTTGGGGAATGAAGAAGCCTGATTGGTCTGGCTGGAGAAACGATGAGTACATTGAGACTTATCTCAAGCCTCAGATTGAGGGTACCTTGAGAAAGTAGATACTCTCCATAGTAAATTCAATAGTATTTAGTTGCATTTCAAGTTGCATAATTATCCTCACCTACGGCGGTGTTAAGCGTCCTCAAGTCGGTGTCAGTGTTTAGTCGCGGCCTCCATGTCTCATTGGGGTCACCGTTAGGCGTAATTCCCGTGCTGCACTAAACGGCCAATTGGCTGCGTCTAGTGAGTCCTATCTGTTGGTCTGATTCGCACAGCCTCATTTCACTTAACTTCTTTGGTCGCCCAAGAGTCAGCCGCACTCCCCAGATCCCCTCACTCCCAGCCCGACTTTCCTACATCTCATTTCATTTCTCGTTCAGAGCCGAAATTGTCGCCATGTCCCTCACACTACGCCAGGCTGGTAATCTTAAGCCGGAAATTCGCCTCGCTCAAGCCGTCTCAGAGTTTGAGGCGACTCTCACGCCGGAACAAAAATCCTCATTTCAAGCGTCGCGCGCCCGGGCTGTCAGCACAGCACCGACTATGTCAGATGTAATGCGACTCACCGCAGAGATAGATCTCAAATCCACCAGCAAACAAGGCCATGGGAGGTGTTTTGGGCCAAGAATGACGAATGCTCTTCAGGCAATCCAGCAATTTGCAGCTCTCGGTGATATTATAGTTGGGGGAGGTCAAAACCTAATTGCTTGTGGGGTTTGGGCTGCGGCAAGGATGACGCTTCAAGTAGATATCTCTATCCTATCGCTCGGGAGACTAGACACTGATGGGATTGACAGGTCATTACTGGGTACTCTACGTACCTGGAGAATTTGTCATTACTGTTCATGGCCATCGGTCGGAATGCACCACGCTACCAAACCATGGCAGCTTTATATCCCAAATCAAAGAGCCTACAAGGCTATCTTTGCGAATACTTCATTGTCATAACCAAAGTTTGTCACCAGTCTGTTATGTGGACTAGAAAGTCGGCTCTAGCTCGTTTTTCCACTACCATCAGCGACCCTCAAATGAAAACTTTCAAGGATGAGCTCGATCTCTGGTCTTCAGCCATCAAGGAGGAGGCCAATGTTCTATTGAATCAAACGGTCGCTGAGGAAGCAAAACATAATTCATTATTCAGGTCTGTCGCAACTGCACGATCTAAAGCCTCAGCTCATCAACATAAAATCGAACGACAGATTCAATTTCTGGACACTTGTTCACAATATGACTATTGTACGACATGGAAGCAAACACGCAAGCGCGGAACAACTAAGCTTTTAGCATGTTGCAACCCCTACCAGCAGTGGAGAGACGATGATGATGACAGTACCTCGATTCTTTTTCTCGGCAAATTGGGAGCCGGGAAGTCTGTTCTTTTAGCCAATATCGTTGATGACCTGAATTTGAGGGATCTTTCTATCACTCTCTACTTCTTTGCACGACATGATAACGAGGAGAGCATGAAAGCAAAGACGATACTCGGTTCTCTTATACGACAGCTGTTGGAACATCGGAAGAACGACAGCAAGTTCAGCCATCTATTCCCTGAAAGCATACCTCGAACAGATTTAGAAGATATTCTGGATCTTTTCAAGCGCGCAGGACCAGAGAATGAGGACATATTCATCATCCTAGATGGGCTGGATGAGTGTGAGATAGAGATTCAGTCAACTGTCCTGGAACATCTAGCCGAGTTGCAGAGTTTCGGGTACAGACTTTGCCTTTCAGCACGGACCTCTGAGCGACGTCCAATCTGGGATACTCAGTTATTCCAATTCCACGCCTCCATACCGGAGCAGAATCCGGATATAAAAGACTTCGTGGTGGCCGAGGTTGACACCAGAGTTAAAGATGGAAGACTGATCATTCGTGATCCGAAGCTGGTCGAGGATGTCAAGCAAGAGCTTATCGCTGGTGCCTGCGGGATGTGAGTGCTTGGGGCCAGTTTTGGAACTATATACTAACATTCTTAAAGGTTCCTCTGGGTTTCCTTACAGATCGACTCAATTTGTGCCGAAGTATGCGATCATGACATTCGTGAAACCATCAGAGACCTACCACGAGACCTAACAGAAACTTTCAGGCGCAATCTCCTCAAAGCCAGCTCCAAGGACCACAAGAGCTATCATATCCGGATCCTTAAGGTTCTGGCTGGCGCAAAAGAGCTGTTGACGACAGAAGAGCTACGTCAAGCCGCAAGCGTTACCATTGGACAAACAATCTGGAACTCAAATAAAGAAATCAACAGTATACATACTGTTTTGAAGTTCTGTGGGAGTCTGGTAATGGTCGATGAAGAAGACGAGACCGTTCGTTTCATCCATCATAGCGCGCGCAGCTTCTGCATCAAAGGCTCACACGATGTCACGAATTGGGCTTTTAGTGAGCTCGAAGCGGATCAGCATATTGCCGAGATACTCGTGACATATCTTAGTTATAACGTCTTCGACACACAAGTGTCAAGGAACGTCGTGCCTACCATAGATGCGAAGGAGATACCCAGAAGAGTTGCGCTAAGCACTATCGGCTCTAAATATCTTGGAACCAGTATCGCAGGGAAGGTGCTCAGGTCCACGACACGTCTAAAACGAGATATTGGTCCAACTCTCGCAAAGGCTAGTGTGAGTCATTCAGAGGAAAAGAACGAGTTCCCTCTTCTCAGATATGCAAAGAAGCACTGGGTACAGCATACCGCAAACCTGGAAGACTTTCCCCTGTTACCGCAGTGGTACATCCTGCTTGATCATCCGTCCTTTGGGATAAACCTTCGACATGTTCCGGCTCATATTGGGCTAGAACTATACCTTTTCCTGATTCCGGTTGGGCTACCTGCATCGATGGCCGTTTTGAATAAACTGGATCCATCGCTAATACAGCTCCGACCATCGAATATTATGGTTTGGGCTTTCTCACATAGCCATATCATGCTCTTAAAGCATCAGCTAACGAAGGACGGTGGTGCTGAAAGAATAAGAAACTACGTCAAATTGTTTTCTTTCCTTAGGCGGGTTGCTCTGAGAATACCATCCATCCTCCAGTATGATCTTGACTACAACTTCGTCAGATGGCTAAGTCCCATGCTGCTGAATCTCGGAGTGGATCATCCTGCGAAAGAGTACTGCCTCGGACGCATCCAGACATCGGACGATCGATATACGGAACTCGCGAGAACTGCAGTTGAACAGGCTGATTGGGTGGCTATCCTTGCACTAGTCAGAGACGACTACACATATCATGACGATCTCTCGCTATTAGAGTGGGATTCCCATAATGGACTGACTCACCATTGTGCTATGGTACCCCCAATTCTCAAGGCCGGACTTCTGTCACCATCTCAACAGGGTAAAGTCTTATCAGTCATTTCGAGCAATGATCTTTGGCTACTTGATCTTATATCGTGGTTTCTGAAGATGAAACCGTCATATTTCCAATGGGGCAGGACCTACGATGCACCACTTTCCTTTTCGAGAGCTTTTGATGCGCTGAGCGATGCAGGGGTCGGTGACAAAGAAACAAATCTGTTGAAAGACGTGTTGACCATTACACGTAACCGAGCCATAAAGGCAGGTTACGCTGATACTACGGAATTCCCCTTTGGTGTAAAAGTTTCATACCAGCCGGCATTCAACGAAGGATGGGTCTAAAGTGGAAAGCGACCATCGGTTTGTGATATAGACACGGCGACTCAATATTATTTTCTTTTATTGGATGTTTGATAGAGTAATGAGAACCAGCTTGTATTCGAGCAAGCCATCTATTGCAGCTGAAGCTTATGTACTATGTACAAGTGAGAACATCTACTGCTTGGTTTATGAGGGTTTTGGTATCCTCAGGCAGGTCAGCATTGTTCAGTGACGATAGCCTTTCTTTCCAAGTGTTCCATCTATCCTGACAGAATCCCCTCCATTCAGCACCATCCTTTAGACTGGCACCAGGTTTGGCCATCTTTCCATCAAATTGCTTTCCTTCTTTGGTCGCCTTTGACAGTATGTCGCTAGCATAGACGAACCAGACCGAAGCAGCTTTGAGTAGTTTGGGAGAAGTCTGCTTAGCGATGTCACCGGCCGCAGGGTCCTCAAGGCCTTCGCGTAATGTCCAGATAGCGTAGAGAGTAAAGTCATCAATTCCAGCCGCAGTGACCCGAGCAAAGAATGCATTGATGTTGACGCACGCCTCATCGGACTTTTCTTGGGCTGTTGATGTTTTAGTATTGCGTTGATATAGAGGTTGAGGGTCAGTACATACCAATGTCGAGTTGCTCTCGTGCCTTGCCCCCAAACATGGGCAGCTCATCCCAGCGCTTCTCCTCACCCCAAACAGAAATCTTCTTGGCCTTTTCGGAAGCTGGCGAAAGTCCCTTTATCGCCTGCACGATTTGCACTAGCTTATCTTGTCGATCATGAGGGGTCTGCTCGGCAGCGGTAAGGATGCCCGACCACAGCGCATCAAGTTCATCCTCAATCTTGGAGTCGTCTTCATTCTTCTCGATTGCATTTATGCACGAGCCCGCAATCTTTTTAGCAGCATCTTGCGGTAAGATGCCGTCGTCTGTAAGGAGTTTCTTGATATTGTCGGCCATGTTGTGTGTGATGAGTAAAGAAGATGCAGGTCAGGAAATGAAGGAGCATAATATGACTGCGTTTCAAAGCGGAGATGCATAACAAAAAGACCACACTAGGGCATATGATTCGTTCCGAAGTGCATCCAATGATTGCGAATCATTGATAGCACATTAAACACATGGCGCGCTATGAAACTGAGAAGTGCCGATCATGGCCCGCTTTTGGTGCGGGATTTTACTCCGACTGGCTAGTCTTTCAAGACTATATGCCGGACCTACATCCGCTTTAAGCAGGTGGTGATAGTATCGCGAATCTAATACATTAGAGAGCCAATCGGACTGATGGGATCAATCACCTGCCTCTGCTCCGTATGCTGATCAACCAAATGTTTTAGATCACCGAGGAACGAGGATAGGATGGCATGATAGAGATAGAGGTTGTAGGGGTGAAGATGGGATATATAAGAGATGGGATGCGGTGGCAAAGTTGTTACTTGTCCTGGCAAGCCGCTCTCATTCCTTCGTTAATTATCAAGTAAACCGTTCACAAGATGCTCTTCTTCCAGGTATAGACTGATGTCCTCATCACTCCCCTCAGACGTATCACTGAACTTGTCACTCCCAGTCCATCGCCTCTCTGGCCGCCCTTGTCAGCGTCGCTGTCGCCAGCCCCATTGAGGGTCGCCAATCTGCCACCCGATGTGGTAGCACCAGCTACTCTGCTGCTCAGGTCCGAGCTGCTGCCAACGCTGCTTGCCAGTACTACCAAGCCGATGATACCGCGGGTAGCTCTACCTACCCTCACACCTACAACAACCGCGAGGGCTTTGACTTTCTTGTGAACGGTCCCTACCAGGAGTTCCCCATCCGAACCAGCGGTGTCTACACTGGCGGTAAGTCAAACAACCTCCCTCTTCCATGCTCCACTCTTTCTGACGGCTATATCTAGGTTCTCCTGGTGCTGATCGCATTGTCATCAACACCAACTGCCAGTATGCTGGTGCCATTACCCACACTGGAGCTTCTGGCAACAACTTCGTTGGCTGCACTGGTACCAACTAAGCAATCACTATGATAACCACAGAGCGTTTGAGCGATGCATTACACGTAAATAGTCTTCTTCAAATAAACATTTAACCAAATCATTGATGCTCTAACTACCCGGCCGTAACTGGTTTCTAACAATACATAGTCCACTTGTCCAAGTTCATTTTCTTGATGATCTTGCTGAAGCCATCAGAATCTGCGGCAGCGCCACTGGTGGAACAAATCCTCTTTTTATCCTTAGACTTAACCTTTGGTGCGCCCTTGGGGTATTCAATGTTAAAAACGGGTTTTCCAACCTCGATGTATGGCGCGTACAAGTCGCATTCGCTGTACTCAATGCAAGATTCATTGATGCAGAACGCGACGTATGGAAGGACCTCTTCTGTGACGTCTCCACCGTTCTTCATGCCCATCACCATGTTGTACTTTGCTGCTTCCGCGGAAAGGAACTTGACGTATGAGACAGTGTCGGCTTCAGTAAGGCCGAGTCCATTGTTGTTTTGCTGGCTATATTAGCATGCATTCGAACTCCTCCCTCGACTGACTTACATAGCCATCCATATTATCAGGATCAATAGCATCACATCCCTTGTCAGCAGCAACCTTGATCCTTTTGGCCATGATAGCCCGAATGGCAGGACTGCTAATATTCACCCATTTCTCATCCGGCCACCCATCCATAGTCTTGCCGAGGTCCTTTTTCGGGAAGTCATTCTTATCATCACGCCAGTTCTCCCACGATCCGGCGCTGAAGTAACAAATAACACGTTTTCCAGCCTTTTGCATGGCGGAGAAGGTGCTCTTGTCGTTTTCGAAAAGATCGAGATCATAGACGGGAACTGTTGAGTCAAGCTTACTAGCGCCTCCCTTAGGAAGCTTGAACACTTCGGAGAGGATGATTTCCCACTTCGTGCCAGCTTCCGGCTTCCATAGGGCTTTGCGCTTGGGGGTGCTGGCGCGGGGATTGGAAGCCTCCGCTGACACGGCAAGGATAGTGATGGCTTGGAAGATCGTGGTGAGCTTCATGTTGGCTTCAGTCGTGTAGATATGGACGATATACCAAGTGTGTGTTGTCTGAGATGGAGCAGTTCCCAATGGGACATAGGATCTATATATAGATAATACTCAGAAGACCGAGACATTGCTACCTTGTGTGAGAGATATACTCAGAGTTTTTTCCTTTTTCGAAATGGTGTTCCAGCCCATTCCAATGTTCGTGCCTGGACAGGGATGGGCCGCTTCGGGGCATAAGGGTCTAGGTTTGCATTGAAGCTTGCTAGTCTGGAATGTGAAATGAGCCTGGATCCTGGTCTTGTCCGTTTTTTACATGCCAACAGATTTCGTCTTGTGCTTTCCGCTGGGGACCACACGCTCCTCATGTGGGTATTTTTACTAGTCTATCCCGATGCGGCCTTACTGTAAAAACGTGTTGATTGTGTGTTTGCTCGGCACAAGATCCTGTCGTACCCTCCAACGGTCTGGAGCAGCACGATGTAGACCTCCGATTCTCCAATGTCCGGACGGTTAGAAAGATAATGCTCAGAATTTCCATACTATCCAACTACCTGACCTATGCCCAGCCACATGACTTACTGCACCTGCGTGGCTATCTGTTTGGTAACCTATTTCTTAACCTCAACAGACCAGTACATCAAAGTATCATCAAACTCAGCAGTATTCTTGTTTCTCCCAGCCCCAAACCACGACTTCTTCAAAGCTTCAATTCTCTTGTGATCTTTCCTGTGGCCTAGCCATCGCACCATAGTCAGGTACGCACTGTCAAGGGCGCCTGAGATCCAAGCATGGTGAGGGCTCAGCGCCTCTCCACAGATAGCAAATTTTCCGTCACAGAAGACGTGCTGAAATTCGGGATACAGATACTTAAACTGGCCAGGGCCGAAAAGGGCAAAGGCACCGCCTGTGTAGGGGTCATGAGACCAAGCATATGCGTGATGAGTGAGATATTGGTCTCTGAGGAAGTCAACCGTGACGGTGGGGTCGGCCTTTGACCAGAGCTTCGCAAGATCCTGGAAGGATTGCTTGACGACCGTATCGTCGATACATGGTTCCTGTTTGGAGTAATCGGGGATCAAGGCTCCCATGCGTGTAGCGTCTTGGGCCCAGCTGTATGAAACCATGAGTACAGCTGCCTTTTCTCCGTCGTCCCAAGATGGGTATACGACATTGCTGATCGAGAGATCAGTGCCAGATACACCTCCGATTTTAACATGAGTGGTAGAATCCTGGTACATATCCTTCCACCAACGCGACTTGAATTTAATCGCAACCTTGCAAGCGCGATCGTAGCTGAGAGCCCGAATACCTGTAAGGATTCTCTGTTGTGCGTCTTCATCACCAAAGCCCGGCACCAGTCCTGAGATATCCATGCGCTGGAGAGGACCCATGGCGGTTGTGTTGAAGACCATGTTATAGCGTTCTGGCTTCTCTTCCCCGGCTAGAGTGACTTCGATCTTGTTTCCACTCTCCGACATTGCCAAGACTGGTGTCTTGGTCTTGACTTTCAATGAGATTCCGTTGTCAGGAAGCCAGTTGGGATCTTCGATGCACTCGTTCATCTTGTCGGTGAGGGTGGACATGCCACCTTCGAGACGCCACCACGGTTTGCCTTTGGACGCTTGGAAGTCGCTAAAGTCACAGAGGGACTCGATAAATGCTTGATCAAAGAGACCTGTAGATCTAAGAGAGAATTAGTGGATTGGATAAATGCTGACATGGAAACTCACGTCTCGGCCGACTCGGCTTCTTCGGTTTGCTCGTATGTCAACCTTGTCCTAGTCAGTACTGCCCACACTATATGTCTCTGATACGTACTTGGGTTTGATGTGCATGAGCCAGGCTCTGGTTGAGTAGTCATCGTCGTGACCCTTAATCAATGCTTTGAACGCCCCATTCCAGTTCTTGTTAAGGCTGTCAATGATGTCTTTAATTCTGGCCTCGTATAGCGTTCCTCTACCATATGTCAGCTGCGTGATAAGACCGGCTGTTACTTCTCATACTTTGGAGCAAGCTCTGGTTTGTGCGAGTAGTAGTGCATCTGTGGTTCGCACCCCGCATCAAGGACGTATTTCGATTTGGTAAGGCCGAGGTATTCGATCAGATTCAAGGTCCTGGGAAAGTTATTAGTTGAACCACTGCAGCAACGCAAAAGTACAATTTTACTTACGACTTCATAGCTGCAATTTCCGGGATGCGCATTGCCCCAATATCGTAGTAATTGTGGGGACAGTCCTCGTCATCTGGAAAGCTGTAGGTATAACACCGTCCACCGATTCTATCCGACGCTTCATAGATATCCACATTTTTTATCTCCAGAAACTTCAGCATCATGGCGAGATACAGACCGGTAGCGCCAGCGCCGACAATGGCGACGCGACCATCGTACTTATCCACAACTTGATCGGATTCATGGGAAGTAGGAGTGTGGGACAGTGATCTTTCGGGCAATGGCTCATCCTCTTCGCCGCGAAGCCTGCGAAGGTGTTTGTTGAGGATGTGCTGGGCGTAAGCGATGCGAAGACCTTCCGGGACCAGGCCGATTGGCTCCTGGGACAAAGCCGGAGCATGCTCAGCTCGGATAGCCATGTTCCTCAAAGATGTCTTAATGGGAAGTAGTTGTCTAGGAAGAGAGATGTTCTAGAGTTCATGCTTCTTGCTCAAATAGTCGAGTAAGCTGCAGGTTCTTATACACGAATTTATCACGCTCGCTGCCGATACCTGAAGATGGCTTACGGAGCTGAAAGGGTCACATTCCTTTTATTGGGTTCATCACACCATTGTCACATCAATATTGTACAGCAAAGTCAAAGTGGCGAGCTGAATATGCCATGTTGCGGGGAAATACCGCCGTTTTAGGTGTCTATGTCTCGATACAATGTGAGTTATGACTGCTGGGGAACGCCAGCCAGTTAGGTTTTGACTGTCAAAGGCAAGAAGGTGGCTTCAGGACTTCCCCAGATGACCAGAGGGTAACCATTTATTCAAATGCACTTGTACACAAAGCGAGACGTTCGATCAATATAGAAGGGATCCAAAAGGTCGTAGCTATAGTCCCATCAATTTGCCAGGGTTTGCTGTGATGCTTCCATGTGTGGGGTATCTTCGACACCTCAGCTCCCGCTTTTCCATCCAATGACGTCTTCGTCTTCTTAATACCCTGTAATTGGTTCGTCGGGCCCCACAGGAAAGAGCAACTTCCCTGACCGAACACAGCTGCACATCTTATCCCCAATCAACATCCCTACAGCAAAGTCCAGACCTCAATCGACCTGTCTCACTCACACACTATCACACCCAAAATGCCAAAGAACCAGCTATTCCAGTACTCGGTTGTCTCAGCCCTCATGGATGGAGTCGCCGAGACCGGCATCACCATTTCCGACCTGCTCAGCCATGGAGATCACGGCCTCGGCACATTTCGACACATGGTCGGCGAAATGATTATCCTTGACGGAACAGTCTACGATATGAAGCCTGATGGTTCCGTTGTCGCTCTCGACGATGATGCTTGCGCGAACCAAACGGCGCCTTTCGCCATGACCACGGATTATCAGCCTACAACGATTGCTCGTAAATTAATCCCGGCCAAGGATGCGTTGACAAAGGACTTATCGGACTTCCTGCCGAACGCGAAGAACCATTATGTTGCTTTTAGAGCGGAAGGCACATTCAAGTCCGTTACTGTTCGAACAGTCGGTGGACAGCAATCACCAGGCGAAAGTCTCGCTGAGCTTGGCAAACGTCAAGCTTCTCACGAGTTCAAGGACATTGAGGGTACGATTATCGGCTTTCGGTCGCCGGCTTTTATGCAGGGTATCAGCGTTGCTGGAGACCACTTGCATTTTATATCGGCCGACAAACAAGCTGGTGGCCACGTGTTGGCGTTGAAAGGCGACGGATACGTGGAACTCAGTGCTGCGCCTATCACGGGAGTGAATCTTCAATTGCCGACGGAAGACGACGCGTTCAATCAGGCCAAGCTGGTAAGAGATGATGAGGGAATAGCTGCGGTTGAGGGTTGAAGCAAGGTTCACCTTCTTTGCCTGAGATAGATCTTTTGATGAGCGAGAGATAGAGAAAGAGATGAACCACTAGCTTTTGATGGCATTGTGCTTCTGTGACCCGAACGTAGGGCCCAAGGAATCAATATGCAGGTACATGTCAGCCGAGAATCTAGATGCGGCGTTCAGGGTTGCACTTGAGCGGTGAGAAATATTTCTTCTCGGTTATATGACTTTTATAGGCAGGTGGGAGGGCGTATGGTACCAAACCTTTTCGATAAGTTGTTCATCTGCCGTATCACAAGTCTACAGTGCTGAGGTCATGGTTAAGTTACCAAAACATGGAGATCTGCGATCGTAGGCTGAGAATAGGAAAATGACTAGTGATACCTCTGTTGAACCTGAAATGCTCATGGTGAAATTGCCCAACCTGATTTTGCCATGTCGATCCTTGGATGTAAGCACTATAAATTCTCCACTACTGGACATCCTTGCCAAGAGGTATTGTAACGCAAAAAGGCCAATTGTCGTACAGCGACGATCCCTGACTTCGTACCAAAGAGGGGAACCGGAAGATCCGTGTAACCCTTGAAAGTCTATATAACCAGGGCGTTCTAACAAACCTCGTCCATACCTCTCATCCTCGCTTTTGTGATACAACATGATGCGTGGTGTTGTCTTTGCATCGCTACTCGCTTTTGCCAAAGCGTCAGGAGAGTCCAGCTGCAAATGTTTCCCCGGAGACGATTGCTGGCCGGCTGAAGATGAGTGGAAGAGTCTGAACACTACGGTTGGCGGTCGCTTGGTGGCGACTATCCCTCTGGGCAGTCCTTGCCATGACCCGAAATATGATGCTGAGGAGTGCAAGCGCTTGCAGAGCGAATGGCTTTACTCTTCTGTCCAGTAAGATAATTTCCTGGGTTTCAACTTTCTAGAATGTCATGCTAATAGCCTACAGCTCTCAATCTTCTTCGTCGATGATGGCACCGATCTTTGCCAACCAAAGCTGCGATCCCTTCCAGCCCAGAGAGAAGCCGTGTACCCTTGGCAATTACGTCAGATACGCTGTGAACGCGACATCCTCCGACGACATCATCGCTGCATTGGAGTTCGCCAAAGAGAAGAACGTGCGTTTCGTCATCCGAAATACGGGCCATGACTACCTCGGTCGTTCAACTGGTGCCGGAGCGCTCTCGGTTTGGACTCATTACCTGAAGAGCACAGAGGTCATCGACTGGAAGGATAAGCACTACCAGGGTAAGGCACTCAAGGTCGGTGCAGGAGTCCAGGGTTTCGAGGCTCTTGGCGCTGCCCATGCTGAGGATCTCGTCGTCGTGAGTGGAGAATGTCCTTCTGTCGGTCTCGTAGGAGGTTATAGTCAAGGAGGTGGACACTCCGCCTTGAGCACAAACTTCGGTCTGGCAGCTGATAACACCCTCGAGTTCGAGGTTGTCACCGCCGATGGTAAGCTTGTCAAGGCAAACAAGAGCAAGAACAGTGACTTGTACTGGGCTTTGAGTGGCGCGGGCTCTGGAAACTACGGAGTCGTTGTTTCAGCTACTGTACGAGCTCATCCAGAAGCCAAGGTTAGCGGCGGCAGCTTTCTTATCACAGCGCCCGAAGGTCACCCCGATATGATCTACCAGGCGATCGATGCTTTCCACGACGCTCTTCTCAAGATCGTTGACTCGGGTGTTATGATCATCTACTTCTTCTCGAACTCATTCCTGCAGATCCCTGCCATTACCGCTTACAACAAGACCGAGGCAGAGGTCAAGAAGATCCTCCAACCTCTTGCCGAATCATTGACTACGCTTGGCTTCAAGTTCGAGCCAACCTTCACCAATTTCCCAAGTTACTACGAGCATTATGACCACTACTGGGGTCCCCTTCCCGCAGGAAATATCCAAATCGGAACGCAGATCTTTGGAGGCCGTCTACTGCCCCGCGACAAGGTCAAGGACTTTGCACCTACTGCACGAAAGATTGCTGAGATGGGAGTCATCTACATCGGTGTCGGTCTCAATGTATCCAAATTCAGCCCTAACAGCGCCAACGCCGTCTTACCACAGTGGCGAAAGTCTCTCGTCCAGGTATCCCTCACTCTGCCGTGGGATAACGAAGCTCCTTGGGAAGAGATGCTGGCTGCCCAAAAGAAGATGACCGAGGAGATTCAACCTGTCATTGAAGCTGCGACACCAGGTGCCGGAGCTTATATCAACGAGGCAGACTTCCAGCAGCAAAACTGGCAAGAGACTTTCTATGGTTCTAACTATAAGAAATTACTGAAGATCAAGAAGAAGTATGATCCTGAGCATTTGTTTTATGCTACGGTAGCGGTTGGAAGTGAGGCTTGGTCCGTGGCTACGGATGGGCGCATGTGTAAGGTTGAAGCATGAAAGATGTATTCGAGCATTATTTCAAAGACGAAAAGAATTCAGTCGGTTGTGTATAATTGTGGATATGCTGAATGCAGAGTCAACCCAACAGAGCATGTTGATTTGATGGAATAGCCAACATGCATTACAGCTTACAGGGCTTTAAGGGCATATAACCGGTTACAGAAACAATTCATTAAAGTAATTTCTGATTATTGCAACCGCGAAATTGTTTCAGCTTACTCTTCAGGCGCATTTGCCGACCCCGCCTTTCCTCTCCAAGTGATGTTCCCACGTCGTGTCTTTGCATCTTTTCTGAGCTTCCAGGGACTTGTCTTTTTATCAATCTGAGCAACTAGGTTTGCTCCGACATTCAAAATGTCGGGAGCTGAAGTTCTCTCTGGAATCGGGATCCTATGCAACGCTATGCAGATAGTGACATTTGGCAAAGACGCTCTCGAAGTCTACAGCCATGTCCGTGAGAACGGAACCGCCGATCCCAGGCTTGAGACATTCCTCGCCGATGCATCGATAAGCTATCAGGAGATGAGGAAGCAGCTTTCTGTATCCGGTCCTTTGACATTCGACCAGCAGGAAATTGTCAGAATTGCAGAGGGCGCGCACAATGGCCTTGAGAAATTCAGGACTTGCTTTGCGCAACTCTACGTCGACGAGGACTCGAGAAAGGGCATCCGTGGGAGACTTAGGGTTGCTAGAAGCGGCTTCAAGACGTTATTCCGTGCCAAAGAGCTGGAAGATCTGGAAAAGAATCTCAAAAGATATGAGCAGCTTTTCCAAACTCGGCTTATACAAAGAGTTTGCAGCCAAGGAGATGCTATAGCGCTGCTCACCCAAGAGTATTTTACAGATCTGAATATCGCCCAGCAGTCCATGGTCAAGAACATCGCCGAAGGCCATACCAAGACGTCTTTACTGGTTTCTCAGAAAGCAGTCGAGATAAAAGATCACGTTACAAACCAACACGGTGAAACTCGAACTACCATGGAAAACTATCTGTCCCTCGCGGAGAATAACCTTCGCTCCCATATCACGGAGTCAACCTCTTTAGTTCAGCGAGATATGACGAGTCGACATAATACTGAAGATGACATGAAGAGATACGATCAACTCATAGCAAGTCTGAGATATCCTGAGATGAACAGTCGCAAGAATCAAGTTGTTGAAAATTTTCCAGAAACATTTCAATGGATCTTTTCGAACAAGGGACCATGGGCTGAAGATACCTCTTCGTTAGAGAGCTACAGTTCTGAAACGGACACTACCGACATGGCCTGGCATAACAGTACAACGGCAACGACGAGCTCCTCGGATAATTCGACTGAGTTCACTAGGTGGCTTGGCTCCGAATCTAAGATGTTCTGGATCTGTGGAAAGCCCGGATCTGGGAAGAGTACTCTTATGAAGTTCATAGCTACCAACTCTGTAACAAAGGAGTATCTGACCGCTTGGCGCTCCGGCGTTCATATTTTAACTCACTACTTCTGGAAGGCTGGTAACCCGATGGAAAGAAGCCTCAAGGGGCTCCTTCTATCGATCACGCATCAAATACTTCTGGATAGAATTGCACTAGCCCAGCAGCTGTGGTGGGCTATGCCTGAACTCCATCATAAGTGGTCCCACGGCGACTGGGACATGCAGCAGCTGGAAGCTACCTTACTCTGGGTACTGGAAGCTGTCGGAGAGAATTTCTTCCTCATAATCGATGGACTGGATGAATCTGAGGAACTTGGCGCACATCTCTATACGACTCCCAGCAATCAAAATATATTTCACAAGTTAGCGAAGGAACCGAACGTCAAGACCTGTGTCTCTAGCCGGGAGGAGTACATATTTAACAATCATTTTGAGGGTATTGAGACACTACAAATCCACAAGCTTACCGAATTCGATATTCGAAAGTTTGCCGATCATTATCTCGAAGCAACCAATTTCGCAAACCCAGGCGATCGGGAGGATATTCTCAACCTTGTAGCCAAAAAGGCTGATGGTGTCTTTCTATGGGTGGTACTTGTGCTTAACAGCGTTAATCGGGCTTTTCGTATTGACTACGAAAGGGAAAGACTTATTGAGCGGATTGAGCACATGCCAAGGGACCTTGTCAATCTGTTTCGGGACATGTGGGAACGATCTGGTGATGATGGCGACGTGCCAAGCTACCGCGCCTGTGCCTCACGATATTTCAACTTAGCTCTGGCTTTCAAGCACAATCCTGGTAATATTTCTATCCTTCATATGACCTTGGCTTCAGAAGATTGTAGCCTGGAAAGTATCATCAATTCTGGTGGTACATGGGACCTGGTTGAGGTGGCAATGATGTGTTCCAGAACAGAAAAGAAGCTTTCCCTGGTCTGTCATGGTCTCCTTGAGGTTGTTGTTGAGACCTATCTTGGGCTTCATCCGCTGCCGACTCCCATTCAACACTATGGGGAAATGAAGGTTAAATTTGCGCACCGATGTGTTATTGACTTCCTTCGAGATACGGAGGATGGATCTACTCTCCTCAATGCATGCGGATGGCGTCAGGGTGAGGCCCTGGCCCGGTCAATGGGGGTCGGTATGGCCCTCGAGTGCTTAATCTGCCCTGTAACTGATACGCAACATCACCTGTTATTCTACGACCAAGTGCATGGCAAGAAACGGTACCTCTATCAAACTGAATACCACAGCTATGTTGAGGAAATCCTCGATTCTATTACTACTCGTGCAATTCTTGGGCCCTATCGAGGTATCCTCTTGCGAAACCTCTACGAGTGGTACGCAGCTGACTTTCTCTATGATCGCAGCTCATGGAGATCTTCTGGACATTTTGTATTTCTGGGGAACTCATGGAAAGATCAATTTGTTGCTTCCATGACCAAAGCAGCCGATCTGTCTATTATGGAAAGACTAATTGTAGCTCTTCCCAGAGAAGAGTTCTTAAATGCTTTGCCTGCTATCTTTCGTGGTCTATCAGCACCTTCTCTTAAATCAGCAAGTCTCCAGTATAGCCACCAATTTGACGAGGGCGAAGTTACTTACGAGTTAAAGCGATCCCGTTTGACAAAACTGATCCTCTCCCGCTTGTTGGGGCTGCAAGAAGAGGGTTCCAGTGGAGACATCCCTCAAGATAGTTTTTCTGGAGAAGCAAGGGAAGACTTGAGACGCCTTGTATGCTCCTGGTTTCTTGCCTCGTTGGATACTAGCCACTATCAGCAACGCTATCATCAACGCTATCAGCAACGCTATGGCGCTGTTCAAAAGACAGACCTGGCAGTGTTAGAACTCATCAAGCTCGCCTTACCTAGTCTTGATGACTGGAATCAGCCGGTCTTGCTCTGCTTGCGATGTCACCGCGGCTTTGCTCGAGGCTTCATGTACTGTACGACGAGAAAGTTTTCTGATGACTTTTATGTCGTCGTGAACCTTGCTACAGTCTACCAAATATTCCTGCGGTCGCTGCAGCGTGGTGCTGCAGCATCGCACACTACACAACGAATGCCAAGCATGAATGAGCAGATCCCTGATATGCCGAATGGTGCAGAACTATCATTACGCATTGTGTTGATCGCAGATGGAACAAACTACTATCGCATCTATAGTAAGAACCAAAGTAAAGGCTCAGAACTTCTCTTGGGCTCACTTCTCACTGGACGACTCCTAACGGAAGAAGAAGTAGCAAGTGTCAAACAACGAAAGGGATGGCCAGTATGCGGTGGCAATATGAACCTATTGTCCTATCTTATCTCCGAGCTTTCTCACATCCCAGGACTACCCATGCATCCATGGTCAGTATGGCGTGTAAGAGACGTGTCGGGGCATAATCAAGATGAAGATTGCCACGACCAAGTCGACTTGAGATCACAAGATTCATTTAGAAAGGTAATTGAACAGATCTCGCAAGACTTGTGAGGTAAAGAGACAGGAAATGGGAAACCGGCGTTATTGTGCAAGTCAGACTGCCAAGTGACTGCCGTCACTAGTTTCCGGGCTTATTCCCCATCCGTGGAAAGCGGGTGCCGAAGCCATTGCCGTGGAGGTAAACCCCACTCTTTACACTTGCCGCCGCCGAATGGCCCGGAACCAACACCATCATCACCAAGATATAATACCCCAGACATTTAGCTCCATTCCCTATCTTATCAAATACACTTCATCAATGGAATCCGAGGAAGTCGAAGTCATAATCTGCGGCGGCGGTTCCGCTGGCCTCACAGCAGCAATCTGGCTAGCCCGTTTCGATATCCCCTTCAAAATCCTCGAAAAGCGACCCGGGCCACTCGCAATCGGCCAGGCAGACGGTGTTCAATGTCGCACCGTTGAGATCTTTGAGAACTTAGGTATCTCTACGCCGCTGTTGGAAGAAGCGTACCATGTCAGGGAAGTAGCCTTTTGGTCGCCGAACGAGAGTAATGGTAGCCTTCAGAGGAAGGATTTGGCGTATGATACTGAGACGGGTTTGAGTCATATGCCTCATGTTATTTTGAATCAGGCGAGGATTAATGAGTTGATGTTGAAGGAGATTATTCATTTGAGGAGAGGTGGGACCAGTGGGGTTTTGTACGATTCGCATGTTGAGAGTGTGAAAGTTGTGGATGATGGGAATGACTACCCCGTTGAAGTCGTCACTACTCACAACGGCAAGTCACATTCTTACCGAGCCAAGTACGCAATAGTAAGTTCATTCCTATCCATGAATCAGGACAATGTTAACGTCGGGTCAAATAGGGCTGTGATGGCGCTCACAGCACAGTCCGCAAGTCCTTAGGCTTCAAAATGGTCGGCGACTCGACCGACTCAGTCTGGGGCGTCATGGACGTCTACCCAATTACCAAATTCCCCGATATTCGCAAAAAGGCCATGCTAATCAGCAAAAATGACGGGAACCTCATGATCATCCCTCGCGAAGGTGATGAGCTTGTGCGCTTCTATATCGAGCTACCAAACACCACAGCTCGAGACGTCACAGAGCAAAGTCTCATTGAGAAGGTCAAGAGGATCTTTGCGCCTTATACGATCGACGTTGCGCATACGGTATGGTGGTCCGCTTATGTCATCGGACAACGACTGGCGGATCATTTCACAAAGGATTATCGTGTCTTTTTGACGGGTGATGCTTGCCATACGCACTCCCCTAAGGCTGGACAGGGTATGAATGTCAGTTTGCAAGACGGCTTTAATATTGGGTGGAAGATGGCACATGTCCTCAGCGGTCGAGCGCCGCCGTCAGTTCTGGAGACGTACGTCCTTGAACGACAGGACACAGCAGAGAAACTCATTGAGTTCGACCGCTCATGGAGCAAGTTGTTCTCATCGGACTACCGGAAGCAGAACGGTATCGCAGCTCAGGACTTCCGAGACAAGTTTGTTGAGGCTGGGCGGTATACTGCCGGTATGGCTACCCAGTACAAGCCCTCGGCTCTTACATGCGTGGCAGACAGCGACGAGAGCATTGCTTCGGGACTTACTGTGGGAATGAGGTTTCCCAGTGCATCACTAGTGAGGCTCTCGGATGCAAAGCCTTTCCATTTGAATAGCGTTCTTCCTGCTGATGGACGCTGGCATATCTTGGCCTTCTGCTCTGAAGCTGACACTAAAGAGCGTCTTCTTAAGGTACGCAGGAAGGACTCGAAAAACAAAGACATTTTGCTAATTTCGTCAGGTCGCTTCAGAGCTCGATAGTCTCATAAACGTGTTTACCCCCGCCGGTAGGAACGCAGATGAAGTCTTCCTCAACACTCTCGTTATTAAAACGGATCGAAGGAGCATCGGGATCGACCAACTACCGGAGGTCTTCTTCCCTAAGTCAGGTCCTTATTCATTGCGGAGTAAGCTTCCTTCTTTGTTCGCCTCCTAAGTCGTCTAATAATACTAACATGTTCCGGCAGATGTTCATAGAATCTTCGTTGACGACTCAAGCCCATACATGCTGGGCTGCGGTGAAGCCTTTTCTATATATGGCGTCAACCCTGAGCAAGGCGCCATTGTTGTTGTCAGACCCGATCTTTGTAAGTCGCTCGCCCAATAACTCTCTGATCCAGGTCACTAACATGATACAGATGTCGCGCGTATTCTTAAGCTAACAGATGCAAATGAGCTGTTGGCATTCTTCAAAGGCTGTCTTACTGCTAAAGAATGAAGCACGTTGGATGATTGAACAATTATTATGATCATAACTAAAACGAAATTAAAAGTTCTATTCCATGCCAAGTCGTATACTCATACACAAGAATAAATGACCCATCCTTATCCAAATACCTCAATCATAAAGTGATACTCCAACTTACTTCCATCCTTCCAAGCCCTCAGCGTAAGCTCCCGACACTTATCCGCCAGGATCTCACCCACGACAGGCGCACCACAGTAAAACACACCAACCTTGAGCTCCTCATCCTCTTCAAAGTTCTCGTCTTCCTTATCCCTCCTATCAGGTCGCTTACTAGCTCGGAACTTGAGCATCTCCTCGTAATGCTCGTCGAGAATCTGATCAAAATCTGGTCGTCCGAAGTTGGTGGGATTGAGAAGACCTGTAAGCGGGGAGGCGGGATGTTCATCTGTGCGGTGCATCTCAAGAAGCCAGCGGTACACGTGTGTTGATATCTTCTTCTGCTTCGCTGTTACGTGCGTGTTGATACGGATGTCAAGATGGGGAGCGACCTCGTGATCGCGGTGCCAGTCTTGACTCATGGATACGTCATTAAGTAAATCGGAGAGCCAGAGGAGGTAGTTTCGTTCGCGGACCATCCAGTGGAAGTCGACGCGGCGGTAATCGTCTGCAAAGGTACCTGCTCGGTCGGCATGGGGTGCTTTCTCTTTGTTGATGAGGTCGGGGCCGACGCTTCCCTGGCGGGTGGGTGTCTCGGGAACGTTATCGGTGTTTGATGATTCTCCGCTGGTGTTGGAGTTGGATCGCTGGTTAGGTGGAGGGACTGCAGTTGCTTCGGAGTCATGGTGGGTATGCGAGTCTTCGTGATTATGCTCGACTTCATGGTTTGGACCCCCGTGGTCGAGATCGTCGTTATACTGCAGATCGGCCAGAATACCAGAGAAGGGAGTAACACCGATACCAGCACCTATGATGATGGAATGGTTGAAGTCGTAGAAGCGTTGAGCGGGTGCACCGAAAGGACCATTGATGCCGACTTCAATCTCCGACTCTCCAGATTCACCTCCAAGCTCACGAAGCTTCTCAGTCCAGTTACCGTCAGTCTTGATATGCAGCATCATCTTGTTGCCGCGACAGAAAGAGACAGTGAAGGGGTGCCATTGGAAGAAGCTGATCTTGGGAACTTGAAGGAAGATGTACTGTCCAGCCTTGTACTTCCAAAGACGCTCACTCGGAATGATAGCCGTGATCTCAACAGTCTCTTTGTCGAGAACCTTCATGGTGGCCTTGATGCGATGGAATCCGAGACCAATACGAACAACGCGCTCGACAAGGACCAGGAGGGTGGGGAAGGCGAGGAAGTATCCGAACATGGGCCACTGGAACAAACCTGCAGTACCATGCGCCATCATGAGACCGATGATAGGAAACATGAGCAAGTGACCCAGTTGGAAGACTTCGTAGTTCCACTTTCGCACCTGCGGGATACTCAAGAGGGAAAGGATCCAGAACAGAGCAAGGCCAGCGATACCTGTGACACCGGGCAAGGTCCGAATAAAATCGCTGTACTGACGGGGAACTGCATCAGCGCCAAGCACTTCAGCCACCTCATCCTCGTTGGCCGGATTACTTCCGGAACGGAATGAACCTGTCAAGTGCCCAATTGCATGCAAATTCGCAAGCAGGATGGCGACGCAAGAAATACGAATGTGGAACTCCTGCGAAAGATCCCAGTTGAAGAAGCGCGAAATGTGGTACGACCTGCGCAGCCACGTAGAAAAGTATCGCGACATACTGAGGATCAAGAAGAAGAAAGTCGGGTAGAGTGCACCAGCACAGGTCTTGGCCATGACGATACCCCAGCCGAACCCATTCCGGTATTTGGGCGTGGTCTGGTACTTGACGAGTTGCCATATTCCAAAGGCCAACTGCATACCAACCACAACACCAAGAAACACAATCTCAGGTCCATGAACAGCCCAGTACGAGCGAATTCGTCTCCAACCCGGCAGTTTCTTGATGTAGCTCTTATCCTCCTCTTCTTCCTTCTTCGCCTGCTTGAGCGAGGGAATCTTCCACTCCTTGACCATCTTGGCAAACTCATCTCTCGGAATTTTGTCGGCGCCCGAATCGCCCATCATTCTGCGCAGAAAGGCATGGCGCGCATCGTTGTCGTGGTCGGTGTGGATGACATGGTGAGCGCTCGGCTTGGGAACAAGCTCTTTATGCTCTTGGTCGAGTTTGCGCTCGACCTCGTGGTAGTTTATGTGTCCATCGTTATCGTGGTCGAGATCGTCGAGGAAGTCGTTGATCTCTTCGTCGGTGAGGTATTGGATGTTTTTGGAGGAGCGGATGGGATGGTCTGCTACGATAGATTTGCGATTGCGATGACGAGCCATTGCAGGGCAGGGCAGTCCTTTGTCGCAACGGTGACGAAGTGTTGAATGGACAGTGGGAGAGAAAAAAAGACTCGTGCCCGGAAAGGGGGATGCGAGAAATTTACATAGTGTTGACTAGAAACATGCCCAGCAATGGTACGTCAGCATCTGGTGATGCCAAGAGTACCAAGCGCTTTGAACAACTCAACACTAAAAACAACCTTAAATTCCCCGATGAGAGCAATTTCACGTGCTGATCTCCATCGCCTACAAATGCCCCATCAATTGGGCCATTTTGCTACAGTACTGCAGAATTACGTGGCTGAGCAGAGAGCCAAGTCTTCGCATGCCCTGATTTTCGTGCTGGTGGATGACGGTGCCCAGGAAAGAGGCTTAATTAAAGGTAACCGCTTGAACCAATGGAGACTACGCCCAGAGACTTGGCGATCTTGGCTTGGGGATGGCTTATCGGGAGAAGGTCATTGGATCAATTTGTTCGGGGGGTTGACTAGCGACGGGAAGTTTCGTGTTCTTCAGCGAAAGGGATAGGGATTGATTCCGAGAGTCTGGGACGGCTCGCCAATGTTGTATGCAATGCCTGAGAGTAGTTGTTGGGTGCTAAAATTTGAATGACGTCAAGACAGATAAGATACAAGACGGCGATCCGATAAGCAAACGACGATAAGATAAGATGTCGCGATGGCCGTAGGGTAACTCCAGCTTCAGGACAACTGACGCGAAATAATATGCTCGCACTTGATGTATCATGAAAACGGTTCCAGAAAAGGAATAAAATGGTTTGTCCTGCGATTCCGGTGATATTGAAGTACGTTGTTAAGTTGATGTCGAAACTCTTTCGAATGACCATCCAGGATCGTTCAACAGTGCGCCGATGTTCTGTAAAAACGCTCGGGATGCATCGTTTTACAGCTGGTTGCTCAACCAAGAACAGCCTAAAAGTCCTGTATGCAAATCGGGACGTGCGATTACATGCTATTTTGAGTACCCTCAATGTCCGGGAAACAAAACATACAGTTGACGATTACCTACAAGAATGACGTCTTTTTTTTTCTGACCCTAGAGTCGGAAATTCCGGTCATAACTACCAGCTAATCAGCTTCAGAGATACTGCATAAGCAACATTTGATGACAAACCTCATTGGCCACTTAATTCATCCGGTCAGCGATGTAACGAATTGCTTGAGCTTGACGCTCCCATCGATTTCTATATAAGTATGATCAAAAGGATCTCGATTCTCTTCGTAGACATTCATCGCATCATCCATCTAAATATCCATCATGGTCTCTAATCTTCAAACCAAGAGCATCACCACGTCCGATGGACGAAAATATACCTACGACTACGTCCCAGCAAAGGAAAACAAATCAACCGTCCTTCTAATTCATGGCTACCCTGCTACCCGCCATGACTGGAAGTACCAAATCGAAGATCTCTCCACAGCAGGCTACGGTGTCGTAGCACCAGATTGTCTCGGATATGGAGATAGTGACATGCCCCTCGAGATTGAAGCCTACAATCTGAAAGATATGAGTAAGCATCTAACAGAAATCCTCGACAATGAAGGTCTGGATAAGGTTGTCGGGGTCGGTCATGACTGGGGCGTCAGTATTGTATCACGCGCCGTTGTCTGGCATCCTGACCGCTTTGAAAAGGTTGTTTTTCTCTCACTTGGATATGGCCCGCCGGGAATCTTGTTGGATATCGATACCATCAATGCGAAAAGCCTCAAAGAATTTGGGAACATGCCATTTGGATACTTTTACTTTTTCAATTCTCACGATGGGGCAAGTCTTGCTGCTCAACATGTACGTGGTCTCACCGACAAGCTGATGCAGCAGTACTAATAGTCCATAGCTTGAGTCATTCTTCCACTTAGTATTCCCCGCCGAGAACCTCAAATGGACAGAGAATCTCGGTGCCCTAGGCGCAGCTCGTGCATGGCTTAACAACAACACAATCACCCCTCTGCCCAGCTACATGACCGAAGAAGACAAAGCCGCCTGGATGGCAGAGTTCAGCAAACCAAATGCAACAGAGACGTCAATGAACTACTATAAAGCTCTTCTTCGCGGCGTCAATGTCAAGGATGAAGAGAATTTGACCAATGAGGATCGTACCCTGCATGTTCCCGTGCTCACTGTCGGTGGTTCGGAGGATGTAGTTGCGCGTCCAGAGAACATGGGCCTTAGTACGAGACCGTTTGCTGCTGCTGGATGGACAGACAAGGTGGTCAATGCGGGACATTGGATGATGTATGAAGATCGAGAGGGACTGAAGGATGCTCTGCTCGACTTTCTCAAGCAGTAATTGTAGAAAGACTGCGGACCATGGACATGGTATATGTCCTTTAATTCTACTTCTGTCATAGGATTGCGCAATTGATTCTTCCGAACAATGTCCCGCCAGCCTTATTCTACCCTCGTTTTAGGGGTAACCCTTCAACTTTTCAAGCCCCTCACTCACGGACGAAGTCAAAGCTCAACTAAGTAAACAGCCAGTTGTTGAGAGACACAAGGCTGATATGCGCATGCTGGGCCAATAGCCTGTCCGGGGAGTCGCGGATACAATTACCGGCATGAGGCCCGGGAACTAATTCAAGGGGCCAGCCGATCCACAAGGATGTAACCTGGAGAAAAAGCATCAGGGCGGCGATGCCGGGACAAAAGGTAGAAACAGTATCTCAAGGCGATTTAGATATCAGGGAACGACATGAAACAAAAGCCCAATCAAAGAGCGATGCCATCAACTTAGCTAGCTGACTAGCAGACCCTTCATCTCACTAAGGCGATCTAGAAAATCATGCCAAGTTCCGGTTCGAGTCGATGATCACAATCAAGTGGCACAATTTCTCTTCTCAACTCCACTACCAGCGGAGCCATGAAGTCATTCCCTGACGCTAATGCTCGTATTGGTGATTGAGATCTCCAGTTTCCACCAGCATGGTCATTCTTGATTCGCCAGCGAAGAGGCCCGTGTACTAGCGCCTCATGCGTTTCCGGCAATTGTTCTGTTCTTTGACTTACGCCAGATACTTGAGATGAAACCAAAGAATTCTTTCCTTCACCTCCATTTTGCATTTCCAATCTGTCTTTGTATCCGAAGGTCAACGACTCTCAACAGTCGCTACCCACTTCTTTCATTCATTTTCTCGTGTTTTACTCTGGCTCACGCTGCCAAGACATTCCCTTTCTCTCATAATGTCTGATCCCACAGGCATTGGATCACCTTGGCCCTTGAAGGATGAGTTTATAGGTGGAAAGCTTGGCAGCGGTGCCGGCGATAGGAAATCATGGCATCGCCTGGAAGACCTTCCCACGCCTTTCGCGGCACAGTACGCGAGATTGAGTCAACCATGGCTCCCCGGATTTTGGACACGGTTTCCGTATCGTGGGCTTAGCATGTGGTTGCTGGCCTTGATAGGAACTATTGCGGCTGGCCTGATATTGAAGTACAGTGATGGAGTACCTGTCAAGAACTGGGATGAGCATATACAGCCTACCGTTTGGTTGGCTTTGACGTCGGCGTTATCGGGTGCCTTTCTTGCTTGTGCTTTCACAGAAGGAGCGGCGATATCATATTGGAGGACTGCTGGGAAGCCAGTCACTGTGAGTATCGGACCCTTTCTACGAGGCATTGGTGCTGATGATATTTAGTTACAACAATTACAAGCTGTGTATGGCTCTTCAACGGGCATAATACAGGCTGCTGTTAACCTGTTTACTTGGAAGTCCAAGACTCTGGGCATAGGTAAGACGACCGACCGCTCAAGGCATCGATATGGAGTTCTTACACGGGTACAGCGTCCATCTTGATGACATTATCCGTCATGCGAGGCCCACTGATGCAACGGGCTTCGGCAACAACAAATTACTACGAAACACAACAAGGGAAGATGAATTTCCACATCGCGCGGGAACTACCCGAGGACTACGCCTGCATTGTCACAGGCCGAACCCACTCAACGTCGCTACTCAGCAAAAACTTCAGCAATGTTGCACATAGCTATAGCCGCCGTGACGAAATGGCCGCTTTCGATACGACCTGTACCAACTGCACGACAAAAGTCCAGGGTTTCGGCTTCCAGGTCAACTGTACCGAGACGACGCGGGACTACAACCTCACCGTTGGCGCAGACCAAGCGAGTTTGAAAGATGCTATGAACGGGGCAAGCTTTTTCCAGGTAAATATTACCGAATATACCGACTATTCTGTTTATGCTATGCCTGATGGGGCGTTTCTACGATATACGACGCTTTACAAAGACGAAGATAGGTGTTATGGCAAAACGAAAATTCAGACTTGCGATCTGCATGCTGGTATTGCAGAATTTCCTGTACGTGTGGACGGCGATACGGTTGAACTTGTGGGAACCTGGAAGGATGACAAGTTCATCGAGCGCAAGTAAGAAACTCCTACCAACCGTTTTCATATGGTTGACTAACCGCAAAAAAGGTATATGTTGCCTGCAGGGCTGGTCGCAAGTGGCTCAGGAAACATTCTGGGCGGCTTCGACACCATCGTCAGCAACCTCTACGAATCAACAGCCTACATGCGGTTCACCGGCGCAACAGGCTACGATCTCGCCTCAAATGGCCTACCAGCAGCACAATACCTGACCATGAGCGGCCTGGTACCTGGCTGCAACGACACTTGGTCAAACCCCATGGACGATGTCATCGAACTAACCCGCAACCTCGGGTTTCGCGCAAGTCTTCAGTACGCAAAGTTCAACACAACCGACAAGCAAAAAGTCACATACGACAGCGGCACAACAACACTTGTGTACGTGACAGACTACGAAAAGATGTGGATAGCAGTGCTGGTTTCGCTTATAGGAATATTCTCCGTGCTACCCACCTTCTGGGGCTGGTGGGAGCTGGGCAGGGATGTCAGTCTTAACCCACTTGAGATTGCGAATGCTTTTGGGACGGTTGGGCAGGAGTCGCATATTATGAGGAACGTGGATCCGAATCATAACGTTGGAGGAATTGTTAATGCGGTTCATGACATTGGACCTGTGAGGTATGGTGCCTGGGAGATGAGTGATGGAGTGACGAGGCTTGGGTTTGCGGGGGCTGGGTTGGTGAGAAATCCGACAAAGGGAGAGAGGTTTAATTATTAGCGTTAAAACTTTAGGACAAGTTTATTAATGATGAATAATATTTAGTCATGGGATTGTCAGGGCGTTAGAAGAATTGACCATCGAGAGCAGAAGAGACGAAATACTTTGGTCATCTTATGCCAGCTTAGGCTAGTATTCAGGCTACTTTATTTCTATATCCTAAGCTATGGAGGACAGTTCTTCTGTTACCTAGGTACTTGGCTCTATTGCAGTGCAAGATGTCCAAATTCAAGATGCATAGGTAGCTATAACTCTAAGCCCCTCAAGCTGTAAAGAGGGTAGATTGTGCTCTGTGAAAATCTTATTATACTTGTGCAAGAAAATGGAAGTCTTTTGCTACATATAGTTCGCTATTGTAGAAGGTCTGTTCGATATGATTTGGGGTTCATTAAGGTTGTCTTGCAGAAAGTGTAAACTTGAGACGCATGGTGATAACCTTAACATAACTGGAGGTAAAAACAGGCAAGGTTCTGGGTATAAAGCCGACTGCAAAGCCTGACCTTAGAAAATAGACGGTCTTTATTATCCTCATCCTGTCTTCATCAACACATCCATTTCTCTATCACTATCCGCAACACTGCAAGCTGGATCAGAATGTTATCTACCCAGCACACCGCACCTTCTGCTGAGGTCTTCACCTTACCTGTTGAAACCAGAACCTTTCCCCGGTTTCCCGATCTGTCATACGATATCCGTTACATGATCTGGCTTAAAGCGCTGTCCTACGAACGGTGGCTTATGATCGCACTCGATTATCCTGGTGACCGTACAAGCTCTAGCCGATGCTACGATTTGGAGCTACGGACGATTCGAGAAAGTATGACTGAGCCGATAATGCACCCCCTTCTCCACACTTGCTCAGAGTCGCGACAAATAGCAAAGAAGTTCTACCGGATTCAAATCTCATGCAGGTACTGCGCTGGGGACACCTATTTTAAGCTTTATATTTGTCCCGAGTTAGACATTCTGGATGTCTATTGGGATATGGCAAGCCATTTCATTGAATTTGCTACGGACTGTTATAACCAGGACCGGGACCGCAAGGGTCTCTTGAATGTTCTCATACCATACCCACTCGGAGGCGCATTTGGCATAGATTTGGATGGGTTCCCCATCGATAAGGATGCTGCCAAAGCAGCCATATACCGACTTCGGCGGGTCGTTCACGAAGGTGTAGTAGAGGCGATCATGTCGTCAGACCAAACTTCGCGAGAAAAGCCCTCCTCAGTTCCACGTCTGGGTGACAGCGAAGGTATGACCTTTGACCATCTAACCACAGATCCTCGAGCCACTGATGACCTAGCAAGGCTGATGGTGGTTGACGGTCCAAGTGAGAGTAAGAGTAAGTGGCAGAGACTCCTGGATATGGTGGAGATTGACCAGTCCAAATGCAATTTTGAAGAAAGTCTCATGCTTTTTCGATGTGGCTCATATCGTCATCTGCCAGAAGCGAGGAGTGTATTGCCTTCCGTTACTGGTTTCTGGTTAGTGCCTCTGGAGGCATTTCAAGAAGGTGACGGGAACAAATCCAGAGGTTATGTGGATTTGAGAGACTACCCACCAGAATTGTATGTAGACAGTCAAGGTTAAGACGGTCGTTGAGAGAGCGAGTGAGAAAAAGTCATCTCAGTCACATTGTACGAATCCAAAACAGCATTGAGGCTACCTTTATGGTTAGCACCTCAACCTCAGAAGACAATCTCCCTGTGGCTCCATAGACAGGGAAGTAACCAAAGAATGTTATAGTTGTTACATGATGAATAGACAGGATTGACAAGTATTTATATAGATGCTCGAGGTGAAGTACTGGAAGTCGAAAAGAAATAGCAATTCGTCTGTGCCTGTGTGGCGTTTCTTGAGATTTATGGTCCGTGATTTAGGCAAGTACTCAGTACTTTGATCAGCACGCTAAGTTGTGCGGATTTATCGGTATGAACAACCTAGCAAGTCCAATCAGCCCTAAGCCGGAAGCAGACTCCATCAAGTACATTATGACGATCTCGTCAACCTCAGCCAACACCACAATGAACATAACCAACGTTCACTAAGCAGGAACACCCCCAAGATCGGAATAACCCACGATGCATAATGGTCAAAGTCCAGTTTCCAGTAATGGAAGAGAGTTCTACTTTCTGCCCATCGCAACAACAAATCCCACCAACCGTCGCGAGACAGAGCTTCGTCATGCGAGTGCGAGATCTTATTTGGCGAAGTCAATGCATCGTCACAAAAGGAAGATTACCGACGAGATTCAAGGAACTGTTATACCGATCGATGGCCCGACGGGGACCAGATGGCGGTCAGTGCTACTCTGCACTGTACCAGATAAGATAGTCGACCAACACACCAAGATGCTCCTACACTACTGCACCCAATCCTTCTGGCCAGGCTTCGAAGTCGGGTCAGCGGCATTCCACATCCCCTCATTCGCGCGCGACTACAACACGCTCATGTCCCAAGGTCCAGCTATGATCCACGCCCTACTATGGTCAGCAGCTGTGAGCCTTAGCTACAGAAGGAAAGCAAAGGTCACCGACAAGGGCAGCTTGATGCATTACAATCAAGCCCTCAAATGCATCTTGCAAGACATATCACGGCCGATAGCGGAAATACCAGAGCAGACGCTGTATGCGATTCTTAGCGTCACAGGTCCTGAAGTCTCCCTCGAAGATGGTGAGGGTATTGTGCGACGAGCGTTTGATCCACCTCTAAAGGAACTTGCGTGGATACATGTTTATGGGAGGAGACTTCACATCGACGCGCATGCGACAGCGTTGATAAGGATTGTTGATTTGAAAGGCGGCATACACAAACTCAAGTCAACGGAATTCCAGGCTTCGTTCAATTATATGGATCTGACAAGGGCTGCGCAAAAGTTAATCAGGCCACATCTTCCTGTTTCGCGGCTATATGGCCGGGTCAGGGAAACGCATGACAGACGACAATTTTTTGGTTATGCAGCCGATCTTGCGTCTTGGTCTTGTACTGAAGAGCCTTCGGAACAGATCGATAGACTTGTCGCTGGTGGACTGACCACGGCTCTGCAAGAGGTCATCTACGATATGAGGGCATGGGTTACAGTGATCGAGGGCTATCACTGTGGTTTATTGAAGAGCCTGGACACTTCGCTCCTCGCAGCTCATCGAGACCTGATACAACAGCGACTTCTCGCCACCCTCCCCGACGAAGAGGCACTCATTGAAGAAGACATAGAGACTGCTGCGTCTATCAACAATCTCATCCGAACAGCTTTGCTGATATTTTCACTCGGAGTAATCTTCCCTATTACATATGCGCCGCCTTACCATCGACTAGCACGACGTCTCAGATGTCAGCTCGAACAACACGTTGCCCAGGCGTCGCCGGATCTTTTAACATGGCTCGGTATGCTCGGAGTACTGTGCTGTGAGCAAGTCGGCAATGATCTTCGAGGGTGGTTCGTTCAGTTCTTGGGCATCGTGGAACAACAGCGGCCAAGTGCGAGAGCCTGGTCTACGACGAAACAAGAATCACTGGAACCGTTTCTATGGTCTGCCTTGTCCTGCGATGCAGCCGCTAAGGTAGCATGGAGAGAAGTACAAGAGGGGTCAAGAGGTTGGGAGAGCACGGCATGGTCTGGTATACTGGGGACGATATGCGGATGAGAAAGCAGTTCATTCTACTTCTGGTCGAGATCTTGCAGCCTTGCCAGCCCTACAAGGACCGAGTGATAGCGATCTTGACGTCATCACAGCTCCCACAAAGACAAACGCTATTCCGGTTGGAGTTCTGACACTAACTTCTTCGCCATTAGCTTACAGGCTAATCTTGATTGGGTATATACACTAAATCGAGCGGCATAAACCGATATCTCCAGCTCGGCGCGAAGATGGACATTGAGTTAAGGCTATTCTATATCTGCTGGATGAATCCGTTCATGTCCCCGACCACGTCTCCATCTGACCTTCCGAGCATACTACATATAAACCACAACTATTCCATAATACTGATTCCCGTCAACTTCACCTCATCTTTACTCATCATCCCACCCAACACCATGTCTCTCGCCGGAAAAGTCGTCCTCGTTACGGGAAGTACCAAAGGCATCGGAAAAGCGGTCATCGAACGTGTCGCCGCCGACGGCGCAAGCGTTGTCATCAACTACTCCAGCGATGGCGCCCCAGCAGAAGAGATGGTAAAAAAGATTGGCTCTGATAGAGCCCTAGCCGTCAAGGCCGACGTGTCCAGCATTCCTGAAATTGAGAAGCTGGTAAACGCTACAGTGGAAAGGTTCGGCAAGATCGATTGCCTTATGGCCAACGCTGCTTGTGCGCCCATGAATGATCTTGAGAGTTCGACGGAGGAGGCTTTCGATAAGGCCTTTCTACTTAATGTCAAGGGACCTTACTTCTTGGTTCAAGTATGTTTCACTGCCAGATGAATCAGGAGAGGCAAGCTAACAATTTGCAGAAAGCTGTTCCCCATATGCCTCGCGATGGCCGTGTCATTCTCGTCTCAACAGGCATCCTACACAACTCCACTGTTGCACCACGCTATCTCCTGTACGCAGCTTCCAAGGGTCCTATTGAACAAATGACGCGAGTAATGGCCAAGGACCTTGGACAAAAGTACGGCATCACTGTTAACTGCATTGCTCCAGGCCCCACTGCTACGGAAATGTTCTTCCAGGGCAAGTCACAAGAGATGATCGACATGATCGCGGGATTCAGTCCGTTGAACAGGCTGGGAAAGCCAGAGGAGATTGCAGAAGTTGCGGCATTCTTGGCTGGGCCTGGCAGTTCATGGGTTTCTGGACAAGTCATCGGGGCAAATGGAGGATCATTTGTGTAAGAGATAATTAATGTGGTATTACCAGAAGTTGACGCTGCTTATATGCATGGCCTGCGTTGTATCTATCAGACAAATAAGAATATTCTATGAACCAAGTCCCGTCGTCGAAAAGAAGTTGAAGCAACGCCCGGACAGCCTAAACCAATTTGCTGAGGCAAAGCTCAGGTACACATTTCTCCAAAGCTTCCTTAAGTTGAACACCCTCCAAGACATCCTTAGCCGTCTTCAAAGCACCCTCATAATTAACCAGAGACCCAACACACTCCATGGGATACAACCAGAATTCCATCGCAGGCTGAACACACTCCCCATGCTCAATCCCTTCACTAAGAGCACGACTCTTGAAGTTCTTGCGTTGACTCTGTACCCAGGACGTAGCCTGTTCTCTTGTTGCTATGTTTCTGCCACTTGTCTCATAGCTCATCATAAAGCGATAGTTGACTTTGTGCTCATGGGCGGCTTCCAGAATTTCGAGCAGACGGAACCAGCTGAGGCCTATGTGGATGGGGTTCTTGAAGGAGAAATATGGTCGGGTGTGATCGTTGCCCAACTTTCGTGGATCTTGAGATAGCTTATCAAAGCTTGGTATACAAGTTGACATGGGGCCGGTGCAATCTGGCTCCCAGCTCGTTCGTGGCTTTGGTGGCTGGCGCTCGTCAGAGTCATTATTCGCGGCGGCAGCAGCAGCAGCGAGGGCCATAGAGTGGGCATAGGCAAGCGTTCGCCGAGGAGGAGGAGCAGCTCTCGTCTTCTCCTGCATATGAGCAAAGGAGACATTATCCAGCCGGAGGAGTACTCCTCGAAATATGTCCTTCTCTGCATCGTCCATGTCCATGAGCTTCTGAATGTTGGGCTGGAATGGGAGAGTAAGGTTGACAAGACCCACGTATCGTGGGTCAAGCTGATATAAATTGAAGGCAAAGTCTGGGAAATACTCCGAGATGCCGACTTGAATGTTGTCGAGGTCCGGGCGGAAGTAGAATGTCCCTTCCTGAGTCTTGCTTCCCCATCGGTAGATACAAGGTATCTTCACGCGGTAGAAGCGGTTTGCAGTATCGCGCGACTCGGTGCAGACATGGAAAAGCTTGTTCATGGCATATCGCTCTTCCACGACGACGCAATATGGCTTCTTGGGGATGTCGTCCTGGGGTGATTCTGCGTCTTGCTTGAATGAGTTCTTTTCCCTGCCCTTGGCCTTGGCCTTCGTCGCCTTGTTTCGCTGGTTTCTGTTGCGGGCAGACAATTCTCTCTTTTCGAGGGAGATACGAATGAGTCGCTGACTCAATAGGACTTGCTCCCATATCAATGTTCGAATGTCACATGGGAATTCGCCAAATCGTGGGAACTGAGCAACTCCTCGAGAAGCAGGGTTCATAAGGTCGATGTTTGTGTGGGCTGAGCCACTCGGAGTCACATCATTTTCGACGACTTTCTTTTGCGCAGAGCTTGGCTCATCTTGAGCTGCCCTGCGTCGAGCTGCGTTTTTGCGACCCATTTTGTAAGTGATTCAGGCGATGTTGTATGTTCAGAAGCTGACAGATTGAGTTGCAGATGCTTTATGAGAGAGAGAAATGGTGCTTAGTGAGAGGGGAGTACTGATGGCTTTTTATTAAATATTTCTATTCATTGAAAACTTAGAATGCGCGCACCCCATGAGAAAACTTGCGTCCGTGAAACTTTGCGTGAGGTATGGTTCAGGCGTCAAAGAGATACACTCTCTCTACTGCACTGCCTATTTTCAAAGGAATATGAACCTCAACGCTATTTCGCATTTATTGGCTCAATGGGTTCATCTTGGTGGAATTATCTCGGTATATAGCGTTCGAGAGATTATGACGGCAAGATAACCATTTCACGTTAGAGTTGTACGCAACTCTCTCGGATTGTGTTGATGCCATTTTGGATCCCGCTTATGACCATATTATGACTCATTAAATACCAGAATCATGGTCTGCCATATGGATGAAAAAGTTATCCTTTTTCTCATTCAAACTCTGAACACCTCAAGCTACAGGTTAGATCCAATTTTGAGATGTCGATGTTTTGACTAATCCAGACTATGATTGGCCTACGATGATCCACTCCACTGGAGTACTCGCCAGCTTACAGTAGCCCACCAGCGAGGGATAGCGACATTCAATGCAAGTACAACAACAACAAAGGACGTAAAGCTTCCCGCATCGCACAACCAGCAAAGCTTCATACCCGGATCGAATCTAGTGAACGCCTCTATGCGCTTGTTTCTAACCCTGGCATTACGAGCCCTCAATTGCCCTCTTGCGCGGTCGCATTAGCACGCAGAGCGCCATTCGAATAACCCGATGCGATGTTCGCCCGACCGAAGCACCCTCGAACGAAGCTCAAAATCCTCGAGCTGATACAATATACGCGGAGGAGTGTCAATTGAGCCTGTTTCGAGGCTCTACAGACGATGCGCAGGACGCTTAGCAACTACGGTTACGCCCGTCTGACGGCCTTCTGTTGGATCGTCCAGACATCTCCAATGCCGCTTCACGTCCTCAACCCCCCGCTGCCGATTCGTGCTACTACGTTCCTCGCGAGATACGTACCAAGACCGAGCTTGAGACCACAATTCTGGCGGCGGGTGCGCCTTCGCCACCTTTTGGGGCGTTGTCTCGACGGCTACCCCAAAGAACCACCACAAGTCATCGCGACAAACGAGTCGTCCGTGATCCAATAGCCAATACGACAGCCGCCAACCGCCGTTGGCCGATCGATTGCAATCCACGTCGTGCGATATACCATGTAAGCATAAGCCAGTCCGCCATGCCAACGCCCCGACAACGTAGCGACCCCGACGATCAATCGAACCAACCGTCGTTGTGATCTTATATTGGCCCCGTGAAGACATGCCCCGATCGTACACTCCATTGCTTCCCACGCTAAGTGACGGAAGATATGCGCGACACCCATACTACGCTGCGACACAGATGAACCTCGTAGTTGAAGTGCAAGATGACAATTAAATACTACCCAACTAATCAGAATCCGAACTACTACTACTCGTATCGACCTTTCCACTCTTCTTAAACTTGACATCCGGAATATACAAATTCGTCATGTCATGCCGTCCTCCACACTCCGCCGCCTTACAAGTATATCCTTTGTCAAAACACCTCCTACACGTATCCCAATCGCCATCATTGCAGATAGCGCAGTAGTAAAACTCGCCCTTGATCAAGACGTTGCAGATATCGCAGTAATACTTGGGATACACCTTGACAAGGCTATGTTTTCCCTTGCCATCGCATGTCTGTCCCTGCGCAAGACAATCGCGACAAATGTCGTAGTCGCCGCCGTCGCATTTCTTGCAGTGCGCGTAGGGACCGCTGATGGCTTGGTCGCAGACGTTGCAATCGAGACCGACGTCCCAGGCGGGGTATTCGACGAAGTCGGCGAAGTCTTCTGTGCCTTTTCCGTGGCGCTTCTTTGCTTTGCGTTTGTCTGCGCGATTGAGTTAGCAAATAATCGCACGTAGTAACGGATTGACTCACCGATGCGGTCCTTGACGAAGAAGCCAGCTACGCCACCCGCAGTGAAGCCACCAGCTGCCGCAAGAAGAGAGGACGACTTCTTCCCACCCTCGGGTAGACTTGGTCGTGAGTCTTGCGGGTTTACGTACTGTGGCTGTTGTGGTCCTCTGTTCGCTGTATGCAGACTGCCTGGGAAAGCGGGCATGGCTGCCAGTGGAGGAAGATCAGATGGCGCTTGCCATGTGCTTCTGCCTGATGTTTCAACGTAGTACCATTGTTGGTCCTTCTCCGACCAGTGTGCAATCCAGCGTGGTGGTGTCGGACATGGAGAGGTAATTGATGGAGCGGCACCGTATGATGTCGCTGCGACCGGCGGGTGCACGCTTGGTGGGCTTGTCATTGAAGCGGGCGGCGGTGACCATGGTTGATGCTGTGGCTGTTGCGGTGTTTGTGTTGAAGGGTTGTACGGGGGTGGTTGAGGACTGTACGATTGATGATGGCCTGAGTACTGCTGTTGAGGCTGTTGTTGTTGTGGTGGCGGTTGGTGTGACTGCTGCTGTGGTGGTTGATATCCAGGCTGCTGTCCACTGAAAGAGGAGTGACCATTGTATGGCGGGCCGGTGTAAGCTTGGAAGCCCGGATTCTGCTGCGGTTGTCCTGAATTGTATGACTGTTGCGGTGCGCCATATGGAGACGGAGATGGTGCATTTCCTTGATAACTCTGCTGTCCTTGATAGGAATTGCTCCCGTATTGTTGGTAATTCGGGTTATGAGCATCGGGTACTGGAGGAGGAGCGCCTGCCATCCCGTTAGCGAATGACACTCAGTAACCCGACCCCTACGATGGATGCCTTACCTCCCTGCTGGCTCCCCAAGTTGAGCCCTTCAAATTCCTTCTTAAACTTGTTTAAAAATGACATCTTGTTCAAATGGTAACGAAGTACCTCTAGAACTTGGGGAAATAACAGCAAGAACAAAGGCGGCTTATGGTCGTGGTTTTAAATCTTCAAGTCCATCGCCGGAGGCTGTGCTCTAAACCTGCCGCTAATTTCTCAGCTGGGGTAGCGTCGTAGAAGGATCTGTCGTGAAACCCACAGCTTTATATCCGTTGGAGTCGCTTGTTGAAGGATGACGGCCTGCTAAGCCATTTGGAGCAATCAAGCCTTTGGACCTTTGTTAGGTGAAATCCTACGGCTGGATTGGCTCAAGTGAGGATGAAGGCGGTGCCGTCAATCGCTGATGGAGGATCGATGCTACTGGATGTCCTGTACGCGATATCACTTGCAATTGGATTGGCTTCAACGCCAGTAATGCACCTACTTTGTACATCTTGGTTAGATCCTTTCTTTTACAGATCGGTATTGAGATCTGTCTCTGAGCGTCATTCATGGTCTCATATTGAGGCCTCCTCTTGGTTGCCGTGATGGTGGATGCTCATTCAGCCCTGTGAGGCTGTGCTAAAATTGGTGGACAAACTAAATTTGGGTTGTGACATCCATCCCAATTTCCAGCAATCCATCCACACAGAATTGGAGAACTTGAGGTCCAGTCAACACTACTGCCATCTGTTATCACTTCCTATCATACGACTTTATTATTGCTTGAGCTCGTCTCCGAATCGCGTGCGCGGGAGGATGGCAGAGAAGGTTCTCCAATAATTTATCTTCTGGAAGTATCATGGTCCTCTCCGATGCTTACACAAGAGAGCATGACTCACTCGGTCACCAGCGTTGTTGAACGTTGACTGGCAGAAAGGCAACAAACAGTCCATATACGGAGATTTGTGAAACCTTGTTTACCTGAATGACTCCCTGGGTAACGTAAAGTCTTGTGTATAATAATCTGCTTATGACCTACATCTTCGCAAACGGCGTCTACTCTGTTGACAGCAAAGCCCAACATGGCTAACCAACCACCATTCGCAGTTCTTGCGAATGCAGCCCCTCTTCCTCTCATCAAATCCACGACCAAAGCTTCAACGCTCAATTATTTCGGCTTCGTCGATGGATCAACGCCGCCCGAAGCGTCCAAATTTCTGGCCAAATACTCCGATGGCACAGCAAAGGATATCCACCCCGCAATCGCGACGTTCCTGCGCATAACCCAAAATGACTGTGTCGGAAATGCAAAGGACAAAGAGGCATGCTGGTTCACCATTCGAGTCACGAAGCCCAGCGATGAGTTCAGAATCACAAGGTGGCATCAAGACGGACCTATGTATCGCTACGACAAAGGTCGCGAAGATGTTGTGCGCAGCAAATATGCCATTACCTTGCTCGGACCATCAACACTCATGCTGGTGCCGTCGGAGCACACATTCGCAACGAAAAGTGAAAGCCGCGAGCTATTTCGTTATTGGTCACGTCCAGGTTCATCTCCACCCCCGTATGCGAGCTATGAAGAAGCAGACATGGCATCGCGAGTATGGCTTGAAAATAAGTTCCAGAATGAACCCAGAGTCGAGGCTAGACAAGATCAAGTCATTCGATTTAGCTGGGGAAGGGATGATAGCCCGATTCACTCGGAGCCTGACATTGTTTGTGATAGGGTCTTCATGTCGGTGCTGTATGGTAGCGAAGCAGAGATACTGAGAATGTGCGAGATAAGGAAGGCCACATTTGGTGTTTATGAGGTGGAAGAGGAAGATTAGTGATGATGGGCGTAACATTTGTCGCCTTTACTGCTGCTATGAAACGAACTGGATGGTGTCGACCAGACCGGTGGAGGTTAGATGGTTCCCTGCAGTGAGCGTCGCTGAGATTTAGCGAGCCAACCGGTATTAATGGTCAGTGGCACATCGTGGACATGCTTGCTGTTTCCGGTGTACAAGCAAGCTTTCAATGTGGTATACGAATTAAAAGTCCACCTACATCTTCATTCTCTGCATCCTTGTATCTGCGCGTGCGTTGTCCGTAATAAAGCATGGTTTATAAGGAAGGGCCCCTCGTCCGGTGCTTTCTTAACATTACCTAGGTACCTATGCGTCCCGTACTGGGCGGTGGGGCGGGTCCACAGGCCCTACCCAAACAGGCTTCCGCCCCCAAATTCAGCATGATTTACGCTCACTGCCTTGACGCTCATCTAACCTCAACATCGTAATGGCCACACCGCGGTTAACTCCTCAGCTCATATTCTAAGAATTCTTTCCTATACCAGCATAATGCGATCTCCAAAGTCTGACGACAGCTATTTACTGCGCATGCCAAACGAGATCCTGCACCTTTGTTTCGAACAAGTCGCCTACCTCGACCATGAACTGGGAATAGGCTACGAATACTACAATAGCCGCTATAAAAATGTAAATACCGACAGCAAGGAACACACTCGGGCCGGGCTACATCAAGGCCAAATCAACGTCGAAGGGCAATACGCCTTAGCACTCACATGTCGACGCTTTCACGATCTAGTTATACCCATCTTGTACACAACTGTACGGCTAGATGCACACAAATTCTGCCAAAATTGGTCGCATCAGAGAGTTCTGTTTTTCCGGACGATTGACGAAAACCTGTCGCTCAAGCTGCACATCAAAGATCTAACAATAAACTGGGATTTCGAATGCGTGGGGATGGATACAATCCGATATCTTGCCAAATTGCCGAGTCTAGAGCGTTTGGCACTCTGGAAAATGAAGGTTGAGCCTGGAATGATAGCTGGTCCTTTGCCAGTAAGCAATTCCTTTCTCATTTGCGTGTGGGCTCTATGTCAATATCTTCCTGGAGAACGAACAGGCTTTCATGCTGTGTGGGAAAGGAATAAATGTCTCGCAAGACCTATACTACCAAACCAAAAGAGCCCAAGCGCTGGTTCAACTTGACCTGAAGTGACCAAGGCATTTCGTCTCTTATGCTTTTGGGGGTAATTCTTCTCAAAGTCTCATACTAACCCATAGTACCTAGGAAGAGAAGGGAACATCAAGCTTGACCGATGTCAGCTTCAAAACACTACACGCCAAACCTGCAGATATCAAACCTCTCCTCGAATGGCCGCGAAACCTTCAATCTTTTGACTTTGGTCACATGTCATTCGATGGATACGATCCTGATGAGCCAGAAGCAGAATTTGACTACGCCAAATTTCCGGATGCACTCGAATCACAGCGGGAATCGCTACGTGTTCTCAAGATCGGATACCTACCTTATTATAATACTGAGTTGCATCAATTGTCAACGCGGCTCTTCCCCCAACTACACACCTTGACCTTGAACTTGGTCAAAAAGCACCCATGCCCCATAACGTTGAGCAACTGGCTCGGTCCCTCTCTCCACACGCTCATCCTCGATTTTCATGGGGACTCACAGTGCGGACCATTCAGCACATTTGCTGCGGTAGAAACGCAAAAGATGATGAGAGTGGGGAGATGAGCCAGGAGGACCAAGGAGCGCGGTGGCGGTGAGAGTTTGAAGAGGATAGGGATTAGAGTATTTGTCGATGATTCAGAGGAAATTGGGGATGTGGTTGTGGAGGAGAGACAGTGTGAGCACAAGAATAGAAGCAAGAAGCTTCTCGCTATGGCATTGAAGTGTTTGGAAAGGGCCGGATTTCAGTCATTTTGGATTGGGGCGAGTGGAGTTGAGCATACTGCGAGGGATATTCGAGGGTTCTGTGAGTGCGATGATGAGGCACATGGGTAACAGAAGAACATCCTTCAAGCCCTAGGGCGTCAGGATAAAGTACCCCAAGCATTTGGCTAAACTAGAACAAAGTAATGAGATTATTTCGTCTCTTATGCTTACAACAGGCGACTCTTTTGACGCCTTTGCACGAGGCTAGGTGGACCCTGCCGCAGTGGGATCCATTAGGCTGCGCAAGAGCTCAATCATGATAACACGTATATCTGTGGCCGTGGAATCCTTTGACGTCTGAAGGGCTGCTGCTGTGAAGGCGGATTACGTATCATATGGATGGAGCCGACCAGTTATTTCAGTTTCTAACAAGGAAAGGCATCTGATAGCTAGTCCAAACCTTCTGTTAGGGCAGGGTAAGGAAAGAAAAAAGGGTTTGTAGGCAGCGTAGTCATGATGCTTTACAAAAGTGTAAATATATTTATAAATCTCTTCTGATGGATATTTGCTTCCAACTTCACATGGAGAACTACAGTCATCAGATCTCATAATGGCTATTATTCCGCTCGCCGCATTGTGGGTGTTCTACCGCCGCTTACACTTATTCTGCTTGAAAGGGCCACAATGTCATTGCAGAAAAAGATATCACTTTTATGAATCTCTCATAAAGCTCTTCCGGACTCCCAAAGATGACAGCTGCATCCTACGCATGCCGGATGAAATCTTGTGCCTCATTGTCGAAGAGGTTGCGCAACTCGACCACAAATGGGCGATGAACAAGGTCTACTACACCAACAAGTACAGGGAGCGTCAAGCCAGACACAATAACCATCTTCGTCGGGGACAAGTGGATGTCGAAGGACAGTACGCTCTCGCGCTTACGTGCCGCCGCCTTCACCGTCTGGCGATGCCCCTCTTGTGCGGAAGAGTCGTCCTCGATTCTTGCGATCCTTTCCACCATTGCGCGCCCCAGAAAGACCTTTTTCTCAAGTCCCTCGACGAAAGTCCATGGCTTCAATTATACGTCACGGACTTAACAGTGAATTGGAACGGAAATACGATGGCCAGTGGGGAGATCAAATTACTGATTAAGTTGCCGAATTTGCAACGATTGACACTCGATTCGCTCGACCTTTGCCCTAGGGACCTGGACTTCGGTCCTTTGCCTGTGAGTAACAGTAGTACCTGATCCTTTGCTGCCAGACCTCCGCTGACTTTGGCCTACAGGCAGAGAAGGGAACGGCGAACGTTTCTACCCTCAAGTTCTTGGCTCTACGCGCTAGGCCTAGGTCCATCAGACGTCTACTGGAGTGGCCAAGTGCGCTTCACAGTCTCGATCTGAACATCATAGCTTATAGAGAGGACTGGTTTCATCCTCACTCTCATTCCCGATACTGGACAACGGACAGGCTAGCCGACGTACTCAGGCCACAGCGCGAGTCCTTGCGCGAGTTGAAGCTGGGGTGGTTAGGATTCGCTTTTCGTCACCACAAATTCACAACATGGCCGTATCCCAATCTACACACATTCACCGTAACTGTTACAAATTCAAAGCCATCCTCGAACGGTTGTGCCAGATGGATAAGCCCTAGCCTTCGAACGCTCATCCTCGATGCCCACCTTTGTTGTAGTTTTGGGTTCGATATCTGTAGCCATTTTAGCGAGCTCGATATCCTGTGGACCCTGGACAATGGTGCCTCCGCCGGTGCGATCAAGAACGAGGAGGGGAGACAACTCGAGAGAATAGGTGTTCGAATATTCGCTGAAGACCGGAACCGCCGTGAAGCCTTATTCGAGAAGGAGCGGGCGAATATGCATGAAGATAGCGAAAAGCATAGACTCGTAGTCTTGCTCGAGACTTTGCAGAAACATGGGTTCAGCACTTTTTGGATTGGGGCGAGCGGTGTTGAGTACACAGCAAGAGAAATGCGGGAATCATGCAAGTGTGCGAGGTGTGTACCGTAGTTTCTTGCCTGGTTCGACTTGCGCACCTGGCTTATTGGGGTTTTACTTCACTGGAGAGGTCGCAGTTGATGATATGGAAAATGAGATTTATCTGGGGCTCACTGGTTAAAGAAACCCCCAGCAACAGAAAACCTACTTTCCATCGAAAGCATCTATCAGATAACAAAGAAAGGGAGTGTGACGTCGATATAAAATGATTATGCAGACTGATATCGTGGCCCTGATTCGTCATGCTGTATAATGTGCTTGGATAAGTGCTGACAAGTGATTCGCGATAGTTTCATAAGGCGAACACAGTGGCGTCACCAAGCCCGTGATTGGCTGCGTTAATTCAAACTTCCTGACTCGTTGGAACAACACATAACAAAAGCAAATAAGACAGTTGCACAGAAAGCAAGTGACGGAACAGCCATGTTCAGGGAAAGAGGTGCCTGTTCACGTGTATCGGGTTTCTAAATTTGTAAAAACATTAACGCCTCAGGATATGCCGAACAACCACGCAATCACGAACTTTGTCAGTAATCTCCCCTACAATTTTTTCCCTCTACCCGCAATCCCCCAAACACATTCAAAATGCGTCGAGTTCCCTATCACGCGTGCCAACCGATCATCATCTCCGGCCCTTCGGGCGTCGGAAAGGGCACACTTACCACCAAGCTTCGAGAAACACACCCCGACAAGTTCGCAACTGTCGTATCACACACGACAAGGCCACCTCGACCAGACGAAATTGAAGGTACCCACTACTATTTCACGAGTAAATCTGACTTCCAAGCTCTCTATGCACAGGGGATGTTTGTCGAGTGCACTGATTACAACGGACATTACTACGGCACATCGCTCCAAGCAATTCAGGATGTTATTGACAGAGAAATGACTCCGTTGCTTGACATCGATATGGAGGGGGTCAAGGCGATGAAGACTTTCAAGAAACAGAGCGTGAAGTATGTCTTCGTCCAGCCGCCAAGTTTGGTAGCTTTGGAGACTCGGCTTCGAGGTCGTGAGACCGAGGATGAAGAGAGCATCAAATCACGACTCGCGCAAGCAGTCCTCGAGCTTGAGTACGCTGCCAGGCCAGGTATCTACGACCTGACCATCGTCAACGACGACCTGGAGACCGCATACCAAACACTCGAAAAGTTCGCCCTCTCGACCGAACCACTCCCGCCGAAAGAAAAGTCCCTGCGCAACAAGGTGGAAACATTATTCGAAGAGATCAGGCTACGATGGGTCCACTGATACCCCTTCTCAGACAGCTTAGATCGATCCAAACAATTTTTTATTGATTCGTTCGTTGCTCGCTATTCATATCCGAGCTCTATTCCTTTGAAAATGACAATCTAGTATGTATGATCCCTAACAGTTCCTAACGAGTTGTGTGTGTTTCCTCATGATGTTCATGTTGATATTGTATGTCGTTTGACTAAAATGCCTTCCAGAACGCCGTATTCGTTATGCAATAAATATCTCCAAAATATCCTCCTATTTCGTAATGGGCTTAGCGACTGCCTCGTCGGCGCCAGCGACGTTTGCGACCTTCATGCATTGGGATCGACTGGTGTTTGTTGACCACGAGATCCATTTGTGATTCGGTGGCAGCTCGTTTGATCATATCCGTCGATGGGCCATTTGTAATTTCCTCAATCGTCATTCCGGGCTTCTCATCCTCGATCATATTCATCTCGATCGTCTCTCCAAGGCCAAGCACTCGTGGAGTATCAGAGATCTGGAGCTTGCCCGACAAGCCCATCCACTCCAGTGCTTTCTCGAACAGACTTGACTCCGGGGGACTCCACATGCCGACGTCGAAGGTGAAGTGCTGCTGGTCGTCGGGGAGATTCAGCCACACGAAGGGTCTGTTGCTGTTGATTCGGCCTTCGATAACGAAATCACCAATCTCCTCGGGGATCTTGATGCGATCAGGGATCAGAATCGTTTGGTAGGCTGGAATGATGAGGTGCAGCTGCACGGGTTTGCAGTGCTGTCGTCTTCGTGCCTTGACCATTTCTCGTTTCGTGATGCGCTCTCGAGCGGCGAGCATGAACATGAAAACGGTGTCGAGCTGGTTGGTGTATCCGCAGAACCTCGGGCTGAGCTTCTTCTCTTCGATAAGGTGGAAGAACTTGGGATACCAATCGGTGTCGGGATGCCAGAGAAAGAACCAATGCTCTCGGTCTTGGTCGACGCTGGTTTGGCTGAGTCGCTCTCTTATCATGTCGAAAACATATTGTGGAAAGTCTCGCTGTGCTGTAAGAGCAGCCTGGGCCTGCAGAGTATCCGAGATGTTGCCCAGCTTAGCAGCGATAAGGTTCAAGGCCTGGATGCCTTGGTATGTCTGGATGATGTTTGCCCCCGCGCTCAACGTGGTGGCGACAATGGAAAACTGGTGAAAGAGCTTGGCGCTGTCGACGAGGGACTGACCCAAGATGTGCATCTGCGGGAGGATCACCTGGGCCGTTTTCACGGTCTGGGACGCGCCCGAAAAGAAGTCATTGGCATGGCCAACAACATCTCCAACCTTGGCGAGCTTGTTGGCGGCCTGAACGATCTTGATGACGGGCGACGCCGAGGCGCAGGTGCTTGCAACCTCTAGAGCAGCTGATTGGAACCTCTTGTCGCGAACTGCTGTACCGAATAGTTCTCCGAGGCCCATGTTTTAGATAAAGAGTGTATGTAAAGTATGGATTTGGTTAGTAGAGAATGAGTGAGAGACGAGACGATGGATATTGGATGTCCAGTATGTAGGAGCAAGCGTCCAACGTGGATACTGAGCCAAAAAGGCGGTAACTGAAGATGGATACGCTGATCGAGAGGAGGCCTCTTATTGGACAGGGGATGGGAGGCCACCAATCATTGCGCGCCAGCTGGTTTTGCGGCCCAACGCGGTAACGTGTATCATGGAGAGGAGAGGGGAGTCATCATGCCATGGCAGTAGAATCTTTAGAATGACGCATACGAAATGAGATTCGGGGTCTTTAGCTGAGAGACTCGGTAGCTGAATTGAGGTTTTTAATGTGGATTGGACTTGTCTCGCTACCTCGTTGAAATGTCCACCTTGGCGATGGCGTGAGGTACCAGGGAGGGAGCTTCTGTGGGGTCCCAATTTTCAGGGGATGTTCTGATTTTTACGTCCAAGCTTCACCAGTCAAAGGCGTAGGGTAGCTGAACTCATAACAGTCAGCCACAATGAAACCCTGGCGTACACTATTGAATGTTTAAGAACGAATGATTTATTGATTTACAAAATCATAATCAATTAAACTAATATTACAGTTGGTAAAACAACGACAGGCTCAACTTCACGCCTCCCAAGCAAGCTCATGCAAATCCCGACGCGATTGCTTTTGCATCTTCGCCCAGGCAATGGTTCCTCCCAGCCGATCTCCAGATTCATAAAATAAATAGGTATTCTCCCCGGACGTGACAGGATCAGGAGCCGCAACACGCCCAACATCCTGTCCCTGTCCACGGGACTGATAAAACACGATTGGCTCCGATCCAACCTTTCTTAGCGTCGCATCAATTGTCCGAGCGTACATCTTGCCCGAAGACCCATGGTAAATGATGTAAGCTTGTCCTTTCCAGACCCAGTAGTTGGCGCCAGAGACGTTATCGCCTTCGACACTACCACCTGTGACGAGATAGTTTGAGTAGACGTCCCATTTGCGACCGTCCACTGACTCAGCGAGTCTAATTTTGCGCTTGTTGTTGCTTTCATTGGCCATGTAGAACATTGCGTAGTTGTACTTTGACGCTCCATTGGGATGGCTGAATACGCGAGCGTAGCTAGTCTCTGTAGTGCTGGAACTGGTCATGGCTGTTGAAACAGCTACACCTCCGTACCGAAAGTTGATACCGTCGCTTGACTCTGCCCAGCGCGTCTTTGTGTTGTCGCCGTGGAAGTAAAGGAACAAACGACCAGTCTCTGCGTTCCATGCGGCATCTGGACTGGATACATGTGGAACAGAGTAGTATGAGTCCCACTTGTTCTTGATAATCGGGTTGCTGGCATATTCTTTCCATGGTCCCTCAAGACTATCAGAGTAGGCTAGTGAGATACCACCTGGGTTCTCATGTGGTGCATAGTAGATGTACCATTCTGCAAGAGGGTTGTCTAGGTATTGTCCTGCATGGAACACACTAGGGAAGATGAATTCGTTTGTGGGATTGTACTTGAAGGTTTCTTTGTTGGTGACATGTCCTTTGAACCAGAACTTGGGCCAACCAGCAGGTGCAGCAGCTTGTGCACTTGCTAGAGTGACTAAGAGTGTTACGCCTAGTAGACGAAGCGTTGAAGAAGGACGCATTGTGTGGTGAATTATATATGAGAATTATAGGCCTTGCGATAGTGATACAGCAAGATCTACAGGAGATCCTCTTGAAACAGCAAGAGTTTCTATCCCTTATATACCAATTCTTCATTTATTAACTACCTATCATCTACACTGATCACTGATGATAAGTTGCACGGCATCAGACCGACACTCCCCGAAGGACGTCAGTTATGCCAGCGCATGACAGTCGCAAGGTTGGATCCAGCTTGCATTATGCGCATTTCAGGGCAGAGTCCTCAGTGGTCAGAAGTGAAAAAGAAACAAAAGGGTGGCCCTGTCGGGCGGTAAGGCTAATGAGTGCAACGTCGGAAACATCGCTCTGATCTGCAGTCCGGGGTAGGTACTTTCTCACCCATACTAATTTTAGTGAAAGGATGGGTAGTGTTGGGGATGGGTCGCCTGACACTCGCATGTGGTTTACAGCCCCTGCAGCGATGGGGATGGGGAATAACGCCGAATGACTTGCTGCAGGTTTAATGAGCTTTGGCATGTGCCTGAACCCTTTATCACCATGAAACGCGAGATCAGATCATGATGCTGACGATGGATTCAATTAAAATTGAAGCGCGTTTACGAAAATAGATGACGGTCAAGCAAGGCCTTTCATATGGGCTATATAGGTCGTGTTAAGGACTCGGATCCCTGACAGTGACATACTTGAGTACACTAGCCAAAGGATCAAGCTTACCAGGAGCTTGTACCAGAGCTTGACTGCGGCGAGCTCACAACGTCATAAGAAATCCTCTTCATCCTTTCTTAATGGTTTTGTATGTAATCACGGACGTAACACGGGAGTTGTCCGATCCATCCGGACAACTCACCAAGTGGTCGGGAGGTAGTACAACTCATTATCAGGCTTAGTCCAGGCCTCTTGTCAGCAATCATGCAAACTGCAAAGGTTCAACGAACAATAATCTCCGATTCGCACAATAACCTGTGACTTAGTAAGGATCCCACTCTCCGGCATATTCCTGCAATTAATATGCAACATCGGTATTATGTGAGAGCTCTGAATAGTTCGTCGAGAGCCTCTTTAGGAAATGTCCGAAATCGTTGATGCACTTGCTGAGTTTGAAAGTCCCATCGTCATGGAATGTGTTGGTGTATTGCTCGCCGTCTCATCCGATGCTCAAGCATATTGCTGAGCGCCTCATTGCCAATAGCTCACAGGCCTCTTGCGACATCATGCTCATCCTCCATATGACGAAAGGGAACAACGCAGCTTGCCACCAAAAGCAAAACCTATGGACAAGTCCCGAAAACAAGCTCTTTCTCGCTTCCAGCTTCTTCTCTACGGGCAGACTACCCAGCGACGTGGTCATCATCCCTTCGACGTGTCTAACCTTAGCGGCATGATAGGAAGAGACATGAAACACGCGAGGAACCTATAAAACCAGTCAGATATCATCAGTCTGTCATTCGTCGAGGCGAAAACTTGGCGGCTGACACAGTCCCGGGAATAAGAAGTGAAAAGGATGAGATTTAAACTTGGAAGAAGAGCCCTTGGCTTTCATGCACTAATTCCCGAGTCGTGCTGAAAATGTGTCAGCAGCTGAGTGGTGTTGTCAATTTGATTTTCTATCTTGTGATACGTCATAAGCTGATTGTGTTCTGCGACCGGAATAAGCTGTCGCACGACGCAATGCAAGAAGCAATTCGCGGAAGGTTAGCTGATGCGACAGGATTATTCTTTACTGCAAAAATGCCCGCGAGGCACGACATATTCAATGATTGGTAGAGTTAGGGTGCATTAGAATTAATTTGAATTGCCTTGCTAAATATCACAAAAGCAACCACCCATCGCATACCGTCTAATCCCACTCCACGGTTTACTTCTTCAAACCGCAGTTGGTGACAGGAACCTGAACAGCAGTTGCATCAACCCTTCCAAGCTTAACAGCCTGGTTGTTGGTCAAAGCATTCATAGCTGCCGGCGAGATGTTGAAACCCTGACTTGTGTGATCAATCGCCAGGATATTAATACTCTTTCCCTTGTATGTCAACTTCCAACAAGTTCCACAGTTTGGTGAGTTCCACCCAGGAATTGCTTGCGCGCCGCCGATGTAGGGGAATTTGGGGATCTGTCCTTGCTTCTGCCACTTGTAGCGGGTGATGAGACCGTTACTGCCGTCGGAGCAGGAGACAGCGGTCATGGCGCGGTTGGCATCACCGTAGCCTGGGTCGTAGCTTACTAAAAAAAAAATTGTTAGTCTCAAAATTCCTCTGTGTAGGTAGTGGTTGAGGTGGTATTTGGGCGGGCTTACCGGTAATGGCTGACACAGAGGTCAGAACAGAAGCGAGACAGAAGAGATTGGTCAGCTGCATTTTGATTGTGTTGAACTGTTGGATTGAATTGTCGCACGAGATTGAAAAGTGCCGAGCATCTGCCCTCTATTTATCCTTTCCCTCATGCATCCCTCATCTCATTCAAGCCGCTCGATCCGAGAATAACCTCGTGTTGTCGGAACACCATCACCACCACCCCGCCATGAAGCTGCAACACCTCGTGTTACCCAGCACCAAACATGTGGGGAATCCTGCGGTTCGGACCGCTTCAGGATTGGCACCATCAGATCAGCTGGGCTTGGATTGTTCGTAAATGAGTTTGCTAGTATGTGCCGTGTCTATTTGATTGGTTTGTGGTGGGGATTGAGTTCGTATTGGGATGTTCGAGAACATCTCGTATTCTACGGCACAACAGCTGGTCATGAGATGGGTTCGGAAATCCAGTACGAATGAGGGCATTGGAATGAGGGGAATCGTATAGATCTGCCGAGATGGCTGATCTGACGTCAGAAACGTTGATCAAAGCGCAGGAATAAAGGAATTGTACGAAAAAGAATGGTAAATGATGTGATGTAAGTGCCGGTAAGTGGAATTAGCGTTGTGTGTAAGTTGAGATGACGGTGAGAGCTAGACGAGGTGGGCTACCACGCTAGAAGATGGTCTAGATCTCTGAGCTAACACCTGGAGATGAAGCTCTTAAGATAGATCTGCATGCGACACGTGCAATTGGGACTGGTTTGAAAGATAACAAACTCAACTAAACGACATAGGATTCCACTTTGTCAATCATGCACCTCTACTTCCATCCCCTCCTCACCGCCAAGCATTAGCACCTCGTATCGATCTTAGCCCTCGATGGCATCAATGAGAGTCATCTTGGGATGAACATATGTACCATCAACCATTTCCTCCTCCGCACCATACCATCGCACTGAAGCGGTCCAATCAGCAACTGGTCACAATGCGGAATAAAGACTGGGCGACTTACTAGTAACTGAGATGTTTCCACCGCCGGAGTTGAGCGGCAACCAGCTGTCGTATCGTCAGTACTCATTCTGTCTTGGATCAGGCATCACTTACTTGTTGGTCCAGTTGGAAGGCGGCTTGATGTTCTGATCCTGAAGCAAGACCTGGAAGACTCCCTCCCCGCCAGTTTCTACTGGGCTTCCGTCAGGGAACGTCAAGTTACTCCTATCGCCAACCATGTACTTGTCCAGGTCATTCGGGATCAAGTCTTGATCGGGTCCGTAGGCGGTAAGACTCCAGAAACCTCCCTCTTTAATCTTAGGTGGTGCGGTAAAAGTCCAGAGAACAGATTGACCCTCTTCGACAGCAATGTTGGCGTCGAAATATCCAAATGCCGGGTATGCACACTCAGATGGCTTTAATGCGAGATAGGCCGTCAGGCCAATCTGGTATCGCATCTCATAGTTGGAATCGAAGCTACCGATGTATTCTTCAGAAATGAGAGTCCAGCCATTGCCGACATCTTTGCTAACCTCTGGTCTTTCTGAAAAAGCCAAGGCTGTCTTGTTCGCCATTCCGACGGCCTTTGTCAAGTCTGTACCTGCCGGTTGTTGGAACTTTCCGTTATTGAAGCCTGCCTTCTTGAGGTCTTTGGCAACGGTCTTGCGATCGGAGACGATATAGGGCGGCAGGTATGGTGTAAGAGCTGCGGCGGTGTTCATGACGGCCTGATACTGCGACTGGTTTTCGTCGGTATAATCAGGGTCGGTGAACATGGTGAGATTGAGAGCTGGGGCGACAGGCTTTCCGGATCGTCGAACAGGGCGTACGCGGAAGCCCTTTTGGAGCTCTGCGACAATAGCGACATCTTCTTCTGTGCGGTCGGTGACGATTCTCGCGTTTACAAGCCCGTATGCCATGGGGAAATTGATGACTCCAACGTAGCCTTCTGGTACATCATCGGTTTGAAGACCATAGGCCTTGGAGTTATACCGGACTAGGTAGTCTCCAGGCTTGCTCGCGTCGAGGTTACCAAGGTTGATCAGATTGTCGCCATAACTATATGTTGTTAGGTGTCGGCTTCACTCACAGTCGGCTGACTCACGGTGTGCAAAAGGGAAAGACCCAGTATCGACCCTCCGGCACCTCTGGTACGGTCACCTTGAGATCATTCGACGACAAATCCATGAACAGGATTGAGTACATGGTATCCGCGTTGGGTCGGACGACACCAACAGCGCCTGGCTCGTTTGGCTCGGAAGAGGGTATGTTGATGTTAGGCCTTATCGGGACACCTGCAGCGAGCAAAGGCCTGGCAATATCGCCGAAAGCGTACAGAGGGAAGCCATACTATTGCATGTTAGCGAATGACTTAGGCTTCGTGGCAAGGCTTGTGCCGACCATGTAGGCGAAGGAAAGCGCTTCTTGTACGCCATCATCTGGGCATGGTGTTGGTGTTGCGGTCGAGAGCCCGAGGAGAGTGCAGACTATTGCTACCGGCGACGCTTTCATCTTGAATGGGTAGCTGTGAACGATTGATGGTGATGAGTGATGTTGTCAATACGAAAATGCCAGTATTGGCCATTCTTATAGAGATTCAGTCAATTGATCAACAGGCACATCTTGCATCCGTCGTCACCACTGCCAAGCCACTCGTATAGCTATAATTTTAAATTCAACAAATAAGCATCCGAATTATCATCACTGCCTCGTCGTAAACCTGGGATTTGGGTGAAGGATTCGACGATCTTGACAAAAGTGGATGCTTTTGCTGACAGCTCAGCCCTGTCGCGTCGTTTAGATAGCGACACGATAAGCAATGCCGCAAACATGGCGATCTTGACCGGATTGGCAGTACAAAGTAAGATCTAAACTACACTTGGAATTTGATTCGATATGATGTTCATGCAATTCAGGGACGCGTTTGCTTATTCTGACGTCGGTAAAGCAGTTTGCGGCCGTGCTATACGGCTTGCACATATGTTTGTTAGTGATGCGACACGATGGAGGCGAGAAGAATTGACCTCTGAAGGCTTAGGCAACCGAAATAGAATTGCCATAGAATGTCTTAGCTAATTGACATCTTACAATAAGTCGAGTAGACAGCTGAAAAGACATATCATCAGATTGACCCTTGTCCCCAGAAGACTCCTCGGCCATTTGTGCCGACATAAACCAGTCCAGCCTCATTTCCACTTCCTGCCAACTTCGTCGATTCAATAGATCCAAAGCCCTTAGATCCCTGGATATCCTTCCAAGTCTTGCCCATATCAGAGCTACCATACAACCTTCGTCCAGCAGATCCGGCACCGAAAGCGTACAAGTTCCACTTACTTCCTGAACCCTTGCCAAGAGCAATTTGCTGTGTGTTGGTCAGACCAGATCCGACTTTGGTGAACGTATCAGCGAAGTCGGTGCTGCGGAAGATGCCCGCGTCGGTAGAGACATAGACCTCGCCTGCCTTTGTAGGATGGGCGGCGATGTCGCGAATTGACTTTGCTCCGTCAAGGGATCCGGCCTTGGAGAATGTTGAGGCAGTGTTGTTGGAGACGTAGAAGGTGGATCCAGATGCGCCGTAGAAGACTTCATTTTCGCGCTTGTCACTAGCGACAAGTGATCCAGAAGGTAGGCTAGATACGGACGAGAAAGACTCCTCTTTCTCAGATCGCAAAACGCTCTTCGTTTCGGTTGACCAGAGCACGACGTGTCCGTCAGCGGAGATAGCGATATAACCTCCGTATTGATTGGCACCAGCACCACCGTGAGCCTTCCATGACTTTCCTCCGTCGGTGGAAAGGGCAGCCATAGGTGCTTCACCGTCAGTGTTACCAGCTCGAACAACGTTGCCAACTTTGTTACCAGCATAGTCAACACTGACAGAGGTTGTGAACATAGGGTTGTCCCAAGCAGACTGAGGCGACTTGTTCAGTGCGGCCTTGTTCGCAAATGTGAACCCACTGTCATCACCTACAGCAGCAAGAAGATCGCTGCCTCCAGGTGCAGACTTGAGATCGAGTACAGCAAACTCCTCGATGCCATCCGCCAAAGACTCGATGGTGACTTTGTGCTCAGTATCCCACTTCGTGAGGTCATGGCCACCGTAGACGGTAAGACCAGTAGCGTATAGCCAGTGGTTGCTGTCGAAAGGATTGATAGCCAAAGCTTCAACCATCCAGCCCAGGCGCTTGGTGTCTTGTGAGACAAAGTTCTTGTAGATCCATGGAGCTTTGGGAGTGGAGATGCTGTAGTGATAGTCAAGGCTGCCCTGAGCGTTGTAGTTCCAAAGCGTAGACCACGTCTTGCCTGAATCGGTAGATCGCCAGAACTGAACATCAGGGTACCACGAGTTCAAGGCGGCAACAACAAGAGTTCCAGGCTTCTTTTGATCAAGCGCCAAACCGCCAAAGCCGTGGTAGATATCTCCAGGTGGCGTGATATCCTTCCACGTGTTGGCAGCCAAGTCGTACCTGTGAACGGAACCGTCAGTTCCGTCAAAAGGTCCAGCACCATCGCTGTAAGAGAGGTACAACGCCTTCTCCTTAACCGAGATACGGCCCTTATGCGGCATAAACTCCTTGGGCTGGCCCTCAACAGGCTTCCAGGTCTTACCAGCATCATTGGTGACATACAAAGAAGCAGTCTTCTTGTCAGCCACACCGACGAAGATTCTTGATGTAGCGCCATTGACAATGGAAGAAGTTGGATCAAAAGTGACGAAAGTTAGGCCATGAATGTCGTTGTTGTAGCCAGACGAATCACTCGGATCAGGAATCCAAGTTCCAACGTTTGTGAAGGAAGATACTTTAGAGAAGCTCTTGCCACCGTCGGTGCTCTTCCAAAGACCGTTACCACTTCGCGCACCGAAGTAGATGATCTTGGAATTCTTGGGGTCAACGGCGAGACGTTCACCCGTGCCCCGGCCGGGCATGTTGCCACCGACCTTAAAGGGGAGGGTGGTGAAGGACCATGTGTTACCTTTGTCATTACTGATACCAATGGCTCCATTGTTAGGGTCCCTGTGACTTTGTTAGGTGTGTGTCGAGGAGGAGGACTAGCTTGCTTACCAGCTGTTTGTGTACAGGCCTGCAGCAGTGTATATCTTGTTAGGGTCCTTAGGATCCATGGCCATGGCATCGATACCCCAGCGGCTCCTTCGAGAAATTAGTCCACGAACCCATAGCTAGAGGAAGTTGAATGAAATCATACCATGTTGCATCCACTCCCGTGTCATCTGTGACAGGCGTCCAAGAGTCATCGGGATTGAGACGATACAAGCCACCGATGTCTGTACGCAGGTATGCAACACCCTTAGCATTAGGATGGAACTCAATGCCAGGAGAGAAGCCTCCGCCGCCTCCGATCTTGACATTCTGCCATTTCAGAGCGGCCTGGACAACGGTCGCCGAAGCGAAAAGAAGAGAGAGTAACTTCATGATTAACGAATGGCCATACACCAAAAGACATCCTATAATTCATGGTACTATTACTGGCCTTTTATACAGAATTTGCCTACCGTATACTCGTATTCTCGGTTTCGCGATTCGAGGTCATCTGCCAGTTCGGATATTAATGCTCCGTGCCGAAACAGGAACATATGCAGGGGTACTAACTTTTTGCGACGTTTGGAGATGAAGGTTTACGGAGCTCGGCAGCCTTGCAGCAGTTTTAGGCAACGCGCATAGTATACCTATTTTTCCACCTACCAGTTGGAGCTAGCATCTCCTGACTGGGAGGGCGGCGGTTACTTAGAGATGAGGACAGATTCGGGGTGGCGGCCCGTGATATATCGCGCGGCCATGTATCGATGCCGCGTCGGCAGTGCATTTCAGGCTGAGTGAATAGCCTTTAGATATTTGCGATAAATTATGAGCTTCGCGAAGCTATCGTTAAGAAGGGTGGAGTAAAAGGAATTAGTTGGGCCGTCCTTGCATTCAGCATGATGGCCTACATTGACTGCCTTCAACCAGTTCGAATCCAGAACACTCACTAATGAAACCACCACATGTACGTCGGATATATGTTATAAATCTTGGTCTTTTGAAAGAGTATATATTTTGTAGAATCTAACGTAAACTTCATCTTGTTCAGATAAAAGCACTTTACACTTTTCTCGAAGCATCATAATTCTAATGTCTGCGTAAAACATACCTTCTTTTTCTTTTTCTTCTCTACCATAAAATGAAGTGCTCACCTAGATCTAAAACATTCTTGTTACTAGTTTCCATTCAACCTGTTTCTCGTCCTTAACCAACGTCAACCACATCACCCAAACCACTCATCACTAACAAAGTTACCACAAACAATGGCGCTCTTTAACATCTTCATCTCTTTCTTCAGAAACGCTATGGAAGACGGGGTGTTAATCTCCTTTGGTGGAGGAGATACGACCCCTGATGAAAACGCCTTGGAACTCGAAGCGGCCCCTCCTAACCTTTACACGTTCTCGTTTACTCTGCCATAAGGTCGTCCTCATAGAACAAAATTGCTAGATAGCTGGGCATATGTCGGACGATATTTGTATCTACTTTGACGCTCGGATGCACTACAATTGTCGAAGGTGACGCTCTCTATATTACAGGTTTCAACGTCATACGGATCTACAGCTATCATGAGGCGCGGTTTTTCATTGCAAAGGCGTCGCTTCGATTCTTCATTGACCTTTGTACGAAATACAGTATATGAACCTCGATTCGACTAGCATTCTTCTATCTGCCTACCACTCCTCATTACCCATGCCATTTTACTCAACACCACACCCATTTTCCGAATCCGCTTTCCTCCCCCTCCCACATGGCAACATATCGCCCGTTCTTTTTCGCCAGGGCACCGTCAGCCCTTGCGTTGCCACATCCTCGGCACATGAAGTCTGATCGGGCGTTTTCATGGCCGCACACTTGACCATTGACAACCCAACGACACACCCAGAAATCGAATCTGTCTTCGGACACGATGAAGAACTCCGGTTTTTGTTTTTATTTTTATTTTTTGTTTTTTGTTTTGCTTTTTGTGTTTTGGTGCAATGCTTCTGTTGTTGACTGTTGTCTGGTTGTTCTGGCTACATCCTGAATCCGTTATCCTTGGTGTCCATATACGCACGGGACGACCTCAAGCTGTAGTGACGAGCAATAAGCATCGACTCTGAGAAAGCGACTTTGACATAATGTCAGAGCCATTGATCGCAATCATTCACTGGGTTTCGGTATTAGACGCCGAACATGTGCTTGTAGCGCCATGCGATTCAATGCGTTTGTTCGCTGTAGCATTTGGGACCCAGGGTCATGGTGACGAGAGATTCACCAAGGGCCAGACATGGGTGAACCAGCGACCCAGCAAGAATAGTATGCTGTTCACGGCTACTAAGGTTACATTGAGCAAGAAGAGCCATTGGTACCAGCAACCACAGACGCGCAGTATGGCCTTAGAACTTTACCGAACATAACTATCCATTACCGGTAAGTTATTCCGGCCCGGTGCGAAAGCAAAAGCAGAGGCAGTTCTCATGGCCTAAGTCTCGATATTGCTCTATGGGAAAGACAAGAACAGCAATTCCAAAGGAGGGAATGCAGTCTAGGGTATCGAAGGGGGTGCAGGCCAGGCGGAGAGGAACAACACCAAGACGAAAAGTACCATCTAGTCTAGGTCTTAGAAAAGTGTCTGTACGGGCAAAGGCGACGAAATGATTCGGTCACCTCCCTCGGAGTCAGACTATTACTGAGTGTCATTTATTTTATGACGCCCAGAGACACTGTTACCCAGCTCAAGCCCCCAAAATATGCGCCCTGACCCTGAGCATAATTGGCCAATGGGTGCAAAAAGAAAGCAGATTGACCCAGGATGTGTACGAGACAATGCAATCCACTTCTCAAGTCTTACTCCAAGAATCGAATTCGTTATCAGTTTTTTGGTCCAATCCTGAATTGTCCAATTGAATCATCGAATGCAAACACATTGACGCGTCCACAAAACTATCGACGATAGCGCGACGTCTCACATCACATTTTACGTTCAATAGTTCCACGCGCTCATGATTACGAGGCTTGCTGAGCTGAACCCCAGCTCCGATCATGACCCAATAACCCCTCCATTCACAGTACTACAACCAAGACAACCTTCCCCGCTCAGCCTGAGACAGAGTTTACGGTCAAGAAAAGAGCTGAGATTATGGCCTGTAAATCCATTCTCAATCGCGATGACCAGTGGAGATTTGACTGCTGTCAATGACGATCTTATGATGGACAGGATTGGCATTATAGCTCCCAGCTGCAGCTCTACGACTTATGGCCTCACCCGGTCGAGGCCCGACCCGCGATCGAAACGGCCCCTCCAATAGTGCGCGGCATTCGCATCAATCCACATTACGAAGTGTCATAGCGAGCTCCCATCTTTTCCTCTTTAGGTGACTTGAGCTGGGCTGAAATTCCTAGTCTGGTGTGATCATCCAAGACATTCCCCATTACCATGCGTCTTATCTTTGGTGGCTTGGAGACTTCGTCTTAGCTAGCTTCAATTTCTGCGGGGTATCAGAAACATCACAGATGAGACCAAATAGTCAGGCCACTTTGTGGCAGCTTATACTAGTGCTTAGACGATGTTATTATTGTAACCTACGCTGTAGGTCTCAAACTTAGACCGGAGACGATGCGGGATCACGTCAAGATAGCTCCCTTCGGGCGCACGGTCTAGATGAGGTCTCTCAGAGGTATGCTGAACCGGGGACACGGCTAGTATCCCAGACAGACTTTGACGAATTGGATTGCTTGCAAATAAGCACTGTCTTGATACTACATGTGAGAGAAGAAGAGTTTTAAAGAGCTCGGGTCCCAGCACCATGTGAGGTGATGTTCTATGTATCCAATTCTTCTCTGATTGTTTGAGAGAAGCATTTGTGTGATATTTTACCTTGTATAATCACTTATGGAGACATAAGAAACTTGATCATCCCATCTTATCTCTTATCTGGGACTCATCACCATGTCTGAGTCTCAACAATCCCTCGTCAATGGCCGTACTAACGGCTACGCCAATGGCCGGACGGCAGAGGCTTCTGAGTGGGATGCCAAGATCCAAAAGCTCAATGGCGAGTTGAGAGACGCCAAGTATCTCGCTGGGTTCCATGGTGATACCCTCATCGGAGTAAGTCGTCTTGGCTGTGCAATCCACTTGTACTAACCCTGCGATAGGACAAGTTCAGGCCTGGTGTTGGGTGGTTTGCCGATCTTAGAAGGATCTTGACATTCCAGCATCTTCCTGCTATCAAGAACGTTTTGGTCCACTATATCAAGACCAAGACTCTGGACGTAAGTTACAATGGCCATCCAATGGCCATCGCATGTCTATCTTACTGACCGCGCACAGAAAACAAATTTGGCAGAGCTGGTTGGCTCCATTTCCAATGATAGTCTTTTACGTGCCAAGTTCATCGAAACTGAAGTCAAGGCCAAGTACGAGCGCATGCTTCATCCACCGATCACCTACCTCGGCGATGCATTCAAGTATCGTACCGCCGATGGCAAGTTCAACAGTGCCATGCATCCTCAACTTGGTCAAGCAGGTGCACCCTACGCTAAGACAGTGCCTAGCAAGACCCACCCATTGGGAGCCCTGCCTGATCCAGCCGATCTCTTCGATCGTCTCATGGCTCGTGAAGATCCCGGACCAGATGGCAAAGGCCGACCTAGCACTTCTGGTCTGTCAAGTATGCTGATTTATCATGCTACTATTATCATTCATGACATTTTCAGGACCAATGATGCTGACAAGAACATCTCGGACTCGTCTTCCTACCTCGACCTGTCGCCTCTGTATGGCTTCACTGAGGAGATGCAGCGCAAGATTCGAGATGACAAGTACAAGCTTGGTCTTCTTAAGCCTGATACCTTTGCCGAGGATAGGCTCTTGAGACAACCTCCTGGTGTCTGTATCTATTTGGTTATGTACAACAGATATCACAACTACGTCGCGACCCAACTCCGACGCATCAATGAGAACGGTCGGTTCTCGGTGCCAACCAAGTACCAACTGGCACCACTTGCTTCTGCCGCTAAGGAATTCGTCAAGAACCCCGACAAAGATTTCCAGGAAGCGCTCTGGAAGCAACACACCACGTGGAAAGACCGTCGCTCTGCCGGTATTGACGATGATGACGACAATGATGAGGAGTACGAGGATGTCTGCGACTTCCTCCGCCAGCGAATCCTCGCTGCTATTGAGGAGGGCCTGAACAAGCAGGGTGAGCTCCAGAAGGAGTTGTGCCGTTCTGTCACTGGCAAAGAACATGAGGTCGAGGCTGATAAGAGACTGAAGAACATTAACCCTGAGGGTGTTCTTCAAGAGTTTCTTAAGGCTCATGAGGCGGCTTGGGATAAGCTTGATGAGGACTTGTTTCAGACTGCGCGACTGTGAGTCTCATCACCAACCCCCGACCCAATGATGGCTACGTGCTAACATATCGCAGGATCACTTGTGGAATGTACATCCAGATCTCCATCCACGATTATCTTCGAGCTCTGATGGGATTCCACAACTTCGACACCAACTTCACACTCGGTAAGTGTTTTCAAGCGACCCAGCCTTCAGCAACCTTGTTTAGCATCACACTAACACTTTTCCAGATCCTCGAGTCGACATGAAGAACCACAAGAACGTCTCACGGGGCTTAGGTAACCAAGTCACCGTCGAGTTCAACCTCCTCTACCGCTTCCATTGTGCCATCTCAATGAAGGACGAGAGCTACGCTGAAGCTTTCATGTCTGAGCTCTTCGATAAGGACGACAATTGGGACCCCAAGTCCATGGGTCTGCCTCAATTCATGCAGGAAATGGGTAAGACCAAGGCCAAGGAGAGGGTGAAGGAGCCTCTTGAGCCATGGCAGCAGGAGTTTGGTCTCCGCAAGGAGGGACACTCTCGATTCAAGCCTTTCAAGAGGAACGAGTATACCGGTCTGTTCAACGATGAGGACATGGTCAATGAGTTGACCAGCGCTATGGACGATCCCATCGGTAAGTACCTCACATGACTTTATGACTGTGAAGCTAATCTTGTTGCAGCCAACTTCGGTCCTCTCAATGTTCCTCGCTGTCTGAAGGCCGTCGAGATTCTTGGTATCATGCAAGCCCGTAAATGGGAGATTGGAACCCTTAACGACTTCCGAGATTTCTTTGGCATGAAGCGGCATGCTTCCTTTGAGTCCATCACTCCCAATGAGGAGGTCCAGAACGCTCTGCGCGACTTGTACGAGAACGTTGACAAGGTCGAGCTTTACCCCGGTATCTTCTGTGAGACCAACCAGGCCAACCGTCAATTGAACGCGGACCCTGGTCCTTCCGATTTGGACTCTGCGCTCTGGGCGGCCATCTTCTCTGACGCGATCACTCTTGTTCGCTCCGATCGATTCTACACAGTGGTAAGTACTGACACTCAATCACATCCAACCACGTGATTAACATTATCGGCAGGACTGGAACACCAACTCTTTGACCAACTGGGGTATGGCGGAAGTCACTCCAGACAATGACGTCTGCAAGAGCTCCATGTTCCATCGCCTGATTCAACGAGCCTTCCCCGAGTGGTACCCCTACGACTCGATCCGCTTCTTCCATCCATTCTACACAGCCGAGAAGAACGCCGAACTTGCAAAAGCGCAGGGATATGACAAGGAGTTCTGCATCAAGACTACTCCCTTGAGGAAGGCCAAGAAGAACTCGCGCGGCGAGGCTACCAATTTTGACTTCGAGGTAACTTCTTCTAATCCTCAGAAGCCAAGTAAGACGGTGTACTTGACCCACAGCAGTGACATAAAGCGTATTTTGGAGGATACCTCTGATGTTCTTGTTCATCCTGCTCGAACAAGGATCTCTGACCTTCCGCCGGTGATCCATGATGTTTTGAAGCCGGGCCAGAACAATGACCCGAAGAAGAACGGCGTGTCTCAGACTGCTGCTGCGAAGCACTCCACCGTTGACCATGAGCACATCCAGTCGTACTTGGTCAACATTGCGCGTAACATCATCAAGCGCGAGGTTGTCACTACTGATAAGGACAAGGGTATCTATCAGCTCGATATCGTCCGAGAGTAAGTTCACATCCTTGCTTCCAAATGCGCCTCTAACAAGCAATAGCTACGCCATCCCTATCGTCACCCGCTTCGTCGCCGACTTCCTCGGCTTTGGCCACCTCCTCCGCAGCGACACCAACTCGCACGCACCTTACTCCGAGAACGAGGTCTACCAGCACATCAACAACTGTCAGGTCTTCCTCTCCTACAACACCGATGAGACCAAGCTTCTCAAGCGTCGCAAGGCGTTCCGAGACTCGATGAGCTTCCTACTCAAGTTGACTGAGGAAGGTAACATCCGCGAGGCTGGCAAGTGGCGCACCACACGATGGGTCCAGGGCTTCTTTGGGGCTGTTGCTTCCCTCAGTCAAGATAAGCCTAACTTCATGACGGCTTTGGGTTACAGGGTTGCTGGTGAGGTTCTCCAGCGGGAGACGAACACGAGCAAGGCGGCGACCATCCTCCTCTTGACTGGATTGGATAGCGCCTACAACGTGGTACTCGCGGTAAGTCCACTTCTACGGCTCACCTTAGGGAATTTGGACTAATATATCCACAGTTTACCTCGGTCATGGAGTCCTTCTTCAAGGAACTTTACGCGAAGTATCCAAGTAAGCCCTGGGGTAAGGTGGTTAGAGACTCCTGGCTCGAAATCCAGAAGCTTGCCTTCAATGATGACGCCGAGTCCAACGAGCGCATCCAGGCTCTTGTACTCAAGGTGCAAAGATGGAGTGTTAAGCTGCCAATCGTTCGCAAGGCTTCTCGGGAAACCACGATCCAGGCTACTAACGATGATGGCAAGCCTGAGCAAATCAAGCTCGCCAAGGGCACAGTAGTTGTCTGCGACATCGTGAGTCGAGGTCTTAACATCTTGCTGGGAGCATTTACTGACACTACTACAGAAACTGGCCGAGGAGAACAATGATTCTACGAACGCTGATGAGCGTAAGGAGCTCAATTACTGTTCCAGCTTCGCCGAGGCTTTCAGCGAGTACCACCCCAAGCATGTCGCTGCGACAGGCCTCGTCACCATGGTCAAGGTTCTGGCTCAGCTCAAGAATCTCAGACGTGGCCATGATACGCAGGGCGTCTCTAAGAAGATCAACATTGATTCCTCTAGTGTTGGTTACGCCAACTACATGGCCCCCATGCGTCTCACGGAGATTGACTTGAAGTTGAAGAAGGCTGAGGAGGACAACAAATTGACAGCACAACAACGCGAGGCAATCTATCCCTCTGGAATCAGGAAGCCTGCTACTGCCACTTATCTTACAACTGAGTGGGATGAGATGGTTCCTTTCCCTACCAGTAAGCTCAACCACACATCACTTGTGTTCCACAATACTGACCATCTACAGCATGGAAACTGCGATTCGATGGCTATGGTCTCTCAGACTACAGCAAGAACGACTACGAGGTACTTAAAGTATTTAGGATCCCAGACGACATTCAGCCATTCTACCAGCCGAATGGACCTAGCCACATCGGAGGATCTTTCGCTACTCCTGTTTGTGTCTGCCACAACTCATGGAAGAACAAGGGCAAGGGTCACGAGGGTCATGAGGAGACTGAGGCTGGCGCTCACGAGGTTCTTTCTGCTTGTGGACATGCACATGCGCCAATGCCAGCTACTTCTGGATGCAAGATTGGTTAAACTCCTGTCATGCGGCTGAGTGTGTTGGATATTGAGGCTGAAGGATGACATTTCGTATGATCAAAAGTGTTGTTTTATCAAGTACGCATTGCGGGCATCTCTATCACCAGATGTGTCATAAGCAAACCTCGAGTAGAGGCTGAAGGATTGACTAAATGTAATTTAAGATCTCGTGTAAATCGACCTAAATTGATCAAGTCTTTAGTCTCTTATGTTCAGAAGACAATGTTTACTCTGGTGGTCTAAGGATATCACACTCTGATTAATGTGAATATTTACATTGGGAGGATAACGTATATACTGGTGCTCGACATGTGATCAACCCTTCCATCGTACACCCACCCGGCCATTCCGATTTTCTCATCGCTGTCTTCTCAAGAAACCTCTCGCCTTCCCAATACTCAATGCCGGGCATATCCTCAAGCGCAAGCAGTTCTGAACTGGGCGTTCCATGGGCTGACGTTGGAGAACTTGCCTCCCGCATTACAAGGCTTGTCTGCGAAGAGAGCACGCGCATTCTCACAAGTGGTCGTGCACCCTGCTGGGGTGTTTTCCTGATCGGTCAGTCATGCTTTATGGGTATGTGAGATCAAATACTTACATCAACGCAGCAGTGAGAACCGTCAGAATAGAGACATTGGCAGAAGGCTGCGGCTTGTGCGCCCATGGCGATACTGAGGAGGACGGCAACGGTGGTGAGAAGACGGACCATTTTAACGCAGGATATAGGTAAGAAGGAACAAAGATAAGTTGTGATTGAAGTTTGAGTAGGGTGAGAAGCTTGTCTATTGGATGATAGTGATAGCAGCTTGCTTTATATCTGGACTGGCAGTTCTTATCATTCTCTCACACTGACAATAACTTGCCGATGGCTCTATCGGGTCAACAGATCGTAATGATAACAAACGGGTCCTTACGACTTGAGATATCCCAGCTGGAAATGAATGCTGCCTCACCTGGGTCGTGATATGTGGGATGCAAGGACAGGGTCTTGCTAGGCTTTACGGCAATAACCAACGACCAAAGCACGAGCCTGTCAATTCGGCAAATTCGGCAGTTCGTATCAGGGATCCGAAGTTTAAAGTTTTGACTACAATATCTGCCGACAAATTGGTTGTGACGCTGCATAATACCCATGTGGAATACGAAAATTGTATATTCCGGAGCATGAGTGCCAGTTCCGCTTCCTCGCCAACATTCTAACACCATCTTTCGTTCCAAATCATCACTAGAACACTTTGAGAGTTGGTAAATTGGAACGAATACCCTTTGGAACTATGGTCAGTCCATAAGGCTAACCGATTAATGGCATGACATAGCCATGAAGTAGGGATGACCCTAGCGGTAACGGTCATAGCTCACGAAGTGACATTCCTAGCATATATCTCTCAATTCCCCTAGCATCTCATAATATCCTAGCAAAGGTGATGTATGGAACCCGATAAAACCATTGAGAACCCTGAGAACTGTCAGGTGCCAAGCTAAGGAAAGCGGTAAATGAGGGTCTAGTAGAGTTGATTCGTGGAAGAATCATCGACACAATAACGGCTGGCTCTCCACAGCGTTGAGAAAGTTCCGTTATCATGACGATCGTTCGTTATCGTGCTGGAGTGCCGTGTCGCTCTCATGTATAAGAACATCGACATCCAAACTCAACACATCAATACACAAATCGACTACAGCCGTCTTCTCAACCTTCAGCCCAGAGTAACTGTACAAGTCAACACAATGGTTCGCATCACCTCTGTCATCACCTTCCTCCTCACCGCCGCCCTCGGCGTCCAGGCCGCTGCCACTTGCCAGTGTCTCTTCCAAGACGGCTCACACTGCTGTGTCTACTCTGTAAGCTCCCCTTCCAAAGAACTATAGAGTCAAGTACTAATAACATTCTAGGATGCCCGAGGTGCCGCAGAGAACTGCGATAATGTTTGTCGGGGCGCTCGCCGATCTACAGATAACGCTGCCTGCAATGCCAACGGCAAGTGGTCCAGTGTCAGCGCATGGAATGCTCAGTGGCGAACTGGATGCGCCAGGTAAAAGTCTCAAGACTATTTGAAGGCTTTTTCCAATTCTGTTGTTAGACGAATAGAGGACTCGCTTTGGGCGGTATTGTTGGTGTGGGTTGTTCAGAAGCACATAACAATTGATCTTTCTTGCATTTTATTCTCGTGTTCCACGTGTTTTGCCCCACATATACACTGACCGTTCTTCCTACATTTATGACCGACGAACAACTATTATGCCCAAGGCAAACACGGCTCTCTCACTCCATTCGCTGTTCCATTGATGAATATTCATACATCTTCTTCGTTCCTCCTTTCCTTGGCCCTCCATTCTTACGGGCAGTCAGGTTTTGTTTCCATACAAGGACATTGTTATCTCTGATAGTTATGTTCGCGGAATGGCATACTACGCACAACGAATTATCTCTTTTTTTAAAAAGGCAAGATTCCTCCGACCCATGGCTGTTTTTCTCATCAGACTAATCACTTGATAAACCAAAGCTAACACTACAACAGTCAGCTCTTCTTGTTGAGAATCCTTATCAAACCGCCAGTCGACCTTGAGATCTTATCCACGATGGCTTGCAGCGACGAATACCCGCAGGGGGAGATCTTCGCCAAGATGTTCTCCCCCATCCAAGAGCCGCAGGGCGATGAATCGCTTGACATCAAGAGTGTAAGCGAGCATCACTCAGAACAGGAGAACGTGGAATCCAAACCGCACTATGAGCCTCTCGATCACGAGACTCGCAAGCACATGAGTGAGAAGAAGAGGGTATATCTCAAGCGTAAAAGGGCCAAAGGGTGCAAGCTTGGGTATATCAACAAGAAGAAGGATGATCGGGCTCAGCGGAAGGAGGATACCAAGCAGGACAAGGCCGAGGTGAATGACATGGAGTTGTTTCACTTGTACGCCAAGGCCTGTTATGCCGATGGAGTAGCCGACACGTTGAATATGAACGGTTGAGGTGAGTAAATGGTCGAGATTATGCGCTGGACGCATCAACGATCTAACTTGGCTTCTGAGAAAGGCAAGTCTGGTAGAGTTCTTCTTTTCGCCTGAACAGAAATTTATACATGCATCTCTGAATTGAAGCTAGATACTCTATATTTTGCCTTATATACTGTGACATGAATAAACTAAGCCATGACTCGGTATACAGGATACTCATCGCCTACGTTGACTGACAGAATGTTGAACGTGACATACGAATCAATGTTCTCAGGCTCAAGAACAACAAAAGCATAAGCAGCGGCGGCTTGACGAGTGCTAACCCAGAAGCTGCCCGCTGGCATGGTAATCTCCTTGCGCTTTGTCTCAGTAGTCACGGTGTTGAGAACAGTGCCCTGGTAAACAGTCTTGCCTAGCTCAATGCTGGTGACGTTGAGGGCCTCGACCTCGCCCTTGAACTCGGTACGGAGCTGCTCGACCTCCACGCCGACGAGACGGAGACGGTCGGCGGCTTCTTTCCAGGCTTGGGGGAAGACGTACGCTTCGGGGCGGGTGCGGGTCATGTTGGCCTTGACGGGGGTGGAGCTGAAAAAGTTGACTGGAACCTTGACCAGTTTGCCGGTCTCGACCTCAATCATGTCCCAGGTTCGGTTCTCGGGTGGGTAGATATCGTTGATGACGATCTCAATATCCTCATCGCCCTCGATGTACTTGCGACGGGCTCCCTCGATGACCTCGTAGACCTCCTCAGCGTTGTCGGCGGCGGTTTGGACGATGGTTTCAATCATGGTGAGTCCAGAGGCGACACGTCGCTGGAAGTGCTGGCTACCAAGCATAATACCTCGAGTCTCGGTAAGGAAGACCATAGCCTGAGTGAGAGCCAGAGAAACATCACCAGCACGAGCCTGGGTGTCGAGTTGAGTGAACTCCAGAGGCTCGGAAGCGCTACCAACAATGTAAGGGCTCCAGCGCAGATTGCGCTTCTCCATGGCACCAGCAATTCTGGGAGCGAAGACAGATTCGGAGTACTCTCGGATATCCTTGTGAATGTTGAGGTTCTTCATAGCGTCAAACTGACCGTCCACAGCTTGGTGCCACTGCTGGTTGTCACCGAAAGGTCGAGTAGCGCTGTACTCGTGGGCATCAACAGCGATGTGAGGGTGGAAGTCCACGATCAAAGCCTTCACATCGCGAGTCTGCTGGGCAGCGAAACGGATGTGATCTCTGTTGGGATCGTAACCTGTGCCAAGAAAGCGCTGGAAGTAGGCAACACCATCGGGGTTATATCGAGGAAGGATCATGATGTCCATCTTCTCCAAGATTGACGCAGCCCAAGTCGCGTTGGCATCAAACTTGCCCAGCAGAGCAAGAAGAGCTTGGTCACCACCGGGCTCATTGCCGTGGACACCGCCCTGAAGATACACTCGGAGCTTCTCTGTTGCAGAGGAATTGGCTTTGATCTCAGGCTGAGATGACGTGGAGAGGTAGACGTAAGGCATCGAGCGACCCTCATCGGACTTAAACTTCGGGTTGCTGTACGTCAACCAGTCATTGCGGTTGGCAAGACTATGAAGGAAGTAGTCTGATCATGTTAGCAGTGTACAATACAAGTTGTTTCTCAACATACCCAGTGTCGCATCATCAGTTGGGCCAGCGGTGCCATTTTCGAACCCAGCAGGAATACTCTTGGGATCAGTGAAAGCAGGCGAGTGAAGCTCAATTCCTTCGACCTCGGGGAAGTTCTCGGAAGCCTCCTCACTATCCTTGACGACGGTCACTTGGTTGTGAGCATAACGCTGCTGCGCAGCCGCCAGGCCGGCGTACAAAAGCCCAGACGTGAAAACAGCACGGATCGACATGATTCAGAGTATCCTGTCGCATTAAAGTCACATAATGAGGAACTTCACGCATTTTATAGCTCGGCTACAGGTACAAAGCCCGTCCAATTCGTCCAACATCTCATCAGACTCGCAAATTGTTACCCCGCCGATCAGCAAGGAAGCTTATCACTCTAAAGTTGGCCGAAGATAAGCTTAAACCGTATAAAGCAGGTGTCTCAGAGCAATTGGGTCATTAAGCTCCGGAAGGTTGCAATCTGCGAGCGGGGAATGGATTCGCCAAGGCTTGACGATTGGGAATTATTTACCGCTTCTTGTTTTCGTGGTCGGGCCTTGATTAATCCCGGGTTCTTTTGTTGTTTCTGTGCTGATAAGATAAGCCCAGCCTCCGCTAAGAGCGCGATGGATTAGCGGGGTTGGGAAGAAAATAGTGGATGCTCTAGTGGCAGGCTTCTGGGTGACATTCTGTAGGGTAATTGACGGGCGAATGGATCATCGCTCTCGTCAGTAAAGAACAAGCGGAAAAATGACATTACTTACTTAATGAGATAACTTGTAAGGTTACAGTTACCGATTGTCTTTTTCTAGTGTACACACTTGAGTATTGTTTAAGTGCGTGGCAACTTAGAATTTATGATGTCAACTGAACCGTTTATTGTAAAGGTATTAGCGAGCAATGAAGTTTTCCCTTGGGTGTAAGAACAGGCTTTTCTTACCGAAACAACGAGAGATTCATAGGCCCAAAAGCAAGAATAGATATACTAATCTTGCTAGAACATTAAGGGCCCGTATCCGCGAAAGATATTGGTGGGAGAGGGCCGTTTCTCGCAGCCAACATTCGGTGGTGACGGGGTACATAAGTCTAGAGTTTAGCGCTCAACCCCAGCATAAGACAACGTGGCCGAGTGGTTAAGGCGATGCCCTGCTATCTCTTCTGAGACATCATAGGCATTGTGTTCGCACGCGTAGGTTCGAATCCTGCCGTTGTCGCTCCTCTTTTTGCTTTTTGTGCCACCCATCCCTCACACACAGTCAGCTTGAACACTCACTCCCTCTATGACTCTCACTCACGTATGCTATGTTGTAGCGAAGCAATTGTTCCAGCGCGTCGCTCTATCAGCAACGCGTCAGCGATATCATCACGTGTGCCATCTTACATTCTTCCCAGGTGCTTGCGGCGACAAAAAAAAAAACACAGCAAAGCGCGACTTTGCGAACCTTCCTTTGAGCATTTCTCCCAGAGACAAGCCAATTGACCAGCACCGAAGAGGCCAGTATCTCGCGCAACGGCATTGACCGCGAGGCTCTCAGGCCGTAATTGGAGCTCAGCTTTCAACAATCATTCGGGCGAATGGTTTAGTGGTATAATACTCCCTTAGCATGGGAGTGGTCCAGGGTTCGATTCCCTGTTCGTCCAATATCGGTGGTTAAATTCCACTATTATCCTCTCTTTTTGTGAATGTCACAACTCTCTTTTTTGCTCAGAATCGTGATGCGATTTGTAGTACTGCATTTTTCATGACCATGGAACAGTAGCACCCTTCTCATGGGACTCCCTCGCCAGCTCAATCACCCTCAGCACATCGCGCGACTGCGTAGGTTTGACAATCAACTCAGCCTTCCCATTGATAGCATCGGCAACATTCTCATAAAGCCCCATCCATCGACTAGGAAGAGTCGGGTAGCGACCAACATACTTTCTTGAAGCTTCATCCCAGTCCTGCACTTTACTGTCGAACTCTTCGTATGTGCTCAGAACACCTCGCATGCTCTCATATTCGACGCCAAACCCTTCGTCGGTGGGTTTGAGACCTGCGGCAATGTGGTCTTCTGTTATACAGGTGCTGCGTTGTTGGAACTGGAGCAATGGTCAGCATGAGGCTTTGAACGGATTGAGTAGGGAAAGTACCTTGATGAATGAGCCCTTTGTTCCGCGAACAAGCTGTTTGAGCTGTTGATCCATGGGCGTGACAACCGCTGTCTTGACCGTGACGAGGAGATCCTTCTGCGCGCCGTCGTACTGGAGGATGATCGTGAAAGAGTCCTCAACTTCACTCTCGGCATCGCGCTGTACACGGAAGAAACCGGTCACAGACTTTGGTCGGCCGAAGAGGACGAGAGCTTGGTCTAGACTGTGTGTGCCTGTCGTACTGTAAGTAAGCAGTCTCGGTGAGCCAAGGTGATCACGTACCGAGACCGTAGGACATGCCAGAGCCTGGAGTAAACTTCTTTCCCATACTGGACATCCATGATGGCGACTCGAAGTCATAATGTAGTTCGGCCTCCTTGATATCACCCAGTGCGCCCTTTTCGATTAGATGGCTGAGTGTTCTGAAATCGGCGTCCTTTGAGAGTCAGTGTCATGTACAGCGATAGAGGAACAAGGCCACGCAACTGACCCATCGTCGGTTCTGGAAACAAGTGACGATAAGGCCCTTTTCCTCAGCAACCTTGATCACCTTATCTGCTTCCTCGGAGGTCATAGTAAAAGGCTTATCCACGATCACTATCCTGCAATCAGTTTCTTAAGAGCAAGTGAATAAACCGTGCTCAACCTACCGTGCTTTCCAGCGCGGAGCGCCTGCTCAGCAAATTTCCCATGCGTATCATGATGCGTAACAACCACAACAAACTGGATCTCAGAGTCGGCGAAGAACTCGTCGGCTTCACGATAGTGCTTGATGTTGGGAAAGTCGACCGTGCAGTGAGATCCTTTTGGTGCAGATGATGGATCTGCTGGGGCTTCAGCGCGTTGCAAGATAGCTACGAGTTGAAAGTCCGGTATCGCCGTGATGAAAGGTAGATGGAAGGTTTGGCCGGAGTTGCCATAGCCGACAACGCCGACTTTGATAGGTGACATGTTTGGTACTGATCACAGGGAGAGCTCAACAGCGGACAGGCACTGGTAGGAGAACTGTTTTATCGACGGTATTCTATACGAGTATTGATTGCAACGAACTCGTCATGGCTCCTAAATAATTACAAATCAGATATACATTTTACCGTGCTATACACATTCACCCGGATACAGCGTCATCATCGCTGTCCCCCGCATCAATTTATCCTGGTGGTGCGAGCCCCCACATGCAGAGTCGTTCATCATGACATAGGCTTGCGGCGGTTCTATCAGTTTTAATCCCAATTGACGACTTTCCAGTGACTTATTACAGCCTTGACTTACATGGAAGAAGTTGAAGCTGAGCATTCCAAGTAAGAACTACATGTTCGAAGCATGATGATGTACTCCGAGGACTACAGGCTTGATATTGGAGTGGCTCTTTTTGGACTCCGCACCGGTTACCAGACACCTCGAGCGAATGAGCAGGTGTGCCGAGGTCACTTTTGCTCCACTTCCACGCCGGATCAGGCTCTTATTTGTTGCTGCACCTCATTCTTGCCCCGCTCTCCGGACATCACTCCGGTCTCGTCTGGTCATGCAATAAACATCCAAGGGTACATCAAAAAGTCACGCAACACGATATAACATATTACGTCTCATTCATCTCATAGACCAAAAACAGAGAAATTCAGAGCACATTTCGAAATTATGGCCAACTCTCTTCCTCACGTCCGCTGGGGCATCCTAGGCACAGGATGGATCTCAACAATGTTCCTAACTGATCTCCTCAAAACCCGCCCCGACGCAAAAGCAAGCCACACAATCACAGCCCTCGGATCATCATCCCTCGAAAAGGGCAACAAATTTGTCGAGAAGCTCTGGAAGGACGCTTCTCAGAAGCCTAAGCCTCATGTTTATGCAGACTACCAAGGCGTGTACGACGACCCTAATGTCGATGTTGTTTACGTCGGCACGCCGCATAGTCTGCACAAGAAGAACTGCCTTGATGCTATTGCGGCGGGGAAGCATGTTCTTTGTGAAAAGCCTTTTACTATCAACGCCAAAGAAACGAAGGACATTATAGATGCTGCTAAGCAGAAGGGTGTTTTTGTCATGGAAGGTATGTCAAAGAATTGCCCGCCAAGAGCATAAGAGACGAAAGGATTTAGCCACCTTAGGGTGTCAGTTAGGCTACTTTATTTCAGTGGCCTAAGCCTTAGAGAACGGTCATTCAATCGCCCAACTGGTCGGTTTCCTGCACCTTTGAGCCTTGAACTAACAGAGGTTTTAGCTGCCTGGGTGAGGTTCACCCCCTTCTTCGAAGCCCTGCACGAGGAAATCATGGTCAAGAAATCCATCGGCGAAATCCAACGCTTCTCTGTCGACTTTGGCAACTATTTCGATCTGTCGACCCTACCTGATGAGCATCGTCTCAAAGACCCCGCCCTCGGTGCAGGCGCTCTTCTCGACATTGGCTTCTACACTCTCACCTTCGCCTCCATCATTCTCGGCGATTGGAAAGTAGGCAAAGAGCACCCTAAGCCTACAAAGATCCTGTCATCCCTCGATATGGCCAACGGTATCGATGAGGCAAATATTATCGTGCTTGAGTACCCCGCTGCCAAGGGTGTCAAGACAGGAGTCTGCACTTCAAGTTTCCGATACAGAGGCCCAGATGAGTTTGGTCGAATCGAAGGCTCTAATGGTAGTATCACGCTGTTCGGCCCAGCAGTTAGTGTACCTGGTGGGTTCCATGTCACACTAGGACAGCGCCCTGGTCCTCCTGAACAAGACAACAGAGAGACTCGAACATTCAAGGTGGAGCGGCATGAAGGGACACTGGGCTTCTACTGGGAAGCTGATGCTGTAGCGCAGGATATCGCCAACGGCCACACTGAGAACGCTATTGTTCCTCTCGGTGAGACGTTGAGGATGATGGAACTGATGGATGAAATCCGCGCTGCAAACGACTTCAAGTATCCTCAAGACGATAACTAGACACATGCTTCAGACAGTTATAAATGAAGAAAGAATTTCAACGCATAATATTAAACAGTTCTAATCATAAGATTCATAATAAAATCACCCCTAGTGATCTGTTTCAAACCGCCAACGCCTGCTATTCTCCTTAACGAACCATCTCGTGACAAAAGCACCTTCTTCCGCCCACTCGGCGACTTCTCGTCCATACTTTTCATCAACAGCGTGTATAAAAGCTGTGAAATCAAGACTCTGCACTGAATCGTGCTCATGCGGATCTTTCTCGAGATCCGAAAGTCTCCAGTCCACGTTTTCGATAACCGGCACAACGAGATGTCGGTTGGGGTACCGCGCGTCGCGAACGGTAAGCATTGCTCGTCCGGGATTTGTAACGGTAAATTGCCACTGGCCCTGCCCGGTGGCGTTGTTCATAGTGTTTAAAGGTCGAAGGAGGGATTGGCCTTCGTAGTTGCCGATAAGGTCGGTGGCTGCTTTGCGACTTGTTTCACTGAGAGAGCCTGTCTCGAGGAGGATGTCGAGGATGGTAGGGAGGATTTGAGTCGAGTGGACAGCCTCGTCGACGTCAAAGGGTGGTAATTGCGGGTGTGAGAGAATTAGAGGGACATGGTCGACGCCGATATTCGGGTTATAGTATGGTGAAGCGTAGTCATTTTCTGGTAGTGATGTACCGTGATCGCCCTGGAAGATGACCAATGTCTCGTTGGCGATGCCCTGCTTGTCGAGAATGTTGAGGACCTTGCGGATCCATCTGTCGTCGTAGCCGATTGTGTTGATGTACCGGGACATCATGTCCAGACCCTTGGCCAAAGGCGTGTATGGCTCAGTCTTGGGCATGTGGAAGCGATGGTGGCTGGTACTCGTAAGATGAGTGAGGAATACACGGCTCTTGTCCTTCACCGCGTCCTCGAAGATATCGGTGATATAGTCCTCCAATGGATCCTCCTCGAAAGCGAATTCGTTGATATTGGGTAGTGTGACAGGTCCATGCTTCGCGAGATCGCTACGAAGATATTCGCGTCCAATAGTGTGGTTCTTGGGAAAGCCCATGGCTCCCATCAAGTTCATCTGATTGTCGTAATCGAGTGTCGCGGCCTGGAAAAAGTACGAGTTCCACTTGTCCTCCTTCTCCTTGTTCTCTGCAACGTTCATGGCTTCGAAAATCTGCGGTAAACAAGGCTGATACAGGTGGTGGCTATGCTCGAGGTTAAAATCTGCAACGAGAGGAGACATTCCGCAGATTGTAGCGGTCATGCTCTTGAGCGTATATGTTCCGGCTGTGTGGGCGTTGGTAAAGTGAATTCCTCCACGCTTGGGCTTGTCGGCGTGCTCGAAGCCATCTTCATAGTCGCCTGTGATGAAATTCGCCGTGGGTGTCAAACTGGCCAGTTTGTCCTGGACCTCTTGCGGCAGCTTCTTGTCGGGAAACGTTTCGGCGAATCGATTCCAGATCAAGCCGTCCTTCTTGATGGGGAAAACATCGTTTCTGGTGCTTTCGAGGAAGAACATAATGACGTGTCGAACATTAAGATCCTGCAACTTGCCCCGTAGAGATTCTCGCAAGGGCTCCTCCAGGTTGGAAATCTTCAACGGGTCGGATTTGGCGCTGTATCGTGGTTCGTCGCCGTACCAGTCGCGGAAGCCTTCAGGCTGGTCAGCTGGCACCAGAGGAGTACCCTTTGGAAGCCAGTCCAGAGGTGCAGGCTTCTGAAGAGCGGTGCGGTCGTCCCAGCTGTGCTGCACTCCCTTTCCGAACACCGAAGGGAGATCATCGAGAAATGGCGAAGTTGAGGCAAAGTCGACGAAAGGTAACAGTCCACTGGTCCATGAGAGGAAGATGAGCGAAGGATCCTTGGGTCGTAGTAGCGTGAGCGTGAAAAGAGCCGTCAAGAGAATGGTGACGATGGGATATGGCAGAAATCGGAGAAAGCGCATGCACTTGGAGCGCTTGGTTGAGTTGCTGCTGTTCTCGAATCCCATCGATGAACGACGTGTCGCAACCGTAATCTTCTCCTTGTACTCGTCCTCGGAAACATCATCATAGCTTGATCCACTGTCGCTGCCGTCATTCCATTGCGGCAAGTTCTCTCGTTGCGGAAGTTGGTCGTAGGTTCTTCTCCAACTGTCAAAAAGTCCGAGCTTGCGACAGATGAAGTTGATAGGCCAGTTGACGATGTCACCACCCCAACCAAACAATCCATAGCAGGCGCTCTGCAACACACCGCTGAGACACAAACAAAGCGTCAAGACTCCCAAAAACGCAGTTAAACCAGACATCATGATCGCTCTAGCTGATGGATCTGCGATGAACCCAATGTTGCGCCAGTGAATTTCTGAACCTGCAACGATGTAAAATGACACCGATACCAAACCGAGCGCGACATTGTAAGCAATCAAGCAGCTCGCAAGCGTTGTGATGCAGAAGCGTAGTTTGCCGGGGAAGCTGGGGACCCAGTGGCTGAGGAGGAGGCGAATGAAGAGAAGTAGTAGGATGTCTTGCGTGAAGAAAGAGAAGAAGAACAGAAGCATGCGTTTGGGTGCGACTGATGACCTGTGGTTGTGAAGATGAATGCCTTTTGCGGCGCATACTGCTAATGTGACGAGAGCAAAGGCGAAGCGACGGTTGGCGAGACGGGAGGTGAAGACCGAAGTCATCTTCTTAAAGGAAACCATCTTGAAGCCCTCCCAGCGAGTAACAAACGATGATGAGACTCGAAAGAGGGATGAAGGCGGGAAGGATTGGATCCCGACAAAAAGGTTGGAGGGAAGGTGGTAGTGCGAGGAGCGGGCGTTGCTCGGCCCTAAGCGAATTGGTGATGCTCTTCCCTGTTACACTCCTCACGATAGGCACATGGTTGGGAGCACTGGGGCCGGATACAAGGACAAAAAAGAAAAAGAGGGAAGAAACAGAAACCAGGCGTGCGGGAAAGGACGACCTGGCGCCTCCAACAGTACATAAATATCGCTCATGGTTTAGCTTTCAATTGTGTCCCCAGGCCCCAGGGTCCAACGCCTCCTGTCTACTAACGGCTAACGGACATTATTCTCGACGATCTAGAACCTGACAAGGGGTGTGGGGGGCTCCAATTTAGACGCCCATATCCGTTTTGTTGGTGTGTTCTGTTGAGCATGAGTTAGTTTATTGTGGTCTGGTCTTTATGCTTCGAGAACGGCCGCCACTTTCTTGGGAGGTTTAGCGGTTTACCCGTTACTGCATCCTGCAGAGCATGGACGTCTGATCTTCCCAATAGTGAACAAACGCTGTAGGATGCACGCGAGCACAGAGTCTAGATGGGCTGCGCCTCTCGAATATTCTGTCCATTTTCGTTTACCGTACGGATACTCGTGACCAAGGTCCCTTAATAGTGGGTCAATGCAATCTCGAACTGCTTGCCTCATTACGGCTCAACCAACCAAGGCCCATGTTCCCTCAGTACCCTTGTATGAATATCTAACCAGTTGAAGCTTAACTCGACTCTCCTGACAAGGTTGCGCAACTTTCAGGTTCTGGACTTTTTGACAGACAGTGAGAAAAAGCTGGGGACAAGCCCCTGAGAAAAGTGGGAATTTCAGGGTTTTTGCTTGGCCCGGGGCTGTTAACCGCCTTGAGTTTAGGCTCGTGTGTCCCAAGTGTCCACTGAACAATTGGCAGAAAGCTTGTTCTTCGTATGCCATACGACAAAGCCTATGAGAGAATTAATAGCTAACGCATTGCCGGCTGTAACACTTGACATTGACAGTGGAAAGTACAAATGCGCCCGTTCCCCCGCCCGCTTCACTCGGCACATCGCATGAGAGAGGCTGTGCTGGGTTTGTGCATAATTACGGCAAAGTGCATTGCACATTCGACACTGTCCTGTAATGAATTATGGACCAACAACAAAAACCTGGCATCGAGATTAATGTTGTCTGTGGTGAGGTAAATTATGCCACTCAGGTATCCACAGCATGTCATCGCAAACAGCCCGTTTCAGTTATGGCCGAGAATCCCCAGGACCCTTGTTTGTGTATCCTGGCATTTCCGTCGTCCTGGAAGATCTTGCCCTGTTCTGCCTGTATTCTCGCGATCGATCGTATGTCGGCGAACTGTTCAAAAACTAAGAAACGCTCATTGTTAATTCCCGGTATTTATTGCACAGTGATTGAGGTGGCTTCTTGCACTTTATTAGCGAAATAATGATGTAGCGAGGACTGACTCGAACCGATGCCGGCCGGGTCAACACGCTTGCCGCGCTAAGACATTTTAGCCAGAACCATCCAGGCTGGTAAGGCTGATCCTTCACCCGTCGCCTTACGGTATCGAAATCCTAAGACATGAAATAATTTAGTTCCTTTCTGCTGGCTTAGATTAGTACTTAGGGTTACTTTATTGTTATAGCCTAAGCCTTAGAAGACACCTGCATCACCATCTGTGTTTGCTAGATCGACCAAGGGGAGGAGTTTGATGAAGATGAGAACATGGACCAAACGATGATGAGTTTGTTGGTTGTTCATTAGCTATCAGTAGGACAGTGGAAGAACAAGAAAGAACGATGCAGTCATTCACGCAGCAATGTCACCAATTTCAAGAGCCGATCACCATCAGTAGTCGTTCGTCCCCTGCTTTATCGTTTACAGGGTATCAGAAGAACTGGCACGAGAACATAATAGACGAAATGATTCAATCACTGTATATCAGCTCAAACTAACAATCTGGGATGATCTTGTCGTCTAGGACAAGCAAGGCCATGGCCGTGTGTTCACAGATGGTGGTATCGTTCTCATGCTAATCTCCAGGCATACCAGCAAGGCCACAACGGCCATAAAGGCCTTCTCAAGGGTCCTTTTCCCGCGAATACCTTATAACTAGACCCGGACCCATCCGTTCATCTCCAACTGACGACCCTCGCGCGAGGAAGCAAAAGTAGCAGGATCGAGGAACTTGATGATCCTGGTTCGGGGCATGAACTTGGGCTCCTGCTGGCCGAGATCGCACGCACGATCCTGCATCTTCTCCTTCATCTGCTTCTATGAAGAGGCAGTCAGTAAGACGGTGTGCTGCCAACGCGAGAAGAGATACATACCAGATGATCTGTGTTCACAAAGTCCATTAACTTCGACAACCAGTCGTCGTCAAACAGCTTCGGATAGGGAATGCCACGGAAGGATCTAGGAGCCGCAATGTCGAGGAGAATATCACGCGTTTTCTTCTGGACCGAGTAAATGTCGGCCTCAGCTTCCTTTACCATGTCATCAACTACTTGCAGTATTAGCCAGCGGGACTCTTGATGAGTTTGAGTAGGCACTCACAGGACTTGGTTTCATCCGAGAAAAGCTTCGGGAGTTCACGTTGCACACAAATCGGCAGCGGGGGTGCTGGCGGAGGGGGCGAGGGTGAATAGGGAAGAGGAGTTCCATCCCCGTCATTCTTGGGGGGATTTTCTCCAGAGAGACAAACGTTGGTAGGATTAGCCTCCATGTTGGCAACCGATGTGTCGATGGTGTTGAAGTGTGGAAAGGAAGTCTGGAAGATGTTCTGGAGGTGATGTTGTAAACGCTTCGACTAGCGGGGGAGGGTGATTCGTAATGTATTCTTGTTGACCAGTAAGAATCCGTATGCCTGCTGACCAGCAGTGATTCACTGTTCAAGGTATAGAGATCGCATGCACTGCCAGCCACTGCATCTTAAAACTAGCAGATCCTTGGGTAGGTAGGTAGCAATAAGAGTGAATATCATAGCTACCTAATGTTTATGCTATTTTGATTTAGAGACCTAATCATCTAGACTAATCCCACACTAAACACCCAAGTTACCTATCCTAATGTGATGCCCTTCACTGAGTTAAGGTTTGCCCATGCCAAAGACTTGTGCAGGGTTGCACACAAACATCTTCTCCCACTGATCATCTGTAAGCCATTCCCTCAACAACCGCAGCTCCTCATTCGTATCCACTTCGAGAGGTGGTGTTGGTTCAAGTCCTTTTACAGAAGCATTGACGTGAGGCCAGTCGCTTCCCCAGACCAAGCCACCAGGTGCAGCCGTCGCAAAGGCCTTGATGATAGGTTCCATGAGGGCAACATCATCGGCTCGTCTGTGCAAAGCGCCGACTTTACTGTAAAATCTTCCCGTTTCCAGCAGAGCGAGAAAATCGTTGAACTGATTGGTCTCGTAGTCCTCGGGCGTTGCAGAGCCATTGTGATCCGCGATAATTCTTACACCCTTCAACTTCGGATGATCCAAGATAGAGTCCTTCATTTTCGACCACATTGCCAATGGCAGTTGCGCCGAAATAGTCCAGCCGTGTCGTTCAAGAGGGCAATACGTAGCAACCTGCACAAACTTCTCGAGAACCCAGTCCAGGTCATCGCCTGAGCCACCGTATGAGCCATGAATCCTAACGGACCGCACTCCAGCCTTGTGCAGCCTATCCCATTCGGCATCTGTCTTGTTCTTCAGGCTTGAATCCTCAGGGTCCCAAAAGATAGTACCAAGAATCTGTTTGCTGGGATACTGCTCATGGCCCTTGGCCAAAGTATCCAAGAGACCACTGTAACCATCCTCGATCGTTGCTTGTACGATCATGACATTATCAGCTGGTGACTGTTTGATCAAGTCCTTCAAAGGAGCGGCCTCCGGTGTGTAGGAACGTGAGCTCTTGAAGGGATGACGCTCTGGGTCAAAGCAATGTGTATGGGTATTCCATGATAATTGCGGCAACTTGGGTGCAGGTATCTTTCCCTGAGTCGGTTTGGAGATGGCGACGTTGGTGGCCATCAGAGCCAAAAGGCTTGTGAGCTTCATGGCAAGGGTATTGAGAGCAAGGTTCTGTTCCGAGAATCGAAGATAGAGAAACGAGAAATCCGGGGTATCCAGGATATTTAAAGCGATTTTAAGACTGGGATCGGCACTCATGGTCGTGGGGCTGTCTGGAGTGGTTCGTGCCTGGCTTTCATGCCGATCCGGTGGATGTCCGAAGACTTCGGAGTCTGTCCGGGGTGGTATCGGACGGTCTCCGACGATACATCAATACCATCACGCAAGGGAACAGAAGAACTATCCTCTAAGCTTTAGGCTATTATAACAAAGGAGCCTAAGTGCTAGTCTAAGCTGGGTTGGATGGCGACAGTGGGCAAGTACAGACAAAGCCAGCGATCGTGTTCAAACGTTGCAGATATCTATTATCTAAATATTATACAGGATCGCTCCCATTATTGCTATATATAAAACAAGAGGTGTACGTATTGATTACTTCTCATCATGACCAAAACTTGAGCTTATCCATCCATCCAGCCGCCTGTGCCGTCTCATTCGAACCATCAGCATTACCAAACTCTACTTGCCTCGGCCTGACATAGTACCGATCGATCTCTCTAACGGAATAGTCTACGCCCAGAGGCGATGGTAGCACCATTTCCCACGGCGAAGGGGCCGCTGCTAGATCACCGCTGTCATCACTCCTACTTGACCCCTCAGACGATCTTTCGTGAGGGTTCTCGTATTCGTGAGGATTCTCGTGGACAGTTTCGGGGCGGGATACGTCGAGCGATGTGATGTGTCGACTCCTGCTTGAGAGACTTGATATCGATCTTGTATGTCTGTCTGAAAAGGACGATACTGATCGTTTGGGTCTTGCGATTTCGTAGTGCTGATTTCTGTCGGAAAGACTTGACACTGAGCGCTCGGGGCGAGGAGATCGGAAGTATGTGCGGAGCACTTCTGGTGAGACGGGCTCTGGGTCGCGATTGGATGATGAATTCGATGATTCGGGTGTTGAGTGGCCTGAGCTTGATGAGCTGTTTCGGTAGTCGATGATGCCTCTCTCGGAGAGGTTGGTCCTGTTAGTAGGGCGTCGTGCGAGTTGGCGCAAACCAAAGACCTGTGGAAGTTAGTATTGACTACAACCCATACCGATGAGATAGCATACCTGAGGTTGCGTCGAGTCGCGACGTCGGGGTGGAGAAGTCTTCCACTCATGGAAGCTCGTTGCAGCAAGTTCTCCCAACTGAAGAACAGCAGGTACCAAGAACATGCCGATGATGAAAATGGTGTGAAAGATCAGAATTATGTAGCCGAGCGCACTGGCTGCAGTATGACTCCAGATTTTAGGGATCATACCCAGGCAAAGCAAAAGAACGATGAGCCGTGCGCCAGCCATTAGGACAGGTTTCGACAACAACCCAGGCGCTGCTCCAACCCATGCCAGGAAACAGATCTGAATGACTTCGCATGCTATCAGAGAGCACACTTGCGCAGTGCCGAAACTCTGCAGTCCACCAATGATGACACCACGGGCGAAGAGGAGGATGAAAGTAACCCATGTGTAGTAATTCTGAGTTCGGGATGGCTCGTCGCTGGGATTTTGCTTGAGGATGTCGTCGATCAGGAGGTATCCCATGCTCTGTGGTCTCGAAGCTAACCCCCACCAACTTGCAATCACAAGCAAAACAACCACCAGGATTACAAGGATGGTATAGTAAACAGGTCGGAACTTCGCGCCGCTAAGTTGATACGTCGTCCATGCCGCCAAAGGAAGCAAGAGATAGCTGAGAAATACCTGTAGGGCAACCCAGATCGTGGCTTTATGTCGTTCGCTCGTTGAACTCTCAAGAACCCAAGTACCGGTCTGTCGGAACCAATCTTTTGTCCATCTCAGATGCAAGCCGATTTGAAGAGTTCCGTAGATGGCGACGAGGATGAGGAGCGCGAGAGTAGCGATGTTCGTCCATGTGTTGATTGTCATCGGTGCAGCCATAACTTGCGTCATATGTTCCAAGCCCGGTGTTCCACCAAAAGTGCCATTGATCTCGTGAATGCCATCGTGAATACCGTAGTAATGGGACTCCCTCCATACTATTCCAGTTCGAAGCATCAGAGCTGACCAGCTCACTCCCGTGACGACCGGCTGTAGAAATCCAGGCTGATTAACGCTAAGGGCGCTCGAAAAGAAGACGAATTGGAGGTACGTAAGGCAGTCGGCGATTCGTGTAAGATGTGACCTGTTCGAACTTGTCTCCGGACCACTTTCATCATCATCAGTCAGTGGATGCACCAGATTATACCACTCTCGCCAAGCAGCAACAAAGACAACCAAGATAAAGGTCAAAACAGGTCCCCAGAACGATATATCCTGAAATGTATGCCCAATATCCGGCGTTACAAAGGTCCTCATACAAGCTGCTGAAAAATGATCCCGTCCATCAATGTTGAGTTCAACCTCATAAGCCGCCAGCGGCGAAGGATTGTCGATCTTAAACATAACATCCACAACTTGCAGATAAACCTTCTTCTTGATCTGCTTCCATTCCATTGTCTTACACGTCGCGTTCTCGATGTCGCCGTTATACCGCTTTGTTCCTCCCACAGCCCCCAAACTCACCTCAGCCGAGGCATTGTCGAGTAATGATCGTTCACAAGCCCTCGGCGTGAGGTAATTGGCCATGAGCCTAAAAGAAAGCAGTGCCCCATCATTACCCCTCTCCAAAAAGGCGTACAAGCTGTTTGGGTTGAAATGATCATCTGAGTAAAGATCAGGTTGACCGTTGCAGTGCTTAAACTGCACATGGGCCGCGTAAGCCTGCCGCGTAAAAACAAGAACCAGAGTAAGGAAGAGCCATGATAATGAGCGCATTTGGGCCAGAAAGGAATGAAATGGTGATTATGTAGACGTCATTGAAGGAATGGAGTTGGACTGAGATGAGTATCTCGGTTGTGCTCTGGGGAACTCGGAAAGAACGGAGACGAGGCAGGAGAAAAGGAAATTTTTGATGCCTTGGAGCTTAGGGGGTGTTTTGGGGCGAAGTTAACAAGGTTAGGGAGGTTTTAGGGGGACGCTTGGACGAAAATGTCGGTCCGATCTTGGCTTTGGTTGTTAGCGTTGAGATGAAACAATAACACAATCAAGCCGAGGCATCAGCAAGAAAGACTTTTGAACATTGATGAGTCTACAGAGCGGGCAAGAATGACTATAGACATCAAAGCTCAGACCTTGATGAGATCTGCTGTCATTATGAGATTCGGTGACGATGCTGATCTTCAATGATCCTCTCGAACTAAGGCAGGGCTCGGACTTCTCCGCGTGGCGAAGTCACAGCGTCACATTTTGAACCTTGAACGGAATATCCAATGATCCGATTGTATCCCGAGAACTCCCCGCTGCCATCAACTTGAAACAAGAAGCCGTAAAATGAGATACAAATAAGAGAGACTTGAAAAGCAACCATTCAAAGAAGGGTCCAGGTCCAGGTCCAGGAGCTTGTCGTGAAGCGTTAATCCTTGGCTCTTGGCAGGGGTTCTGTTGGTCTCGGATAATTCAGCTTACAATCGGTTGCCTCTTTTCACAGCCAATCCTGTCTCTGCAATTAAACTGCAACACTGGGGAACCCTAGCAGTGGGACTCAAAGAAACTGTCAATTGTGTCAGTCAATTGAATCCCGGAGAAGAAGAGCATGTCTCAAGTCATACGACCGTATCATCGGGTTGTCGAGTGTAGGAAAAGACATTACCCGTGCTTTACAACAACGCAACCAACTGCGCTCTTCCAGTGATACTTGATCCCATCTATTGATCTCATGACAACGCCATGAACATTCACAAATCGGAATGTTTGTTTCATGGCGTTATCCCTACGTAGCTTACTATTGTTCAGCATTCCAGTGGCTAAAGACAATGGCTTGGCCAAACAACCACTAGCCCTACCCTGAAAGGCCGAACAGAAAGCTAAAATACCCACTTTCCCGGACCACTTCGCACCGACCGACCGATCTTTCTTTCCACCGCCTTGACTCACTCACTCATACACATACAACTACATATCAACCCATCCCATCATGTCCTGCTTCGCCTCACTGCCCTCCCAGCCAACAGACGAGATCTTTGATCTCCTGGCCCTCTACCGAAAGGACACCAGCCCTGACCGCGTCAACCTCGGCGTCGGCGTCTACTGCACCGACGATGGCAAATCTTGGCCCCTCGACGTCGTTACTCGTGTAGAGAAGGATCTCTTCGAGGAGGCTAGCTTGACTAGACACGATTATCTTCCCATTGAGGGTGATCAGGCTTTTCTCAAGGTTGCGAGGGATCTTGTCTTTGCGCATCAGGATGATTTGAGTGTTGCTTCCGTGCAGACCGTCTCCGGAACCGGAGCGAACCATATCGGTGCGAGATTCGTGGCGGATTATCTTCGACCGCAGAATATTTGGGTGTCGGATCCCACATGGGCTAACCACCATATGATTTGGGAGTCTGTTGGACTCAAGCCCAAGTTGTACCCTTACTACAAGAAGTCGGACTGTTCATTGGACTTTGAGGGCATGATCAAGACGCTCGAGGAGGAGACTCAACCTCGTGATGCTGTCTTGCTTCATGCTTGTGCGCACAACCCTACTGGACTGGACCCTACGAAGGAGCAGTGGAAGAAGATTGCAGAGGTCTGCCAGCGAAAGCAACTCTTCCCCTTCTTCGACGCTGCGTACCAAGGGTTCGCCTCCGGTGACCCAGCTGAGGATGCCTGGGCGATTCGATACTTCTACCAACAGCAGCCCCGACCCGACATGATTGTCGCTCAATCCTTCTCCAAGAACTTTGGTCTCTACGGCCACCGAACAGGAGCCATTCATCTCGTCCTCGCCGAGCCCTCCCAGGAAATCAGAAACAACGCTTACTCGACACTTTCTTACCTGCTTCGATCTGAAATCTCTATGGCACCCAAGTACGGATCTACGATTGTCAAGACTGTTTTAGAAAGTGAGGAGTTGACTGCTGCTTGGATGGCTGATTTGAACGTCATGAGTGGTCGAATTAAGACCATGCGACAGGCTTTGTACGATGAGTTGATTCGCTTGGAGACACCAGGTACATGGAACCATATTGTTGATCAGGTGAGTAATGTTTAAAAGCAAAATGAGAAAGGAACAGAGCTAACCCAACTGCAGATTGGCATGTTCTCGTACACCGGCCTGACTCCCTTCGAAGTCAAGACTCTACGGGAGCGCTTCCACATCTACCTCCTCAAGTCCGGACGTATTTCTATCTCCGGATGTAAGTCTACTCTCTCCTGTCTCTATACAAAGACCTCAAGCTGACGATATCACAGTGAACAAGAGAAACGTCAACTACGTTGCCAAGGCCATCCACGATGTCCGATCGAATGGTACAAATGGCACCAATGGTACAAACGGGGTGAACGGACACTAAGTCTCATAAAACAATAGTTAGACTAGAGATTTCTTATCCCTCCCGGGTTTATAGATGTACATTCTCAGGCTGTTTGTTCCTCATTTCTGTCGGAGTCAGTGAAGTCCGATGTCGGCCCGAACTCGGCCATTGTGAGACCTCGCAATTTGCACAGAAATATTCTCGTATGACTCGAAGCTTTCTGCAGTGATTTTGGCAGTGAGGATGAGTTGTTCAGACTGGGTGATGAGAATCCCATGTGTGTCATGAGTGATGATGACAGAGAACCTGAGTTTTGCGGGGAGTCAACAGTTCAAATCACCTTTCATCACGGGCGATATTTCCATGACCTCCCCTTCCGTAGATATCCAGACTTATGTCAATTCAATTCTACCATCCCATTGCAATACCAATGACTATCCAATAATGCTTTATCGGCTCATAACGTTGACGTAGACACAAGCACGTTCCACCCGCGAGACCCATTGCCCCTCATGAAGCGAATACGAATACTACAACAACCGAACTCAAAAACAAGACCACTTTGTCGATCTAACATGATCTTATCAATCTCGCTAAAAGATCAGCTGTTCATCTCAGCCTATCATTTCAACCTCCTCAGCTCAGTTTTCATGTCTCAGCCCAGTAAAGTCGGTGAACAAGGGGTGTAAAAACAATCTTCCGCTCCGCGGCGGTCCACGGCGCCTGCCCCGCAAACCGTACGATCTGTTGAGGCCACTTTATTAACACTTCCCTTCGCAACATTGCATGAAAACTGCATCTCTCAATTGTTTTTCAAAATGGCCAATTGGAGTACTTACGCTGTGGTAACGACGTTTGTCGTCGCTGTCATCACCTACGGCATCCCTTTGTTTCTGAAAGAGTACTTTCCCTGGCAGAGTCTCTATAAACAGCGTCATGGACGACCTACCGTCACGACAAAGTCCTACAAGGGGAGGACTGCACTCATCACCGGTGCGAATGGTGCTTTTGGTTCGAGAGCGGCGAAGCTCTTCGCGCATCGCGAGGTCGACACCCTTGTGCTTGTTGACGTGAGGGATTGTGGAGAGCTGAAGACGGAGATCGAGAAGGAATTGAGTGCTGCTGGCAAGGCGAAGCCTACTATCTTGGTCTGGCAGGGAGATTTGATGAGCTTCTCGGGATGCCAGGAGATCGCGAGGAAGGCGCAGGAACTCAAGTCACTCGATCATGTCCTGATGACGATGGGTATTCTGTCGTTCAACAAGAAGCTTTCGCCCGAGGGATGGGAAACTTGTAAGTCACATCCTATTTCACAATTGAGTAGATACTGACACAGATAGCCATCCAAATCAACTACCTTTCCGGTGCTCTTCTCGGCCTTCTCCTCCTCCCTCTTCTCAAATCCAGCCCTCTCAACCCCAACCCTCCCGTCATGACCTTTGTCACATCCTTCGGCATCTATCCCTCTTCCTTCACCATGGGCATGCCCAGCAAGGGCTCTTACCTAAGGCACCTCAGCAACAACAAGGACGGCATGCAACAGGCCCATCAGTATGGCCGTTCCAAGGCTCTGCTTCTATACTTCACCCGCGAACTAGCTCAGCGCGCGTCCAAGCTCCCTCACAGCGTGACGATTAACAGCGCCGACCCGGGCTCTGCATGGACGCCTCTCACTGCTCCAAACCAAGATCAACTTATCCCACGACTGATTCAGAATTTTGGATCGAGAGCGCCGGAGTTTTGTGCTGCTGCGCTTGTGAATGGTGTTTCAGCTGGGCCAGATGCTCATGGGAAGATTATGCAGGACTTTGAAACCACTGAGTAAGTTTTGTGAGATTTAATATGATGTTTTGAAGACTAACTGAAACAGCTATCCTCCTTTCTTTGAGCGCAAGAGCGGATATGCTGCGCAGAAGCGTGTTTGGGAGGAGACGAGGGAGGAGTTTGAGGCCAAGCTTCCTGAAGTCAAGGCTATTTACGGGATGTTGGATTAATTTTCGTCCTGTCTCGTGTGTTGAGTCTTGGTCTGTGGCTTACGAGTGGAATCATTTGAAAGAGCAAATCACAGGCAGACGCGACCAGACTTCTGCCCAAGAAGCTGTATTTACTCGAGCTCGAATATCTCAGTTGTTCGTAAAGAATCAGCTATAGTCTGCTACATTGTGATAGGCTTTTGAGCGCATCTTCTCTCCTGCAGGTGATCAAATGCGTACCATAGAGAACTCAGGCCTTCAAATAGATTTTAATAGATTGTACTTTTTGATAATTATATGTGCTATTTATAGCAAAAGCAAGTCTTTGTAAATGCCCTGTTATGATAGTCATTTTTACACATTACTGCTCAGGCTGTGAATGCCTCCTCTCCGACTCGGTATATGACGGCAGTGAACTGGAATACCTTGCACTGCTCTCTGGGAGCCCAACATCCTCAGCGTCAGGTTGCACATATCCTTTCTGCTCCTCCATTGTGAGCTGTGCTGGCAGTACGAGCTTTAGAGTAGTCGATGCAATGCTGATAGTTAGATGTAGCTGGTATGTCCTGGCAATTAGGCAAGAGTAAAACGTAGGCAAAAACATTTTCTTATCGCTCGCAAAATTCGTGATGGGTATTTCGACATGGCTGCTGAATGTCTCGGCAGTCTCGGTGACAACATTGTCGGTTTGTTTGGGTGAATCCTCTTCCCAGCTCAATCCAACTTCAGCTTTCTTCAGTAGAGTCTCAGAACCATTATAGCAGTCTCTCGCGTTGACAATGTGAGGTAGCTGTTGCATAGGCTCATCCTGTGACCATGTCTCTGATTCAACCTTTGCAGACACACTGCATGTTTGCGGTAGGCTAGTCTTTCGATCGCATAATTTCAACTTGAGAGATCCTACTACCGTCGCAGGATGAAAACTCTTTCCACTGGGGTCGAGGACGATGGCAGCGGGTTGATCAGCGTGTAATGTGATTTCGCCTGAAGAGCGTCCAAAAACACTGGATTTGAGCTGCTTAGATGATGCGAACTTGAAATTTCGATTTGCTGTAGGGATGTTCAGATTTGGGTGTTCAATATGACCTGGCAAGAACTGAACGGTCTCTTTGGCCTCCATCCTAGCATACTCTGGATTGGCCGAGTCCCAAACCTGAGCGATAACACCGTACTCAATGCGCACGCCCCTTGGGATCATAGCTTCACTCTCCCAGCCGGTGATACTGGGTGGAAGATGTGAGTGCATTCGACGCGTTTCTTGCCATATGACGTTATGTGAGCAAGCCTCTGTACCGAGACTATTGGGAAGGACAAAGTAAAATGGAACGCTGTAAGTCTCATTTGACTGGAGAATTTTATTCGCAGGTAATGTCGCATGCTCAATTGGCATTTCCAGATCAAGTAATCGATGCCATGTCTCAAATGCCAGACTGGCGTTGGGGCGCTCAACACTGGAGTCGCAGACAAACTTTATGGAGATCTTGGTGCAAGGAGTCTGCTTCTTAGGCTTGATGTTGACGGTGCCCCTGACTATGGAGCCCGGGCGATAACGTTTTGATGCATAGTGATCTTGGATATGAATGGTCAAGCGATTATTCTTAGGTGGAAAGATAGAATTAAGGCTCTGTAGGGCTGACGGATTGAACAGGCTAAGCACCGGACGTGTCTGGAGAGGGACGCCGGTTGTTTGAGTGTAAGGAGGCTCCATTTTGACGATATTGAAGTGAATTGATCTGACATCTTGGCATTATTTGGCCTTACTATTATACATTTCTGCCTGAATAGGCATCGATTATCTTGTCGATAAGTCGCGTTGATTGAGGAAGGCGAGTGACTCACTCGTTCTGCGTATTACTGGTCATCGGCTTGATCTGACCCGACTGAAGGGCCTGGGAATAACATGCGCGTCGTTACAGACCGCGTAATTGAGTCATTGGGTGTCGCAAGCAGTCATCACTAAGAATTATTCGCCCACTAGCCAATTAAAACAATCAGCGTTCACATTTAAGGTCTTTATTGCACGATGTTAGTGCAGCACGGCACGTATGATCCGAATTGAGGTAGTGCTCCGTCTAGGCTGATTAATGGTACTCACCAATGACGCTAGACGCCTAAGATCGAAGGGTTTTCATTGGAGGGAAAAGGCATCGTGAAGAGACTCGTAGCGGAATGACAAAAGTATCCACGACAGCGGAATTCATAAGTGCTCACGCAAGCCTCTCGAATTACAAAGCGATATTCCGATAATTTGGAATCAAATGTTCAATACCACTTACGAATTTCCAACTGCACCCATTCACCATCGATATCGCCATTGTACAGACGCCATCCTATCCTGGATGCAGAACTGGCCATGCGGAATAACAAGTCGAGAGGTAGGCGCGATTGGAAGAACTTGATGCTTCTGTTAAAGGTGATCGCGTAAAGTATCATTATACGGTAGCCTGTTCCCTGATAGCTGATACCTCCTGGCCGGCGGAGCGATAATCCAGCAGCCTAGTAATAACGAACGTTGCTCTACATGGACAATCTCACTGTTACCTTGATCCGCGCATCGAAAAAGTATCCTTTAATCGAGTTCAATGCCTTGGAATGATGGGGAGAACACGAGTCTTACACCAAGAACAAAGAGCTATCAATTTAATCGACTGTGTTCGGAACCTGCTATTGTTGTGGTTTGTAGTGTTGCCATTGAACAATTGATATGTTGCCCTCGGCCAGAAACACGAGGAACAAGCGACGTATGTTGTTCGATAAACAACCGCAATAAAAGTTCTATAAATTGGTTGAGTTATTCGCAAACATTAAGCTTCAGAAATAGTTCAACGACTGGAATCATTGACTATAGGTCTCAAGCAACTTCATTGCATTAACTTCCAGCACCTTTCGCACAGTATCGTCAAAATGGCAGAATCAAACGCTGTCTACCTCATGACCGAGGTTAAGGCTCGTGACCAACAGCTCTGGGTCCAAGCTCAAGATGCTCGCCGTCGCAAGCGCTACCACGAAGCAGAAATGAAAGAGCAGAAGGCCATCATGCTGGAAAAGGATGCCCTGATTCAGAGTTTGCAGGAGCAGATTTGCGCGCTCAAAGGTGAGGTTGATATGCTAAGAAAGACCATACAGAATCTGCCGCGAGGCAGACCTAGCCTTCCCTATGATCCATGTCGAGACTAGGTATCTATGACAAGCTGTGGAGTTCCCGGTAGACAGTCTCGTGTGCGGATATGCTGGTATAGAGGGCATGATGTGTTAAACTAGCATTCTGACTTTGCTGCAGGTCGCGAAGAGAGGGCGTGGAAGGAAGAGACGGAGTATCTGGGCTGGTTCCTAGGTAAGTAAATAAATTGCTATTGTTACTTGACATACTTCACTGGATCAACATTCCGCACTTAATGGGAAGCGTTAATTTGTCTACAGAGTGGCGGTGATAAACTAATTCAACAAGCCGTTTGATGAAAAGGACGAAATACGTATTGTCATTGTGAACAAGAGAAGTCTATACCCCCCTTTCAACAACTGAACATAACTAACTTGAGAGAATTTGATACCTATACTTGTTCTTTAACCAAGGAGACGTGTTAGCGTTCTCGGAACCAATGGCCTGGACTAGTGATCCACTAGGGAACGCAGGTTAATTCAGAGATCTTAGTGTTTTATCGAAAGCTTTAATTATGATAGCCAATGTATAGGCTACGGTATTGACTATTTTGCTATGCAGGTATTGAGGACTCTCATGGAAAGTATTAAGCTAGGCAAAAAGAATGATTGTAGTGTTAATTGGAACCAATAATATATAGTAACTAAATAGAAGATCAAACCTTCGCTGGATCGTGCACTTGGCAAGAGAGATCGAACCACAAGCCATCAGATGTCTGCTCACAGAACCCAGACTTGAACAAAGACTTATTAAGAGTGTAGCAGCCTTCAAAACTAGGGAAGTACATAAAGGATTCGCAGTTGGGATCGCTAGCGCATGACCGCTGGCAGGTCTCAGCTGTATAAAAGCCTGAAACGGGCATAGGAAAACATCTGCTCTGGTTACATTCCCCATGAGCACCGCAAATGAAATGCAAAAAAATACAACAGTGGGATTCGCTGGTTCACTAAACTACCTAGTAATCCGCCCCTTGTCATCTTATCTTTAGCAGAGCGGACGGGATCCTGAGCTCTCTAGTGTATGGCCGTTTGTAAAAAGACGTACTGTCAATTAGACTTAAAGAGGGTTGTTATAACCTATAAAAGAATGTATCTATACCATCCGAACATACTCGAATATCCCTTCTGGAACAATTCCCACTGATCGCATGCATCGACAGTATTCAACCCCGTGCCTTTACTGGTAAAGATTCCCAGTAACAGTTCCACCAAAAGTCCTTGAGCGTCAGTCCAATAGTTAGAACGACCTCGTAATGAATCTTTTCCTTGACAACAAAACGAACGGACGCACTCAGATAATGCCCAACAGTCAGGCCAAACCCCTAGCTAGTCCCCGCCAGATCCTTCACATCCAAACTCGCCAAAGCCCGAGGCCATACCAACAGCGTCGCCCACACATTTCTTCTGAAAGACACCAGTGCGAAATCTCGCAGTCCACTCGCGACCATCATCTCCAAGGCCATAGACAAAATTCCAAGCGTCGGGAAGTAGTGCACAGCCCTTGAGCTCTGCCTTGAGCGACTCGCCATAATCAGAGCTTGCCCACCCATGGCCCCATACCCAGTAATCGTTGTACAACGCTTTATACGTACTTTCGCAGCCCGCGCAAGCCTTGTCGCGTCCCCAAATCAGAACAAAATGTATCTTTGATAAGACCCGTGACGGCGTCGCCCTCAACGTAAGTGTTTTTACCCACTCCATTGCACTCAAAAGCCTCCTTGGGATTGTTCTCCTGAGTGACACCATTCCAAAGAACGCGGATGCCATCGACCCGCTCCTAACTTGCTTGATCGGATTGAAAATAGGCCTTCAGATTCTTGACGAGATTGCCATTACTCGTATCAAACGGGACAGTATCATATGCAAGGAGATTGGCAACCTCGCCGGCGACCAAAGGTCCGGCTACAGAGTTGGGATTAGCTCATGTCATCAGACGAACTGCTGCACGGGTACTTACCATATGATGTGCCATTCTCCATCACTGGAACATTGCCCTCTGTTGGTAGACAAAGGATATCTTGACCCACAGCATGAAGGGTCACGTGTGGGCCGCCTTTGGACCAGTCGGACCTCTGACCTGTGGAATCAACGGAGCCCACAACGATCAGTGGAAGATCGGGGCCTTCCATCAGACCGGGATATTCGTCCACATCCGGGCTATCCAACATTTCCGTATCACTACCACCACCATCATCACTGCGACCATCGTCATCGTCGTCGCTATCGTCGTCGCTATCGTCATCATCATTTCCTGCGATGCTTATGAGAGGGATATCCTTCGCGAACAGGTCTGTGAGAAGCTGCCGAAAGGCGTCTACTGTTTCCTGGTCCCAGACAGGTTTGAATGACAAAGCCATAGAGATGACGCCTTTTTTGCGTCGCTCGGGATGTTCATCGATGTCCTTGATAATTAGTTCAAACGCAGCCTGAACCTCTAGATGAGTGATTGCATGGAGCCTGACGACGACAAGGGTAGCTTTCTTAGAAGCGCCGAACTGGATTCCGAGTGCTTTGCCAGCGTTGCAAGTACCATGTGAAGGCAACTTGTCATCGTCGTCTACCCAGGGTTCGTCGCCTTTTTTGATTGCCTTATCAGTCAGGAGATGCTGTGACGCAACGTTTGGGAATTCCTTGGCGGATTAGAAAGTGAAAGTGATCAATTTCAGTAGAACGGAAGATTTAACTTACCTTGTTTTGTGCCTTGTAGGCTACCCCTGTCTCAATGTGGTATACAAAGCTTCCTGACCCTCCATGGCTTTCATATACATAGTTCTTGAGTTGAGTCAAATCTGGAACTGTACTGTACATAGAGTGTGGTCAGTAGAGAGCACCATCGATGGTATATTCTTATTCACATACCTGGGCTGGCTGATGGCGACCAGTTCAGTAGCGGTGGCCTCCTGCCTTTCATAGGCGATGTCTCTCTTCTTCAGACCTCGTAGGTTTGAGGCTTCTGAAGGCTTCAAGATCCGTGGCATGAAACGGCCTCGTTTCCCCCTGTATACCCTCCTCACAGCCTCGACGCCGTCCAGGTTCTCGACCTTGGCTACCTGCTCATCGGTCATTTCTGCTCCCCACTCGCGGATTCTGCCATTGCTCATAGTGGGCTCTTCGAGACGATCCCCAAGAATGGTACTGAGAAGTAATCCTGTTGCGTTGCACTGATCCGCATTCTCTCTATTGACTGGACGAATAAAGTACTCGCCCTCTAGGCGTGCTGATATCCTGGACAGGAAGTTTAACTTTGAGCAGACGTACAATGTCTTTGTGGTCCTTCATCTTCTTAACCTGATCTTGTGTGGCCTTGGATTGTGCAGAAACCAGCCCATCGTCTTCATCTGACCATGGGGAGATGTATTCATGTCCGAGAGTCGATTTGATGAGGTTGGCAACTTCGGAGGGATCGGTACCTTTCTGCAGGAAGGCCTCGTGAAGGGATTTGCCAGATTGGATGGAGCTACTGATCGAACCACGCATGTTAGCAGCGGTACAAGCAGGGAAAGAAAAGAAAATAGGTAAAACAACAGATAAAAGAATAGAGTCATGGTTGTTATCTTGAAAGGAAGAGATTTCAATGTCGTTTGGCTTGAGCTTCTAACCAAATCTTTCAAGGCATTCCATCGCGGCAATTATATAATAGACAGCTGCTTCTTTGACGCCAACATCCCTTGATTGTCCTTCAGTCATGGTAGGAACAAAGTCCGATCTGAAGTGCCGATGGTATCTTTGCTTTCAAGGTGTTGCGACTACAACGTGATGCGTCGGGGAGAAAGAGTTGTGGCTCGTCGGTAGATTCATTTGCACATCACCTGAACCTTTGTGCACCCCCGGGTGGCCCCCACATGATTTATGTTCATCATCGATAAGATTTGACCAGTTACTTCCTCGGGCGTTCTTCGGTCAGTCACAAGGTAGCTTAGCACATATACCTTCGGACTTGGACCTTGATTCGCTCAAGGTAGAATACACTGCTAAACTGTAAAGATATTCTGTCAAACATTGCAGGTGCCGAGGTACCTTGGGCTGGTGCACTGATTCCGATCTTGGGTTGCTTGTGGTTGGATTGCATGATTCATCATGGGTTTCCGGCAATGTACGTTCGTCTTGCCTCCGCCATCGATCAAGCAATTATCACGGGACGCCAAATTTATCTATCGAAGTACTAGGTCCTTTGATGAGGTGGGTAGTGCAGCTGCTTCTATAGACAGTTGGGGTTGGCTAGTCAAGACCCCATAGAAGTAATCTCATTCAGTATTCCAATAGTCCAAACACAGCAACCATTATCATTGCATAGAATGACCCGATGAAAACATTTATTAGGGCAGGGAAGCAAAAGACCTCAGGCGAGGAGGGAGGCGAAGGGAGCATAGGGAGGAGGTGGGGTGGAAGATCGGGTCGATGAACCAGAAGAGAGGTCGCGAGATGCCGCCAGCTTAAATGGAAGCGACATTCTGCCTAGTTTGACATACCCATCTCTCATTGTCTTATACATAGGGCATGTAGACTGCAATACTGGTCTTTCGTCCATGTATGAGCCGTCAATGATGTTCTCCATCTGGTCAAAGTCCCCAACAAGCATCTCTACATCATCGTCTTCGTCGTTCCAAGGTTCGGATGGGCGTTCTAGAAGGTCTCCGTATGTGTCGTAGTCATGCCACTTCTGCGATCGTCTTCGACAACGCTCAAGGCCCCAATCCGTTTGTCCATTCTCTCCGAATGCCTCTTCTAGGTCACTCAGCTCGTCCAAAGTAGGGAGTTGACGTTCCCTTCCAGGGTACAGTCTGTCGTCGTCTAGAAGTCCCCAGGCCCGTTGTCGGTAGATACGGAGTTGAAGGCTGTGTAGTTCTAACCACCGAGGAGCTGGTGCATCGGATTTGCCACCTTGGTATAACGCGATGTTGGCGTTCGATAGCCTATCCGCTCTGTGTAGATACACATTCTGTCCTTGAAGTAGTTGATCGTATGCTGGAAATCGGAAGTAGTTTTCGCCCGGATATTGGTCATCGATCCATGGATAATACGCACACGGCCGGGTTCTGGAGAGTAAGTGAAGCAACTTTCTGATGTGCTGAGCGTGGTCGCCTCCCTGGTTCAAACCCCGAATCACTATCGTGAGGAAGTTTATTCCAAAACAAGGAAGCATTCTGACGATTTCTGTGTGATAGATACCCAGGTCTCGCAGATACTCCTTCGCGTCAAGGAATACTGTATCGGGAAATAGTAGGCCGTAGTCGAATGATAACATGTCCTACAGAGACCGACTAGGCACCCATGCATCCAGACAATGCGCAAAGACACTTCCATACAGACCCTCGTAATACTCGTGAACCGTTTGTAACATACATGGATCCATAGCTCCGTGGTCTCCGATGCCGGACATAACTTTGGCATACATGCCCTGTTTCTCATATATGTTCCAAGCCGCAGGATGATAGATATTACAAAGCAGCTCATATCTGAGGAAGGCGCGCAGAAACCGGTGATGTTCAGAGGTCGTCAAGTTTGCGAATTCAATTCTCGGGTGACCTAAATCCCTCCCTTTGAAATAGCTTCCTCTGCCCATCGAGTCAGGAATGCCAAGGTAGGCCCTTGGTAAGTTGGGACTCGCCGCTTTGGAAACGAAGTCAACAATGAAACTGATCAACCGAGATAATAACGAGAAGAGTGGCCAGTGTACTTTCGTCCGCTTCAATTTCCTCGGCTCCATGAATTTCACCTGGCTGTAGTACTCCCTAGCCATGGGTGCATTCTGGATATCCAGGATTCGCAAGGCATCGTCCATCAGACATTTAGAATCGTCCACAGAGAGGATATCTTTGACAATGCGGCGAGTGATACCCTGTCCGTATTGACCCCAGTATGACAACATCGATGCTGATGCTCTTGTCAACTGCGTGATGCTTATGGCATCCCCAAGGTGGAAAAAGACCTCGTCTAGAACCAACGTAGGGAGGCCATGGAAGGGGTCCATGGTACGTGTGGAATGTGGTGCTTTGTTGAGTACAGTTTGAGGATCTGTTATTCCAAGAACAGGTAACGAGAATGGAGCGCGCGTTGACGTGTTGCAGGATGAAGAGTTGAAGAAGAAGTGGCCTGAGGGGTCTCATGCTCATCTTCGCATTTAAACCTCCTCCCCTTCGCAACAGAGTTGAGTGATTTATGCCGGTGGTCAATAATTAAACTTAAATTATAGAAATCTCTACAATGACCTTTCCGACAAATGGATGCGTGAAACCTGATATGAGAAAGCCCATGACAATTGTAGAGTAAAACATATTCCTATTTTTATTTTGTTATGTGGTCGTATTCCTCCAGTGACGGAAACATGACAGATTACTTGAAATTTCTCCTTGTCGACTTTTATATGGTAGCATACAAAGTTCAACCCTACGTACATACGGGCTCATGACATATCACCACGTTCACATTATTCTCAAATAGGAAAGTTCTAGAAATGGCTGCCTTTGCTATTCGAAGATCTCAGTTTGTGCACGTGGAATCTGACGAATATGGCGGGGAGGTTTGAGCCAGAGCCGTCAATATCAACCACTCTGCCGACTCAGATGGAAGTCAGTGTACTGGAATCTCTTCCCCTTTGACACATGCTTTCCTGGGTCATTGACGGTACATGATTCGGTCGAAGAGGAGGTGAAAAGGCTCGCGACACTGGGAAAATGGCAATCTACCTGTGTTTTATCCGCATACTTTACAGGACTCGCTCCTCCGAAAAACCTTGATTAGTTTCCACTACCATCCTGATAATAAGGTTTCCATCTTGAATTACACTTTTGAAGCACTATGACTTCAATGCTCACACAGGTTCCATTGCCATCGTCGCCGCCGACAACTTGGTCACATTTCGGCCTCCGTTTTGATCATTCAATACTGTGATTCTCCAATACTATCATGTACCCCGACGATATTGAATTGTCTGTGCATCTTTCTCTTGCCTATTGTCCTACTCATGGTACAATCAGAGAAGTGCATGACCGTTGTACCAAGAAGGAAGCTGCTCGACGCAGATACAGGAATCGACGACAGGAACATTACACACATATGCAGGTCCGCATCAATTACTTCCAAAAATGCACCAATGGGAATTATAGCCGCTCGTCTTGCGCAAGTATTATGAGGGTGGCGGAAGAGAAGCCACGAAGAAGACGAGAGACGAAATAGCTTGTTCATCTTATGCTAGCTTAAACTAGCGTTTGAATTGTTTTATTTTGGTCGCCTTATGTTTACAGCGCATGCACATGACAGAATCCGCTTGCACAACCCTTGTCTTCCCCGCGTTGATCTCCATATAACTTGGCCGGCTAAATGATCCTGTTTTCATAAGCGCCCTATGAGGCATCATTCGGAACATCTGTGGCCGAAGAGCTCGGCATAAACAAAGCCGACTGGTGTTTTGGTCATTAAAACCCACATTTGCCTCGACCTGCTGTATCTTGAAGTAGAGGCTACTCGATAATTCATCATGCTAGTCTTCGACCTCAAGCGATTGGCATTGGCCGCTGGGCTAGTGAGCTATGCCTTGGCCGATCTGAAAGCCGCAGAGAATTCCACTCATATCTCTCTTTCAAATGATCGATTTGCCGTCGCCTTAGCCAAGTCTAATGGGCATATCATTGATGTTAGACTCGACAGCCAAGACCTTCTCGGACCGGTCAGCGGAAACACCGGCAAGGGACCTTATCTCGATTGTTCCTGTACCCCAAGCGGGTTCTGGACACCAGGCAGTACTGCCCAGCTTCGCCTTGTTAAAGGAACTGACTCTACCGGAACAAAGTATGCAGGGATCATTATGAGCGACACTTTCCAGGCAACCAATCAGACCTTGTCGCAGTACTTCTTCCTTCGCGGTGAAGAAACGGGTCTACATGCCTTCACTCGGCTTACATACTTCAACCCATCTAAGCCATTCCTACGCGATTTGGGAGAGCTTAGGACATTGTTTCGTCCTAACACCAAGCTTTGGACTCATTTCTCCACAAGCGACGGCAACTATGGACCTCTTCCTGACGCTGCTGGAGCTCTGACCGTTCAGGATGCGACATGGTACGTCGGCGACAAGACCAACGACCCTTATGTAAAGCAATACTCCGACTACTGGACCAAGTACAGTCTTTCTGAGAGCTGGCGCAATCATGATGTTCATGGAGAGTTCAGTGATGGCTCTACCAGTGACGATGGCAGTACGTTCGGTTCTTGGCTCGTTCACAACACGCGCGAAACATACTATGGTGGCCCTCTGCATTCTGATCTGGTTGTCGATGGCATCGTCTATAACTACATGGTCTCTGGTCATCATGGTGCTCCTATGCCAAACATCACCCATGGTTTTGACAGAACATGGGGCCCCCAATTTTACTACTTCAACAAAGGCGACAAAGACACAAGCCTTGCGGAATTGAGGGCCGATGCCGCCAAGTACGCCGACCCTACTTGGAATTCCAAGTTCTATGATAGCATCGCCAGCCATGTTCCTAATTTTGTTCCTTCAACGAAGAGAACCACATTCAGCGGCAAAGTAAATCTTCCCAAGAATGCGAAAAAGCCGATCGTCGTTCTTTCAGAGAATAAGCAAGATTTTCAACTCAACGTGTTCAACACCAAATCGCTCCAATACTGGGCTGAGATTGACAGTTCTGGCAAATACAGCATTCCGCAGGTTGCCGAAGGGACTTACCGAGTGACTATCTATGCTGACGGAATCTTCGGATGGTTGATCAAGGACGACATCAAGATCTTCAAGTCGCATAACAAGGGCACCTTCACATGGAAGGAAGAAAGTGCTGGTAAAGAGCTCTGGCGTATCGGCACTCCGGATAAGTCCTCGGGCGAATACCTCCACGGCTACGCCCCAGATACCTCCAAGCCTCTTGAGCCCGAGCAGTACCGCATCTACTGGGGTAAATACGACTTCGAGGAGGATTTCCCTAAAGGAGTAAACTTTCACGTCGGAAAGGATGACGAAGCGAAAGATCTTAACTACGTCCACTGGTCCTTCTTCGCCGCCAAGGGAAATCATCTTCGCTCTGAGAACTACTATGATAACGTCAACAACTGGACTATCACGTTCGACCTGACCAAGTCACAACTCAAGAATTCCAAAACGGCCACCTTTACCGTCCAAATTGCTGGATCGCGAACAGGAAACGGCAACGCGAAATGGACACCTGTCAATGACCGCTTCAACTCCAACCTGCCCTGGACTGTCCGCGTAAATGGCGGGTACGAAGATACTTGGGTTATCCCATATTGGAGAAGTGGCTCTTGTGCTGTTCGCAGTGCTGTTGCGTGCCAGAACATTGAGCATAAGTTCCAGTTTCCTGCTTCGAACTTAAAGCAGGGCAGGAATGAGTTTCTGCTGAGTTTGCCTTTCAATGCTTCTAGTATTGAGACGGCACTTCTGCCTGACACGTTGTATGTTCAATATGATGCCCTCAGGTTAGAAGTCAAGTGAGGTGGCGTCAGAAAGAGGTTGTTCACTGGGAGCACAAGGGACGCAATAATCTAGTCATCTCAGGCGAGCTCAGACTACCACTTCATGGTTTTGTTATTGCCATAAGTCTCAAAGAACATCTATCATGTTGACCATCCACGTGGGGAGAGCTAGGAACATGAAGACCATCCTCCAGGCAGCAAATATTACAGATCCGCCCATACATTAGCTCAGTAAATCAACTTAGTTCACAATCTTGTGTTATCGGCCACGCTCTACGTTTCCCTTCTATAGTTCTCTATGGTTTGTTCCGGTACATTTTGGCCGACCCTTCTCCAGCCATCGAAACTGAAAGCGACGTTGTTCCGAATCAATATAACCATACGATGTAATCACTTACTCTTCAGAGAAAGTCAGCCAGGCCGAGTCCAATGCAAAGGAAGGTGTGATGTGTCGTCGCGTTGGTAATCGTTGCGCACCTATCGTGCATCTTGCAGGCCTCTATGACCCCCTTCGGATCCTCTGCATCGGGGACCGAATTGCAGCGGAAGCTTCCGATCAGGCTCACATAATATTTTGGTTTAAGGTTCTGAGTGCCATGACGGTTGACTCGACGCGAAGTTCGAAGCTATAGAGGAAGCGTAAGGCATCTCATTCGATGCGGACGTCTTTACCGACTCCGCCCAACCTCCCGATGCCCGGGAAGAGTCCCACAACTGCACGACCAATGGATCCCGTATTGGTCAGAAAATGGTCTATAGTTTGGAAGAGTCCAATAACGTGAAGCCCTTGAGTCAGGACCCCCGGGACCATTTCACCGACATTTACAGCCACTACCAGATTGAATATTTGACTCTGAAACATAACGTTACTGGTAGATTTGAGATGTTGGGTAAATTGATAAGGAGGAAGTGAAGAACAGGAAAGGGAAGACTACTCACCCTGCTTATATGTGTTATTGAATGGCGGAAAGGATGAGAATTATATCAGTAAGTCCAATGTGGCCTTACAAAGCTGGCTTATTTGGGGCCATTGAAGCAAACGTCGAGGGTCAATCGGCCACGGTTGGTGAAGTAGGGACCGCGAATGAGGTGCGCGTGGCATGAACCTTCTGATCAAAGATTAGCTCGAGTCATCATTTCACAAAGCCAGCAATGTAACCTAAAACGTACTGCAGAGTGGCATGTTGCATAAAGAGGGGCAGGGATGGATTGATAAGCACGGCTTCCAGTTCAGACAATCTAGTCGAGCCACAATCTAAGCCGATGGCCAGGATTTTTCATAGAGTGGCAGATCGATAAGAAATAGAGCGTTTCAGGATGTTCCCGTGTCCACTCCGTCTTGCCACGGAGGAGAGCCCCATACGGTAGCCGCCACTGTCTTCAGTAGTATACTGCTAGCCTGGCATGAGGATGTTGCAACACACCAAAAGCAGGGATGTGAAGCGAGTAATCAGGATACTTGGAGTCTACTACATCATATCACATCATTGAACTTTGGGTGTTGCCTGCTGAGAGTACCACCAATAGACATACCTTATGAACAACAGAAATTTGCTCTTACGTTGAAGTGGGATTTTTTTTATTTGTCCCTCCAGATGCCAGCGCTATTGACCCTTCCTAGTCACTTTCAGCACTCATGTGGAACTCTACAGGACCAGACTCAAATCAACCTTCTCCTCCAGACATTACAGTGGATTACGGGAACCCGAAAGATATCTACTGGACACTAAATATAGCTATGATAAGCGTCTTTACAATCTTAACTACACTCTTTTTTACAACTAGAGCATATGTACGAATCTTTATTCGAAAACAGATTTCTGTAGAAGATTGTAAGTTTTTCATTCCTTCGAATGAGGAAGCTAACAGGAAAGAATATAGGGACATGTTTTGCAGCTTATGTATAGCAAACCGCCAAGTCTACAAAGAACCACCACTTATAAGTCTTAGATGCTTTTTATCTTGTATATAGCATCGATGTCAATGAGTAATCGCCCTTTACAAGGTGGATATCTGAACTTTCTGACTCATATAGTGGCTTACAACGGAGCAGGATACCATGCTTGGGACATCTCTAAAGAGGAATATTATCGCTGGCTTAAGGTAGGTGTTTTTTGATCTGATCACCATTCTCTATTACTGATTTACTGTGAACCAGTGGTTTTATATTAGTACAACATTGTACTGCCCAGCTGCCTTCTGTACCAAGACTACAATACTACTTGTTATCGCCAGAGTCTTCCGGGTTGAGAGATATTACTCGAAAAGCATCTATTATTTCATCTGGGCCTCGCTGGCAGCTTATGTTCCCATGGAGGTAGTGACGATCTTCCTTTGTCGCCCAATTAGAACTCTTTGGGATCCCTCGGTACAAAATGGCCAGTGTCTCAATCAGCGAAAGGTTTTTTTTGCAAGTATAGCCCTGGCAATTGTTACAGACGTCATCATCTTATTGATACCGATTCCGTTGGTATACAGACTTGAACGATCTGTTCAAGAAAGGATCAAGGTTCTTTTACTTCTAGGCATCGGAGGTATAGCAACGGGAGCCACATGCTTTCGTGCTAAAGTGATTGCCGATTTTCTAAACTCAAATGACATTACGGTAGACTATACTAGGATCGGGATCTTGACGTAAGTTTCTGTTCAGATCAATACTGCCTATGGTTATGAGTCTAAGTGGCTGATCATCTGAATATAGTACTCTGGAGATTACTGTTGGTATTGTGTGCTCCTGCTTTCCTTCGACGAATGTTCTTATTGCGCGATACCACAGCAGACGGCGTCATCAGCTGCAGAGCACTAGTCAGCTAGCCGAGGCGCGTTTGTTTCATTTAGCCATACGACGACGCCTTAGAGAGATAACCACAACGACAAGGACACTGCGTGAGGAATCAGGCACCACGTCGACAACGGGGCAAAGTGGAAGTAGGACAAGGGGAGTCGTGGTGGAATTGGATGCGGTTTCGTCTCCATCCATTCAGTTTGAAGCTTAGCCTACTCAGTGCAAACTATTGAGCCTTGAGATAAAGAAACGCTTCTGGTATGGAGAAACCTATGGTACTAGGAACAGATCCAAACTCTGCACAGTCACATAAAATGAAGCTACCACTTGGATAGTTATTCGTAAGTGAGATCCGTATCATTGTGTTGCTTTTACATGTATACCTCGGCACTTGCGGCTCGGAAAAACCTTGACTAGGCGGTACATTTGACCTCAGATCACGCATCATCTCTAACATTTAACCGGGTTACGTCACTATTATATCAACGTAAACTTAGTCGCACTTTATTGTCTCTATTAGGGAATTTCCTAATGCGAAATGGGGCGTAATAATAGTTAAATTTATGCATCATTCAATCCTCCTACTAGACTTGGGAAACTCAATTCATCGACCCACCATATAGTCAAAGACAAGATGATACCGCCGATGACCCCTAATGACGGCTCGTGTCATGATCTAGTCACAAAGTTAATTTAGGGCAAGGGAGCCATTGATGGAACCGCTGAACATAAGATCTCGGACCTCACGGATAACGATCGTCCCCGTTTATATATCTCGAGATGCAGATATTTCAAATTCCTCCTCTTCGTAAATCTTCTTTACTGTGATAAACTGATGACATTAATTATCTTGGGACTCCTCCTGTGGCTCCTCCTTCGCAGAACGAACCTATATACAACTGCAAGGGTTTTTCCAGATCCTTCAACCATTCGAAAGATTATCTCGTACGACATTCATTTGTCTAGAGCTAGAGACCATGTTATCTAGTTTCGCTGCCCCCAGTAGTGACGCAGCTACGCTGTGTTCTGGGCATCTGGCCCAGAGATACCGTGGAGTTGTATCAGCGGGCGCTCAATCTCTTGCACCAGAGATCGATCTCTCTACTGCCTCTGGCAAATGCGCCACAATCACAGCGGGGCTCAAAGAAACCACCAAGCACATTCTTCATCTCAGGTCTCAGGGACTGTCATTAAATCGTTCAAATGAGGATATGATGAAAAAGCAGCTCCCTGTTATAAATCTTTATTGCTTTTCGCCACACAGCTCCGCCAAACGAACTGCGCAAAAGAAGAAAGGGGCGTTGCGACAAAGATCTTGTTTGATCTTGCAAAAGCCTGATCCCGAAGTCACCGGTACTACGCTATCAATGCCCAAAACCGTTCATTTTGATCAGGACTTAGAACGTATCTGTTTCTTCCTCAAGGCAGATCAGCCAAGCATGGTTACCACATCCCCTTGTTTTGTCACAGACAAACCATCTGTACATAGTGTTAGAGCTGAAACACCTATCACACAGGAGGCTGAGTGGAACATATCAACACCCAACTTTCCCTGTCGCAATCCAACGCGTAATGACATGCCTGTAAGGGTTCAGAGAGTCTTTTTCTCCAGTCGCCGAAATGTCTTGGTCATATTTGTCGTTGTGGCTGACCTAGCATACGAGAAGCGGGTCGTTTGTCGGTACACCAGAGACTATTGGAAAACAATTTCAGAAACGCCTGGTCAATATTATCGCACCTCAAGTCACGGGGGAGGAAAAAAGAATGACAAGTTTGTTATCACCGTTGCGTTGCCTCGAGAGGATGATCTTGGGTCTGATCCTTTTTTCTTCTGCGTTCGTTATTCTGTTGCTATGGAAGAGTTTTGGGATAACAACTCGGGCATGAACTTTGAAGTGGACTTCCACAGATAAATACATCAACAATTCAATCATGTAGATGCATATCAGTGAACACGACCGATATCGCATACAAAGGAACCAGGTGAGCGCTCCAAGTGAAGCCTACCTGCATCACTCGAGGAAGGAACTCCAAAAAGGGACGAAGGCAGGCGATGGTTGCCTGTAGGACGAGTGAATCTGCTCGGAGGATGACCACCAATCCGCATCTAGACTGAATACCACGTGCTTCCTATCACATATCATATCACGTATGGCCTGATATCATGTCAAGGTGTCGGATCAAAGGGTCATGTTACTTGGCGTTTTTGGTGGCGTTTGCGGAGTCCATGCTGATCTAGACCACGGGTATTTGGAGACTGAGCTTATGCAGAAGGTATCATGCGGCAGTTGAATGACAATGGGAGATTTTACTGGCTAAGCAGTATTTGTTGGATAAGCACTAATTTTAGATGCTAACCCTACTTAGAGATAGCGGCGCTGTAATTGCTTGAAAACACCAGAGAGAAACAGATGCGAACGAAAACGAAATGTAAGAGACAGGGGATAATATACATTCAAGGTTGTATTTTGTCTTTGCTTGCGGCCTGAGCGAGATGGGGATAGAGGCAGGGTTGTCGTAAGAATGAACCGTGATACGATGTTTTACGTCGAGGGAAGATTTGGTCGAAATGATATGTTGACAATAATATCACTTGCGTATTATCATGAAACCCAACATCCTAGCAATGATACAAACTTTGAGAATATTAAAGTTGCGATTGCCATCCAAACTAGAGATATCACTCTTGCCACATGTATTTTAATGACTGTATATCAATCCCAAACTTTACCGTACTCAGCTAATCATATCTATTGGTATCATACTGTCCGTCTAAATCAGCCACAGCTCCATCAGGCCGTGTTGAGGAGCTACGTCCAATATTGAGATATAAGAAAGCACAAAGAAGGGGGCAGCAAGAAGAATGGATTTCGCAGAGCCATTACTCAACATTGAGACAACCTTCTTGACCGACCTTTACGACGGCAATAGTTCTACTGAAACCCATCACCTGATTCACAGTACCTTCCTCCCGCTTGAAGGGATATGGAATCCTTTTGCACACCCTCGTCTTCCGCTTGAGCCTGACGGTTTTCAACTCGTACCATCATCGAACTGTGGTCCGGGGTGGTACGGAAGTTTAGATCCAACGGATAAATGGGTTCATCTTACAGATGTTGAGAAAGTCCATTCCCTCTCAATACCGACCCATTACGAGCCACCAGCGCACACTATCATGTCTCAAGGCGATCAAGAGCTGTTCTCGCCAGCAAAAGACACGACAAGCCTTCAAACTACAACCTACGATTCTTCTGCGGGGTCTTCTGATAGCATTCGGTACCAAGACACCAAAAGCTTGTCTACAGTAAAGAAGCGCAGAGCCGGACCCACGATCAAGCGTTCTGCCAAATATGAGTCAGTGTTGCGATGGAATAAGGTAGCCGCTGCTAAATTTCGCGAGCGAAAACGCAGTCAGGTGGAGGCAATGAAAATGAGAGTGGAAACATTGGAAACGAGGCATCGAGAACTTTCTGCTTACTACAATGTTTTGAAGGAGGAGGCTTTCATGCTCAAGTCTGAACTGCTGACACACAACAGATGTGGTTGCGTGCTCATACAACGATACATCCAAGACGCAGCGCAAAGGGTAGTGGAAGGCTCCGAGTCATCCGAATGGAGTTCAGACACACAATCTGGGAAGATGGGGGACCGCGTATACGATGGTTCGATCTCCAGATAGGAGGGGTTCAGTCGAAATCTATTGGCTACGTAGTCAGTTGAAATAAGGTTTGAGGAGAAATCATTAAAACAGTGCCCTTGACTTCATTAACCTAGGGGAAGGCTTTACTTTCTAGAAGATGACACAATCGTATATGACGCTTATTCCCACAGCAAGGGCTTATCTCAAGACTTACACATTTCACCAAATGCCGAATGTCAAGAGGACGGTATCCAAGGTCATCACTGCACCTTGGTTGGTACCCCTCAATGGGCCGTTCTAGACTCTTACCTGTATGTCGGGTCGACAGACCGTTCTAGACTTCCATGTACTCAGGGCACTTTTTACCATTCTAACCTATCTTAGAAACAGCCCCGAATCATGTCAATAAGACCACGAAATATGACTACAGTACCTCTCATGTCTGGCTATAACATTTGAAGCCCTGATATCATGTTCCAAAAGATTTCTGTCGCCTGATTTAGGTACACTCGGCACTACAGAGGACTACATTTTAAACCAATAAATCGAGTAAATGTCACAACGGTGATAAGGCCTTGCTTTTGGTTTGGGTGACAAAATTCTACCTCGTTGGATCTCGTCGAGGGGTAAGTGGCTAGCCGTTATCTAGGTAGTCATAGATTGTTCTACCTGAGGCATTCACGTCTTTAGAGATTTTCACAAACCATTGGTTGGATGTCACTGAGACGCTTGCAGCCTGGACACGTCAAGAAAAGAAAGTACGCTTAACGCCCGCTCCATTGTGATTATATCCCCTCAATGTTTCAGACCGCCACAACGAACTCCTTTCCCAGACAAGCTTTACGCACGGAATTTACCGCGGCCGTATCCCACCCACTCGATATGCCACCAGCATGGATGTATAAGGGTGCCCTCTTAAACTAAGGCTTCAACCCGAGTAGCCCTTGCCAAATTGCAACCTGGAGTGGCTGACACTAAGCTGTGTACGTGTCGTATCCTTATTGTGCTCTCCTGCCAGTCTAGTACCCAAATGGCAAATACCTAGACCACAAGCGACATCACAAATGTTCTTCTGTTTGCGGATCACAGTTAGTTCAAGATGCGTGGGCAACAGCAGAACTATCAATCTCTGGTCATAACAGGTAGTTCCACTAAGCATCGCCAAGTCTGCCTGCCATTGCTTTTAGCGTCGAGGCCGGCAAACCCTTTTTTGAGTGCCGGGGCTAGCCTTTTAGGAATACTGTTTGGCCCGGGTAAGTCCAAACATGAGCAGGATCCCGCTCCGCCTATTTCACCCTGTAGCCCTATAGGAAGCGTATGCCCATCCCTCATCATCACTCCCAGAAAACCCAGATAACGAGCCCTATCTGACTAAGGTTTCGTCTGACTCAGGGTCTCCCATAGCTGTCCCAATGGCCTGTGCCATCAGTAGAATTTCCCCATAAATTCATTTGCTAAAGTAGCCATTATATCTGTCATGGAAGTCCCTCTCAATTTAGTGATAGCAAAATGGGGTAGAGCTTTGACTCTACCTCCAAATTTGTCGTGAAGCCCGCACTGGAATGTCCATGAGACGACGCGGGCAACAAAAATAACATCGACGGCCCAGAAAAGGGGTTGGAGGATATTAGGTTGTGACGAGTGTCTCAAAGGCTGACAGGAACCCGGCATAGAGTCAGATTTCAGAGCTACTGTGAAGCTAGCGCTAAAATGTCACAATGAGACGGAGAAGTACTCCAGATCACGCCTGAAAAGAAGGTGTCAAAAGCTGCTCGCCGCTCTCGAAACATCGATCACGTCACCAGACTCGTTGGGAGATGCAGATGCCTCGGTTGGCGCCAGTTATTGCACCAGCAGGGCATTCCTGATCGCGCACCTCGGCGGATATTAACATTAGACGAAGATAATAAAAGGATTGTATTCCAAATCAGTCAGTGGAGTGAAGGTGCTAAATTGAGTTGACATGGGTAGGATGGCTAACTCATGGTACTGTCCTGGCTGGTAAAGACGGGTGGCGTAAAGGATCAATCCAGCCCCCTTACTACGAAGACTTGTCACAAACCAGTGACAGAGCAATAGCCAAAATTTGATGAACTAACGCAACTGTTACATTATGGGTGGTTCAGGCTCCAGTGGGTGGTATGATCCCCAACATGCTTAATCTTAGCCCAAACGGCCTCCTGGTTCATTCAATTTCACCCCTATTCAGAGCTTAGGTCTGAAGCTATGATGTACTCTGTACACTGTTACAATGTCTCTTAACGATGTCAGAGACATGCTTGGGGCGTCCCTTGTAGCGTAGGTCTGTAGTGAGCAACATCGGGGGCGCATACTGGACATGTATCGCGTTGAGCCAGATAGTAAGCAGCAATACAACCCGAGTGGAAGATGTGCTCGCGTTCAAGAAGGCAAACACCATCAAGATCACCGAGCTGCCCTAGCCCGGTAACGCTGAATGGCGTAATCTGAGCTTTTGCTTTTGTATTCGTGAGTTGATTCCACATCCCATGGATGTCATTCGGGGCGCTATGATTTCCCTCTAAGGGTAGCTTTTGCTGCTTAGGTTCTAGTCTCAAATCCTTGCCGGTTCCTAGAGGAAGTGGTGAATCGTCACGGGGGTATGATTCCTCTTTCATTGGTAGTCGAAAAGGAAAAGGTGAAGGTGCTCGGCTGACTGGAACTTCCCGCGGCCCTAGGCCTCAACCAGGGGTGAATCCTTGGGTAATATTAGCCGAGTGGTGTTTCTGGGGATCATGGTCTCGGTAGAACGAACTTGAGTAAGACAAAACAGGGTAAGATGAGAAGTGAGTCAAATATTAGACAGAAAACAAGGAATCATGCAGTAGCGTCCTTCCTCCTGTGTGATAAGGGTGTGAAGAGTCTCGTGGACGATTAATGCGGACATGGATGAGGTCTGGCAACAGTTTTTCTCGAAGGTTCCAGAGTGCCAGTTGACAAGCAACTGTTCTTAATAAAGGACTCCTCTCAGTAGATCTGGTTTGGGTTTAATTCATCGGAGTTCAGAGGAATTTAATTCGGAAGGATAGCCTATATATTATGACGAAGATATGATCTGATGGTTTAATCACGCGCTCGATTTGACAAATGTTGCAAAAGGTAGAGGTTGGTCACCCTCGCCAAGCTGAAAGAGGGTGGTAATACGCTGGGCGCCCTCACCCGGCCCTCGGGCGTCTGCAAAGCGTGGAAAGTGGTACCATGGACAACAAACCTCGACTGTATCACATCTCTGCACTTGGTATCTGAAGGCTTATGAATCACTACGCGAGTCACGACGCGATTCCTATCGGTACAGATTGCAACTGCCAGATGCTGACTGAGTCGCTGTATGCGGAACGGTTGAAGAATTTCGAATACATATCAGGGCCCATTGTGATCAAAGTTATTTATTCCGTCTGTGCTTGACCCACTTCTACTTTCCTCCCTTCAAATTCCAATGAATAGACCTCACGAAGTTATTTCACTTGCAGTCCTAACGATGGAGAGCCAAACAGATCATTTATACCACGTCTTACTTACAGTGATTGACTACCACAAAGAGCCTTCAGGGAAACAACCGTCTACCTACGTTATCAACACCTGTGGTTCTCTCAACAGAGCTAAGAACTCCTCCTACAGAATCCTACCTATGCTTCGGTACAAGGTCGAAGACTTCGCCGAGTTTGCCCTCCATTCAGGCCCCCGGGGCTCACACAAACACGGCGACAGAGTGTTAGTGTATGCCAAAGCACTAAGTGGTCGGGTGTTCGTGGTTTCAATACTCGTGACTCCGAACAAGTTACAATTGAGGATGGGTTGCGATGGCAGAATCGTCCTTCCTTCCGGGACATCATCACTCCAGTATGTGATACAGACAACCGTCGACTATAGTAAACACCGCGCTGGGACTGAACAGGAAACACAAATCGAGGGTATCTTTGTCCACCGTGAGGAAGCGCTCGCAGCAGCCCAGAACATTCTCAATCCGCTTGACTTTGCAGATTTTAGAACACCCGAGAGACTGGATGGGAAATGGCCCCACGGAGAAGAGGTTGTGTCCTATGCAGTCTCAGACAAGGGGCTCAACATATTTGTCATTCTTACTACTACTTCAGACTTGGAGAGGATATATCAGAGCTAGTCAGGGGTTCTGTGAAAGCATCAAACTTCTGAGTTGGTCCTGAGCTTCATTGATTGAAGGATCCTATCTATCTAATTGGATCTGAACTATTTTTGGACTCCTAAAGAGGATCCTAGCTGTATCAAAAAAGTTTTAGTCACTATTCAAGGACTGTGACAGTTGTCTTTTGCTACATAACAGTCTTCCAGGGGCAAAGACTTCTATTGCACAATCTGCTCTTCATTTACCAGGCTCGTGAGGGTTGTCAGTGCGGCTTGCTCGTCATTCCGTGGCTCTGACTGCCGTTCCGTGTGGTGTCAAGCCTGGCTTAATGGCGATATCATGATAGGGGTGAAAGCAATCGGTTCACTGCATCAGACGCCACCATGTACCCCATAACTCATTGATTACACATACAGATAATGCCATGTTCATGGTGGGTTCAGGCCACTAGGTACGACGATGACACGGGTGAAAGGGTCCTATGAACCGAATGGGCATTAGACGGTGTGATACCACCAGATAACCTTCCAATAATGGTCTAATGCATTGGTCAAGTAGGGGTCCTTTAGCGCTTCACGAACATGTCATCACAGGGCTGTCGCAACACTAACACGTTACATGGCATGAACGTCCATGTCCTCACTCAAATAAAGTCTGAAACTGTCCTGCCCCAAAAGGGGTCAGGGCATGTAACTTAAGGTTAGCCCGAGGTCGTGGGTTCGAACCCCATCAGAAAACTTCGGGCTACCAAGAAAATTAGTATTCTTGATAGAATGTTAGGTAAGGCTTCTGATTGAAAGGGGATTAGCGATTAAGCAGCTCCGCCGCATCTGGAGGGGTGCACGTAGCTGTAAGGGAGAGATGTTGCTTTTGCGTCACATTTTTTTGGTTTCGCTGAATGTCACGATAAGAGATCAAATGTGGCAAATACTAACTTTCGACCACGACATAACGAAGGTACTCGAGTTTTTAAACCCTTTGATTCACTCCCTTGAAAGAAGAGAAAGAAATAACATTCGACTACAGAGCTCTATTCTTGTGTTGTTGATAAAGCATTGTGTCGAACGTACCCTAGAGTAGCAGATAAGATACCGATATGAGATAAGATAAGCCAGAAGCGAATCAAGTCGAAGTCAGCTTAGCGCTTACTTGTTAGCCTTACAGCCACAATCGTCTATTGGTTAAATTTCACTAACCCCTGAGAGAATGGACCGGAGATTACTGAATCCGTCATGGCTTGATTATGGCTACAGCGCGCCTTGATTCTTTCCCAAGACATCCATCGTTGCCTAAACCTGAATTTCCAACGCCACGGTCAACTGAGAGTATTTGAGCATCTCACTGACTTTGGATCGCGTCTCCCTTCAATTGAACAGTAACATTCGGAACGTTCCAGTGATAATGGGCAAACCTCCGTCACCCGGTCCCCGTCCCTATTCGGACGACCCAGACGCTGTGTCTCTCCACACAACCGTCGGGGAACCGTCATACGTCGACGCTGTAGATGAAGATGTTCTTGATGCCGGAGACGCACTTCTGCCCTCTTACAACGACGCCGTCACCGAAACCTTTTCCAACACACCCGCACCTTCCGCTGCAGTTGGAGCTCCAATCCCAAACCAGGGCGAATTTCTCACGGGAATCACCTCGCCTGAGAGCCATTTCGCCTTTACCTCCAAGCGCGCTTTTCAAAAACGCACAACTATAGGAAATGAAGTTGTTCATGTTCAAGATGCGCGTTCCGATGCCGATCCGCAAGTTTTGGAATATTGGGTTCGGTTGATGGCCAAGTATCCGCCTTCACCATATATTCATATCACAGGAACGCATTCAGAAAGCAAGAGGGATAACGAAGGAAAGACCAAACGCGAGCAAGTGACCGATTTTAGGATCATGATCAACTTGCAAAATTATCTGTGGCCTAACTTTGAGTTCCAAAATTATAATTCCGCCGAGCTTACTACTGCGGAGCCGGGGCAAAAGACGTACCGTGGTACTGTTCTCAAGAACAGGCAGAAGGGAGCGAAAGGTGACCTCGAGGTTGGGCATGATAAGCCTAGTCTCAAGGAATGGTGTCATCGATATTGCGCCAAAGCTACGGGTACCAAAGTGTAAGCATTCTGTTCCGATGGTGCTGTATATGTCATCTAATATCGTCTTAGATTCCGCCTTTCTCGAACAGTCACTGGTATGGATACAGAGCTCCTCCGAGATCGTCTCTCCGGCATCATCAGATCTACCAACTACAAAGGTCATATCACTGTGGAGCTCCCTGTAGCGGATAGAGCAGTCGATATCTACTCCTCTAGCCGCCTCAACAACTGGCGACTCACCCGTTGGATCTGTTGGATCTTCTATCTCACCTTCCTCTGGATCTTCTCATGGCCAGTGCTCTTCTTTATGACCAAGAGATACCAAGTTGTTCAAGTGGAATGGCCATTCTCCCGAATGCAGCCTGATGGTCAAAAGCGCTATACCACAGTAAGCGAGGAGCAGTGGATGGAGAGGTATGGCCCTGCGATTAAGACGCTCTGCTTGGATCGGTATCAGGGACTGGCAGGAGATGCCTTCCTCAACGAGGTGATGGCGAGAGGTGATGCCACTGCGGCTAACAACCCGATTAATGCTAGAGCTGCTATGAGTGCTGCCTCTGCTGCTTTCCAGGGTGGTCGGTTCACTGCTGGGAACGGAGCGAGGAGCTTGATGCAGTTTGCAGCTGTGGCAACTGATCAGGTTGGATGGGGATTTGACACTTGACCGCAATATCTTGGTCTTTTCATCTGTGAGAACTTTGTCGTCCTTCTTTCCAGCTCGCAATCTTGTTCTCATCACATGCCTACGCTTTGATTAGTTCGGGAAAGCGTTTGGCTCTCGCATCGATGCGTGTTTCTTGTCTCGTCAAGGTGTTTGAAAGCCAGGTTTCTCAACGCGAACAGGTCAGGTCGCGCGTCTTGCTTGTAAGTATCGATAAACTATACCTCACTGCGTCTGATGGACTCCGTACAGATCTTGGTACATCAGGAGCACTTCCTCGGCTGGGAACATAAGGGACGAAATGATTTGCATATTTGACCTAGATTTAGGGGCTCTTAGGCTATCTATCCTGGCATCCTAAGGCTTAGACGAGAATTATGATGCTACTTAGTCGGGTGACTGGAAAGATGCATGTATATATCTAGTATTATTATGCGCTCGTGTATTTGTCAGTCTAATTATTGGGTATCTACAGAAGCAGATTGCTTTGAAGAAAAGATTTTGGAAATCTGTCCGGCCACATGTCTGCGCACTTGAAAGCAACATTGAACGCGGACCAACCCCTTCCAAAAGCTTATCTAATAGGTATAACGGAAGTGCTTGTTTTCCTTGTCCGTCATAGTCGACCAGACCTCCGGAGACATGTAAGCGTCCTCGACCTGCTTAGTGCGATCATCCCTTCTCTTATTCGCCCAGACGTAGTACATGAAGAGAGCAAAGGTGGTGAGAGCACATCCGGCTTGAGTACCCATGACAGCGAGCTTCGCTGGCCTGAAATCCGGAGCGTCTTTGGCTTGGAAAGTCTGGGGTCCAATGATGTTACCAAGTGAGAATGAACCACTGACGATAGCAGCGGCGAAAGCTCGCTTGGTAGCACCGCCGAAGTTGGCGGCTGTCCACTAAAGATTGTTAGTTAGTGATTGGGTCATCATGGGAATGTTAGTCACTCACGTTGTAGAAGATGGTGAGAGGGGCAACGACGGCGTTGACAAGGTAGATACCCACGAGGCAACCAGCCTTGTTTGTAGCAGGGAGAAACGACATGAGGGCGCCGCCGATGATACTGATGGTGTGTTAGTGAAGGGCTATGGTCATTAATGAGGAGACTTACGCAGGGATAATACAAGCAATGATCCATGCCCAACGATGAGATTTATGGCGAATACCAAATCCAACAGCTAATGTGAAGAAGATGCTCACAACACCAGATGGCATATTCATCAGAGCAGCCCTCTTGGGATCATAGCCAAGGTTGCGGATGAGAGTAGCAGAGTAGGTAGTGACCACACCGGACGATACCGAAAGCTACATCACTCGTTAGTAATGAACGTCGAGGTGTTGGCAGACAAGACTCACAAGAACGACTGAGAGAAGCATGAGATACAACTGAGGATCGCATAGAGCCTCGACAATCTCCTTGGGACGGAACTTCCTGCTCTCAATACCAGTTTGGTTAACGCTCACATGCTTCAGCAGAGCAACCTTCTCACTGCTAGACAGCCACTTGGCCTTCATTGGCGTATCAGGAAGGAAGATAAGTGTGGCCAAGCCAATGAGAACAGTAATCAGACCAAGGGTGATGAACATGATACGCCATCCAGCAAGGGCAGCGCCGGGCCCGATATGCTGAAAGGCATGGGAGACGGCACCACCAATGATCTGACCAAGGCCTAGACCAAGGTACCAGAAGGAGAAGCGAGGAGCCTGCTCAGACTTCGTGTACCATTGACTACTGATCAACATCAGGGATGGTCCGATGGTCGCCTCGAAGATACCTAGAAAGATTCGCGACACGAGAAGGGTCTGGTAGTTATGCGCCGCAGCACCACAGGCTGTAGCGACACCCCAGGCCACGACGTTGGCTCCCAGCCACTTGCCGGCAGGGACCATTTGGAGGAAGTAAACTAAGCTTTGTTAATTATGATCATCGAGACGGGGGAGGGGCACCGACTGTTGGGGATCTCGAAGCAGAGAAGCCCGACGAATAGGAAGGTTGCGACGTTGGAGAAGTCGTTTCCTTGGAGTTTGAGATCTTGGTGGATACCCATGACGGCGGAGTACTGTAACGATGATCGTTAGATAGAGTTTGAAGAGTGGAATGGGTGAGTGCACTGACGTTTAGGATGACCTTGTCGAGGAATTGCATTGTGTAGCAACAGAACATGAGAGGAACGATGTGCCAGTCAATCTTGCGTCTCATCTTGTCAATGTCAACATCTTCAGAAGCACCAGCAGCGTCACGGTTCTGGTCGAGGAACTTCCACGCAGCATCGACATTTCCAGAGCTCTTTTCGGAAGAGAGTGTAACTTGAGGCTCCTCCTTGGTAGGAGTACTCGGCTGAGACATCTTGAACAGCGAAGCCAATGGAGAGTCGCAATGTGGAAAAAGAAAGGTATGAGAGAGGAAAGAAGCAGAAAACAGCGAGCAAACAAGATATTAAGAACAGCAATTAGGAAGGAGGAAAAAATGTTTGCAGAGAAATGAAGCTGCAGATAATTAAACTGGAGCAATGTAGCAAACACAGCAGAGACAACAAGCACATGAAGTTGTCTCATCGGCTGCACAACCGAATTTGAAACCATTCCGACATCCCCGGCAAATCCTTTCCTACGCCGCAAAGCAATCGACATGATAATCGTAAATCTAATTGGGTCGATAGGAAGCACAGCACAAGGGTTCACACACAAAAGGTCCCCCTGCACGACACAGATTTATTGTTCTGTTGGTTGTACCCTTGTCAGAAATCTGCATGAGCAAGGGTACGAACAACACAACAATGCAACTGCATCTGCGAAGCGAGAGTGATTCGATTGATCCCAGGTAGAAAAAAGCAATGAAATTACTCATCGTTAATGCTGTGAGGACAAATCACATGGTATCGTCTAGGTTTGCTGTCTGAGACGCGGCGTAGCAAACATGAAGGGGAACAATGGGATTTGTTAATTTTCAGGCATTAACTCCTTTTCTTATTCCGGCAGGTGATGATGTGTTTTACGTGTGAGAATCTTGCAGGCTGTGCCTCTGTTGATGTTGAGATGAGAGCTGAGGGCGCCAGTCGCCTCAAAGACGAATGCCGAGAGTAGATTAATTAATATGACTGTTCGTCTCAATACGTAGCTGCTCTTTTGTTTTCTATCAATTATTATTCGAAAACCGACCGTCAAAATGGGTTGGGTATTGAATGCCTCCCCCGAGGTCGACGCCTCATCGCAATATCCTACGATTATAGCGATCACTATTGTTTTAACCATTCTCTCACTGTCAATTGTCACTACTCGACTGTACATCAGATGGAAAGCTCGGGGCATGGCAGGCGATGACTGGATGTCAGGCTTGTCTATGCTGTTTGCTCTGATTTACTCGTGCATCTGCATCGCGCGTACGTCCAGCTGGTCACCCATCTTGCACATCTACTGACCGAGACACAGAGACACGATATGGCCTTGGCCTTCCCATCCCCGACCGACCCAAAGAGAATCTCATTCCATATACACGAATCAATTTCGCAGGTCGCCCTTTTTACCAGCTAGGGATAAGCTTCTTCAAGATTGCCTTGCTGATTAGCTACCTGCGGCTCCTACGTGGCACGGACAATAAGACGTATCGCATGGTGATCTGGATTACCATTGCGCTGGTATTCATGTCCCATTTGGGTTGCACACTCGCGCTCGTGTTTGCCTGTAGCCCGGTAAGTCTCCCTGCAGGACACGGTAAGATGGTGGCTGACTCTTGCAGGTCGATAGATCTTGGAACCCCCTCAAGGAGGGGAAATGTCTTCCACCGGGACCATCGTTTACCGGCTACGCTGTGGTCACAATCGTCGCCGATATTGTTGTCGCTGTTCTTCCAATTCCAGTATTGCTTAAGCTTGAGATCAAACTTGCCAAGAAGATTGGTCTCATTGCTATCTTTACTCTGGGCATCTTCACCACAGTTTGTTCGATCCAGAGATACCGACAGATTGACCGCATCCAAGATCCGAAAGACGGCAATTCAACTATGCTGGTGCTTTGGGGCACAATTGAGTTCAATGTCGGGGTAAGTGCCGCCCGCAATTGATGTCTTATGTTGAGCTATTCTAACTGCCGGCAGAACATTGTGTCGTCGCTCCCGTTCTTAGCACCAATCTTCATCAAACGCGCTAGACAGTACCGATCGAAACCTTCGAGTCACAACACTCCAAGCCGAAGCAAAGGATTGAGGAGCAATGGATACAAACTCAAGGACCTTAGCCACACGGGCAAGAGGGAGCCATCAATCTTTACCTCGGTCGAGAATGATTCTGGGACTGGATCTCAGGAAAATATTCTGAACCACGGTGGCATCGTCAAATCAGTCACGTACACTGTCGAGGTGGATCAGGCCAAGTCCAATAACGACAGCCTGGGATCAAATGGCATGCATCGTTAAGCAGTTGCCCATACAAGTCTAGCTTATCCCACACAAACCGACTCTGGCCGAGTACTTGCAATCAAACAATTCCTTCACATGGACGAACTCCAAAATTTTAAGCTCCCGACCCATCCCATAATATTAGCCTATTCTCCGAAACCCCTGTACTTTACCAGGGCCTCTCAACTGCCAGGTCTTACCCTTGCTCGGCACCCGAGCTCCCCGACCCCCTCCGGCCCGTTTTGAAAATCCCAGTGATCCGATCAATCCATGCTAACCGAGGCGGAGGAATTGCTTTGTCGGCTCATACCCAGGGTCCAACCAACAGTAAGGATTTCTCTTGCATGAGCGAGAGCAGAAAGGATTTTCTAGAGTTTATAATTACTGGGATCGCCAATTCGTCAATCACACACGACGGTCTAGACACTCACCATGGCAAATCAGCCTGTCCTTATTATAGGCGCTGGTATCAGTGGCTTACTCCTTGCACAAAGCCTTACACAGCATGGAGTCCCAGTCAGGGTATTTGAACGCGATGCAGATCTTGAAACCCGTGGTGCAGGATGGGGTCTCACCTTGAATTGGTCTCTTCCTGCCTTACAATCTCTTCTGCCAGAGGATATCTTCAATCGCCTAACGGAAGCATATGTTGACCGGGAGGCTGTGAAACAGGGATTCTCTTCCACCTTTCCTTTTTTCGACCTTAGCACCGGGGAATTAAAGGCTTCGACACCTAAAGCGCCCGAGGCAAGTCGTGTTCGAGTGACTCGGCAGGGTCTCCGGGGCTTGCTTGCTACGGGAATTGACGTTGAGGTAAGCCTTTGCTATTCGTCTGAATCTTTCAACGTTCTAACAATAGCGTTACAGTGGAACAAGGCCTTGAAGGAATTGACTTCTACTGATGAGAACACCACCGCCACATTTGAAGATGGAACCTCGGCGACGGGGCGTCTATTGGTTGCATGCGATGGTAGTCACTCGCGAGTCCGACGCGCACTCTTTCCTGACTTGAGCCTACAAGATATACCAGTCCGAATGCTTGGTGTCAAGCTAAATCTGACATCTGAGCAAGCGAAGCCCGTTCGGGACCGAGACCCTTTCTTCATGCACAGCACTCATTCTACAGAGAATATGTTTGTATTCTTGAGCAGTAAGTCACATCGTTATGTAATATTTGATGAAGCTCATCGCCAGTAGTGCTCGATGCTCCCGGCAATCGCCCAGATGATATCCATCCGTATGTTTTGCAGATGTGCGTCTCTTGGCCTTACCGTGCTGGCTTCTTCGGCAGCGACACTCCGATCGAGATTCCTGGGACGGCCGAGGAGCAGCGAAATTTGATTCACGACTTTGCTAAGACTTGGGCTGAGCCTTGGCAGTCTCTTGCGCTGGGTGTCACGGTGGACTCTGATATAAAGGGTCTCAAAATTCAGGATTTGCCGCCACCTGCTGGTTTCCAGACAAATAGTCGAGCCGTTCTCATGGGCGACGCTCTTCACGCCATGGCAATGTGTAAGTACATCACCAATTCCTACCAAATGCGTGTAGACTGACAGCCCAGACCGAGGCGAGGGTGCCAATCATGTTATTTTGGATGTTCAGGATTTCGTCAAAGAACTCGCTCCGGCCCTGCAAGGTGGCTGCAACTACGCAAGTCTAAGGCCAGCGTTGGACAGGTATGAGAAATCAGTTGTTACGAGGACTCGTCCCGCTGTTCTAGCTTCAAGACAGGCGTGTCTACATGCTCACTGCTGGAGCAAGATCAACAATGACAGTCCGTTGCTGACAAGGCGTATGCCTTTTATCGACTTTGACGAAAGTCAGCTAGAGTCTTAGCTTAGCAATACCCCAAAGGGTATCTATCCACTACATGACCCTCCCATTGAAGTCTGCTAGAGAAGTGGCAAACGACGAAACAACCAGCCTCATGAAGAGCAATGTGGTGATGGGTGAAACATGTCCAGTAATGGGGCGCTGGCGCAATTGGTAGCGCGTCAGATTCCAGCTCAGTTTAGAGTGAGGTGATTCCTGAAGGTTATCCGTTCGATTCGGGTGTGCCTCATTGCATCCTTTTTGGGTCTGTTTGTCTGTCACGGTGGATCAATTGATGACCCATCTATAAAGGCACCTTTTTGCTAGTAGGCAGATGTAACAACAAGAAACAGCGTGTCTCGAGCAGCAGCCGCTTAACACCGCCTCAGTCTGTTGAGAAACAAATGAACCTGTTTATCTTATGTCAATGCAGATTAACTATTACGCTATTGGTTCTTGCGCCTTGCTCGTGTTCTGCGTCTGCTGTATGCTCCACCTTGGTTTCTAGCTTACTGTTAGGCTGTTCCACCAGAGCGACACCATTTTCCTAAATAGGCAATTTCGAGCTCAACAGATAAGTCAGCGGTAAATTGCACAGCCGGTGGAACTCACAAGATCTTTTTATCATGCGGTGATTGGCGTTCGCAATTTTCTTCTTAATATCTCGGTCTCCGGACAGATCTTCGTCCTTGAATTCGGACGAATGTAAAACTGTTGGGAGAAGAAACCATTGCTGCGGATGAGTATAAAAGGCGGCCGAGGTTCATCAAAGTTGCTGTCTTACCATTATTGTCATTCTCAGCTCATCACCCTTGTTCTTATAAGCCTAGGTTATCATAGGTAAGTACATCATTATGCATTGCACGTAAGATATTCTCTTGTCTTACATGTTCATCTTGTGGGTATAGGCTTGGCTTACATCTGACATATATAGCTTAGTATTCTTGCTCTAACATTACGATCAACTTTCTTCAACGTCGGCATCATGGCAGACACTCTTAATCTCCAAGGCAAGGTCGCCATCGTCACCGGCTCAGGTCGTGAAAATGGAATCGGTGCTGGTATTGCTCTCGCCCTTGCTCGAAACGGTGCCTGGGTGACGGTCAACTACGTCTCTGACTCAACCAAGGACCGAGCTGAAAATGTTTGCAACCTCCTACGTGAAGCAGGCGGTAAAGCCATCCCGGTACAGGCCTCAGTGGATACTATCGAGGGCTCTCAACTTCTCGTCAACAAGACCCTTGAAGGTTTTCGAGTAGACCACATCGACATCCTGGGTAAGAAACCTCAACTTGCAACTTCCGACATGCAACTAACCTGCACAACAGTAAACAACGCAGGCATTGCACACTTCTGCCCCATCACTCAGGAGCCCAATGTAGAAGAACTGACAAAGACCTTCCAACTCAACGTTCTCGGTGCTTTCTACATGGTGCACTACACTATTGCACACATGCCACCTGGTGGTCGGATTGTCAACGTTAGCTCTACCAACTCAAAGAGAGGAAGTGGTCACGTTTCTGCATACGCCGCTTCAAAGGCCGCGCTGGATAGTTTGACATGGAGCTGGGCTGGAGAAGTAAGTCTTTGATCCTGGCTCTGTCAAATTTCATACATCAGCAACTAACCATTCATATTGCAGCTCGGTCGTAGCAAAGGTATCACTGTCAACTCTGTCGCACCAGGCCCTGTCATCACAGACATCTATCCCGAAGGAACGGAAGAGGAGCTGACTAGAGAGGAGATCTCTCTGACTCGGGCTGCAAACCGGGCTGGTACGACTGCTGATATTGGCGATGCGGTACTTTTGTTGGTGAATGAGAAGTCGAGATGGATCACGGGACAGTATATTGGTACCAGTGGCGGAGTGACCTATTAATACTTTCAGCTTTAAGATATCTATGATAGGAATATTTATGTCTATGATGATAGCTTCCCAATGTCCAACTGAAGTTGTCTCATTTCCAACGGGGCAATATCCTCAATCCACACAACCTGTCGTAAACAAGTCATCAACTCATCCCATGATCTCAGACCCATCAGTTCCATCGTGTAAATAATCCGATCCAAGTACCAAAACCTTGAAAAGCCCGCTGACATGCAGAGTTGGACTACCAGCGCCCACAACTTGACCTCCAATTTTCCAACCCAGAAACCGTCATCGATTTGTGACATGAGGTACCGAAATGGGCTCTCCCGACGCCCCATTATGTACGCCACATCACCAGAAGTCTGCGATACTACCATCGCCACTATCGAGATGGCTGCAGTGCGCACCAACTCTGCTAACGCCCAGAGACTAGGTGCGGTGCCCTCTCCCATGACAAAGTCCCACCTCTGCAATGAGAGTACTTGATGATCGATGGTGCAAAGAGGCAAGATGAGGTCTGAAACCGTGGCATCATCTGTAAATTGTCTTCTTAGGACCTCGTCAAGCGAGGCTACAAGAGAGAGAGCATCGCTGATGACAGTAATTGGCGTTCGATTAACTGGGTCAAGTTCCTCGAGAGACGCCAGTATCCTGGTGATGACTGGTGACGTAAGTGTTTTTGGCTTTGGGTAAGGATCAAGTAAAGGAAATATCGGCACGGTATCTTGCTTTAACGAGCCCAAAACATCGGCACTGCATCATGTGGTCAGACGGGGAAATCGCGGATGTTATAGCAGACTTACAGAAGTAGAGATAGACGTAGAGAGGCATGAGTTTGCAGAAAGTGGAATCCACCAATCGGGCTAAGCAGTCTTTGTAGACCCAACATATGCATCTTCCATGAATCTAGATTGTCGACTCTTGCATCAAAGACTGCTAGACATATAATGGTTCCAATGACCCCGTCCTGACTAGTTTGATTTCTTGGAAGAATAGACCTGCGCACGAGGCTGAGAGACTCGGTATACTTCTGAATCTCCCTCAAAGACGGAGGGTCGTCAGCTCTCTGACTAATCTTTTGCCAAGACCTGAGTGTCGGATCGACCACTGCTAAAGATACCACTCCTTCAGAGACCATGTCCATGGCCTGAATCAACTGCTTGAAGCTCACGCAAACTTGCACATCCCCCCAATGGGTCGGCATAGGCACGAATTGGTCCATCGGCTTTGTTTCGGCCAGATCCTGTTCCTGGGGTTGACCTGATCTTCTTGATCTTCCGATATCTTTCATTACATGGCGACGGACTTTGCGTAGTGTTGCCTTATCTTTGGACTGTGTTGGGTTGCCGACATTTATGAATGCTAAGCTGGATGGTTTGGAAGTCTGTTGGGGTCGACGAGGCTCCAGCCTTGGTGTCTCCTTCAGTTTGAACTTGAGCTCCATCTTGGGGGCGATTCTTTCTCTGGCCTGCCTTCCAGCCGATGTGAGAGTTGATACCAATGAAACGGATATTCTTAATTAGATTAGCAGAGCGGGTCTTTGACGTTGGTATCACATATGGTGTTGGACGTGCGACGACTAGTGATTAAGCATAAATGGAGTCGTATCAAGGAATGCTGCATTCTTTAGGCCTCGGTCGCTGGAAATTCCCGCTTTCTAAGCTGCCTAGGCATCTACGTGATAAGCCCCCTAAGTGAGATTACGCGCTAGGCACGCGGGCAAAGGTAAAGCCGAAGGATTCTACCGGGTAAGCCTGGGCCAAAATGGAGCAATGGGATATGAGATGTCATCCCGTTCATAATATCATGATGATATGATTACATCAATACGGAATCGCATCTCACTATCAAATAAAATCGATTGCTGAAGTACGTCGATGCCATCAGCCCTACTAGTTCCGGCGTAGTGGGCCCAAATCGTGTCACAAATATTTTAGTGGTGTTACCAATTGAGCCGACTGCATTTGAATTGTGGCTCACCCCTGAGACATTATGCCAATAGAATGCGATGATAATTTTTAACTGTACTGTACTCTGTCCTGTTGTCTCAATTACCTGATTAGTGACTGACTCGAGTCACCTCGAATCGCGATCCCTGTGCAACCCTGACGTGCGCCAACCCAGCGGTAGCATGTGCATGTCGATCAGCCAGGTACCTGAACAACAGTCATCTCATTTTTTACGAACAAATCCGTCAATCGAAAAAGGCTTGTTATGAACAATAGCATTGTCGCATTATCAATAGCGTTATATCATAATTGCGAGTCACCACCCATGTTTCACTAGCAGGCGAAAGCACCAATCAGTTCGCCTCCCAAAAGGTTGGCCGAAGTCTAGACAAGTCGTTGCACCTGCAGCCTAGAATGCCATGCTCACCTCGGAGACACACCCAATTCGAGTTCCGAGGAACATGAGCCAGTGAAATCTTGACCAGAAAGCTGGGCAAGTCCGCTTATACTCATCCAGCCTAGTAGACAGTGCGCGGGGAACTTAATTCTCATCCAAACCAATGAATCACGATGACAAAGCCGATTGTATATGCCGGCAGGGCAGATGTCTTAGCCTGGACGTCAAGTTCCGCGGGCTGAGATATCAGCTAGAGGCTTGGCTTGGCTTCACTAGCGACAAACCCCGGATTCTCACCCCAGGTTTTTACCTTCTTCCCCAGATCCGTTATCCAAACCCCGCTCTTGATGTCCTGGCAAGATCAATCGAGACCTTGTCTGTATCAGCGACTATAAAGGGAGCAGTTCCAAGGGCCTGGTTCTCGCCTTCATCTCCTCATCTCACAGTCTCCAACTGATCCTCGCCACGATGGATCCCAACGCGCATAATGAGAAGTTCCAGCATGACACGGCGTCAAACACGTCCGAGCCAGCCGTTGGCACCGTGAATAAGTAGGAGCGGCAGTGGGTGGTGGTTATGCATATAGCGCTGACTATTGAAGTGTCGAGAACGCCCAGTACTACATCGACCCAAAGGCAGAAGCCAAACTTCGTCGAAAGATTGATTGGATGATCGTTCCGACTGTCTGTTTGTTATACCTCTTTTGCTTCATCGATCGCGCAAATATTGGTACGTCAATCCCTCCACGTTCTATGTTGTACGTGAATTAACGCGACAGCAGGAAACGCGCGACTCGCAGGTCTAGAAGACGATCTCGGAATGACCGGAAGCGACTACAACCTCGTCCTCTCAGTCTTCTACATCAGTTATATTATCTTTGAGATCCCAGCCAATCTGCTTTGCAAATACATGGGACCGGGATGGTTCATCCCATTGACATCTTTGGGCTTCGGGTTGAGTTCCATCTTTACAGCTTTCGTGCATAACGTCCCTCAGATTTGTGGTGTTCGTTTTGTTTTGGGTATTTTTGAAGCTGGTATGCTACCCGGCATTGCGTACTATATGTCGCGATGGTATCGACGTTCAGAGCTCACGTTTCGCTTGTCGCTGTATATCGTGATGGCACCTTTAGCTGGTGCTTTTGGCGGTCTTCTTGCGTCTGCGATCTTGAAGCTTCCAAACTTTGGGAGGTTCCAGAGTTGGGAGATGATCTTTGGTAAGGCTTCAATTAATGGTTGTTCCATTTCAATACTGACCCTTCTTAAGCAATTGAAGGAATCATTACGGTCGCGTTGGCCATTATCTCATTCGGTAGGCCTTACCCATTGAGCCTGTGACTCATGAAGCTGACACCTTCGCTAGCTACCCTTACCGACCGACCCGATACAGCGAAATGGCTATCAGAGGAAGAGAAGACAATGGCAATCAACCGTATCAAAGCCGAGCGCCTCGGTACAACCGAAGTCCTGGATAAGATGGACACGGCCAAGATCTTCGCTGGCATCCGATCACCACTCACCTTGTCAACATCGATGATCTTCCTCCTCGACAACATTACAGTTCAAGGCCTTGCCTTCTTCCTTCCCACTATCGTCCGAACCATCTATCCCGAACGATCGACCATTTCGCAGCAACTCTTCACTGTCCCACCATACGTCGTGGGTGCCTTCTTCACAGTTCTCATCCCTGCTTTCAGCTACAAGATGGATCGTCGACAGATTTTCATCATCCTCTGTGCACCGCTTGTGATGGTCGGCTATGCTATCTTCTTAGGTACTGCTAATGGCCAGGCGCGTTATGGCGCGACATTCTTGGTCGCTAGCTCAGCATTTGCTCTCGCGCCTTTGACAAATTCGCACATAAGCGCCAATGTCCTGAGCGACACGGCGAGAAGCGCTGCGATTGGTACAAATGGTAAGTTTGCATGCGGCCAATCCGAATGTCTCAAAAATACTGACTTTTATCCCACAGTCATGTTCGGCAATGTCGGTGGTTTGATCTCAACATGGTCTTTCGTCAAGAGCGACGGCCCCAACTACCCAATCGGAAATGGACTGAATCTCGCCACGTCAAGCACCATATTGGTTTTGGGTAGCTTGACTTATCTCTGGATCAAGCGGGATAATCGGAAGCGAGCGAATCGGTCTGCCGAGGCTGAGTTGGCTGGAATGACTCAACAGCAGATTCAGGACCTGGACTGGAAGAACCCTAACTTCCGATGGATCACCTGATCTGACCTGTCGCTTCAAAATATTTAAACATTTTACACATATTCAATGCCATCACGTTCCACATTCGGTGGTTTTGCTTATCTAAACTTTGCTACATGGTTGGTCACGAGTCCCGAGGGGCGATGACGGTGATCCCATATCTCGGTCTGTTGTTCGAGATACCGCCCATCTACCAAGCTCAAACTCTTGTCCTTGAGCGGGGTAGGTCGTAGGTTGCCAGTCCACCAGTGACTCTTAGAGCATCGTGAGAATAAGTTCAGAAACTGGCATCGTGACTGATGCAGCGCGATGACATGGCGGGTGAGGCCCCGAAGGATCAACCACTGGAAGGCCCAGGAACAAATCAGTAGGAGCATTCCATGCCAGTATCTAAGCTGCTTTGATTTGTTGTCGTAATCCTTGACGGCCAATCTTGACTGCCCCAGTGGTTGTGGCCAACAATAATGACGATATGAGTAGCCATGTAGCGGCGAGGAGGCTGTCGAGATGGTATGCTGGCCATCCATCTGGCCATGTAATAATTTGGTGTGGCCTGATGTTTTCCACACTTCGGTAAGTTATCGCGCTGGCTTTCGCCGCGCTCGTCTTCGCCATTCAAGTCGCTATCTCGATGCCAATCAGCCATGTCCAACAAGCCCTAAGTGGTTTCATCGCGTCAGTGGGCTGATTAATTATTCGGCGGTCCCTGATGTGTCCTCTTCTTCCCCTCACCTGTATGGCGTATAAGTAGAAGACAATCCTTTCTCATGTCCACACTTAGCTTTACATCTGAACACAATCTAGAATCCTCTCTCCGTAAGATGCGTTGCTTTCCAATCTACCATCTGTTGGTCGCCATAGGCCTTCTGGCCTGCGTCGCCTACTCCAATCCCATCCGAGTCCCCAGCGTCCGCGTCCCCAGCCCTCGTGTCCCCATGCCTCGTGTCCCCATTCCTCATGTCCCCAACTACAGTCCAGAAGACACAGAGGAAAAGAAGAAGGCTTGCGGCTGCGGCGGTCGCAAGCGATGGGAAGGGTGCCTCGGTCACGACTACGGTCACAGAAGCGTGGACGTACCAGAGCATGACGGACATCACCACCACCGAAGGAATGATGGATCTCCCAAGGCTAATGCAGACATTGAGAAGAGCGAGACCAAGCCCGAAGAGAATAACAAGAAGTATAAAGTTCCTCTCAATGTTCCTCCCATGATACCTGGCGAAACCCTCTTCGACTACATGAAGAGGATAGGTGTGCGCTGGCCTTGGGGCTATCCACGCTTCGTCTTGCCCATCGAGAAGGGCGAGACTAAGGCCAAAGATCACAATAAAAGGGGAAAAGAATATCCAAAAGTCAGAACTGTCGAGGAAATTCGTGAACATTTCGAAAAGAACAGAAAATTAAAGGAGCCACCACACGAAAGACGGTCATTCCCAACAGCTAATGCACACATCGAGAAGACCAAGACTAAGCCCGAAGATAATAACAAAAAGGGAAAAGAATATCCAAAAACCCGAACTGTCGAGGAAATCCGTGAACACTTCGAAAAGAACAGAAGATTGAAAGATCTACCTCATGAAAAACGACAGGATTTCACAAATCCTCATTACGAGAAACTCGGCTATGAGGAACAACAGGCCCTCCGAGCAGTCAACGTCACCATCGAGCAGAACGGTAAAGACCCTATCGCCATCAACATCATCATCCGGAACAACAGCAAGATGAATGTCACCATCATGACACGCAACTCTGTCGTTGATAAAGATTCCTTCCGTCTGGGCTACTTTAATATCTCTCCAGACGACACAAAGATCAACTTTGCGCCCCAGAGGGAGGAGTTTGAGTGGTTTCACACGCAGATGGGCAAATACACCAAGCCTCACGATCGCAAGTATCACAAAAAGTATTTGGTTAATGATCTGGTGCATCTGAGGCCGAACGAGACTTATCAGCAGACCATTCCCATTCCCAGTGGGACTAAGGGCGAGAAGGAACAGTGGTTCAAGATGATTCGCCATGCGAAGAAGATCAAGCTTTTTTTTGGAGGGTAAGTGGTTTGGTATCGGAGCCTGGAAAGGGGAGCAACCTCACTGGGCCAAGAACCTTGACTATGGGTTCAAGTCCAACACCATTGAAGTTCAATTGCCGGCTTGAGCAAGACCGTATAACCGAGGGAATCTCATACTAATAGGCTCGGACTCCCTGCAGAGGATGTGAGAATTTAGGGTAGTGTTTACTTTGGAACAAAATCAGTACGGTTCGGACACAACTCTATCAATAAAGTTTAAACAATTTCTCATTCCCAGAATATTGCAAGATGGGTCACTTCACATTACGGGTGATGCCACTAATAGTTGATATGATGCCTGTATTAAGTAGTTGGTTCCAGTCTCTGTCTGAGACGGCAATACTGCATTATCCTGTCCAACTACACATTATTCCAGTGCATACATGCAATCCGCGTAGTAAACCTCTGTCTCTACATTTTTCCTTCCGTCTTCTTTTTGTCTTTTTCTAAGTTTTTTTCCCGTAGAGAGTAAGGTTGATTCCATATGGTGTCCCCCTCAATGCAGGTCAGGGGGCAGAAAGGGCATCTCGCCCATCGATGCGCTCAAGCAGAGGTCCCATTAACGGCAGCCTCTGTCTCATTCCAAGGAGCGCTGAAAGGAGTATAAGCTCCAAACTCCTTGAGCTCGTCATCGGTGGGGATGACGGCATGACTGGCCCACCAACGAGTCCAGTAACCCTTCATAGGCTTGTCGGTCATGTTGCCGAAAGCCTCCTCCTTGGTCTTGGCCCAGATGCCGTACCAATCTCCCTGGATAAGCATTCGCTTCCAACCCAAAAGTCGGAGGGACTCGATTGCCCTCTCCCACATCTCAGGCTTGCAAGGGTCGAAGATTGACCCCTCGGAGGAGGGTTCACAGGTGAAGAGGGTGACAGTTTGGGACTCGGATTCGCCGGGGTTGAGCTGGACTAGCTCATCGATGGACTCGGGGCGCTTGGGGATCTCCTGCACGAAGTTCATGCGGTACCTCTCGCCAACACGACCGAAGAAATGCCCCCAGAGCTCGGTCTCGATTGAGTAATACCCAAGCTGCCAACCACGCTTGCTCAGGGGAGACCACTCCTTCCAGAAGGTGATGGGGAGAGGAGTGGGGTTGTGCACGGTCATGTTGACCTGCAGAGGGTTCATGGACACAAGCTCAGCCCCGATGGTGACGTTCTGGATGGCGGCACCCTCATCTCCAGGGATGATCTTGTAATTGGGCTTGGGGTTGGGGCCGTCGGGATAGTAGGTGCAGTTGACAGCACCACCCATCCCGGGTACCTTCGGGTTCATGGATGGGGCAGTGCGTCCATGGAAACAACCACCCTCGAAGCGCAGGAATTGGTCCCAGTAGCTGTCTGGTCCGGCTGAGAGCAGGACAGCGCCGTTGCCGTGACCATAACCGGGCTTACCTTCCACCTCGGGATCATAGTTGTCATCACCAGCAACATGGTGGGGGTGGAAAGGGTAGCCGGGCATATCCCGGGCATCGGCAGACCGGTTGCGCATTTTGGCCTCACACAAGTCACGGCTCCAGCCTTGACATGGAGGCCATATAGAAGCCGCCGACAGACCAGCAAGGGCCAGACCAAGAAGAGTGAAACGCATAGTGAATGGAGTTGAAGGGTGACTCAAGATTGTGGTATATATGAATAGGATGGGGTGGGTGCGAATATGAAAGGATGATAATGCTTTTCTCCAGGATGGTCCAAATATTCTCGATTAAATAGTTAAATCACAAGGGCATGCCCTGAACTAGAACTTTCTGCTGCTGAACTTTTCTTTCTTTTTTTTTAGGCAGGCAACTACTTTCTAGATGTTTAGACCTTGACAATTCTACTAAGTTTTGACAAAGAGTATTCGTAAGTGTTAGCAGATGTGCACCCCAACCACTAATAGTAGATAGAGGTATGAAGCATATTGTGCTATAAAGAAGCTCAAGAAGACATTGTAGGATCCACATCAGTCGGATTCCATACCTGGCTCTCTTGCCATGGTCGTCGCCCTGAGGATATTCTTCCTGCCCTAACCACCTCGCCTGAATCTCAACTCATGTGATTCGACACGCATCGCTACGTTCCAGTTTATATCCTTTAACCAGAATCTTCTACATCTTTCTGCTCCATAACTTATCTCCACACGTAGCCCTCTCACATTATGGCTTAAAGTCTTTTTTCTTTTTTTTTTTTCCACGTCTGTCAACTAACCATAAAGTGTCCAGGTGATATATAGGCTTTGTAAGTCTTTCCAGCTGACACCATTCTCGACTTTTAAGACGAAAGATCCGCAATGGCGCACTCAAATCGCAGGCCATGTATCCAGTCACTTCGCGTCGATTGAGCTTGGGCTGCACATGAACCAAGGGCAAAAAGTCGTTTTAACCTTCGGTTTGAGACTCTTATAGCTTATTAAGATTAACGACATCGCTTTGGTCTTAGGAAAAGGGACAGGTGATGGATGTCCGTCATCGTCCATCTCCCCGTCTATACTTTCAAGAACACGAAGGCTCAACCACAAGCCAACTCCCTCTCCATCATCATCGATTTCTGTGACCATGAATCGTTAATTGACCGTCTACCATCTGCCACATCAATATCGATGCCAAGATAAGCATCCCACGTCATGAAACGACAGCTATACCTTTCTCTCCGCATCTCCTCATCATCAATTGGCCGCCGACTCCAATGGAACCCTTCCGCCTGAGATTTACCGGTTTTTTGCCCTTTGTTCGGTAGCTCGCTGACCGTCTTCTTCCTCTTTCGTACAAGTCCATGCTACCTTATTTCAAAGCGATCCAATGGCAAGTGTCGCATTCAAAGCCATATCGTCACTTGATTAAGGTTTGCTGATCCCCCGCATATTTTACCCCGTGGGGGGTCTTGGCATTTGTGATGATGGGAGATAAAAACGACGTCCGCTGCGCTGTTGTCGTGCGCGTTTCTGTTTTCTTTCTCTGACCAATTGGGTAGGGCGAGTTGACGTCAAAATGGCTGCTTCAGACAATTATAACGTCCCGACGGGTGACGAGGCGAAGCGCGACGATGATGTCGCTCGCAACGACCATATTGAGCGAGCAGAGACAACAGCAACGAATGATGACGCTGTGTTTTCCAAGTTTCCAAAGATGGACAAGGTCGATGAGTTTGGTGCACATGCGAAGACTGATCCGCGAGAAATCGCGCTGGTGAAGAAACTGGATAGATACATCCTTGTGAGTGTCCCAGCAGCAGTGCCTCATGTACGTCTGCTAAATGAGGCTAGCCCATGCTATGGCTCATGTACCTCTTCAATTATCTCGACAGACACGCTCTCGTCAATGCTCGCCTCAATAACCTCGAGAAAGATCTGGGTCTAGTTGGAACTCAGTATAACACCTGCGTCTCCATTCTCTTTGTCGGATACATGTGAGTCTTTTCTACCTGAATACCGAGTCTCTCTATGGCTAACATCTTTCCAGCGCTGGGCAAGTCCCAAGCAATATGCTGATCAACAGAGTCAGGCCATCCTGGTACATGGGCGGCTTCTGTCTTGCATGGTCAATCGTCAGTCTTTTGACGTTCTTAGCAAAGGACTATTCCAGCATGGTGGTACTGCGATTCATCCTTGGTGTGACTGAGGCTCCAGTAAGTAAACCCATGCCCAGGGTTCGAGCGATAACTGACTGAGGATGTGTAGTTCTATCCCGGAGCCCTGTTCATTCTCGCCATGTTCTACACGCGAAAGGAATTGGCTGTTCGACTAGCCATTTTCTATACGGGTAACATGGTGGCTAGTTCATTCGCAGGTCTTATTGCAGCCGGTGTCTTTGCTGGTCTTGATGGAACTCATGGTTTGGCTGGTTGGCAATGGTAGCTATACTACCCAGGTGACATTCACATCCGTTGACTAACATTTGGCTTTAGGCTCTTCATCATTCAAGGCGCTTTGTCAATCGGGACCGCTATCTTGGCATTTATCTTCCTACCCGATCACCCTTTGACCACTCGTTGGCTATCCGACGAGCAGCGACAGCTGGCGCACAACCGCATCTACACCGACACCACCGACGTACGAGAAAAGACGAGTGTTTGGGTCGGTCTTCGCGAATCAGCCACTGACTGGCGAACATGGGCACTGTGTCTCATGTACAACCTCCATCTCTCATCCGTGGGCTTCCAAAACTTCCTCCCATCGGTCATGGTAACCTTGGGCTACAGTCGCACAATCACTCTCGTCTTAACATGTCCACCTTACCTCCTCGCCGCCATCGTAAGTATCGTCATGGCCTGGACCTCGGGCCGGTGGAACGAGCGCACCCTTCACATCACTATCTGCAAGTCCATCGTCATGGTGGGCTTTATCATCGCCGTCTCCACACTCAACCTTGCCGCTCGGATGTTCAGCATTTACCTCTTTGTGGGTTTCAGCTTTGGCATCAATAATATCATTCTTGCGTGGATCAGTGCTACTGTTGGACAGACTAGCGAGAAGAAGGCGGTGTCACTGGCGATCTGCAATACATTTGGAAACTTGGCACATGTGTACACGGCTTATTTGTGGCCCTCTTCTGATGAGCCAAGATATACGAAGGCTTGGGTTGCGAGCATTGCTTTTTCGCTGGGGGTTGTGGTTATTGCATGGGGGTTGAGGGTTAACTTGAAGAGGCAGAATGAGAAGACGAGAAGGGAACATCCTGAGGTGACAAACTTCTATGTTTACTAGACACGATTGGAGAAATGTATGCGTACATGGTGTACATATTACACATCGGCCAGCGTTGAGAAGCATGTGTCTTTGATGAGCTTTAATTGAACATGAAATTACCCTGTACCATCTCTTGTTGCGATCGACATGTCCAAGAACAGACCTTGACCCTTCAAGACACTGTGGTAAGCTTAAAAATACACTTATTTAGAGCTTTGTACTCTAAACTCCCGTGTTCACGCTACTGTTTGGCTTGGTGAGACATTGATGAGTGCAAAGCCATGGACGGTTAAATTGATGCTCATTTAAGGTGTCACCAAGTGGACCCGGGGTCAATGAGCCCTACATTAATGGCGTGCTTAAGGGCGATCATCAAAGCGCTACGAGTTGAGAATGCGATAGATAAAGAAATGCTATTATAAATGAATCCTTCTAAAGATACTCTGTAGTGATAGTGATATTCAAGTCCCGTGGCTTGGCTGCTTGGCTACGGTATGTCGATCGCGTGCCGTGAAATGAGGCTTTCAGGAGATTGGCGTGGGATGTCATGTCAGGAGTTGACTACCCGGTAGCTGAGTTACGTGTTGCGGTAAACAACAAAAAGACACGTACCAACGGCCCGATATCTTTGAAACAGTCAATGTCAAGCATCAATGTCAAGGTCAATCTCGGTGTGTTGATAGGCTATGCGGCTATTAATAACACCTGAATTATCTATGGTGGTGAGCGATAAGAGGACGGGAGCAATCATCGGACACCCCGTCTGACCCAGGAAATAATAATCAGGTGCCTTTCCTCTCAGTTCCGGCGGAGAGATTGGACAGATTCAGGACAACTGACCGAGTATCTTGGCAGCGGAGCCGGTCTTGTGTCCGCCCCACGCTTGACCCTCGGCGTCTTGGCTGGCGCCACTATTCAACAACCTTAACAAATAAGCTTGTTTGCCAAGTAAGCGCCAAGCGCCAAGCGCTCATCCTCATCTGTTTTAGTGACTCCTATTCGCTGGAACGACCTCGCACCGTCGTCATGGTCCAATATCACTGCTACAGCCAAGACTCGATCGTTTGAAGAACCGTCGCACGGGGCTTACTAGAGTCTTCTTTCCACACGATAATGAGGCGGGTACCCTTCTCCCTTCTTTTTTCTTGTCCTTTGTAGGGTCGTCTGTCGCCCCCCCCATTCCTTCTGTCGCTTTTCCCGTCCTGTCATGCCCTGCCGATCACCTAAAGTTTCTTCTGTCCCTTCTACGCCAGCGCATCAAAACATTCTTATCTTGAGCATGAGCCTCGATGCAGTACGTCAAGTAAAACAAAGATCTACAACTATCGTCAGCTGTCTTGCTCTTGAGCCTCAATCTACAGCAAAGCAGCTGTCGTAATCCATAGATAGTCCTGCAGCAAGTCAAAGCCAGCCACATCACGGATCGAGACGCAGTAAAGCCAACACAGGTAATAGCGTCATCAAAATATGTATGGAGAATGGAATATGCCTCAATCCTGCCACTTTGTCCGAAACTTGACTCCATCGATCGCATAGCCAGAAGCTCCAGACTCTTCGATATGGCGTGTATTCGTTCCCTAAAGAGCTAAAACCTCGTCTCTTCTTCCCCAACCTTGGCTGACCTGCGCGCTGCGGGTCATAGGCGCAGGCCCTGCATGCGTACAGTAGCGGTAAACTTTTTACTTTTTATTGGTAGGCTCATCTAGAACCCTGGAAATCATAGCAGAGAGAGAAAGAGATCCTGTTTTCTGGCGCGTTGCAGGGCCTGAATCATCCGCGCAGATCGTGTGCTCTAGTACTGACTCTCTTCATTCCCCCTTCCCTTGTCCCTGGGTCCCCCTGATATTCCTAGTTTAGCTCCCCCATCGTCCATTTCTGGTTCCGTTCACCTTGTGAGGCATTTTCTTGACCCCCATCCCATCCCCAATAAATGATGCTAGCGGACGTGGAGGAGGATGGGGACGTGCTGCCATTCATATTACCTGTGTTATGTTATCCTGTCATACAAAAGCCTTTCGGGACCCAGCTCTCAACCCAGCTACAGAGTGACCCACGGCTCTGGCCCTTTGTGTCTTCTCTACGTACCTCTTTTGCCAGAGTTCAAATACTCCATAGCTGCTTGCCGGTTTTCCTTGATCTCATTTTTAAAAGAATTGTTTCTTCTCGTCTTTTCATTTTGCTTCCCATACACCTTTCATGTCTTTTTTGCTTTGGGGGTTTGTGTCGTCGACACACTCTGAGCAGCGATAGAGCTTACTGGGCGCATTGCACCATCTCATCACCACACCTTTGTTACTTTTAGAAGCTTTATTTCTGCCAGAAGATCATCCCCTGATACGGAAGACATTTCTTCAGCCACCCGTAGCAGAACAAAGTCACAAATAATCTCACATCACCCAACAACCACATCGACAAGCCACACTTTATACTACTCAAGTATATCTTTGACGAAAAGCCGCTATAATGCCTCAAGTCAGTTTGACGGACTTCAACGTGGTGTTGGCAGTCCTTGGTATGTTTACTCCCAAGAACACTTTTCTGGGCAATCTCTTGGCAGGGAAATTGCCCAGGCCTTGGCAAGACTTGGCAAACTGACACCTCTCTTTTTTCTACAGGTGCCTTTATGACACTTTATGGTGTAATATCCGTAAAGATCAAGCAGAAATGGTACCTTGGAGAAGCCTTGCCTGCTATGCTGGTGGGCATCTGCCTCGGCCCTGTGGCAGCGAAATTTCTCGACAGTGAGAGATGGGGCCAAGGCCAGGTTGGCCAGACCAAGGATATTGCCCTGGGTCTGATGCGCGTGGTCATTGGCGTGCAGCTGGTCATTGCCGGTTACCAGCTGCCCGCAAAATACAACGCAACCCGCTGGAAGGAGATGGCCATCTGCCTCATCCCCGTCATGACCCTCATGTGGCTCTGCACCACTGGTTGCATCATGGCCACTATTCCCAGGCTCACGTTCCTTGGTGCTCTGGTGATTGCCTCGTGTGTCACGTGCACAGATCCTATCCTGTCCCAGGCCATTGCCAAGGGCCCATTTGCCGACAAGTATGTGCCCCGTCACCTTCGAGAGATCATCTCGTCTGAGGCTGGTGCCAACGATGGACTCGGCTTTCCCTTTCTGATGCTCGCGACATACATCATGAGGCATTGCTTTGGTACAACCGACTACAGCCACGATGGTTCCAGTGGCGGTGAAGCTGCTCGTAACGGAGCTGAGGCTGCCCACAGGCTGCTCGCCCGCAGTGCCGACGTGGGTCGTCTCGGAGGCGGCGTCGGCGAGGCCATGAAGCAGTGGTTTGTCGAATGCTGGGTTTACTACATTGTTCTGGGTGTCGCTTACGGAGCCACTGTGGGTTACGTCTCATGCCGCAGCATCAAATTTGCTCTTCGGAAGTAAGTTTCTCTGATTGTTCTTCATTTTCCTGTTCTGTCCACTTTTTCTACAGTGGAGCAGACAAGACGCGCTACCCCTAGGGGGATCCTTTTTGCAGGGAACATTAGCTAACGACATGACACAGGGGGTGGATCGATGAGCAATCCTACCTGCTCTTCCCTGTCGCTATCGGTCTCTTCATTATCGGTACTTGCGGTGCTATGGGCACCAACGACTTGCTTGCCTGCTTCGTTGCTGGCAACCTCCTCAACTGGGATGGCAACTTCCTCGCCGAGACGTATCAGCGACACGACGAAGTCAACCACTGTCTCGATGTTCTTCTCAACTTTGGTGGATTCATGTTCGTTGGAACTGTCCTTCCTTGGAGCGAATTCCATGACCCCGATGGCACCGGCGTGACAATCCCCCGACTTATCGGCCTTGGCTTCATGGTTCTCGCCTTTCGACGTATCCCTGCTATTCTTCTGGTCTACAAGTTCATGCCCAAGGTGTGCCATGACATCAAAGAGGCTCTCTTCATGGGCTACTTTGGACCTATTGGTGTAGGAGCTGTATTTTACCGCGAACACATGCGTCACCTTTTCCCCCACGGCGATGCAGCAGACCAAGAAGAGAAGGATGTCCTCGATCTTGCTGGACCAGTTGTTTATTGGCTGGTCTTCTTCTCCATCATCTGGCACGGTCTTTCAATCCCAGCCCTCAACCTCATTTACCAGTGGCGCGGAGTCGAGCCTATTCTGGACGACGCCGTTTCGATCCGTCGCAAGTCCTTCACCATGGCGACACCAGCCAACGCTATCACCGGAGACGAGGACAACTTCATTGCCTTCAACCGGTTCAGCCGTCCCGATCCCAACTCACGCGCGAACTCCATGGTTCTTTCCGGCGAACTTTCCCCTGCCGCCCAACACGCGCGAAACGAGTTTGCTATCTTCTCTGGAACACATTCTGAGGAAGACTCTGAGAGAGAACGCGAAGAGGCGGAGAAGAGACGCCGCCGACGAACTATTCAGTACGATGTATAGATTTAGCGTGCATTATAGACTTGCTACATAGATTTAAGCTTAAATATACAATATAGAAAGCGATCAATTTAATTGACGATAATCTCGTATACAACTTATGGTGTTTTGCTCATTTTTCGTATATGCTGGTCAGCTTGGGTCTTCCTTGTCCACCAAAACTTGCTCAAGATGACTCTGATTCAGATTGACGTCACAGTGGAGGTTCAAAGTCTTGGGCAAGGAGTGGCGATAGGAGGATGTTGATCCTTCGAGAAAAACTCAATCCGCGGAAGTGTCATGCAGTTGTCAGGATCGAAAAGACTGAATTTTCACTGATGTCGATGGCAAACTTGTATCGGCGTTGCCGTAGGTCCCCTCCATGATCTCGATAGCCGTCTCAGGCACACCCGGATAACGACCTCGTTCCTTTTTTGCGGAAAACTCAATTCCACACTAAACTCTGTCAAGCGACCGGAGTTGTTACACCGTAGGACGCCAAGAAGCGACGCCAAGATAGAGTCAGACTTGGCTCGCGGGGTCATCGAAACGCCAACGCGGGGAGAGAACATTGGGTCAAAGCATTCAAGCTCAGCTTTAGAAGCGAAGTGTTGGTAATATGATATCAACATCGTTTGAAAAACTGGTAACGAGACATGAGATTGTCAGTGATGATCATGTACGAACAAATCGGCTTGACCGATGGTTGGTTACAGTTACATTTTGACATCTTGCATTCATCCCTGTCACCAACCTTCTCGAATGAACATTTTCGTGATGGGGCTTGGCCACATCATGATGAACGAATACCCTTGTTGAACCTACAAGAAAACTGTTAAGATGTTGCAACCTATTAAACATAACTGCGCTGGGTGGCGATAGCTTCACGGACCTGTTTTTGAGACGCGAAAGGTCTCAGAATTAAGTAGGAATCTTTATGCACGTTCATCGAGCTGAAGTGATCGGCAGAGCATGACGTTAGTTAGTCCACCTTTCAAGCTCGTGAAACCTTAATGCTAAATTGGAGCCAAGATGGTGGGAGGAGATGGAAGACTGGGGATTGCGAACTATGATGGGTCTCGATTCAGAAGTTGACCCGGGCAGAAACTTGTCTATCCAGCACAATTATCACAGCCTCTGAGAAGATGAATATTACGGGGACGGGCGTCTCGGAAGTCGTAGAGGTTTACATTTCCATTGTACGAGGACTGCTGTAGTTTGAGGCTCAACCGCATCGCCAGACCTACTAGAAGCTGAACCTGACATTGCATTTCCCCTCTTGGTGATTCCAGAGGTTGGTGTTGGCTCTCCTTCAGTGCTAGTAGTCGTTAGCTCCGTCAATATAGTACCACACCTGGGACCCTCTGGAGAATTCGGTATTATTATCTCGTCTGTGGTGATAGTTGAAGTGCTGTTGTCGCTGTTCGATGTAAAGTTGAGCTCGAAGATGGTAGTGGTGATTATCTCTGATCAGGTTTCCGTGTTATTGTCAGTTGCAGCCGTGTCATCGGCATCAGTGGTAGTTCTACCTGTTGATTCTGCAGTTGTAGTTTGCTATGAAGTCCTATAGGTGAAGTCGTGCTATCAGTATCATTACTAGTTACTATTGCAATTGTACTCGATATGCTTGCTGTTGAAGGAGTGTTGCTGGTCAGGCCTGACGTCAGTGTTCCACCATTGCCGCTCCAAGCCGGGCCATCCATGAACATCCCACAGCCGCCTGCAAAGCCTCCAAAACTGGCTGCAAGGACTTGCGTACCTTCGCTAGAGATAGCACCTATCATAGCGCTTGCATCGTCGCTGGGGAAGAAGTTTATGATCAAAGATAGAGATACAAATATAGCCCAAAGAGCCAGAACATCCCTGGGGACCGTAATTTAGAGATCAAGTCGAAGAGGAAAGCGCAACCAATGCTTCAGGCGTTCAATATTCATATACCTCTTTGCTGGGACAAAGCTTCTAAAAACATTCATTACTCTGACACTGGTAAGTGCCGCCCTCTAGACAGACTGCTTCCTTTTCTCCAATATATCAATCATCTCTAAGAGAAAAGGAACAAAGTCCTTCGTCTCACACTGAAAACCCTCATGATTACCCGGCACGGTCATACGTGGACAGCCCAAAATCTCAGCCTGTGCCTCGATAGCCCTAGCATAAAACGCCTCCTTACATCTTGCACCTCTCATAACACCAACACTGGTCTGGTTCTCTTTGATTCGAAAGAAATTGGGAGCATAGCCAAGCAATCTTGGGAACTCATTCTCCCAGAAGTTGCGACTATTTGACGGTTCGGGAGATGCAGGCTTAGGAACTCCCTCGTCATCATAGCCAATGAGACACTTGTCGAATTCTGCCACGACAGCATCTAGTCCCTTTTCTCTGTGCAATGCAATAAGACCATACATCCAGTCGTAAATCTCTGTCGCATCAGGCATGAGCGCAGAAATCCCTGCTTCATGGGAAATCAGATGGACAACCATCTCGGGATAGTCGTGGGCAAATTGATATCCGAAGATACCACCACTGCTACTGCCAAAAACGATAGCTTTGTTGAATCCGACAGCTTTGATAACAGCTCGGATATCACGGGCTTGTTGGGTTGGGCTTAGTGGTTTGTTGACAGGGACTTGACTCGCCGACATTTGGCGTCGGTCGAACGTCGCGCAAGTATAGCGGTCTGATAAAGCGGCTATGATGTTGTTGAATTGTCTCCCGTGGCCGTTACCACCTGGGACGAAGATCATGAGAGGGCCGGCGCCTTGATGCCAGTAGTGAAGGTCGCAGCCCTCATTATGGACAATTGCTCTAGTGGGGTTAAACTCCATGATAAACTGTTTGTTGTGCTTCTGTTAGTTGCGAAGTCTGGCCAAGACATGAGGAATAACGCTACGGTTATATAGCAATGGCCTCACTCGCTCTGCTTACCGACTTTTATTTAGCCTAAAGTTGATAGCTGACTATTGGAATCCTTCGATGTGACTCAGGCCGGTGTTGTATCATGCGATACACAGAGAATCGTAACCCGGTGTTAAGGTCCGCAGGACAGGTTACAGCGAAAAGGGTCATTGGACTTCACATGGTGTGCCAACCAAGTCTATCTTTGCCCAAAGTCTGACTCAAGTTAGTTTAATTGATGAATCTAAGTAGAAGAAAGGTTACGGCGCTTATTTTATTGTAGAGCCCAAGATGAAGGGCTGCACTTTTCCCTGATAAGAACTGAGCAGATAAATTGGTTAGATATCCACACCGTTCTCGCTCACCCGCACAGCCTTGCCCATGATCCTCACAGACTTGGTATCCCGAAGCCACTCGACTGTCAATTGACCTCCCTCTTTGGACTGCTGCAAGGCCTTCAACGTGTTTCCGCTGAAATCGGGGTGATGCTGCGTTAGTCGTGCTGTAGTCTCAGCATTCGACAAAGCATGTGGGACAATAGCTCGGTGGGCAGAGCCCGTCTTCTGGATGTCAGTCAAACTGACGGACAATCTAGTGTATAAATTACTTACGGCAATATCTTCCGCATAGTGATTTCCAAAGGCGTTGAGCACACGAGTGTGGATATGCTCTGAAGGCGAGGTCGAGATTTGGAATAGGTACATGAATTTGTTGAGCGAGGCCTGTTGTATAAGCATATGTTATTGGATCTGGGATAGAGACTTACTAGCTTCTGGGGATCGATGTTAAGACTCTTGAGATCCAGATCAGGGCTATACTCGAGCAAGAGATACTGATCCAGGTCAAACAAGCCAACAGGTTCGCCTTGTCCTTCCCACCCAGATCCGGTCGCCTCTTCAAAGAGTCCTTTCAATTCTTCCCACCTCTCACTCCCCTTTGGTACTGTGGGAAGATCAAGAAGTTCTGGAAACTCAATACCCACGAGCTTCTCGTCTCCGAAAGGGCTCTGATGAAGAGAGGCAGAGACGATGCCATGAAGCCTGGTCAAGTACCTCAGCGTTTGAGGTGGGTTCGGTAGAGTACTAAACAGATGCTGGGACAAGGCAAGAGTAGCATGGCCGCAAAGTGGTCCTTCGTGGGAAACGTTGAACCAACGAACGGCATAGTCAGGCGCGTCATTTCCTGCCTTTAGAGGAACTGCGAAAGCGATCATGGGATATCCCAGTTTTGTGGCAAGTTCTTGCAACTTCGAAGCTGGAGGGAATATCTCATATGGAAACTCCGCATCCTTGTTGTATTCGGGGCTGTCAGTTGGTGCGGGAAGTACAACAACACCAGCTGGGTTGCCTTGAGCCTTATCAGAGGCGAAAGCGTTGTATGCTGTCAAAGTAGTAGAACCCATCTTGGCGAAAATGACTTGCAAAGCAGTTGAGATCGGATAGTTGAAACAAGATCTTAATGCTTTTATATATTTATTAATACCAGTTAGAGTCATCGCAAGGGCGTAAAGATGACTCTGCCCCTCACGATGACTGGAATTGGGTGACTAAGCGAGAGATTGGTAAGAATGTTCTCGAAAGGGAAAGGCACACTTACCAGCGTCCGACTTCGCAAAAAAAACAAAGACTCATTCCTCAAGATCTTAAGAATGTAGTTTCCCATGCTTTTGAAAATGGGAGGATTGACAGTCTGAGTACCATGGCTGAAAGATCTGGGGTAGACACAAAATGGACAGTCGCAGACGTCGAATCAAAGCACTGTCAGACCGAGTATCCCCACTTTGAGCTAACCACCATCTGTTTTTGAATAGCCTAAGCTGGCAGTAGGATGTCTTTTTATGGTCAATTATACGATGTACTTATAAGCAATAGTGAGCGCCAACAGGTAAAGCTGTAGAAGAGGAGGACAGTGTTGGAGAGGACGCCAGTCCATATAAGAGTCTTGATCCACCAAGGGAAAGGCAGGCAAGGCAATCAATATGAGGAAACTTCAGCGCTGACTAAATTTCGTTTCTTGATAAAACGCCTCGGACAGCGAGCTTGAAGGTTCCTTTGATAAGCACTACCATAATGTAGGGCTAGTACATAGTAGCTTTTGCAGGATGAGGCCTTCGGTAAATGCCAAGACTTCCGAGCACGACTTCCGCAGCCAATCAGAACAGACTCACATGTCTGTCAGATTACTGATCGGGCTGCATCCCTACCAATCGTAACTGACAAGCATCTGTGCTTACTTTGTCGGATATCCATGTTTGCGCGAGTAGGAGTGCCGATAAGTTTGATATGCATAGAATTAATAAATACCATGGGGTTTGGGAGTTATATAACTCGGGAGGGGAAGCTGAAGAAAGTATCATCAGCAGCATCAACAATCACATCTTTCAACCATAGCCAGCAAACATTATAACACTCTCAACATTTCAACAACATTTATCCAAGTACCATTAATCTAAAACATTCAAGATGGTTGCAATTAAGACAATCAAGACCTCCAACTCCACAACTCTCCCCAACTCCCTCCCCCAGAATCTCACAGCCGTCTTCCTCGGAGCGACATCCGGCATTGGCCGATCCACAGTCAAACAGCTTGCCATTGCTACAGACGGCAAGTCACCTACTATCTATATCGTCGGCCGCAGTGCTTCAGCCGCAACATCTCTCATCGCCGAGCTTCGCCAAAGCAACCCATCCGCTACCGTCGAATTCATCGAGAGACATGTTTCGCTAGTCAAGGAAGCCGATGCTGCCATGCAGGAGATTTCAAAGCGTGAGACCAAGGTTGATATCTTATTCATGTCTGTCGGTTTCATGTCATTTGAAGGACGAAAGGGTAGGCCACATATCCAATTCCCGCTCAGTTATAGAAGACTAACCATGTGCAGAAACAAAGGAAAAGCTTGAGCCGTCGTTGACAACTCGCTTCTACAGTCGTGTCCGCGCCATCCAAGTTCTTCTTCCTCTTCTTAACCGCAGCGAGAACCCTCATGTCACCAACATTCTCGCCGGAGGCCAAGAAGGTCCTCTGGTCGAAGATGATCTCGACCTCGCTAAGCCAGGAAACTTCGGTGTCGCATCCTCCGCCAACCAGGCTGCCACCATGCTCACTCTCACCCTGGAGCGCCTTGCCCAAGAAAACCCAAAGATTAGTTTTGTCCACGCCTTTCCCGGTCTTACTGCGACTCCTCTTCTTTCTCGAGGATCAAGCGGAATCATCGGGTTTCTGCTTCAGTGGATTGTGACGCCACTTGGTGGTCTGCTCTTTGCTAGTCCTGACGATGTCGCTGCTCGAGCTTTGTTCTATGCCACCAATGCCAGATATACTGTTGAGGAGACTGAAGCTGCGGCTGTCTCTATTCCCGAAGGCCTTGAGAAGGCTAAGAAATCTGCCGGTGGAGTGTTCCTGATCACTGAGAAGAGTGAGCCAGCGGATAATGAGAAGGTGTTGGCTGGTATTAGGGAGAAGATGGCTGGTCAAGTCCAGGCTCATGTGGACAATGTGTTCAAAGGACTTTTTGAACAGTAGTTGGGAAGATGATAAAAGGGCGAAATCTGGGAAGCACGGCGTTTTGGCAATTAATTTTATATGTATCTGTTTTCCCAAATCATATCTACTAGTCAATATTCGAATCAAACAAAGTCATAAGAAACAATCGCGACAACAAAACACTTGCAATAGATGTCAACTTTGTGATCAAGCTTTTCTCGGTTCTCAAATGGTACTTGAGGTGGTTGTTTGGTTGCCTTGTAACTGAGCGCTACTGCGAAGATTTACGCTGTCTGAAGGCGGTATTATTGAAAACATTTTGTGCTGACAGGTTGGTAATGAAAGAACTGTCCTCGGATTATGGTATGAACATGGAGTCTGGGAATAACTAAATTATTTCGTGTTTCATTATGCTTTCGGCGGCGAATCTTCTGACATGTTGAGAAGGGGTTCTGTCGGGCCCGGGGTGCCGTGGGTTTTGATCGCGGCCGGATAGACATGAGCGCTATGCGCATCTGTGCTTGTCTTGGTAGTGCTTTGTTAAGAGCAAAGTACTGGCCCCGCGGCGGAGCGGAATCACTATGAATCATTCTAGACAGCACCTAAATAGGACTAGCAGGACCCCTTGACTCACCTCAAACAGCCAATCAAGAGGCACCAATTCGACACCCATACTTTTAAGCTTCTTCCATTATAGATCGAACGAACATATAAGGCGTGATGATCCTCGTGTTGCTCTTTCAATTCAGCAAGCAACTACTACGTCAGCACACTTGAAAACAGAGTCTCACTTCCATCTCATCAACACTTTTACTCTCCATAACTCAACTTCATGCTAGGAGCAACAACTACTGACACCACTGTAACAACCAACATGACAGCCCTGTCAACACTCCCAATCAACATCGAGGATACCAATCCTCTCACTTCCAACACCATGGATTCAAACAAACCTTCAGATCGAATCTCTCGATCCTTCACCCCCGGCCAGTGCCTCTTTTGTCCCATTGCATCCCCAACTCTCGAGGATGGTATGGTTCATATGCAAAAGTCCCACGGCCTTTTCATCCCACAACAGCAACATCTCACAGTTGACCTTGAAACATTCTTCAGATACTTGCATCTCGTCATATTCGAGTACCGAGAATGTTTGTACTGTGAAACAACGAGATCCACTGTCCAAGCTGTGCAACAGCACATGATGGGTAAAGGTCATTGCAAATTTGACCTTTCGGAGGACTCAGAGTTCGCTGATTTCTATGACTTTTATCAAAGTCGGGAAGACGTTGCTGAAGATTCCTCGAGTGATAGTGGCAGCGACAAGGATAACCGCAGGCCATTGAAAGTGGACCAGGACTCTATGCGTCTGCCATCTGGACGACTCATCTCCAAGAAGACCTCAGCACAAGCGGAGCCTTCGCTTTCTCAAATACGTCGTCGACCACGCACCACAACTCCTCAGATAGAATACGTCACCGAGCCCGATTTCGAGCCTGATACTAGCAATGGCCCTTCTATCCCCGACACCCAGGCGTTGACCAGACGGGAAAGGCGACAGAAGGCTACAGCAGCACATCAACTAGCAAACATGGGTGTCGGTGATCGCACTGCTCTGATGCACCTGTCTTCAGCTGAGCAGCGCTCACTCATAGCTACGAACCAGAGATTTAAGGAGAAGACGCAGAAGGAAGAGGCTAAGAGTCAACGAAGGATTGATAGAAAGGGAAACAAGAACTTGTATGCTTATTGGCACACTGAAACGCCGGTGTATCAGTGTGGTTAGTGAAGGAGCATGGCGAGGTATCAATGTTAGGTCCAAGTCTTTTCGTAATCTAGCTACCAATCCAAGATAACGGTCCCGTTTTTGAGTCATTATTTAATGCTTTGTCGACTAGATATTGGAGGACTGGGGAGATATGAGCATTCTAGAGTGAAGGCTCTAGAAAAGTGACCAAAGGTAGTCAGCCATAGGATCCTTCCACAGCAAAAGACATTCTGTTTTCTCATCATTCCACCACAAATCGTATTCCGTTCCATTCTCCGCCGTCCTGAAAGGTGGTTGTGAGAACAGTACGTACGTCTCAATTCCTTTGGGTAGCAAGCCGCATACCGGACCGAAGGACGCGACAGGCATGAAATATGTGAATAAAGGACCAATCGAAAATACAGCAGTCACCACCATTATGAACCAGAAAGCGCAAAAACTGATGATGAGCGCGATCAGCTCAAGAAGGACCCCACACAGGTTCTTGGATTTCAGTTTGAAGCCAACCGTGCGGTCGATGACGATCTTTCCCAGGGTCAAGAAAGCCAGAAAGCCTGCGACAGTGAAAAAGTAAAAGGTTGGTAGATGGGCGTTTGGTAGAATTGGTTTCACGAGTTCGAAAGCGAAGGGGTAGGAGATTTCTAGGTATCTCGGGAATATTATCTCGCCGTTGTATGTCGCAGAAAGGATACAGAGAACCCATGTCGCCATGCACATCTCCATCCCCGAGCCGGGCTGATAAGGGATGCGATACCACCGACGACAACGTCCTGGATCGCCTCGGAAGAAGCGAAGGACTTCCCTCAATCGCATATCTTTTGTTGCAGGGGAAATAACCTCCGGTGCCTCTCTAAAGCCAGGTAGCTTAAGGAGGAGAAGGACGGACATGACTGAGACAGTAGTGCCACCAACAGCCAGTTCAAATGTGAGATGGTCGATGATGCTGAGAGATTCCCAACCGTAGAAACTCAGCCTTCTTTTGTATAAGAAGATGGTAGCCACGAACTGGAACAGCGTCCCAGCCATAACTGCCAATCTTCCGATTTTCACCCATGCCCTTTCAGACCGGGATTCCTCTATTCTCTCCTCCGTCAAAAGTCCGACACTCTCTTCCACTGAGCGCTCAGGACGTGGTTTCCTCGCAAACAGAGTACTCCATTGCCGGGTATACATGCGGACATGTTGTTGCCAGAATTTGGGCTCTCTCAAAAGGCTGACAGCCAACGAGGTGTGAATGACAAGTAGACCGAGGACTGTTTGGAAGATGACCATAAGTGGAAAGACGAGAAATAAAACTGGTTCGATAGATGCGAGGCGCTCGTCGCGAAGGGACTGGAGATTGCAGAAGGCGACGACTGCTGTGAGATGAGCGACTATCAGCTTGACGATGACCTCCCTCACGCCACGAGTGTCGCCATCAGGACATTCAATATCCCCACTCATTTTAGCGCTCAAGAATGCTAGCTCTGCTCAATATGCTGTGGAAGTCATTAAACCGAATAAGATTTCAGGGCAAAGAGAAGAAAAGGCGCAAGGATATATCGTCTGACACGTCAATTAGGCGGCTGTGCATTGAGCCTCGGTTTTAAATATCAGATCAGGCTGATCAATAGGCAGATTTGAGCACTGATTGAACAACCAATCAGAGGTCAGGTAATCCGCCGGTGAGGGGCAATCGAATGTCTCTCAGGAACACGATCAATTGGTAGATCCATCGTCCGATAAGGCTGACTCATCTCGTATTCGCATCCACTGATTCGATAACTAATATCGACTAAGAGTAAAACATTTGATGGTGCTTACTCCCGACCTGACCTACTTTTGGACACATTTTTCAATCTTTGCATATTTCATTGCGGTTCTTTAAAGATGGAGGCGCTATACGGGAGTCTAAGAGCGTTACCTCTCTCGGTATCAATTCCTCTTACAGTTGGTGTCACAATCTTCTTATCTGTCGTCACCAACGTGGTTCGACAAATATGGTTCCCCAATCCCCATCGCCCTCCAGTCGTTTTTCACATCTTTCCCTTGATCGGAAGCACTGTTCAATATGGTATTGATCCGTATAAATTCTTCTTTGACTGCAGAGCCAAGTATGGAGACTGCTTTACCTTCATCCTGCTTGGTAAATCGACGACTGTATTTCTTGGGCCCAAGGGCAATGACTTCATCTTGAATGGAAAGCATGCCGATCCCAACGCTGAAGATGTTTACGGAAAACTCACTACACCTGTTTTTGGAGAGGAGGTTGTGTATGACTGCTCCAATGCGCGGTTCATGGACCAGAAGAGGGTACGTAATTAACATCGACTATCATCAGCGTGGAGACTAACAGATTTCCCAGCTTCTCAAGCTTGGCCTAACCACTGAATCTCTACGGTGTTACATCCCCAAATTCGTCAAAGAGGTTGAAGACTATGTCCACACCTCACCTTACTTCAAAGGAAATACAGGAATCGTCAACATCACAGAAGTCATGGCCGAGATCACCATTTACACCGCTTCAGGATCTTTGTTAGGAAATGAAGTCCGCGCCATGTTTGATAGCACATTCGCCACTCTCTACCGTCACCTTGATGACGGCTTTCAGCCCATCAATTTCATCATGCCAGGTCTTCCACTACCCCAGAACTTCAGGCGCGACCATGCAAGAAAGACCATGGAAAAGCTGTTCAGCGACATCATTCGTGAGCGTCGCGAAAAAGGAAACCAAGGTGATGAGACGGATATGGTCTGGACGCTTATGAATGCGCAGTATAAAGATGGCAAGGATCTTCCAGACCATCATGCCGCGAGGATGTTGATTGCTATCTTGATGGGTGGTCAACATAATACTGCTGCTAGTGGTGCTTGGCTTCTTCTCAACCTTGCGCATAAGCCCCATCTTGTTCAAGAGTTGTACGATGAACAGGTGGCTGTCTTAGGTTCGCCTCAAGAACCCTTGACGTGGGAGAACCTCCAGAAGTTGACTCTCAACGGCCAAGTTATCAAGGAAACCCTCCGTCTTCACAGCCCTATCCACTCCATCCTCCGACAAGTCAAGCAACCCATGCGTGTACCCGGTACAGACTGGGTAGTACCTCCGTCCCATACACTTCTAGCGTCTCCTGGTACCATTGCTCGTTCAGAAGAGTTCTTCCCTCGACCATCCGAATGGAATCCTCATCGCTGGGACAAAATCGAGCCTCTTGAGAAGGACGATAGAGATGCTCAGACAGTCGACTACGGCTTCGGTATGATGAACAAGTCTGTCACCAGTCCTTATCTACCTTTTGGAGCTGGACGACATCGATGTGTGGGTGAGAACTACGCTTACGCCCAACTGGGTGCTATCGTTGCTACATTTGTGCGATTGCTTCATATCGAACAGCCTGACCCTAAGGCTCCCCTCCCGGATCCAGATTACTCTGTAAGTGTTTCTCCCATTTGATGCCGGTAACTTACTAATAACTTCAAGTCTATGTTTTCTCGTCCTATGAACCCCGCTGAGGTCCGATGGACTCGACGCGAGACAGCGGAATAAGGCAGGGGCGTAAAGGTAGAGGCAAGGCTACACCAGAAATAGAGTTTTATAGAGCATTAGGATGTTAAACAGTTGCTAGACTAAAACAAGGGAAACCCTCGTCCTTCAGATTCTAAAAATAATACCTAGACCCCCCGATGGATGATGTCCAAGTGAGTGAAGTATAAGTAAGCCGGCATCATTCCAAGTTCTAACTAGCTGACATTAAGCTATACTTCCACTTCAAAAAGAAAGAAGAGACAAAGACAGGTTAAACTGGGCCTGTGGATACATCCATTCGATTTGAACGGCAAAAATATGATCATGCTGGGGATCGAACCCAGAATCTTCTGATTCGTAGTCAGACGCCTTGCCATTGGGCCACACGACCCTATCCAATTGTTGAAGACCGGCCTCCGAAAAGAATCCTGTGAAGCCGAAGTCTGAAAATTCACGAGAGTTGTTCTTGTTACTTCGGGTGTATGGGCTAGCGCGTGCTTGTGAGTAGGTTTGGGTCGTAGGAGAGTTTCTAAGATAGAACACCATCGTTGTAGCACGTGCCGATGTAGCCGACAAATTCGAAACCTCTCATTTCATCAAGTTGTGATAGGTCAAAAAATACCAAAATTATTGTTAACGGCAGTCTAGAAACTCTATATCTGATAAACTCCGTTGATATTCTAAATGGCAGATACCTTGCATATCAACCAGTATGCCACTGCAACAGTCTTTCTCCTCTACTCTCCCTCCATCGATTCGTCGCCTCCAACATCTCCGGACAACCTTGAAGGAGCCATCCCCATTTCCTCAAAAACTTGGGCGACACTTCCCATGAATGCGGAAGAGAAGCGTCACCCCATACAATTAAGCCAGGCCTTTCTATGTTCTCCAAGTTCGCCTCCGCAACATCCGCACACAGCTCATCATCGTCTAAGATCATTGCGTCTTGTGCCAAGATCATGTTGTCTCTGAACTTAGGAAACGGGAATATGTCGAGCCAAGGATGGTGAGCAACCGATCTTTGTACCAGTGTCGGCTCCAAGCATTTAGGCGTTTTGGGTGAAGATGGCCATGGACCGCTTTGGTTAAATGGGGAGATTGCTTCGTCTAAACACATTATTGTACGATCGAAGCCGATCAATTTGGCGTTCTTTGCAATGGCTATGTTGACGTTGAGTGTGATAAGGAATGGAAGTTGTGAGATCCGAGGCGCGTTCATGGTGTAGTCCAAATAGGCCATACTCGCAAGAGCAAGTACTCTTTGACTGACGTCCGGACTCTTGAATACCTCGCACATCTCCATGATGGATTGCATCATTGCGTTGGGAGATTGTTGCAGAGCCGCCTCCACTGAAGCTTTGGATTCAGCTGGCAGGTTGGTTTGCTGGACTAGATTGGCGGCGACTCGACTTCTCTCAAGTTTCTGCCGCTTTCGGAGATCTGTGGCAGAAGTATCAGGTGAGTGCCGGTGCTATTAGATTTAGTACAACTTACACTGGGATCTTTTATTGAGTCTGTTCTGCAACCTTCGCCTTTCTGCAGTACCAGTGACCCCGGTCCAGTCCTCACCCGCCTTTTGAACTAGGAGCTGCGGTGCCATAGGCTCAACAACGATGTGATATGGAGCAGCCATCTCTTCAGTTGGACCAAGACTTCTGACAACAGATACTTCTTCTTTCGTCATCACAGTCGACTGAAAGTTGCAAAAGAAAGATTACAACGAGGTCTGAAGATGCAGGTTGCTGATTGTCAATCATCGCTGGCGGCGTCATCTTAGGACAAGTTTGACTCCACTTTATCAGCAGGTTGCATTAGCGCCGTACAAGATGAGCTTAGTTATTGGATAAGCTCACTCTGCCCAGGATTAATCCGATTTTCATGCCGAAGATAAGGTACGTACTGGATATCATCAAGTTGCAGGAGTGCTAAGAAGAATCAAGAGTTGAGTAGATAGATACATGATAGTTGTAGTTGATAATGTTCAAGAAGGATAATTCCTATAGTTTCCTTCCCATCTCTTTCGCATTTGACGGCTTATATCCAACACTTATTGAAAGTACTGTCGTTATGCCTCCTTACAAAATTTCCCCACCGATCAACTGCGATTTGGACTTCAGTCGAGATGGCGTGATTGGTAAATTAGCTATCATTACTGGAGGTAGGCTTCCTTGTACATCTCGATATGGCCTCTGACAATATGTAGGAGCCAGCGGTATCGGAGAAGCATACGTACGAGCACTTCATAAAGCAGGGCAAGTTGTGCGATCCAGTCCTTGACAATATGGGCTGACAGATATATCAGAGCCATCGTCGTTATAGGCGACAAAGATGCCATGGCGGGAGAGAAGCTGACATCCGAGTTACCAGGAACAAAGTTTATTGGGGGCGATACAACTATCTGGGAAGACTAGGTCCGCCTCTTCAAGGAAGCGTCTCAGTTTTCACCTTCTGGTAAAATCCATTATGTGATAGCTAATGCTGGTTTCACGAAAGCCGACCGGACCTTCACATTTGATGGTAAGAAAACTGAATAATCCGCTTAGTCCTTCGACTGATTTATCTACCACCAGGCCCTGGAAATGAGCCCGAGAAGCCAGACTTGCGCATCATTGACGTGAACCTCAAGGGGGCCCTATATACGGCAAAACTCGCCATGCACTACTTCATATCACAGAACGGAACGGAGCCTCAGTCTGACCAAGAAGACACATGCTTGGTCTTCATAAGCTCCGGCGCTGGTTTTCTTGACGTTCCCAGATCCCCAGAGTATAGCAGCACCAAGTGGGCAGTCCGTGGAAATCATGCACGCATTGCGAAGAACAGCGTTCTACTATGGCAGTCGAGTCAATGTGATCGCACCTTGGTAAGTCCACGTACGCCTGGTTGATGGGTCCAATGCTTATCTCATCCTTCACAGGTATATCCGCACGAGTATCTTGTCTCAAGAGCAGTTTGACAAAGTGGAAAAGTCAGGCGTTGAGTTCGCAACGGCAAAGGACGCCGGTGAATGTGCGTTGAGGGTCTTGAGCGACACCAGTATCAACGGGCGAACTCTGTTTGTTTGTGCACGAAAATGGGCTCCCCGGGGGTACATCGACCTGCATATTGAAGATTATCCTGAGAGCTCGTTGCTGCAGGAGATGCAAGAGGACCAGATGAGAAATGCGCCCGTTGAGCTGGGGCTATTTCCATGATAATTAAGGTCAGCCGTTGTGTCCGCCTATATAGTAATGAAGGCCCAGTACGATTACACTTTATCACCGACGTTAAAAAAAGAATTCAGCAGTGAAAGGCAAAGGCAATGCGGCAACAGTTCGAATGATGTTTCCAAAGAGTGTATTGCATTAATGTTACTAAATGCGTATCTCGAGAGCGGTAATGACTGTCAGACACATATCTTCTACGGTTAAATGTGTCCTAAAACTGAGCTGGTTGAAAGTAAAAGTCCTTGAGGTTCATGCCTCTCATGAGCCTTATCACAGGCTTCTCTAAAAAGGTGTCTTTACAAAAACACCGAGAGGTCAGGGTTGTCCCAAGGGACCTCGATATCAACAGCCTCAGCGACGAGCTTCTCAAGAGCAGGAAGCTTGTCGAGTCGGTACTTGGTGCCGACATACTCGTGTCCAAAGTTGAGCATGCACTGAAGCAGCTTTCCAAGGGGAGTAATGCCGTTGCGCTCTCCAATGCCCAGAACGGTGGTGTCGATGTGGGTGGCACCGGCTTCGAGGGCGGTGTAGGCGTTGGCGGTGGCGCAGCCAGTATCGTTGTGGAAGTGAGTCTCGATATCACATCCAATCATCTGGCGCAGGGTAGAGATCTTTTCATAGACCTCACGCGTGGTGGCGCCTCCAACGGTATCGGCGATTCCCACGCGGTGAGCACCCAGTCGGTCCATGAGCGAGTACAGCTTGAGGATCTCGCTAAAGTCGGAGCGGAACGAGTCTTCGCCCGAGAAGCGGACCTCGAGACCGTTGGCTTGGGTGAACTCGATGACTTCCTTGGCCTTTTCGGCGATCCAGTTCAGGTCCTTTCCGTGGGAGTGCTTCATGAGCTGGGCCGAAGTGCCGATGCACATGTTGATTCCATCGACGCCTGTTTCAACGGCGATGCGAGCGTCGTCCATGTTACATCGGATGTGGACCAGGACCTTTGCCTTGAGACCCATCTTGCAGATGGCTTGGGCATCGAGCTTGGATTGTGGAGAGGAAGCGGGTGACGTCAATTCAATCTGGAAACGTCAGTCGAGAGTCTATGACTGTCATTCGGTGTACTCACGTATTCGACACCAATGTCATCCAGAGCCTTAGCAATCTTCATCTTGGTCTCGGTGGTGAAGTAGGCAGTGGCAAACTGCTCACCCTCACGGAGAGTAGTGTCGATGATGTTGAAGTTGGCAAGGCTGCCGGAGCTTCGCATGGAAGTTGCTACAGAGCCGCTGCGACCGCTGAGACTGGCAAGACTGTCTGCAAGAGAGCTTGCATCATCAGATTCATTATCGTTGTCATTGTCGGTGTTGTCGTCAGTGGCTGTTAGGGCGGCTTCCAGGGCTGATATCGTTAGTTATGGACTTGAGGACAAGATATGAGATGTTCATACCGATGCCATTGTCGACTCTCTGAGCCTCAGCAACCCCACCTCCCCCATTGGCACCAGAGCTGCTGCTGCTGGCGCCCTGGCCCATGGTGTGGCTCGTATGGTGACCCACGCTATTCGCTCCGCAGCTATTGTCGCCGCTGTTGCTACTAGCAGCACCTTCACCCATGGTGTGGCTGGTGTGGTGGGAGATGGGGTTGTTGGCTGTCTGCATTGTATCTGCCTTAGCATTCAGACGATGCAGGGTATCTGACTATGTGTTTTTTGTTCTGGTGATTTGTTTTTGATAACAAGTTGGTTGAGTCAAGAAGTGGAGGTGAGAAGAGGCGGCTAGCAAGGTTTTAAGTACCGCTGTGGAAGAGAAAAAAAAAGCCTTAGTCAGGGCAGTTTTGAGGTTAGTGACTCAAGAAAAAATGGCCGAAGGTCGGATCAGATTTGTGAGGCCCTCATAAAGCGGGGTAATGCATGTGAAGAGAGAGTTGTCATTGGTAGATTATACTCGGTTAAGCATGTTATCTAGATCGAGCTAGATTGATTAGCACGACTTCTACCGCTTCCACTCATGACGAGGCGGCATAGCGGTAAGTAAGCCGCCTCCAAAAACGTGACTAAGCCTACGTAGCCAATCACTCGATGACGTCTTTGGTACAAGTGTCAAGATGGCTGAAGAGGTTGGTAAGACAGACACAGAACTCATCAGAATTATGTTGATACAGCAATTGTGGTACGGGCCGTGACGACACACTTGTGAGAAGCAGAGCGACAGCTAAATACTGGATTCCAATTGCGGGTGTTCGAGGTGATGACGTCTTGACCAGTAAAGACTCCCCAATTAATTGATGTCATGTCTGTACTTGTGTCCGGGTTAGATCAAGAACAACAAGACGAACAAATTGTACAGCCCAGTCAGCCGTTACACTCCACCATGGTATAGTAGATGCATCATATATTCACTTCCAGAGTTCGTTTAAGCGTGGGAGACGGATGAACGAAAGATAGCTGTGTAATTGCGGTTTTGCTGTCGTCCTAAACAGCGACTCTATTTGTGTCGTTCCTCAAGACCTGTGTAATCAGAGCCAGGTGCGAAGCGAGCAACCCAAGTTTTGCGCTTGTTGTCCATTCGCCTGAGGAGACGCGTATGATGACTGAACATGTGTCGACCAACAAAACAAGCGAGACGAGCGTCAAGTCTTCCATGGTTATCACACTTAATGCAGGGAGAAAGAAGCAGAGGGTGGAAGGAAGAACTTTTCCTCATACTGCTGATTTTGTCTGTCTTTTATATGCCCGACCAATTCACACGACCCGCAAAGCCGCATTTTGGATTGAATGCTGGTTCGCAAGTGATTCACTTGGTTGTGGTTGAGACCAGGGTTTCATGCAAGAACACGGATGTCACGGCTTTGTTTTATCATTTCATGTGATTGCACCTGGAACCTTTCGAAAACAAGAACAAAACAAAAATTCTGACTGCTGCGACAGTGATATGCATCCTTCAGAGTCAAAGCGCAGCGTTTGTGGTACTATAGTATCACAAGATGAGAATTGAAGCGTTTATTGTAGGGTAACTGGAGAGCCAAGACGTCATAGCGGCTTATCGATAAGCAGAATGAAGTTATCGCGAAACCCGATAAAGAAAAATGGATCACAGCTGCTTGGAGGCCTATCAGTACCTACACGAAAGATGCAGGGACAAAATAGAACAATGACATATTTACAGATCGCCAAGCGGAAAGCGAATGTCACCAAGAACATGCAAACGGAAAGACAGGATGGAGATCGATTGAAGTAGTTTAAATCCGGTAAAATCTCCAGAGAATGCAGTGTCGGGATATTATAAATAGAAGGGCTTGGCGAAAAAAGGGGGATCTGTTATTGCTTTGGCATTCCAGACGAGACCAGACTTCAAAAATAACAACCAGAGACCTTGCTTAGTGCGGATGCGATTAGCGGAAAATTCCTTGGACCGATTTTAGGTATACGAGGTTTTTGGCTTTGATCTGAGAATGACAGCGGGACTTTGGTTGTATTGGACAGGATGCCCTGGTCCAATTGACGTGGAGACGGGTCATCCTTTTAATAGACCACTTGGCCCTGCATGGTATTTGCAGGCTGTAAGCTGAATGTCCGGTTTTGGATTAACTGCCGATTGAGAAAGGAGAGGAGGAGAGACTCACGATGCCTGTCAGATGGAGTCTTGGAACAGCGACAAGCAAGCTTGGAGAATGGAACCGTTGCTCATGAGCCTTGGACTGACAAATGTGTGTTCTAAAAACGTCTTTGCACCTTGCCTCTTGACTCCCGAAGATTGGGACGAAGCCAGCCGGGATGGAGAAAAAGGGGACGGGCCACTCAAGCCTCAATGCGCCAATGTAACGGTCTTGTCCGGAGCTTACCAGCAGAGAGCAACCCAGACCCAAGCGCTAGACGAAACCCGGCGCTTCCGACCAGCGCCAACTTTCAATAAATAACAAGCCACAGAACAAATAAACAGTTGGTCTCTGACACTATCAGAATGCGAATGCGCGGCCAGCCAGCCTTATCAAGCCACATCTTTTCTTTTTTTCCCCTTGAGTCAGCGCCGTTAAGATTCGCTGACTCTAGAGGAGACCATGCCCAATTATGTAATTTATCTGACGTTAGTTAGTGGGCTAGTACCTGATTTCAGACAGGGGCTACAGAACCCCTGCTGACATGCCCCCCCGGCAGTTCTTTGACCTCTCTCCGTTCCGTTACAAGAACAGAACCCTATACATAAAGAAGACGGACGCGTCGCCACTGCGCACTTTGATCTTTATTTACACATATTCCATTATTCCACACGAGGTTGTCCTTGTCTAAGCCTTTCTTCACTCTCGTATAGCCTCACTTTCCATCAGCTCTCTCTCAACACCGCCCCTTCCAGACATCTTCAGTCTCAATCTCGTATAGCCAGCCCATCATGCCATCAGCCCCTGGATCCCCACGCGGCAGCGTAATGACACAAGAAGCCTACCAAAAAAGAAGAGATGCTAGCAGCAGCGAAGATGAAGATGACAACATCAATTATGATTCCGACGATGACTCCAAGGCTGTCAAGTCAGGCGACCAACGGAAGAAGCAGGAGGCTCATCTCGCTACTTACCGACAAAAAATGATGAAGACTACCAGTGGACAACCATCAGCAGAACACACACGAATTCCTTCACTAAAGGGTCCCTGGATGGATATCACCGATAGTGATGATGACGACGATATTCCTTTGGCCATGCTCCAGGCTAAGACACGGGGCGATCAGAAATCCCGACTTTCTGGCATACGATCAAACCCCAATTTACGCGCGTCAGCGCAACAGCATCTTATGAGACCTGGCTCATCACAAGGACAACACAGCGGCAGCTCCCATCTCCGACTACCATCATTCGCCTCAAACCTTCCCCAAGACCCATTCCAAGACCCCTACCAGGATCCTTTCAATGAGAAGAAGCCCATGTTCAACGGCGGACTCATTGGCGTTATTGCGAGTGAGGAGCGCGCTAAGGCCTCGCGACGAGGAGGAACACCGAGCGTGAGCCTCACAGGTCCTCCTTCGCCAGGATACGGTATGCCCAGTTCTTCACCATATATGGGCTCACCTTACGGAATGCACCAAGCTTCAAGGTCCCAATCTTCACTGTCCGGCATGCCTGCCGGATCGCCATACATGGCTTCCCCATACGGCATGCACCAGGCCTCCAGATCTCAGTCTTCGCTGGCTGGAATGCCTATGCACCCTCAAATGCAACACCAGGTTCCCCATGGTATCCAAGAGCAGATGCAATTCATGCAAGCTTCAACATACGGCGCCCAGCACAAGCCATCCAGCTCATGGGGCAGCATCCAGCAAAGACCAGGAACGAGTGGAAGCATGGCTGGTCTACAGAAGCCTTCTGTGCCAGCATATGGAGGATACGCGCAGTCTATCCCCCCAGCGGAGCGAAGCAATGTCGGTCTACCAAGTCGCTACAGGGCGGTTTCCAAGCAGAAGGCGTAAATAAATCTGGGGAGAAAATGTACGAACAGGATTGAAGAATGAAAATGAAAACGGCTTTAGGGATCAGAGGCACGATACGATATTTTCCTTTATGCGTCTCAGGGAAGAGCGCCTTACTTACAATATTTTACTATGTCCAACGATATCGGAAGCTCAAAGAGCACAATTAGTTATGTACAATACGTGGAACAATCTAAACATTCACCATGATTATCCGGCCCATTTATAATATTCTTATTACTATCCATAAATCCCTATAAACTGTTTAGGTCCTCTTCCAATAAGGCAACTATACCAGAATAGAAGTTGTGCTGGAAATTCTCATCCTCCACAGCACAAGCCTGGGCTTTGAATCCAACATCTAGGCATCGTCGCACTGCACTACCATAGTTTGAGCTAGCCTGGCATATCTCATCAGCAAGACGCTGTGCTGTGATAAAGTCTGACAAGGCAGTTAGATTGCCACCAAGTATCTCGTTCGGAGTTCGAAGGGACTCTAAACTTTGACCTTTGATAAGCTCAATAAGCAAAACACCAATAGGCAGTAGCTTGGGAGTTGGTATCGCGACACCCGAGCTGCATTTTGCTAGGTAGCTGCGATCGCTTTTGAGAAAGGCTCTGCTGTAGTCGACGACACCTTGCCTCTGGAAAAGAATAATGTTTCGGGCTGTAGGTAGATCGTTCATAAATGGTGTTTTGTATAAATGAACTACGCTAGTTGCAATGATAACTGCAAGCTGTAGTCGCTGCCTGTATGTAAAGAGATGCCGTGTATCTCCGTTTCGAAGTACATCAGACAATGGGACTATAGAGTCATGAACTTCCAGTAATAGTAGAGTAGAATTGTAGACTAGGTACGTCCGTTTTTGCCCCGCTGAATCGTCGGTGATGGAGCCCAAGCAGGCAGATCCAATGCTTGCCTTCGTTTCACTGCAAAGGTCAAGGCATGGCTGATAGCTCTGCGAAGCAGGTGTGGTTGCCTCTAGAGATATGCAGGCAACAGCACTGGCGATAGAAGAGGTATTCATCTCAGTCATTGTACTTGACGAAGAGAATCGCGACATTGAGAACCTGACGGATCTCTTTTCCCCCCCAAGTTTGTGTCCGGTCGGTAATGATGGTGATGACAAACTGGTGGGAACTCGAGGTGGATTTTGGGCGTTTGGAACCACTTTCAGAAGTCTCCCTTCCCAATTCTGTCTCGTGGGCGCGACAAGATGCGACTTCTTATCTATTGGTCGCGAATGAGTGAGGAACAAGTCAACATGGTGACCCCGAACCACATCCTCGTCTTCGTCAACACAAAGAGTGTCTGCACACACCGATAGCCCCATACAAACTGCATGTTCATGCGAGCACTTTAGGCTAGATTTAATAGCCCGATAGATGCTCGAAGCCACAGTACGTAAGATGCTGAGAGCTTTGACCTGGGATCTCACTCGTCTCTTGGGCTCTAGTTCAATACTCATCGTCGCCAATGATTCCAAGTTCGATATGCCATCTCTGATGGTAGCCAACTGGTCCGAGTAGGCTGATCGACTCAAGGCAAATGTTATGCGCTTGAGCTCTTTCGCCGCAAGGGTCTTATCAGACCACGAGGTCTTCACGATAGTTAGAACTGCTAGATAAAGGAGTAAAGCGACTTACCTCGGTCCCACCACCAAGCTTCTCATACATATCATCAGTCGCTGTCTGTATGTCTCTCAACGTCTCCCCGAAAACATCCCATGACTTCCACAATCGAGCTCGAATTGCCTTTTGGGTCTCGTCTCTGACCCACAAGTCACCGCCGGGATTCTCAACCATGTCATCAATTCGTGATGGTGGAATTATGCCATCCAGCAGCTTCTCGCAAACATTTTGAAGCTTGGCTTTCTCAGTTGCGAGGTTTCTGATTAGTCTTTGTAGCTCTCGCTCATATCTTATATAGCGCTGTATCACCGAAATGCCACTTTTGTAGTGCTCCAGCGTCGATATTACGAGAGGAATACTGCCCAGGACAACACCCGCTATCTCAATGCCAGACATCGTTCTCCTCTCGTGAGAATAAGACGACTCCTCAACCCAGACTGAGAGGCGGAGAATGAGAGCGGGGTATAACTGATGTAGTTGTCAGCTTGCATCAGCTTATTAAGATATTGGCTGTTGGTTGAAAATGCCGCAAGTCTTGTATCCAATAGATTCATGGCGGCGATCATCATGCAGAGGCTCCGATGGTTAGATCATTTGAGAAACCAGGCTCTGTTTTCCACTCTCATATCGTAGAGATCATTCAGCTCGGTCCATTGCATATCCACCAAAATGACGGGAGAGAGCATCGCAGACTCGGTGCGAAAGTGCATCGAAGACTTCCACTTCTTAGAACACGTAGACCACCCACTAGCTACAGACTCCAATCAAAAAGCCATACGCGAAATCGTGGGGGAAGAAGCCCGTTTCAAGATTTGGTCCGGAAATATCGGCGCGCACAGCACAGGACGGCGATCGCTGCAGTACCGTCTTCGAGATGCATCCCATTTGGAAGAGCAAGTCAAGTCGCTGCTGAAAGAATCGTCTGAGCTTTTGGCGGATGCATACGCTATCGCTATTGGCGAAAAAGTCCCGTGGGATCACATCGAGGACGATGGGTTGAGCGTGGGTTCCGACCCCAACACTGAATCTGACGATGTACCTGCAACCGAGATGGATCAAGTTTCTCAAAATGTCTCTGACGTTATCAATTGCCTTCTACAACTGAGCGTCGCTATCAGAAATCCAGCTCCCCATGATCGCTTCGCCACATTTGCTTCGATCGACGCCTCTCATTACGAACCATACGATATTGATCACGTCAGATCGAAATTCAGCAAGATTGAGCCTTTTCTTGCTGAAAGGTTAGGTCGAGCAATTTCGCGAAGAAGGCAGTACTTTAAATACCGTGAAAGCCACCACTTGAAACTGTCCCAGGGACTCAACCGCCGAGAAACGAACGATGAGAGTACTGTTGCTAGCTCTCTGCCTCGACACGCGAAAGTCGCTGGCTTCAACCCCGAAGCAGTGGACGAGGATGAAGCATCCGACTCGGGCATCACACAGACTTCATTTGTTTCTTCCCATACAGGAGGTGACAAGCTTTGTGTCCCACCACTTCCCCGTGAAGCTGAGAACGGTCCCTTCGAGTGTCCTTTCTGCTATATGATGATCATAGCCAGTGGCTCATTGTCCTGGAAGTCAGTTTCCCACCGTTTGTGCCGCGTGAAAGAGGAATTAGCTTACCTGAATTAATTAGACGACATGTTTTTGCTGACCTTCGGCCCTACGTGTGCCTTTCGAAAGACTGCACAGCATCAGAGATGGAGTTCATGCGACGGCGCGAGTGGATGTTGCATGAGGTACAAAACCACTGGAGAGCATATCCCTGCCCGTGCGCGTGCGGTATGGTCTTCATGGCAAAAACACTGTGTCGAGAACATGTCAACAAAAGTCATCCTAATGTTTTCCCCAAGAACCAAGTCAGTTCCATAATAGACCTCAGCTCCAAACCGATTCAAGCCGAAGATGGGATTCGCTGCCTTTTGTGTCAGGAACTTGTTGAGTCAATGAAAGAATACCAGCGTCATGTTGGTCGCCACCAGGAGCAACTCGCCCTCTTTGCCCTCCCATCAATGGAGACTGACGATGACGATGCCCAACCGGAGGACGACGTTTCTGAGATGTATAGTAATGACTCTCCCGACATCCTTCGAGAGCAAGCGACAATAGAAGGAGATCAAGGCAGCTTCACAAAGTCTCTTGAAGATGAGAATGGGGATGACGCTTTCATCATCTTGGAAGGAGCTAGGGCGAACGTTTCCAAGGAGCCAAGCGCCCTCTCTCAGAAAGACAGCGAAAACGAGCGGGAAGCACCCGCCGGTTCGAAATGGACCAAGATAAGTCGCCGAGTTGTTAGTCCAGAAGCTCTAGAAATTGGCAAGGAGAACTTTGAGCTCAGTGGAGACTTTCTTCTTGTGTTGAGAGTGCTTAGCCCGGATGAAATTAAGAGTTATGCCTTAGCAACGCGGGTCCTTCGGGAAAGGAGAAATCCTGAAGAGGATGCCATCAGCGATACTATGTATGAAGCCGAAATGCAATCGAAGGAGCCCGGCAAAGGACGCCCACCATCAACCATGCCAGTGGAGCTTTTGAGAATGTCTGTAAATAAGACAGAAGCGGGAAGCGAGGTGAAGACTGGCGAAGTGGAACTCTTAGAAGAGCAGGGCGAAATGCCCTTTTCACTAGAAAGACCCGGGGACTTGAACCAGAATGAGACCACAAGCTGTATCAGCGATCGCAGTCAGTCTGATCGCCATAGCGTCCGTCCAACTTCTGGGGACGCAGTTCTTGTCGCATATCTCGACAACGGACGCGATCCTGAGATCGCTCGCGCAGCCGGTCGCGAAAGCCTTCCATGCGATGAAGAATCTCTAGATGAGGATGCACCAGATAGACAAGTGAATATGGATCTTATCAGCGGGCCGTCGCTTCGGCATCTCGCGGCGGAGCCAAGCTCGAGTTCAAGAGATTCTCAAAGAATTACAAGGGATGAAGAGATGTCTCAACTGAAAATAGAGGAGGGCGGACCGAGCAAGCAAGACGAAGAAGATGACTACCACGACTTGTAACCTACCTATTGTATAAGGAGGTAACTTGATGAATTCGAGACCACCGACCAAGCGGTTTTTATTCCTGCCCGGAAAGAGATAGGTTGTGGTTCTATTAATAAGATGCTTCACCATGAGCGTGAAAAGCGACGACAGTCAAGGACTCACGAAGTATTGTAATCAAATTCAAACGAATTCCGATGACCAACATCATACCTACATGATCTGCTTATTGTTAGCCGGCTTAAAAGCCGACGCTTGGTTGTTCCTCGGAAGTTGACGCGATGCAAAAACTATGTGGAGCCCGGCACTTCATAATCCAGTCATGACATCTAGAACCCCGCAGTAGATATAGAAGAGGTCTACAGAACGTAACAAAGTTCTAGAAGCTCTTTCCTGCAACTAAATCATATTGAAGGCCAATATCACCATGTCGAATAAAGATTCGGTCGTCTATCATTACCTCGCCATCGGCAAGCTTGGCCGCGGTGAGCCCATCAAGTAAGTAAATCTCTCAAGCAAGATCAAAGGCTCTATGGGTACTCAAATTGTGGTGTTCTTAATCTCATTGCCGCTGTAGGCTGTTCATGATGGATGCTGGCATTGATTTCGAGGAGCGCCGATATGCAAGGGATGATACTTGGCCCGCAACGAAGGAGAAGTTGATCAAACAAGGTCTGAGCAGAAACGGCCAGGTGCCTTCTCTCGAGTACAAGGGACTTGTCCTTACCAACGTAGGTATCACTCCGAATATCCATATCGGCCGCTGAAGGCTGACTTGTTCTGCAGCATATTCCGATTCTGCGCTATCTGTCTCGAGATCTCGGCCGCTATGACGGCCAGACTAGCGAGGATAAGTATTTGACAGACTTGGTGTCTGATGTCTATATCGATTGGAGAGTATGTTACCAACTTGAATTTAAAGATGTAGCTAATGAGAATGCTTAGGCCCAATGGGTCAGAAACCTGAAGGAAGGCCCTCGACCCGAGTACAAGGAGACTGCCGCTCCCCAGTACTACGATCTCATCGGAAAGTACTATTCCGACCGCGAAGGACCTTATCTTCTCGGCGATGAGATTAGCTATACCGACTTCGCTGTATACGTATCGATCGACAACGATGCACGAACCAAGACACTTCCAGTAAGCGGAATATCCCGAGAAATGAAAGATTTATAACTGACAATCTGCCTTGCAGGAGAATCTGCCCGAGTCTCTGCTGGAGTTCAAGGCTGCCTTCGAGGCGAGACAAAAGCTTGTAGAGTACATCAAGCAGGATTGAGCTTCGCGATAGCAATATGTTAGTTTATGCTTGAGTGGAATCTTGTTTCTATAAACCGGGAACACGAAATTCCGAGATACAATTTCAAAACCATGGGCCCTAACAGCGCTTTCTCGTACTCCATCCGTTATTCCGAGCCTTCTAACGGGAAATTTCGAAGCGTAGCATTAACAACATCGTGCGGTCCCCGACAGAAGATAAGCTTAGGCTCCTTCAACGACACATTGTCCTGCTTCCTCCGCACAATATAGTCCACGCAAATAGCAACAACGGCTTCAAACAGCTCAGTGAACTCGACATTGCCGCGTATGCACCACCCGACGATAATGCCTTTCCATTTGCGCTCGTTCAGATGTGTCTTGAGATCCTCCAAGTTTGAGCCATCTGCGTTAAGGTTGAACCCGATGTTGGCGAACTGTGAAGCTGTCGAGGCTGGGATCTTGGATTCCGACCATTGTTGTCTGAGACTGTCGTTTATGTCGCAGCCGTGAAGGTGGCGAGAGAGGGAGATTGTGAGCATAGGAATGGGATCCATAGTTTGGAGGTAGGCGTGGCTGTGGGCTGCTTGTTTGTGATGAGACACAAACAATTGTGTTATTACGATCCGTAAAAGTGTCGGATGAGGGGAATTAAAGTGAATTGAGACTTCTCACGTACTTTGACAATGGCAATCGATTGTGGGAAGTCTACTGGCAAATATTAATACTTTATGACCATTCCATAAGACGCCGAGGCATCTTGAAACGCCGACTTGACCTCAATCACAAGATTGCATTATTAATCGTCCCCATATTCTAGTGCTGACAGAATGTTCAAGATAGGTACAGTGAACCAACAATAACACGATTTGAAATCATTGCCTAAGTTTGCAAAGATCTTGCGATGCTCCAGTATCGTGACTCGGGGGTCTTTCCGCCCGGCATTGACAGATGAATGTGACAATTGCTGTTTTTTTATCTCTATTCCGATAGCTTCCTTCTGGCACATAGTATAAGGGCATGGACAGCTGAGTCTCCCCTCAAGAACCAAGGTTGAGTATGAGTGCACCTTTGTCCAATAAATCTAGCCCTTTGGTCAGCAGCTCCCCAACAACCCGAATCTAACAACGCGGAGTGCTGCCATACGTTTGTCTTCCAAGATTTGACTCGCTCATGCGTTATTGAGACTGTATCAGACCTCGGTAGGTGACGAGAATCGAAATATTGACAGACCTGTGAGCCCCGTGGCTGATGTCGATTACACCGAGGTATGTGCGGAACCTTTTGAGGCGTTCCATTCCGATGCATATGCTGAGATTCTAGCTCTCGCCTTCTTGAGACTTCAATCCAGCGCCCGCTTAGTTTAGATATGGCGTCCCTGTGACTGCATATCATCTGATGTCAGAAGGTTATAGATAGCTGTCGAAGAATCCGACGCAATAGAATCTTCCATCGGCCTTACAAAGTTGGGAGACCCCCGAGCTTAATCAGAACGTTACCAGTCGAAACAGTCCTTCTTAAATTCCTTACTGGCAGCTGCATAGCACCGGCTTTCTAATCATCAAGTCAAACGGCTACATCAATCAACCTTATGCGTCAACCGAGTCGACAAACAATATTGCAGAGTCCGGGGACCCTTCTGACTGTCCAAAGAGGTTCTGGCGAACCTGCGACACAACGCAGTATGCGAGTCAATCCCGTCGAGGAAAAGAGGAAGTCAGGTGCCGTATCTGGGATCCTCATTGTTACCGTCCGCCCGGTCGCATCAGTTTCATTCCAAGAGGGAAATAATCGGGCTCTCTTTGAGATACAGTACGGATTGACCTTCGTGGGCAAGGGTGAGAGATCGCGACGAAGAAGGCGGCGGGGCTTGCGTTGCTCGTCAGGGTTATCCTCCATCATGTGGCTACAGAGTCCTGACTGGGACGCCAATCCAGAAGAGCCCAAGATGTTGGGGTGAGCAATTGAGACCTTAGGTGGAAAAAATGTCAAGACGAGTTGTGGCAAAGGTTATGGTGTCGATCGAGGTTGTCGTAACATACTCGTGTCGCTCGCATTCGTGCTGTCGAGGGTGCCTTCGACGGTCGCGTTCTGAACGGGGCCGTGTTTGAGTCAAGCAAGCAAAAGTCCGGGAAGAAAAAGATTGCGACGGTGAAGAAAATGAAGCAGGTCTATGACGAGGTCGCTTGTCGGGGGAATTGCTTTGGCGCCCGTAATCATTGAGCGCTGGGATACTGGACAGTCGGTGGAACAAGTCTAACAGAAACAATCGGTCGGATCGTCGTGGGAATCAATCTTATTGTCGTTATGAACAGACTTGCGTCGTAGAAACAGAGACATCGAGCGTCGACGAGAAAGTCGGTCGCGCAGAGCATCGGCTCGGGTATGACAACAATACGAGAACAAATCGCGCCATCTTTTGCGCGCCCGGCTGCTTGAGAACAGTTGCAGCATAACCATCACCAAAGGTCAGTGATGTGAGAATAAAAAAAGAAAGGTTCTGTCTGCTGTGCTATGGTATCTTGATAAGTTCCTCTCCACCATCAATCGCGGCTGTGTCCGGACTGCAGCGGCCGTATCCCATTGTAGAATTCTTGGGCCGATGATACACAATTGTTTTTTTGATCAACCCACCTCTGACGATGTCTCACTCAGTCTTTCTTTAGTAACCACCTCGGTCACCACCGCCGTAGCCGCGGTCACCACCACCGTAGCTACGGTCACCACCGCCGTAGCCACCACGACCACCACCGTAGCCTCCACGGCCACCACCGAAGCCGTTACCTCCAGCGGGGCGGGCGTTGGCGACGTTAACTCGGATGCGACGACCATCAAGCCTGGAAGAGAAGGAATGGTTAGCTATCAATTGAGAGAGGGCGGAGGGGTAATGAGGGACATACTCCTGCTCGTTCAGGGCGTTGACGGCAGCGGTAGCCTGGTCCTCGTTGGCGAAGGTAACGAAACCGAATCCACGGGCTCGGCCGGTCTCACGGTCGCGCATGATGATAGAATCAGTGACCTCGCCGAACTCGCTGAAGGTGGAACGGAGAGTGTCATCCGTGGTGTTCCAGGACAGGTTTCTGCAGAGAATTTCAGGTCAGCACGGTTACCCCTCATTCAGAGTTTTCTCACGACAAAGAGACAGGGATTGAGAGAGGGTAGAAAGCAGAGGACAGAGGCAGAGAGGAAGAGGGAGAGGGAGAGAGACTAACCCGACGTAAAGCTTAGACATGATTGCGCGTGTTGTGGTGAAAGTTCGAAGAAGCGGAGAAGAAGTAAAGGTGAAGCGGCGTAGGAAGTTCATGGAGGGGAGGATGGGGTTTTGTAGATGCAGGAAATGGGATTTTGCTGCCACGTCGCGAGTTAAATAAGGGAAGCGGAAGGTACAATGTGCGGGCAGAATTCAACGGCTTGAGCAGGTGATTGACGGGCAGAGCTCTCGGAGGTACCTACTGCACCTTCTCTTTTTTTACCCCTCTTTCGCGCAGCAAAGGGTAAGCAGCTGCACTTTCCTTCTTGCATTCCAGGCCCAGCAGCCCCTCACTTTGGTAGGCGCAGACCACGTCATCCAATTGAAATCTCTGCCTCTTCTCTCATTTTTTTCTCGCCTCTGCAGAGTCTGCTCCTGCTTGCTCCCTTAGAGTAGCACTGAGGGAGCATTAGGCCTAGCGGTGGCGGAAGATTGGCTGCACCTCTAACTCCCTTGCGTTAGGCGACCCCAGCAAACTGTTTCTTACAGGTCCCTTTTGCCGCTTGCCCTACACTGTCTTAGCCCAGCGGGGTTTTCAGATGCGGATCGCACCCTGCGCGCCCACCATTTTTAAGATTGGATTTGCACCGAAATCCACTGATAAACCGTATCAGCAGGAGGGGTCAGGATCATCTCTTTTCGCGGTTCCGGATGGTACAGCACTGGACTGCCTGCACTGCGCCTCATTTTGTGAAAGGGGAGCCACAATTCCCTCCGACGCCACACCACGAAGCTTCCTACCATGAATGATCTGATCAACGGTCGCAAATAAATGTTCCCATCAACAGCTCAATTGGCTACCGACAGCAATAATGAATCTTATTTAACAATTTTAACTGCAGTCAGACTGAAGAAAATAAAGTCAAGAAACCTTTCGGCGAGAATGACCACTATGACTTGTTTCAGTATCTTCCAGAAGTTGTCAAATAAATCCACAGTTTTCGAGACGCACCACTTCTCATCAGTGGCGTGAGGCTTCCCCGAACCGCAAATTTGAAGGCGAGATATTCAGTTTCTCGGGTGTATCAATTCTTCTTGTGAGCAATTGGATGATTTGTCAGGAGCCTTGAGTAATATGGGCCACAGCAGCATGGAGATTAACCTATAGTGCCTTTCTACCCAAACCAACCCAACCCAACCCAATCCAGACTTTGAGAGGACTTCTGTGAGTTGTCGGGAGGCTTCTCATATATCTACATATTTTGAGGCTGTAGTCACGGCGTTCCGATAAAAATAACAGATCCATTATTTGCCTAAACTATTTCACATGCTCGCCTCCAATCTCAACCAATATGCCGAAAGAAATCCATCACTACTTCTGAGTAATCTGCTCCAGACTAGGCAGTCGTTCATATCGCGTAACTCACGACTCAGCTTATCCTTTCTAGATTAAGTGGTATGATACAGGCGTTCGCCATATTTCGGTCGTCTTGTCCTATTGGTGTAAGCTGAGAACCGTGCTATACGCGTAAACAAATGTTCGGCTCGGTCCGAAAACCGCAATTCACGGCCACTGAGTGCAATGACTACTCATTTGAGAATAATGTAAGCAGAATCATTGCTGCTTGGCAGATAAAGTGTGGTTACATTATAATATTAGTGGTGGAACTTAACGGTGCAACTATATTCACCAAGTCGGATATCACACCAGATCTCCCACACTCGTAAAGGTGCATCTGAATTGCCTCGTACAGGCATGTCTATTGTCGCTATTAGTGCATTTTATTCCAGCAAATCGCAAGAGGATACTAGAAGCGATCGTCAATTACAAAATGCACTACATTTTAAGCCAGCTGCCATATGGAGAAAACGGTTCATCATTGGGGGTTTATTCCGAATGCGGATACTGCGGGATGTTGACCTCCGATATACTTAATCCATGGCACTATAGCGGAATTGAGCATGGATAGATGAGGGGGATAGGATGCCAAGGAAATGCAACGAAATTATCAAGTATAAAAGCATCGATATGTCTCTACAGGAAATTATCTGGCAACGATTGGCAAGATCTCAATCTCGAATCTCACCATGAAGTTCTCCTCAATTATCGCCGCAGCTTTTGCCAGCTCTCCAGCCCTGGCTGTCCCAGCTGGTTTCGTCACCACCGATGGCACAAAGTTCTCTCTCGACGGAAAAGACTTCTTTTTCGCTGGCACTAACGCTTACTTCCTTCCGTTCAACATCGTATGTCTCCCTACGAAAGATCACGCCACGCTACTAACCAACTCTCGCAGTGGGGAACAGACCATTACAAGGATGTCAAGCTCGGTCTTGAAGCTGCTAAGGATGCTGGCCTGAAGGTTGTCCGTACCTGGGCTTTTCATGACAACAACAGGACCTTCTCGGAGGGCGGACTGCCACAGTATAACACTGGTGCAGAGGACACTGTTTTCCAGTGGTTTGAGAAGGATGGAAGTGTCAAGATTGATCTGAGCAAGCTTGATGTGGTTGTTGAAGCTGCCGAAGCTACTAACATGAAGCTTATCTTGGCTCTCACCAACAACTGGGCTGATTATGGTGGTATGGACGTGTACACTGTCAACCTCGGTGGTAAATACCACGACGATGTAATTCTAACAGCTCATCTCAGGAATTTTATAACTGACCATGCACAGTTCTACCGTCTCCCCGCTATCAAAAAGGCTTTCAAGAACTACATCAAAACCGTCGTCAACCGCTACAAGGACTCACCCGCAGTTATGGCTTGGGAAGTCGCCAACGAACCCCGCTGCGGTGCTGATGGTACCCGAAACCTTCCTCGAGGCCCTGACTGCACCCCCAAGACAATCACCTCTTGGGTTGATGAGATGAGCACCTACATCAAGTCCCTCGACGCAGACCATCTCGTCACCACCGGAAGCGAAGGTGGCTTTAACCGTAAGTCAGATGACTGGACCTACAACGGCGCCGACGGAAACGATTTCGACGCCGAGCTTAAGCTCCCCAACATTGACTTCAACACATTCCACTCCTACCCTCAATATTGGAGCAAGACCGCCGATTGGGTTGTTCAGTGGATCAAGGACCATGATGCAGCTGGTAAGACCGCTGGAAAGCCGGTTATCCACGAGGAATACGGCTGGCAAGACAAGTCAACCCGGGTTAGCGTCATCAGCAAATGGCAGAAGGCTTCCCTGGACTTGGAGATGAGTGACTTGTACTGGCAGTTTGGATTCGCCGGCTTCTCGTATGGCAAGAACCACGATGATGGAAACACGATTTATCTCGAGGACGATGAGGCTCAGCCTCTGGTGTATGAGCACGCTGCCCGCGTCAATGGTGGGGAAACCACGCCAAAGCCGACTGCTACTACTACTGGATCAACTCCCCCCAAGCCAACTATTACTGAGGGACCCAAGGTCGGTAGATATGGACAGTGTGGTGGTTCTTCTTGGACTGGACCTACCGCTTGTGAGTCCCCATACACTTGCAAGGCTCAGAACCAGTGGTACTCTCAGTGTCTGTAACGGTCTAGCTCTATTGTAGATAGTAGTATTGGGATAGGCACTTTGTGTCATATCACATCTAATGGTGCAACGACCGTAGAAGTTTTATGAACCATCTCGTCTCTTAGCTATGGAGTCATAGTTGACTAATATTGACATGAAGTATAAAAACAGAGTCGGCATGAACCAGCACCACAGTTGACGCACCCTTCTCCTGATCACTCTGTATTGAAAATGTTTTCAGATCCACACACTGTCGTGGTATCCATCAAACCCTCCGTGAGCCCATCATGAGCCATGTATCTGACTCGGTATAGGCCAAACTCAGGCATCGCGGATCCCAGTCATCTTCCGCTTTCAGTTCGAGAGCTTTGCATGTACTCCCAGTATCGTCCTTCCAGTCCCATGCAAGGACCCCGAAACCCGTACCAAGTCGTATGCCGGAGCATAACTCAAAAGCGAGGCTTGGGACGCCACTATAGGGGAGCTTGTATTTCCGAAGCCAAGTATCCTGATGAATGTTCGCAACTACTATCTCCTCCGGACTCGATAATGCAAGAAGCCTGTCAGCACTTAATGTGATGTGCACGGTTTCTCTAACATCATGCATGGGTCCTTGCCGGGGATCCATGCGGTGTATCTGTACCTCACGTTCTGTATCCCATATATATATCATACCGTCATTTGTCAAAACAGCTAAAAGGCCGTTGGTTGAGAATGCTATACCATGATGGTATCGGATCTAGTCACCATCGTGAACAGATAATGTGTGTAGACATTCGCCGATCTCTGTGTCCCAGATCCGGATGGGCATCCCGTTACACGCGATCTGTCCGCGTGACCCATAGGCTATAGCGTTGTTGTAAAGGTTCTCGGATAGCTCGAAGTGCTGCTGAGGGCGCGGGCGACCAATTTCTGGGTCAAATGAGAAGGGATAGTGGGACTTGTCGCCGGGTACCACAGCCAGAGACCCGTCACGGTTAGACGCCAGAAGAAAACGGCCTTGAAGTGAAGAGGGTATTTGCAGTAGCCGATCACCATTAAGCCTGCTCAAGCATTGAGTCTGATGAACCAAGCTCGGCAAGAGTAAGAGGGCGATATGCAACACCAACAACTCCGAGCGCAGCTTTGCGTAGATCTCTTTCTCGAGACCCATTGATCTTCTCAACCCTCTTTTCATAAAGCTTTTCAAGACCTGCAGGGAAAGAATTCAGAACAGTTTCAATATGGTGGGACATGACATCAGGCTTGCCCAGCTCGTCGCAGACTAGTGAGACCCAAAGGAAAGTGTCGTCTGCGTTGGCTAGCAGATGTTTCTGTATTTCTTTGCGAGTAGACTCCCTGTAATTGTTCTCTGCATCCAGCCTATCAATCCTCCTTGTGATGTATTTCTTGACAGCGTCTGATATGGCAGCGGCGTTCATTTCCAACTGTAGCCGTGCTTTCTTCTGGATACAATCCATTCTCTTCTCGATCTCGAACCAGTTTCTACTGGATACGATCCATTTGGCTTTGTAAGAGGTCGACGCCCGACCGATGAATTTCAAAAGTTGATCTCGGTCGGTTGTACACTCGTCCAAGGCGTCGACGACGAACACGCAATCTTGGACGAGGTCCCCATCTTCAAGGATAGCAATGAGAATGTCACACAAGGTCTGCCAGGCGTTACTGTCGCTGAATACGCCTTTGCCTTCCTTCTTGTAGTCTTTACGGACGTGATGGATCATATAAGCTCGGGTTCGTACGAGTGACCAGAGAAGCCCGCGAAGGACGTTGGTCGCAGTCCTTAGGCGAGGTTCTGTAGTTTGACAGAAGAAGTAGAAAACACTGTCCGGCGAGGGCCGCTCGAGCTCCGTGATGATTCCGGCCAGAAGCATTGTTTTTCCTTTTCCTGGATCACCCTTGACCCAAAAGAGCGTATTCTCGCTACCAGTGAGCCATTGTTTGTACTCCTCATTCTCCAGAATCCAGCTGGAGGATTCGTGAAATAGACCACCTTTTGCATCGACGATACTCTTTCTGTCTTTTTGCGGGTTTGTAACACGAAGCTCTGTCAGACACTCATTGTCCAAATCGTCAAGACGGTCCTTTCGTTGCCATTGGGCATGCTCCTTGGCCGTGAACGAAAGTGGATATGACAGGGGACAGCTGCCGTTTCCCGGGATAGTCGAAAGTTTAATAACAACAACAGGGAAACCAGCATCTTCAAAGCATCGGCGCTCATGGCGGCCGTCTTAAAAGGAATAGCAGAGAATGGAAAGTCAAAGCGTGCGATGGGAGCGTTCCAGAAATTATACTAGATATTGTTGTCAATACGGTCACATCGACGACAACCACGCTGAATCCTCATTAAGAGCCTGACTGCATACCTGTCTTTTCCCCTGATACAGTCATCTTCAACATACGATGGATAATCAACAACCTATCTATCTATCTATGTATGAGAATGACAATGGCAAACGTCCAAAAAGAAACGTCGTCCAATTATCAGAATTGGGCAAAAGGAAGGGTCTGGCCGGGGATTGAACCCGGGACCTCTCGCAAGCAATGCTATAGGGTTTTCCCTAAGCGAGAATCATACCACTAGACCACCAGACCGATGATATTATCACGTGATGACTGATTGAGAGGGGAACAGTAGTAAGCTACTATATCGTAAGTCAGCAGAATGGCTTTGCCAAGAATGAATTCTTTTTGCTTTCCTTTTTACAATATCATTTTTGTCTCCCCCTGGAAACTGAAAAGCCACCCCGTTTAACAAAAGTGCTTGTATGAAACTTGAAGAAAAGTTATGAAATACCTCGCGGGCTGTATACCGAAGACGGGCTAGTGCTGACACCGGTTGTATGCAGGTCGAAAGTTTGTGGGCTACGTCTGCAAATTTGCGAATGTGACTTATACACGTTATTAATTAAGGATGTGCCGTATTCCATGTGAAGGCAGAGTACTCCGAATCCAGTCGTATGTGTCTTCTAAACTAACGAGATCTCATCTGTCGAGACTAGTATGTTGTCGCGACACAACGGTGTTGAGCTATTGATTGGCTCGGTCTGAAACACTAATTCCCCTCAAGGATGCGAATGCCTGTCTCGGATGTGCCTAACCTGGGCGGTTACTCCATGAATCAGCCTTGGAAGGCGGCACAGCGGGAATAAAGCCTACCAGATCCCCAGCGATCTCATCTCGCAAATATAGATCTTGAAATCTAAAAAAGATATATTCGACGTGATGCCAGAGCGCAGAAAGCCTCGCCAGCCATTCTGGCTTAGCAAAGCTGCTCTCGCTGTCTTTCTTCTAGTCTTCATCATCTGTGCCACTTCTCTCATCATCCTCAACAGCGTCATAACATCCCGTAACGGTCTCTCACTCACCATCTCTTCGAGTCCCTATTCTTGGACCTACGGCCCTACAGCAATTCTCATCGTCGTTTTGAGCTTCTGGAGACGCATAGACTATTACTACAAAGTGAGACAGCCATGGCACGAGTTACTAGCCGGACCATCATCGAGCAAGAACTCTCTATTGCTCGACTACATTTCGAGTTTCCAAGTCGTCAGCCTTTGGCAGGCAGTGAGGCGTCGTCACTTTCCCGTTGCTGCATCTATTGGTGGATTCTTCCTCATCAAATTTATCATCCTTATTTCAACGACTCTTTTCGTCGTGATGGACACTGACTCGGAACGGTTCTTGAATGTTTCGATGCAGGATCACTTTGATGCTTCGAGGCTTTGGCTATCCTATCAACCGGCCAAATTCTACGAAGTGGACCAGCTCCCATTTCGAGGTGGTGCATCAGACAGTTCTGTCTGGACCTACCTAAGCAGACTGAACAACGTGACGACTGAGAGGTCCGATTGGAAACTGCCCGAGGACCTGATTACCCAGAGGTACACTTTCACGACTGGTGAATCTAAGATCTCACGAGTCGAACGCCCTGTCGATATATTCGTCCCTCACGTTTCCTGTGAGGATGCTGCATTATCAACAGTAGAAAGATCGAATGCAGGTGGTATAGTATCCTTGAATTACACGTTTACCTCAGAGACATGCACCTTCAGAGACATGTTTGTCCGACCATGCAGGGGCGCAAGATACGGAGACCCACCCTCTGTAAACGCTGGCAATCGTTGTCCAGCAGAGCCTCATGTCTACTCTGCATTCCGAGTCAACTGTACATCCGGTCTCGAGACGACAGGGGCAAGGGAGTGGCCCAAGGACATAGAGCCATTTGACATCCGATACGCGATCTCTGTTGCAGATTTCAAATCTACCATCGAAAGGTCTGGGTCGTTCAACATGGTTTCAGGTATGGAGCTTATCAAGTCATCGGCTCTTATCTGCAAGATTGATTATGGAATTGCAACCGCCAACGCAACGCTAGACCTACAGAGTGGGAATGTATCACTCCCCATGCACGCTCTTTATGGGGAACACAGGCTCTTGGGCAATCTATCAAGTCTTGCATTGGCAGAATTGTTGTGGACAAACCTTGCTCGCCCAGCAGAGGCTTTTATCGTGGACGAAAAAGTGCCTACCGTCAGACCAGTGGTCGACGGCGAGGGTGACCTTCTGCCAATGCCAAGAGCGGAAGATGTCTTGTTTCAATTGATATATGCTCAACTAGGTCGTCCAGGAAACCTCGACGCATTTTATAAGACTGATACTCTTAAGAAGGCGACTGTCTCGGTCTTGGAGGGCATAGCGCGTGAATTTGCCAGGGAGTCACTACTCGTCGCGAAGCCCACCAGAAGTTCTGCCAAAGGGTGGGCAACTGATGATCGGCTACACATGAGGCCTGTTGCGATTTGGACTATGGTGCTATCTTTTTTCCTCCTATGTATAATGTGCCTGTCATTATTCTTCCAGGTGCCTGGACGATTTGAATGGATCCCTGCGATGTCTGGCTCTTTGGCTGGCAGCGCGGCGATACTTGCCAAAAGTCCTGAACTTCAATCTGTTTTGTCCGGCTCGAGTCACCTGACGAGCAAAGAATTGGAGAGCAAACTTGTTGGCATCCAGTTCTCTGCTACGAAGAAGGCCGGTGGGGATCTTGAAGTTCAAGCTGTCTCCAGCTCCGAATCTTCACGCGAGATATCTCCTATCACAAGCAAAGAGTTGAAGAAGAAATATAGCTGGACGCCACTATCAGCTCGGATATTTATGATCATACCGACATTTACAACTCCCTTGATCGCGATCGGTATCCTCGAGCTTCTATACCACCTTCTCCAACGCGAAGACCATTTCGTTCGCATCAATGGAGACTCAACTACACTATCATACATCATTCGTATCTCGTCAACCCTAGCCGTTTTCGGCATCGCAACAATGATCAATAATCTAGACTCCACTATAGTCGTTTTTGCCCCGTTCGCAAACCTTCGATCTGGTAGGACGAGGCCCGATCAGGGTATCCTTTTCCATCTTCTATCAGTCAACCCTTTCCTCGTCATGTTCAAATCTCTTTACCGCGGGCAGTTTGGGCCAGCATTATCGAGTTGTGCAACACTGATTGCGGGGTTCTTAACTATCATAGTCTCTGGCCTCTGGGTCCCGGTTACCACTTTGATCGTTGATCATCCCTCCACCGCTGCTGCGGGTAATTGGGATCTCAGTTGGTTCTCCGAACCTACTAATGATGGAGGTGCGGCTGTTGATTTGAACCAGCTACATTATGGCGGCGCTAAAATACCCTCGGGGATTTGGCAAGAGATGGTAGTCCCCGACATTTCCCTGTCAGACGACTTCGACGGTACACGTAGTGGTGCCAATTATACCTACAGTGTCATGGCTCTAGAACCCGTCTTGAGCTGCACAGCTATTACCCAAAGCGCCATATCAACTACGAGCTTTACTTATGGTACCAGCGCTAGTCAAGGCCGAATCAACCCAGTCAATGGTACAAGGATCACCGTTCAGCCCCCAAAGATAAACCCACAATGTTCGAATTCCTCCATCAAGGGTTATGGAAATCTTACTTTTGGGGTTGAGCTGAGGATGTCGCAACCTTTTTCCATCGGAAAGTACTTTGATCTTCCTCAATCAACCGCTGGTCAGGTTTCCGCTGATTGCCCATCCATTGGCATACTCTTTGGCATGGTTGAACCGAAAGGTCGCACTTTTAAAGGAAATCTGACTGCACTTCTTTGTTCTCAAACTATAAATCAAGTGCCTGTGAGCTTGGAGTACAATGGGAACCCAGCCCTTGGAATTATTGAAAACATTCAGACACAAGGTAACTCTACAATGGTGCAGAATGATAACAAGGCGTCTACTCTGGGGTATAAGCTCGCAGGGTTTTGGGCCGAGACTCTTTTGCCATTTCCTGGCTACAATTCAATGCATACAGAATATGATCCCTTCTTCAATCATATACTTTTTCGACCTGATGGCTACCAACGCAGCAAGCTGGAAGGCGCCAAGGGCGAATGGCTTCTCATCCGGGCGGTGGAAGAAGACTACAATGAGTATCTCAGATATGCCATCCATCGCAATATGCGAGCCGGAAAGAAGCGTTCTATTGGCAAGTTTCTAAGCGCTACAAAGAACGACAGCTCTGCAGAGTCACCCCAGTCGATAACTACCGGGCTTTACTCTGCAAATATAACACATCTTATCATCGACTATACATCAAAAACAATTCTTCAATTCCTCCTTGCCATTATGACGTTCTTCAGTCTTATAGGCTTTCTTCTTGTCAAGATACGCGGGACCTTACCCAGAGATCCCTGCAGTGTCGGGAGCACTATGTCTCTACTTTCAGACTCGCAGCTGTGCGACCCAGGGGCAGGTATCCTTCCTGAAGATGCGCAGCATATGAATGAGAAGGAGTCGATCCAGGCACTTGATGGATGGGTGTTTAGTGGCGATTTGATTGGCAATACTGCTGTCGAAGAAAGTGAGAGGGAAAGCAAATGATTAGCTTATAGTATGTCTCATGGTTGACTGATATAGCAAAGCCACGATATCTAAGTATTGTATTATGCTCAGTGTAGAATTTCACAACTAGATCTTTACAAGGACTCAGGTTCCAAGAATCTCGACTGTTTCCTCCCGGATGAGGTCATAATCTACCACAAATTCAAGTAATGCCTTAGGGGCGGCCAGTGAGGACCCTTCTGTCTTCGGGATCCTCTCAAGGTTATATTTAGCGGCAGCGACGAGGAAGATGGGAAGGTCGACCTTAGAAAGCATTGCATGGGCATGATGCATGTGGAGGTATCCGAGACCGCTCGAAGATCAAGGGGTTCTTCATGGCGATCGACGAGTTTATATAAGTAGAGCATAGGCGGATATGTGCACGGCAAGGAGCAAAACAAAGGAATTTCTCAACATCGATGAAAAGATGGAGCCTTCCCTTGAGCGATGTATGGAGCCTTCGATCTGTCATCAAGCCGAAGACAGTCACACACCGGTTGCCATCAACTATCTCGTGAAGGGAGGTGAATTCAAGAACTTGTTGGACCTATTGATGGTGGAAGAAAATGAACATCGTTCTTGAGATGCTACTGTTGGCCCGTATATCAAGGCTCTGGGACGGTTTGGAAGGGCCGTTGCCGGCAAAGACATGAATAATTTGGCCGACTATGCCAAAGCTGACTAGAAACCTCAGACTGCCTAGATTAACTACTATAATGAGAATAAACCATTGCGATTATTATACATTACTGTCGTCCTTCATCCATATACGTTCAGTTCTGCTTTGTTGTTCTAATACCTGTCACTGCACACCCTGTTATCACCATTATCTCATGACACATGCATCAACAAACGAAGGTGGTGCCTCATCCTCCGGCGGCGGCACGATCCACGAGTCATCCTCTTGGTCCCAGAGAGCAGAACCCCCAGGACCCGTTTCTGGAGCCTCTAACTCCGTCTCAGTACCTGTTCCAACTGGCACTGAAGGGCTTTGGTCCGAGCTACTTGGCAATCGGCCGTCACTCGATCTCAATATCAGCACATCGGCCTTTCCTCCGACGATAAAAGCCTCTCCAGCGATCTTGACATGAATCTTCCATGCCAGCATATGCGTCACAGTCATGTTATACGTTCGAAACGAGGGCGTGATTTCCGTAGCCGGTGACGGTTTGGGAAACCCAGGTCCATTAATCAATTTGAGTCGAAAATCGATTAATTCTCCGATATCCACAGGCTCCCAGATAGTGGTGCATGGGATGTTGATCTCACTTCGTAGGCGGCGTACAGCTCTGGCAAGATCAAGATTAAGCTCCGTTGTAAATTCTCTTTCTCCTCTTTGCAAAATGAATCTTGTGTGTGTCTCCAACAGGAGCTCGATAGAGACCAACTTGACCTTCTGCGGAAGTCCTCGGAGACTCGGATCACTTTCCCCCCAGTCCGGATCGACAGCTAGACGCAATGGAATGGGCGCAGGATTGTCGAGCTGAATGGTAGTTGGAAGCTCGAATAATAGGTCGAACTCGAATTTTGGGAAATTGGTTCGACCTAGCGGTCTCCTGGCCCAATGGGACTTCGTGCCAGTAGCTAGACGAGCGCTCCGAATGGTCTTGGGGTGTCGCCATCGCTTCACAGCGGAGTAGTCGATTGGCGGGTTTGAGGAGCGTTGCACCAGTTTGAAGGGATGGGTGGTGTTCACAACTTCTGTCCATGTAGTTCCTCCAGAGCCCGTTGGATACAGAAGTTTGGCACAGACATAGTACTCGACACATGCATTCACGATGCCATGTTTCTGAAGTGTATATGAGGGAGGTACTTGATGGTCTGTGGCACCAACAGGCGTATAGCTTGGTGAGCTAGTCTGTTCGTTTTCTGTTGAGTCGGCAAAGAAGGGTATCTTGAAGCTAAATCGCCAACATTCCCCTTCGCCATCCCAGATGCGTAGCGGACCGTGGCGAAGTATACAAGGGTCCTTCTGGCACGTCCTGGCAAGAACAAAGCATGAGTAGTGTTTCTTTGCAGAGCCAATGGACTCCAACAGAACTTTGGATTCTCCATGGATGCAAACCATTACAACCGCGCTTCGGGTATTTATGAATGCCTCTCGGTAGATCAGGCCGGACATTGTTTCGCCTGGGAAGTATGCATCTTTGTCAAGGTGGATGGCTAGCTCTCGGCTCCGCTGAATGGTTTCTGGGTCCATGTTTGGGTGGCATTGATGCAATGAGATCCTGATATTGTAGAGATTTCTTATGTTAAAGGTGGATATGCAAGCCTTCCTATAATGTTGGATTTGAGGCCCGATATTTCAGCCCTGCAAGGTCTGGACCTGCTGCGCCTTAAATAGATGCTGCGCCGTTGGTCGCTCATTGCGCCCGGTCTGAGGGTAAAGTCTTGGCCAATCGCAACATTCAGTGCTGTGTATTATGGCGGTAGGGATTGATGAGTCTAGCCAGTCTTTAGTGGTCTAGACCAATTGGGTGTTTACTTGGAAGCTGCCAAGACGATGGTCTGGGGTCATCATAAGTTTGGTCACTGTCAGACGATCCGATTTCGGCTTATATTGGTCATGTGAGAAGACATGACATGAACGGTCTTGTAGACTAGCCCCCGGTCAGTTCCTGTTTCGTACACATGCCAAGTCAGTTCTGGCGGGGTGGAGCATTCGTTCCAACTTGTCCCGGTGTACAAAGGGCAAAAGGTACGATTGAGGATGCTAAAAGGTATATTGACCTCACCCAATAAAGTTGAGGCTCACACATGTCCAGCGTCTGGTAACCGAATAATATATTGACAGAACTGTCCGGTATTGGAATCAAAACAGACTAGATATGATCCAAATAGGTATCGGAGAATCAGATCAATTGATGCATCAATCGACGAGATGTTTAGGCCTCAGGCGATTTATAGAAATCTAAACCTTCCTCGTCCGTCCGCCCTCACCGAAAGTTCTCTGCGGTGGATGACTATCATTCCCCTCTTTCTTAATCTTCTCCGCGAAACGAGCAGCTTGCTGAGCTTCTTGCAGCATGGTGTACTCTTGGGCCGTGTCGTGGTTTTCTGCCTGGTCTTCGTCGGACATACGCTCCGCGACTTGCTTGAGTAGTTATCAGCATTTGATCGAGTTTGGCTCATATCAGTTGTTCTGTACCTTAGGCTGTTCGACTTCCGCCGTTTCATCCTTGGGCTGTTCCCTCTTCGGCTGGCCAGGGCCAAAGTCGGCCATGGTCATGTCGGATATGTCTTTTTGCGGGATACTCATAGTTCTTGGTGGTAGCTTAGGTAGTATTGCTCTTTTTGAAGTTGTCTTTGATTTGAGAAATTTAGAAGGGAATGTTTTCTTGAGCCTGGACGAAGCAGACACCCTTTATATCCCGGCTGAGCATGTACAGTTCCTTCTTACTGGTAGCTTACTCTATATTTTGTTGAAATTACAATTCATTTGTCGCCTGATTTACTCTATAGCATCATGGAATGTCAACGTTATTGGACGATGTGACGAATGGGTTGCTAATAATATGCACCTTGACTACTTGGGCAGTAGATTGTGAGACTGGCAGAGTCTGAGGCTTGAAACACGGACAGAAGTTGGATTCCGAGTTGCACTTACCATTTAACATTATCCAATCCAGCGTCGCGACGGGTTATACGGCTCCTACCACTCGTAATGGCTGAATTATGATGACGATGGCTCATAAAAGCCTGTTTCCTTGTTGCCTGTTCAAGACCGTCCGTTAATATTCAACGTTCAATAGCTCCAAAATAGGCGGGAGTCCAATCTTGTAAGTGAGATTATAGTCAAGCTAGCCATGTTGCTACTTAGGGTTTGCTTATGACACATCTGGTGATAAAGATGCCCGCAATGCGTACTTAATAAAAAGGATGGGGCCATGATGGGCTGAAGTATGAACTTCGTGAAGGTGAAGACTTTCGACTCAGAGGAAGTGTGCAGTCCTGAAAGGAGTAGATTTATAATTCGTAGCTGAGAGGGCCTTGTCCATCATGGTATCATACCGTACGCTAGCCGTGGAAGCGCACCACTAAGCATGGATGCTCTATGGCGAAGCCGCTACGGTGATGCCACTATTCCCAAGTGAGAGGTAAATTTCACTTTCCCAGGGTTCAGCCTTGTAGGGCATGACATGTATTTTTGCGTAAAACTTTGATTCAGAGTCTAAGAACTTGACAAAATGTTAAAGATGTCCACTCTATCACGGCCGCGCTTATTCACAACGCCATGACAGACCTTCCACTCACACACTTCAGAAACCTCCCAAATGGCCTTTTGGCCTACTCAAAGTCGTCAGGTGAGCCCTCGAAGATACCGAATCCCTGATCGATCTCATCTAGATCCTCTTGTCTACGGAAGTTGCATGATGACTGCACAGCGTCCTTCCACAAATCCTTGCCTCCCTTAGACTTGGCCGCCAGCCTAACACCCTTGGCAATTCCTCTGGCAGCCGCCGCATACTGTCCAGCACCAGGAATAGCATAGGTGCCAGCGATGACAGCCTCCTTCATAACATTGACTAACACCACACAAGTGACGCTGGCAATCTCTCTGAATCCCTTGTCGAGACCCTTTCCAACAAAGTCAACAGTAGCTGAGGCGAGGTACTCGAGGTCAGAAGTATCGCACTCGCATCTTCCGATGGCGTACAGCTCGCCGTCGGGGTTTCTGCCCATCATGTCGGGTGTCATGTCCTCGACAGCAATTCCGTGGCTAGCGCAGATCCTAATCTTGTCGCTCTTGCAGAAGACGCCGCATGGCCAGGTGCCGTCTCGTGAGGTAGGTACAAGGTATTGCAGGCAAAGGCCTTGTCTAGCATAAGCTTCGTTTTGTTCGTGATACTTGTCCCAGGTCTCGATTTGGTGTTGTCGTTTGGCGAGAGTGGTACTTTGCTGAGCTGGGACTGCGGCGCCATTGACCAGAGGTACAATGGCGGTAGCGTATGTAACAAGAGTGCTGATGGCAACCATTTTGAAAGATTGAATATCGTGATGAGGATAAAATGAAAGCGAGTGCAATAGTTGGGAGAGGATTCAAGTTCTTCCGACTGAAGAGTGGTAAAGAATGGATTGCTAAGGAGCAAGAATGTTTGATAAGAACTGCGTCTTCTCTTTATACTAAGTTGAACCTCGTGTCGAAAGGCGAGTAAAGGCGCAGTCCCTTGAAGCTTACAGCCAAGCCGATTGCCAATTTTAAAAACGAGGCTTCAACTCACGGATACTGTTATCCTCCAGTCTTGCATACGGGCATAGACACCTGACCCGCCTGGAGACGATCCTCCGCCAAGTGCCAAGTGCCCGCTTCCCTAGCGCTTATACTTCACAGCCACTGAACAGTCTAGGATCTTGCATCCTCATTGGCGGATTACCGCTCACAAACAATAGCCCACTGGGATGTCTCTCGAATTGTTCTGTATTTTGGTGTTTCCCTTGGCATGGTAATCTTTCCACCGCTTCAACACAACCGCTGTCCAAACTAGCTGTAGGATCGGTTGCCAAGAAGCAATCAGATCCTGTAGGATGTCTTGAAACGTTTAATATAAGTTTCCACAATATGCCTAGTAGATGGTAGATTGAACAGCACATCCGGAAGAACTTTGGTATGGGTATATAGCCTGTTTAAATTTACTGTAGGTTGACATTCGGACAAGTATTTGGTCAACTGCCATTTCGCACGCGCTCGACAATAAACCATAAACATGGCCCTCCTTCTCCTCTGTCTCTCCAGTGGGAGCCCTTCGATCGTAACCAAGGTCTCATGAGCCAAAGGCCCTTGGGCTACTCCGGAGAAACTATGCCGCGCGCCGACAGGGCCATCTTATAAAAGACAAAGTAGATGGTTCCCAGGTTTGAACCATAGGTAGTGCTCACCGCCTCTTGCAGAACAAGGCGCTGTTCTCCAGAAGAGGGCCCATGTAGGACTCAGGAACTGTGTGCATGTTAGCAAAACTCGATCAAGCAGAGGATCATTCAGAGGCACTGACCAAGTATTCCTTCGCCGAAGCTGCTGCAAACCGAACCCCATTTCTTGTCGTTGTCACAGTTCTTGAACTGCTTGACCGTGTCGTCATAGTTCCACTCACAGAATCCGTGGGTAGCCTAGAGACCACGTCAGTAAGAAGAAACGCGTTAAATCAGTGGGGTGTACTTACGAGACAGGTGACACCGAGGCTCTGGTTGTCAAATTCAGGTGCCTTTCCAGCGCAGTCTTCAATCTTGAAGACATCCTTAAGGTCAGCCCAGCCTTCATCAAGGATAGCGGCTGTGAGGTCGATTTGAGTGTTCTCCCAGTCGTTGGGATTGTGGAAGGAGTAGGTGTTCTTGACATCGGGGTCAATCCACCACTGGTTGCAGCTGTTTCCAGCACTGAGACTGTCACATGAGATCTCACCAGTGTCTCTGGCGACATCCTGGGCGCTGCGATCAGTGCTTCGCGCGGAAACAATACCGTTGGCCTTAAGGGCGCTGGAGAGGATGAAGAGCTGGAGTTGACGGTACAGAGTGCTGGCCTGGATGGTAAGCGAAGTAGTGACGCGCTGAGAGAAACCGCCCTCTCCACAAGCAGCGAGGAAAATCTCATGGTCGCCCTGGATAGTCTTGACGCTATCGAGGAGGTTCTGCTGGTAAGCCTCAACAAGCTTAGCCAGGTCAGAGCCAATCTTGCCAAGCTGAAGGAAGCGATCGTTCGCGGTCTGGGTCAATGTCAAAGGCTTTCCGAGCTTGCCAGCCAGATCCAAGGCGGCGCTGAGACCACCCCTGATCAAACCAACACCGATACCGGAGGCACCGGGAATGACACCGGTGAAGATAGAGACGACTCCGAGGGTAGAGCTGAGAACGCTCATGACTTCGCTTGTAGGGGTGTTGGCCTCGACGGGGGGTGCGACCTTGGCGACGATAGCATCGATGGTTTGGCCAGCGAGGGAAGCGCCGTTGCTGAGGGCCTGGGAGTATTGGTTGAAGAATTGGTAGACGGCGTAAATGTTCCAGAGAGCCTGTGCTAATTAGTATTGTCCTATGAGGCCTTGGATAGGAAATCGTACATAGAACTGTTGGTTGGACTCGTACTTCTCAATAGACTTGGTGTTGAAAGGTGGGCAAGTGTCGCTAGTGATCAAGTTGCAAGTAAGACCAGTGAAGCCCTGTGAGGTTCGGTATTAGCGATGCTGTCTTCACAACCCAATTTTGAGACTCACGTTAAACTGCAGATAGCATTGAGCAAATCCGAGCTCTTCACAGTTGGCCTTGGTGCCATTCTCAGCAACCCAGTCGGTGATGTACTTGTTCATATCCACTATCTCACATTAGTGAACGTCTTCAACTTTCCTTCTTTTCCACTCACAAGCCTTCCAGCACTCGGCCTTCAGTCCAGTGGCCGAGTTGGGAGCGCAGTCGACGTCGGGAGCCGGAGCTGGCTCAGGTGCAGGTGCAGGTTCGCTGCCATTGTCCTGGCGTTCGACCAACGGTACGGCAGAAACAAGAGTGGACACTGACAGTGTGGTCAACACTGCCTTAAAGAGAGACATGATTGATTGCGCAGCAATAAATGAATGAATAAGTTACTGATGAAAGAAAGGAATATGGTCGATGGCTAGCAGCGAATGTAAGTAAGAAAGAGACTGGTTCAGTTGGCATATACATAATGAAGATGACGTTTGAGGTTATATAGCTTCAAACAACCACTGTATCGGCAGTCATGCGACGAGTCAACCCGGCAGTTAACTCTAAGGAAATTACCACGACGTAATCGGCTGATATTCTTGGCAAGGCTTCAGGGCGAACTCTAAATATTGGAGATGTGGTCATGTTGGGATCTGTAAGAGGAATGTGCATAACAATTCTGAAACCTGTCGTCCCAAGCTTATCCCTGCCAAAGCTTCCAAAGCGGGTGGTTCGTATTCACAAGAGTTCTGAATAAGGCTGTAAAAATGAAGATCTGCGGTTTTGGGGCCATGGTATGATAACCTTGGCGTGTCGGTCCGAGGCGCGGAATGTTACCTGGCAGGATGATTTTGACAGCGGGATGTAGATATATCCCACTCTTGTTGCATTACCACCTGAATGTAATTGGCCTTAACGTCTGTTGTCTCTTCGCATTGTCTTCAGCACTGACTCGTTCCTGTTAATGTGAAACTGGCTTCGGATCCGCCGCTGCGAAGACCCCTGCTCGTCTTCCCCACGTGCAGACGGTTAGGCCCATCCCATCCGATAACATGATGCTAGACGCCAAGTCTGTCTTGAAGTTATCACAAAGCAGCTGTAGGTTTGCCAAGTGTCGCTGAATACGGTCAACATAAGCGATAGCGTCCTGAATCAAATTGCAGACACAAGTTTTGCAACGAAGCAACTTGCCGGTTAAATCAGACGTCTCATCTGTCTTGGCAAAAGTCAGCAGTGTACCGGAAATGAACAGGCACTATCAGTTCTCAGGCAAACTAGCTGTTTTTTGTTCTATGAATAGGTGGGTAGATGATGATATTAGTAGAAAGCTTATTTCTTTATTTGTGCTCCACTGACTGTTGTTGAACTTGTTCAACCAATTGAGAACGGCCGGAGGACTTCAGGCTGGCCCCAGCAATCTATTACTTATGCGAGCAGGGACACAGTCATTGACAATTATATCTTTTGAATTTCGGCAGTACTATCGCCAACAATATACTTATTGAGAGAAAGGCACTTACGTACCCGAGTGATTCTGAATTGCCCTTAAGCTCTCTGCGCTTCGTCACCGTGATTCGCTTAAACCTTATTTCAATATCGTCCTTAAGATGAACATTGAGGCGACGTCTACTCATACAGTTTGGAAACCACCGTCCTCTATCTAGGAACTTGAGATAAATGGGATTCGAATTATCGAATGTCGCTGTATCGCTACTCGCTTCCGAAACCGATATGGGGGTTAAAGGCTGTCTGAAAGAGAGGCTTCGGTAAGGCGACGGCTTTGCTGGCGTATTGAATTTCCAGCCACAGCCAGTCTGTAGGGTGATCTTTGTATGCAAACCAGGCAACAATGACAGTGATAAATAAATATCTGAGGGGTTTTGTTATCCGGTTGAACTCCGCATAATAACTCCGTAGGCATCTCCGCCGCCTATCGGCTGGACCTGGCACGAGATACAGTAACGCGTTTCTTGAAGTAGTATACTAACACTACTTAGTCACCTTCAATATGGATTCTATACAGTCACCGATATCAGTAAGCGATGCGGCTGCTGATGCTGAGTGCGCTACGTGCTCTCAGATCGTGGAGTTTCTCACGGGTTCCTTCAACCGAGATCACACCATCGAGCTCGGAATTGTGGGGGATGTCCTTGCGCAGAACTGCCCCCATAGCGAGTGGCTTCGAGACTTGAAGTACAACTATGGCACCGTTCCCTATTATGAAAGTCGAGATCTAGAGTTGGATAAGTCGGAAAACCGGAGGTCTGCATCGCTCACGGTGTGCTACTTGACCAAAAGCACCCAATGTTCGAGTTCAAGTCAAGATTTTGAACTGGTGTTTCGCCCTGAGATACCGCACCACCCAGGAACCGCGAGAGTCCTGGACAGCAATTGGGTCGACCTAAGTCTTATAAAAGACTGGCCAGCCCTCTGCATGAGGACCCATTCTGACAGATGTGACAAGACTCTCGGAACCTGGCACCCTTCAGGCCGCAATACTTGATAGACGTGACGAGATACTGTATCGTATTATCTACCGAAGCCTTTCCTAGGTTTGTTGCTCTATCATACACTTGGGGACAGACAAAAAGCTTTCGAACAACTATATCAACAAAGGAGCAACTAGAGCAGCCCGGGTCACTAAAGTTTCCACACATTGCGTCACAAGTTCCAAATACTATCCGTGATGCGATAGAGCTTACAAGGTTCTTGGGTGAGAACTGGCTGGGTCGATAGCTTATGCGTTGTCCAGGATGACCCGGTAGCCTTGGGTCACGAGTTGAAGCAAATGCACCGGATCTATGCTAGTTCATTCCTGACTATCATAGCCAAAGACGGCCACAATGCGGACTATGGCCTTCGAGGTTTATATGGTATCTCATCAGCAAGATGTACTCAGCAATCTATAGTGCCTCTGGCCAGGGGAGAGATGCTGTCATTCATGGAAACCGACTGGTCGCGGCCGAGCTCGACTATATTTGACTACATACGAAGGATGTGGACGTTCCAGGAGTAGGTCTTCTCTAAGCGATGCCTGACATTCGGGTCAGGTTATGTCACATGGCAATGTAACTGCGCAAATTGGACAGAACATCAGATGTATCATCCAGAGGCGGATGGAGCTCCGGTAGGAGACCTACACAAGTTCAAACATCTGATGGTGCCGCATGTTCCATCACTCAATAACCTCGCCACACTAGTTGAAACTTTCAACAGACGCAGCTTGAATTTCGAAGAAGATGTTTTCGACGCGTTTTCTGGTTTCCACACCCATTTGAATGGTCTTTATCCGTCGGGTCTCGTATTTGGTCACCCCGAACTTTATTTCGATATCTCGCTTTGCTGGCACACCGTCCTGCGATACAGCTGCCACAGAAGGAAGCCGGCTCGGTACTGTAGTAGTGGTCTTTTTCGTCATCGACTACCCAGCTGGTCGTGGGTGGGATGGTACGGTTACACTGTGTTCTCAGCAGATTCGGAACATCAATTTCGGACCTATTCTTATACTGGATTCACAGAGTCTGTAACCGAGTTCTACATCATTGAGTCTCCGCGTGCTAGCATAAAGAAAAGAATCGACTGTAATTGGTCTCAGTTCAGAAATGCAAACACTGACCACATGCCCAGTGGATGGAAGCGTACCAAATACGAGCCTCGAATCGAATGGAGTCACAACATTCACACGGAACCCCATACGGCACAGACGTTACGCCCGTGTCAACGTCAAAGGAGCAAACAAGCTACCTTTATTCACATGCTACCGATGATGACGATCCGGATCTGTATTGGTATCCTGTACCGGTGGCAGATTCCTCCTCGGAAGAGGGCACTGAACATCAGGCATACCGCGAGTACCAATATCTCTGGTTTCAGACAACCAAAGCTTGTCTATTCATGAGTGTGGAGAGCATCAGCACTAGGTCATCTAAATTCAACTTGATCAAAGACACCAATGGTAATACTGTTGGAGGACTTCAAATCAGCTGTAACAAAGAAAGTGAAGTGCTGCATGAGGGGACAACCGTAGAGTTGATTGCTATAGTAAAGGGATGGACCACTATCTTCAAGGACTCTGAAAGTGGATTCCTTGATAGGCCTCAAGCCCAAGTACGACTTCTGTATGAGCGCCCTGAATTGCTTACCAAGGAAGAAGAGGAGAAGGAATGGCACGATATAACAAACAGGTCTTCTGTTAAGGACGAAGCGACGGAAAAGGATAATTCTGGATCGGATAAGGAAAGAAGACAGGACTGCTATCACGTCCTTTGGATCGAGCGAGAAGATTAAGTGTCATATAGAAAGGGAGTTGGGTTTGTTTTGGTTGATGATTGGGAGAGACTGGCTGGATCGACTAAGATAGAGGTAGTTTTGGGATAAACCTCTGTATCCTCGGTCATTACTTACAAATGGTAACAGTAATTTTGGTCACTCTTTTGAATAGTACTTGTTGGAGAAAACCACGCTAGTATATTTATGAGACGGGGATGACTTCGTGAGGTTCTTGAGCAACGACAATGCATTATACTGTTGGATGAGTCAGATGTTGGTTTATCTCTCAAAGCTGGTAGTGTTGAACTGTGTAGGGTCTAGATTCCACTTGACTGAAATAAATGACCCTCGGCAGCTTCTATTCAGTTATTAAGTAGTGGGACCAGGGCTCCTACCCTGTGAGTTAAGCAGAGGGAGCTCAAGCTGAATAAAGAGTGTTCATGGAAACAAGAGCCCGTGCAATTCTCTTGAATGGTCCTGGGAGAGTCCAGACCATGACAAGGTGAGTCCCCCATAGCTTAAATGGCCGTGCCTATCCCTCAAATGATTCCACATCGCTCTATGGGAGTCAAAGCTGCGATGACTCTTTACTGCAGTGTCACACTGATGGCAAATCCAGCAATGCCCATGATCATCCGTCGCTCCGAGAGGCCCGGGACGTTCGATCAAAATAGAGTGCTTCGCCCGAAGATGTTCGATCGCTTCTCCGATATCAGTTATTTCGTCGTTATGCTCATCGCACATCAAGAAGATCAGCTCACTGGGCGTCGTCAGCATTACAATACTTTCATCGCTCTCATACATAGCGCATAATTGTCCATTGTTTAAGGTGCCTTTCCTCGATGAGCGCTGTGACGGGTGATTATGTGGTGCCAGTGTAGAACCAGCCAGGATGGAATGTCGTTCATAGGAATCTTTTATCCCACTTCGGCTCTATTTATAATAGGATAATAGCTTAAACCATAAGTTACATGGTCTCCACTTAAACATCGAGTCTGCTCGGGGACCGACCATGTCTAACATTTACAAACATCGTTTTATTGACACCTTTTCCTGGAAACCTCGCTGCTGATTCGTTCCGAGACTATAGTGGCGTCGCCGTCCGTATAAGAATGTCTGTTCGTAATCATAATGACGCGGTGGAGGTAGAAGTCAGAACCTTATGTTGTCAAAACTTATTTTCCGACCTGTATACGCGTCTTCGACCTTACCGGGCTCAAGGCGGGCCCAATTGAAGAAGTTCGATGCACCAAAGACCATAGCGGGTGCCCAGTCTAAAGCTAATCACTAAGCCGTTTGGATGACAGAAACAATAGCTGAATCGACACCCAAGAGGCTGGCCTGTAGGTAGTGCCGAGAGCTTTTTTACTTGTCCTCAACTTTCAAGAGGCTGGTTGGCGAGCGATATAGAACATTTGTTTGGAGGCATGCCCCCGGAAGAGCGGCATGGTATTCCTTCCGTCCTTGAAGCCTTCTCCAAGGTACATCTCCGGCGCTTCGTCAGGTACTTGAGTGTAAAACGTGAAAATTACAAGACATCTTGATATCTCGATAATATATCTAGCTCTGGGGAACTATAGGTACGCTTAAGCACAATTACCATATCTAAAGCTTGGCATGAACCTCTTCATCCCTCTTCTTTCCCTTTGCCTTCCTCGTCCAGGGAATCATTCCACTCTTTTGGTCCGGGAACGGCACGTCATACAACACCGGTCCATCCGCAACCAGAGGCATAAACTTCAAATCCGCGATACTGGCTGTCTTCAGCGAGGGCTGGTGTGGACCTATACACAGCTCGAGGTTCAGTCGCGAAATCTCCATCCATAACTTGGCTGCTGCCTCGCGCTCGTATTGATATGCTACGAACGCTTGGCTAAGGTCGAAGTATTGGGGTGATGGATTGGAACGCAGCATTCGCTTGAGGGAGTTGACTAGCGTGATGGAGTCTTCGATGCCGCAACATGCTCCTGCTCCTCTGATGGGGTTCATCTGTTTATGTTAGTATGTCAAAGTGAAGGGAGTGGGATGAACGTACCTTGTGAGCAGCGTCTCCTACCAAGACCATTCTTCCCCAGTGCCACCACGGTAACACACCCTCGTCATAATTCGCCGTTCCACCAGCAGTCTTCTGCCTCCATAAATCGCCAAATGTCAATCCCTCGCCAACATAAACATCCAACCAAGGTTTCGCGGCATCTTCCGCATCATTCTGTCCAAAGTACGTCCTCTTTCTCTCCGCTGGGATACGATGATATACAATAATCATAGCCTCATCTTTTGTTGTAAACACTTGGACATGAGAGTCTTCTTGGTAGACATTGATATTTCTGCCCTTTTCAAGACCTGGCGCGAGATCCGCTTTCGCAAAGACACCGGCGTGTGTTGCCTCGAATGGGTTTGTAGACTCGTCAAAGAGTCCTTTTGGAGCCTGGGCTACCATCTGATCTCTTACGCCGCTCCACACTCCATCGGCACCGACAACAATTGATCCCTCCTCAAAGGTGCCATCAGTGAACTCGACTTTGACACCGTTCTTGTCTTGTATGATTTTGCTGAGACGCTTGCTCGTTTTAACGCGCTCCTCCTTGTTGGGGAGCGCATTTAACAATGTCGACGCAAAGTCCAAACGGCTGAAGATCGACATTGGATATCCAAACCTATTCTGCATCAGTAAACTATTGGGGATTTAATATCTTGACTTACATGACTTCAAGCTTTCTAAAACCTTCTTCCCGATGCATAACATTGCCATCTATCGATCTGTGAATGGCCTCGAGCATAGGCTGGCTAACGGCTGTGATAACATCAAGAAGGCCCAGTTGATGCATTATACGCATAATCTGTGGCCATACAAACAGACCGTAAGCTGGCTCGGGAGGTACTTGACGTCTTTGCTCGACAAGGACGTAGTCGATACCAGAAGCTTCCAGCGCGTGTGCGAGGACCAAGCCGACAGGTCCGGCACCTACAACGATGACTTTGAATGATTCCATGACGCAGTATAGCTTTTTAGTATGGGATGGATGCAAAGAATAGAATTCTTACGCGACACACATGTCTTTTTTTTTCTTTGTTATGTACCTATATAATATGTTGAGTAGCCTATGTTGATCCCCTGACCGAAGAGTCCGACGGGTTTTATCCCTAGCAAGGGTTAGCGCTGAGGTCAGCCCATTTCTGGTCACTCTTCGTGAAGGATAATACTTGTTCCGGTGAGAATGGGTGCACATTTCCTGCTTGCCGTGTACTAATTGGTCTGTCTGCACCGGAAAAGCAGTCAATGTGGAAGAATTGGCACCATGCTCTCACTTGGTTCGGTCTTTATCTTCAGATCGTCCAGGAACAGAACAATTATCGAGTTCTTTCCCAAGGGAATGGTTCAGCCAAGAACTCAACAAATACACAGGATTCACATGCTCCGGCTAAACATATAGAGGAACCTCGGGTTAATTACAAGTAGACGTTCAGACTACAGAGAATAAGGAACAACCTGTGTGGTTCTATCGGATGGCAATAATATCAGTTCGTGTCATCTTTTATCTTTTTATGATAGTTTTTCTGGATCCCATCGGATTTGCAGCTATTTTATAGGTTGGCACTTCCTGCAAGGTCAGACAATGCAGATCGTCGTCACCAAACGGCCGTTAGGGCTGACGCAGGCTGGTGTTTGGAATCATTTTACTCTACTTTATTCGGAATAATTATCTAATAGCGTTTAAATGCTATGTTGAACAATACCACTATCTACTGTAGAATAAGTTGATCCTTGTTATGATTCGGGAAACCGATCCATAACAGGCAGTGCGCTGAGGCGAAATCTACCCTGCAGAACCGGAGGTTGCTGCGGTATTAGTGTCCATACCAGTGCCCAGCTCCATTAGGTTAAGTTCAATGTATCATATACTCTCTCCGACATATACTTTAAAGCTTCCCCTTGATCTATTTCAGAACCGAAGTATCTGTAAACATTGAAGCACCATGATGGTGGATTAGTTTGGCTTGAAAAGCAACGCTTACATGGCATTAAACATTTTCAGAGCAAGACATCCTCTGCCATAATTCTGATGTAGACCTTCACGTTTAGATAAATCTTGTGTCCTCGATATTGTGGTGTTTCATGTTTGCCTTGTCTGTACGCTTTGAAGGACTTGCATTTGCAGAGAATTTACACAGTTGTACCCCCAATCATTTTCGTAGCTGTGACAAGATTCATTTATCGCGGATCTTCTCACCCAATGGTACTTTGATCATCTAGTAAGCGTGATGATTATCCGAAATACTTTGGTCTGGCGGAGGATTGTTGTGGTGAATTTCCACTGCTCCAACGTCGGACCGCCATCAGCCGAGTCAAGTCTACAAGCATCACACAGCAGGGTTAGTTTGATCTTAAAATGCATCTTATATAAAGTTCCCGATCAAGGATTGCTACACTGGGGTGGAATCTGTCGTCTGGTAAAAAGCACTAATGACATAACCGTTGCCACATTTAGAGGCTGTGCAACAACCACTTCGGTGGTTCGGTTTATTTAGATGCGGAGACACCAGCTCTTCATTTTGTTTGGTCAGAGTACGCAAGTGGTCTGGCCGTTTCTCCTTTAATTATATCTCACCGCAAATTGAACAATAGCGTTAGGTTAGCCCGAGTGGCATTCACTCCGCTTCTCCGTTGTGTAAACCATTTGCCGTGGCTTGTGTCAGGAGTTTTATCTGATATCGAGGCTTTCGATCGCCTGATAAGTTCCCCGACGATCCGTTTTCTTCTCCTGACTGTGATGATTACCGCTGAACCTGTACTGAGAGTCGGGGAGTCGGGTCTGAATGGTGAAGCATGCGTGAAATGGTCGCTGGCGTACACCTTATTCTGGCCGAAGGGCTTCAAGCACCATATAACCAATACCACAGCGACCAGCCAAGAGAATAGAGTATCCCAATAGTTCATGTCATCTGAGTTTGTAGATTGGCTAGACGCATCCCTTGCCGTTCCCGACACCGAGAAACCAGACAAGCAAGGTCCGAAATAACCTTAACTTTAGTTCCGCGTATTCGCGTGGCAGTGGATCTGGTCTGCCCATACACCAGCCTATAAGTGCTGGCTAGTGTGTCACCTCAGTGGAGGAAATATGCCCGCCCTGAAACGTCAAACCTTTAGGCTCGGAGCATCTTAATCTGATCCCGGATGGCGGCGTTTACGGATCCTGATTGATGCGCGCATGAGACCTGGGCTATGACTTTGTGGAGTTTGTTGCAGTCGGTAAAGGAGCGATGCTCCTGTCAGGGAGCAATACTAAGGGTTCGAGGAAGGTATAAGAAGATGGAAAGGTCTCTAGAGGTAATGTTTCTTCATCCCAACTCACCAACTCACTCACCTTCTTCAACATTATTCATTCTTTAAATAACCGTTGACCGGTATTCTTTCGTTTTCACACAAACTTCAACAACCGTCATAATGCACGCTCCCAGCATCTTCACTGTTCTCGCTGCCGTTCCCGCGGCCATGGCTTGCCTTGGCTATGAAGGCGGTGTCCCCAAGGCCACTGGCACCAAGTCTCTCAGCGCTCCCCGATACCTCAAGAAGGGCGAGGTCTTTGACGCTAAGTGGGTTCGCTACGACCGTGGTGTCAAGTGCTCTGGTCAGAGCGAGGGTGGTACGTTGTCTTTACTCCAAGATAATCTGACAACCCGGGACTTACTAACATCGTGCAGGTGAAAAGGATGCTGTCTTTGTTCTCGAGGACGGTGCCACTCTTCGCAACGTCGTCATCGGTGCCAACCAGAAGGAGGGTGTCCACTGTCTCGGTGCCTGCAACCTTGAGTTCGTCTGGTTCGAGGACGTTTGCGAGGATGCCATCTCTCTTAAGGGCAGTGGAACTGCCAACATCATCGGTGGCGGTGCCTACAAGGCTGCCGACAAGGTGATCCAGCACAACGGATGTGGTCATGTCAACATTGTCAACTTCTGTAAGTCCCATGTCATCAATTGGAGACCTTCAACTAATCCCTTTTAGACGCCAACGACTACGGCAAGGTCTACCGATCTTGCGGTAACTGTAAGGGTAATTCCAAGTGCAAGCGATCCGTCCACATGGAGGGTGTCACTGCTGTCAACGGTGGTGAGCTCATCGGTATCAACACCAACCTCGGCGACAAGGTCAGTTACGCTCCTCAATAATAACATCGAACCGTACTAACAAAGCTGCCTATAGGCCACCTACAAGAACAACTGCTTCCCCAAGACCCAGTGCCAGGGTTACAACGGTTGCGACAAGTCCAACGGCGAGTGCGAGCCCTCTAAGGCCAGCAAGTGCTAGATGCACATAACTATGCCTAGAGCTCATGTTTATGCGAACCTTTCTTTCTGACACAGAGATGACTCGTTGTGTGTATCTCTTGGGTTGAACTTTTTCGTGTACCTTTTTTATACTCTATGTATATATACTACCTGCATAAATGGAACTCCAACTGCTCAATGCTGCACATTTGGAAACACTGCTCTCCACCCCTTCATTAATGCATGTCGCCTTCTGTACTAACACTTCTCTGATCGTAAACTCTCATCCTTCATGCGATGACTCGCCGCTGTCCTTCATATGAGCGTTCTCCTGCTGCAAAGCATCCTCATTATCTACCGCAAACTTGCTTCGATGCCTCAATTTTTGTCCGTACTTCAAAAATAGGAACGGCGTGAACGCAAACAAAGTCGCTACCGCTGCTAAAATGCTTGTCGCAACATTACTTCCCAGACCAGTGTATATCTGATATGTAAAAAGTGGAAACACGGCAGCAGTCAGTGTACGTGTCAAGCTAATGGCGCTGACAGCACTGGCTGCATATTCTCCGTAACTGTCGGTCGCGTACCCGAAGAGCACATAACTGAAGTCATTGGCACAGAAGCCGATTATTACTAAACCGATCATGCTGACAGGCCAGGGAACATTGGTGACTCGCGGTGGGATCGTCCAGGCGAAAAGCCACAGACCAACGGCAAGCGCTGGAGCAGCGATGGCGAACGAGGTAATTTTGGTCTCGGGAACAATGCGTCGGTGTGTTTTGCGATATTTCTTGTATAGATAGGCGTCGTAGAACCTGGGCAGAACATTGATGATCTCGCCGATTGCGATGGCGATGAAGGCCAGACTAGAGGCATTCTCGGAGAAGTTAAACGGCGGCGCGGTATAGACGATGGTCAATGACTCTGTCAAACCGTAGATGAGACCAAATGCAATGGCGCACAAGATGGCGCAGAAAAGCACTAGGGGGTCTGTAACTAGGAACTCCAAGGGTCGGAAGAGAGCGGTTCTTGCAAAGGTGGCCACGGTAAGCTTTCCTCCCTCGGCATGGCCAGGTTTTATATCCTTCATGCCAGTCTCTTCCTGTATATCTTTGACGATCTTGTCTAGAATTTGATTTGCGTTTGACTCTTTGGTGAAAAGGCATGCAGCAGCGGTAACGCCCGTAACAATAGTGGATATGTAGTAAACCCAACGCCTATATCATTGTCAGTCGAGCCATCATCTCGTTTCTTTCCAGACTCACCAGCCTATGCTCGAAGTGATGTATACCGAATAGATAGGTCCCAGCGCCAACCCTAGCATACCGAGAATGGTATAGATGTAGACGACCCAGATCCTATGCTCAGCATTGTACATGTCATCAAAGTTGCCAAAGGCGACAGTGGCAGGTATTGCCGCAGCCACTCCTTGGAAGAATCGTCCAAAGTACACGGCGATTACCGATGGTACTGCTGCCACTATCACTGAGGAAATACAGAAGAGGGTTGCTGCAATTATGTATATGGTGCGTCGTCCAAAGACCTCTGAGATGGGAGAGCAGAATATGCCACCTATGGTCTGGCCAACCAAGTACCTGTTGCTGATAGTCAGTAACGTTGCCAATGCCTGACTTGGCTTCGAAGCTTACATGGTAAGAAAGGCAAAATAAGCCATGGTTCTGCTAAGACCATACTCCTCTCGCGCCGCGTTTCCAGTAGACGCCTGTACAATGGTTAGCAAGTGTACTTCAGTAGAAGTGAACAAGCGTACCCCGGAGGAACTTATTGCCGTCATGTACATTTCCAACCAGCATATCAAGGCAGCGGTGTATGTCTTGGTGCCTGACTTCCAATTTCGAGGGTGTTGTTCTGCATCGTCATCCCAGCAGATTTTATTATCGTCTTCAACATGAACTCCTTTCCCTTGCACGGCATCTTCAAGTGGGCTTTTGTTCTTTGGTGTGTTTTCTGAGGATGCCTGGGCAGATGAGATAGAAGAAGCCATCACAATTAAAATTCTGACAAAGCGATTGATGTAAAAAGGTTGCCGTCTGTACTCGTGACAAATAAAAGTCACAAATCGCTATGTATGCATATTTAGGAATATCGCAGGAAAGAAGGTCCAAGGGACAACCTAAGTAGGACACACAGCAAAATTCGTCACCACATCGACCCGACAGATATCACGATCCAAGGTGTCGTAGACCATAATCGGCGATGGCTGCAATGGGATTGGCCATCGATCGGCCGGATTCAGGGTCGTTCTTTAGCATTATTGCCGATGCGCGTATAACTTCGAATCTGTTTATTACCCGTCCCTCCATCTCGCGATACTTTGGTTCCTAATTATTTCCTAAGTGAGAAAAGTATTTCACGTCATATCGTGATGGAGGTGCGGTTAATAGTTCAGGGCATCAACAAGAATGAGTATTTAAGGGATCAATGACGCTTTCTTCATAGTGCTTACTCCCTGGCCACCCCTTGAAGATTTAACATTAATGTGAACTCTATCAGCATCACCACTCTTTGTTCCGAGGATAACGAGATAGATGCGAACTCCCTTGTGAAACAACACCAAGCTTGTGAAGGGATGGACATCTAGCATTTCTCGATTAAGCTACCTTGTACTGAATAGGTTTGAAGCTACCGCCATTGGACTTCTCGGCCGAACAGGCAGTGATAGCAACAATGAGATCCATCTCAGCAACGAAGTCGATGTGGTCACCAGCTTTGCTAGTAGGTGTCTCCACCGTGAATTTCCCCGTCTTGCCATCCACAGGCACATTCATAAAGCAGTTGAACGCACAAGGAATGCGGTCAGGCGCGATGCCGTGTTTGCTTAGCGCCAAGGAAAGGTTGCCGAAACAGCCGTGATGCGGCTCCTCGTGTCCGTATATGATTCGAAAGGTATCTTTGGAACATGGCGTAAGCAAAAAGTCGTGACGTCCACAACTGTCTTCGACGATTTTAAGCATTACATTGCTCCGGTTTGAGTAGAGTGGATGGCCGGTTGTCAGGTATATGGTGTCTGCGTAGTCGAATGTTCGGCCATTGGAGATGACTTCGTCTGTGTCGTGTTGATTGAATGCCACAAGGTCAGACACTTGAGCGCCTTTTGGATCGATTACTGTTAAGCGTTGGCCTTTTTTGACGAGGAATGAAGTTCCCGTCCTGGGCGCAAGTTCGATGATGCCATCAGACACTTGCTTAGTGTCCTCCATTTTAAGAGTTCGGTATGGAGGAAGTGAAGAATGAAGAAAATGGACAAATATCGAGACCGTTCTAGATTCAAGAGCGGGTAATTGTGCGACGACCTACGTCTTTAATTCTTAATAAATCCCGGACCAGTATCACTCAAGGCGTGACAGGAACAATTCACTGTCGATGATGCGAGGATTGGGTCATGACCGCTTTAACGGCCCGGGGGTATCCACCTTTCCCCAGGTTTGTCTCGCCCCGCATTCCGGAGCATCTGATCCCCTCAGCGCTAGGATCGGATCGATCTCTGGACGATCTACTACGTAACGTTAGATGCTACAGAAGAAGAGATTCCGAGGGTCATTCATCTTTCCCTTCAGCTCTCGGGGTTCGCATTGTCGGCGCCACTATCTCCTTGAGGCTCCAGGCGTGAACATCCCGCACCACCATTTCCAACACTAACCATAAGGCTAATAGATGACAACGATACCCCATCTGTGCTAAAGAAGTTCACCGATACATACAATTATCCGAATGGAGGTGCGGGATGTATAGCCAATCCCTCAATGTAGATGCACAAAGAGCCAGAGTAAAATGATTGATGTCGGAGCGACGGAGGATAATCCCCGGCTTACATGTGTACTGGTCATCGCTGGCCGCATGCATCGTATTGATTTCGTCAGTTTCGCATGGACCAAAGCACGCAATGGGAACACAGGGCCATAGCGCTCTGGAAATGCCATGCCATTCCAAGGATGTTTGCTAAAAGTCTGGTAACACAGTGCCGCCGATCCATGTCAATGACGTCCGGCCCGCCAGTCCTATACACCATTTTGACGTAGTCTCTATGGTAACAGATAGTTATAAGTTGAGACTTACGTCCTTGCGTTGCATTGAGCCTGTATGCTCTATTTCCAAATAGTCTGCCTATCAACAACATGCTGCTCGCATTTAATGCTATTATCTTGGCTCTTGCCTTTGCGGTAGTCGCTAAGCCAATACAATTTCGAAAAGCTGTCAACCGGTTAATAAAGAAGTTGAGAGCCGCCACGAATGGCTTCGAGAAGGCTGCCTTACTCCCTAATGAATTCGACGAAGTCTCGCTGTTCTCAGACTCGGACAATGTGGAGCTGTTAACAAAGTTCGTGACTTGCTCATCCTTTATACTTACAAGGCTAACATGCTACCAGAACTGAGCTTGAAGCTCGATTTGATGAAAATTCTTGGCAAGGTCTTGCGTACCAGGATTTTAAGAACACAATATTAGCCAAGGGCGGAATGAAGACCTTTCCTTGTGTATACGCGACAATGGGTTATCGAGCAGACGACCATCGCTACGTATTCCTCGAGTCAGACGATCCATCTGAGCCTCGCAACGTTCGCAAAGTAGCCTTATCTCTAGCCGAGTACCTACGCATCTCAACCTCCCTGGGACCAAACACATCTCTCGTTATCATTGGTGCCGCCTCTGAGAAACCGCGGACTGTCGAAGAGCACAATCGCACTTTCTGGGACATGCTTCGAGGCCTTCGCATTTGCGATCCGAAAGCCTGGCCAAAGGAGATACCGCAAGACACAGAGGACGCTAAATGGACTTTCTGTTTCAACGGAGAACCAGTCTTCCCCGTCATGTTGACGCCTGCACACCAGGAACGTTGGAGCAGACACATGAGTGTGCCAGTCATCGCCCTTCAGCCGAAGTGGGTTCTGGACAACCTACTCGGAACTCCAGAGAAACGAAAGGCTGCGCAAAGCAAAGTTCGGGGCTTGTTGCACAAGTACGACACCGTCGGCATCAGTCCAGATCTGACGGCTTATGGTGCGGATGGCAGTAGTGAGGTTCGCCAACTATGCTTGCATGATACGAACGAGTCTGTCCAATGTCCATACCGGAACTTTGACAGATAGGACCCGGAGCTAGAACATCCAATGATTGAGTTTGGTTCGCGGAAATACCTTTGCTTAGCGTTTGAAGCGTTGTCCCTTGAATGTCACTATACATCCCGTCCCCCCTCGGGGTAATTTACTATACTTAGACTTAATAGAACTTAAAATCTATATATAAAGGTTTTATCATGTGTCAATGATCATTGCACATAATTACAGAAAGGCGAGATGTCGCATTAGCCCGTCGAGATGTAAGCTCTAACGTTGCCCGTGGTGGGGAACCAAAAGGTAGGCTTCCTAGACTAAAATTGGAGCCGTTTCGTCAACACCCCCACTACAGCAGTCTCCAGACTGTTCATCTTCCGTAGTATAGTGGTCAGTATGCAAGCTTGTCACGCTTGAGACCCGGGTTCAATTCCCGGCGGGAGAGATCCAGCCACCTGCGATACGCAGGTTTCTATTTTTGCATTTATCAATTGCTATCAGTTTTTATCACTCATAGACCTCTTTTTTGATCACCGTTCTATTGTCTTTTACTTTAACTTGTTGCTTAGTTCTACTACTCATGTCCTTGAATCCCACCCACAACGGCATATCCAATTTCTATTATTATAACAATTCATGATCGTGGTCGTCTTAACGGACCATCTTGGCCAGGGCATCCAGAGTATTGGGCTCACCAAGAGCACCCTGAGGAAATCGAGAGTTGAAGCCAATGACAGACTGGACACTGTGGAAAGTGGAGGTCTTGATGGAGAGCTTCTGGTCTGAGACCAACCATCTGACACCCTCACTGCAGGGGGGTGTAGTCAAAGAACCCTCGTATCTAGAATAATGTTAGCTTCTATTCGATGAGTCATTGTGGGCTTATTTACGTCTGGAAAGAGCCGGCTGCGAGGGTGCTGACAAGCTCAGCCATGTTGAGAGACTTGGTCTTGGTAAGAGTTCCAGGCTCGGAAATCTCACCAACGGAGCCAAAGACGGTCTCCAAAAGGTTGGAGGGAGTGGTAGCAGCAGTGGTAGGGGCGTTGACATGGAAGAAAGATCCTCCAACACCGGGAAGCTGTCGCTTATCATGATCATGATTGTGGGGTACGCTGCGACGCATCTTGAAGCTATCCCTCTTGCGAGCTTGAGGTGTTGAAGCAGGAGGCTGAGAAGAAGTAGAGTTTCCAGCAGGGCTGCCACCAGCACCGTCCTCGACGTCGATGAAAACACCGACGACGGCAATCTGGGAATCGGCGCTCTCCCAGACCATGTGCATCTCCATAGCCATACTCTTTCCAGCATCGAGATGCTCACTAGGCAGATGGAAGTGGAACTGCTGAAGAGTGTAGCTAGTGTTGCCGAAGCGCATGCTTCCCTGGCCAGCAACAACCTCAACAGTAGTGCCAAGATTCTCGAATTCGGTTCCTTCTGTCATATCGGGGATTTCGAGGTTCAACTGGGAGGCGGGAACCATAGCATTTTCACCTGCGACCATGTCGATGGGGGACTGGTTGGTGCCAGTAGCGCACATAGCGTTGGCCTCGGGGTCTAGGAAGAGCCAGCTGGTAGGGCCCTGTCATAACTGTCAGCATAATTACAATGAGTCCATACAGGTATACATACAGTCTTGCCAGTGTAACCAAAAGTATTAACCTCAACCTTTCCCTCTGCACGAGGATGCAGAAGAGTGCCATAGGCACAAGAAGCCATCGCTTGAGAAGCGAAAGCTCCAAGGAGGAATAGTCGAAGGGTGATGGATCCAGCCATGGTGATAGTAGTACTAAGTCGACAAGGTAAAAGAGAAGCGAGTACAAAGAAACAAAACACGATATTAGGTTATGCAAAGAAACGAACTTGAGGCCAGCCTCGAGGGAAAGAAATTAGGTAGAAGGAAACAAACGAAATCGAACGATGATGCCGAAGAATCATAAGTTTGCAGCAGGACCGGAGAGTTTTAATACCAGGGAGTCTGGACTGGACTGGAGTCTGGACCCAAGACTCTACGCGTACTCCAAAACAAAGGCTATCTAGGAGTCCCATTGAAACGGTATCTTTTGCAAGTCCTAAGAATATGCTTCATGGTAACCTTAAAGGCTAACCTGTTGAGGATACAGGGGTCGTTACATTTTAAGTGGCCTCCGTCGCAGGTCTCGTCGCCAGGAGCTGAGGATGGTTTTGGCTCCGGTTTCAGGCGCCAAGAACCGGAGCCAAGACCTTGACGGTTGCCGTCATCCGATTATTGTTAAGATGATAATATCGCTCTCAATTTGTACAGGTTTTAGCTATGAATTGATGCGATTAATGGGTCAATTGAGTTGGTAGAGCTGGTAGGGACAATTAAGCTTAAATATAGCGGGTATCCAGTATAACAAGTAAATTACAGTGGTTACCCCGACTTAATTAACGCAGGGCCGAGATAATTCCCTATCTGTCAAAATGCAGGGTTCGTCTCAGGATAAAGGAAAAGTGAGCTGATTTTCAGAGTTCTAGACTTTTCGTCCCGTCGCAAGCGCCAAGCCTCAAACCGTTTCAGCATTGAATTGGTTTAGGATGAATTTCTTGAGACTCTGACAGGGGAGCCATCGCCACTTTATCAGCGAATAACCTCACCCTGACCGACAGGGCATCTCCAGAACGAAGGGAAAAAAGCGCTCACATGGTAGATGTCACTGGTCTTAATTAAGAATGAAACATGAATCTTTGTTTTCTGCTTAATTTATCTAAATTTATACACTTTAAAAGTTTCCGAAGCCTGTCAATTTAAGCGACAAGTTTAAAAACTATTCGCTTCAGTCTTCTTGCCGGGGTACGGCGCAGCACCGGTGCTCTCCCCGGCCACAGCCCCGTGTTCGATGACCTCATCGCGGTGAACCTCGAGAGGCGCCATGACAACCTGAGGCGCGTAGAAAGTTTCGCTGAGGTGGCGCTTCTCGGGAGGCACAAAGACGTCGAGCCAGCGAGGAACGACAAAGCCGAAACCGACAATGCACATAACGCCAATAGCAGATGCGAAGGCAAAGATGTGCAGGGGGTCGTTTCGCTTGGTGTAGAAGAGAGGGAAGGCGAAGGATGTGATAATCGCAAGGATAGGGGCGGAGATATAACGGAGGACGAAGCCCCAGAAGATGGGAATGTTCCATCGCTTGCCGCCTGCGACAACAATGTTGAGGTCACGTCGAAGCTGGTTGAACTAAATATAGTCAGTATAAGGATATAAATAAGCACGGAGTATAACATACCGAGTAGAAGGAGAACCACCACATCTTAGAAAGAGCGTTGTTCTTGCCGAAGAATCCAGGAGGTCGAGAGTCGGGGGACTTAGAAAGCAAGATGCCCAGAATGTTGGAAGCGATGAAGATACCAAAGCCAACGCCAGCACCGGCCGCAGGGCTCACAGCATGTCCGATAGCCACACCAAGAATCATAGACAAGACATATCCAAAGTTGTAAACCAGGTATCCAGTCCAGCCTATTTGTCCAATAACATCAGTGTAACGATAGAGAGTGGTAGCACCAACACACTCGCACCAAACAACGAAGATGAGGGACAAGTTGTTAATCCAAGTGTCAACAGCATCAAGAAGATAGAATCCGAACTTGGTGCAGTAAATGAGAGACAGAAGGAATGAGATGAGAATGACGACAGAAGTGATCAAAACTCGAGAGTACTTTCGACCGACACCTGAATCGCAAATGAGTGTAACGAGCGATTCGCTAAGAGCAAAAGCAGAGCTCAGACCGAGAACAGCCAATGTGAGGAAGAACAGAACGGCCCAAACATTGGCACCGGGCATCTCGGCCAGCGCAAGAGGGTACGTCAGAAAACCTACGGTGAAGGTGCTGAGTGAGATGTTCGAGTCCTCAGGAGAGTAACCGAGGAAACCAATGACGCCGAAAACTGCAAAACCGCCAACAATTTCGTACAGAGAGTTACAGATGGCGATAATGAGGGTATCTTGCACAGCGTTGGCATGTTTACTGTTGTATGAGGCGTAAGAAGTAAAGTAACCAAAACCGACACCGATGGAGAAGAAGATTTGGCCACAGGCTCCTTGCCAAATTTGGCCACCGCCGAGCTTTTCACCGTTCCACTCGCCAAAGTAGTACTTGATACCGGTACTGGCATTGGGGAGAGAGACGGACCGGCCGAGAATGATAATAATCATGATGACTGGGAGACCCATAGTGAAGTAGACGACTCGGCCGGTTGTTCCTACGCCCTTGAACATGCAGAGCCAGACAAGCACCCACATAAATGCGACCCAGCCGACAGTCTCGCCGACGAAGCCTCGACCAGGGTAGTCGACGTAGCCAGAGCCGGTAGGCGCCACAGGATCAACGTTGGCAATGACATCCTGCATGTAAAACTCTTGTCCGCGACCGCTCCAGGGCAGAGGGCTCTCGAACGAGCAGCGGAAGTAGTGCATAATCCAGGCGAGGATAGGGACGTAGTATGTAGCGACGATAAAGCCGTTCATAATGACAGCCAGACCGACACCCTTGGTGCGCTTATTGATTCCATTGAAGGCGACGACGACACTACCGCGGTAGGCCTGGCCGATACAGATCTCGAGACATAATACAGGAATACCGAGGAAGAAGAGGGCGATGAGGTAAGGAATGAACCATTGAAGACCGTTGTTGGCGAAGACGACGGAGGGATAGCGGAGAAGGTTACCGAGACCTACAGCGCCGCCCTGTGGTGATTTGTTAGTAGCTTGTCTTACATGCAGGGCCGAAAGGTGGGCGATGCAGGGTGACGTACCATGGCAGCCAAAACAAAAGCGGCACGTGAGGGCCATTTGTCTCGACCATCATCCTCCTTGTCTGCGCTGGGGGCTATAAACCCAACGACACGCTTGAAGTTGAACCCCATGTTGTGAGAGAAAAGGAAAGAAAAGTAGTGATCAGTCTGCTGTGCTGTCGAGACAAGCTTCTTATGCACCTTGTCGCAGATCAGCAATTGGTGTGAACAAGCCCAGAAATGTATGCCAAGGGGAGAGGGATAGCAGGCAGCTTTATAGCACGGCAGTCGCAGCTTACAGCATAGCTTCTTGGCAAAGATTACGATAAATCGTCACCTGTTTTTCAGGTTCGCCTTGGGTCAGTGTTGCTACCAGCTCAAGTTTGCTTGGCAAAGACATGCCGTCCGCCTATCCCCTCAAGCGCAGTAAGCCATACAACGTCTTGGCAAATTCCGACCAATCTCCACAGCTGAAGTCTGGGGTGTTTTAGTGTATCTCATGACGGCTTTGTCTTGGCATTTTCAATGATATCTAAAAGTTGCATACTGATTCGTGTGTTTTTTCCCAAGGAAATGAAAGTGGTGGGATGTGATCCATTCATCCATCATCCATCGCTCGATTGCTCCACCCCCGTATTTACAGTGGGAATCATCACCCACTTTACCCCATTACCCCGTACTCTTCTTGTCCCTCTCTCTCCATGGCCAAGCTTTTAGTGTAGACTTTGTTCTGTCTTGTCTCTCGTAGGCCAAGAGTCCAGATTGCAGCATGCGGGGAGACACACAAGTCGTTCCCCCAGAGCCCCAGAATAGCCCCGAGTCTAAATTCACTACAGCGCCCAAGCCCCAGTGCTACATACCTTTTACAGTAGGCAGGCCTCGGTTTGCAGAGGCAAGGAAATACAAGCATAATTCGTTAGCCTGCCCCTAGACTCATCTCTGAATGCAGCACCTTCCTCATTCGGTAGCTCTAATGTTACCAGGCTGGCCGCCGCATGCGGTATTCCATTTGATGATCTCAGTGATTGGTCGCATCGTAAGATTCTCTGTTCAATTTGAAGCTTTGGGGGGATTATTTGCGCGTTACTTCCATGATGGCGTTGACTTTATTTCAGCGTGCAATGAGCCGTTTTTCTGGAAGTTGTCCGTAGGGTAATTGAAGCCATTCACAAACCGAGAGGACCACTGGGACTGGTCACGTTTTCACGTGTGACATGCGTCAGAATGAGGAACATCATATTGCCATTTTACCATTATTTACGTAACCCAGCGACAGCTAAACTGACTGACAGCATCATCTTACCCATTCTCTGTAATTGACCTGCCCTATTCTTCCTCCCCGCTTACCCCGACCTAACATGATCAAAAGTCACCCCAGATTTTGCCCTCAATAAGGGGAAGGTCCGTGTCGTCTTGAATCACGTTGTTTAACTCGTTATGGGAGGTTTTATTCCCTCAATTAACGGCGCGAATATTAAAAGTACTGACCGCATTTCGGCCCAAGCTCAACCTGATGATGGCCGACATGGAATCATCAACAAACATGCTTATTGTCAGCCCATCCATCAATTCAGCACACTTGCTTAATTCGGACTTAAGTTCCTGGTCTGACAACGCAAGATATTGCTGTTTACAGTCAACCAGTCGGTCCATCGGTTACCTCCCAATCGATAGACAAGTTGGAGCCTCAGGAATCTCCCATACATTTTTTAACAACATGAGCTCCACGCGACAAGCATCGCCAACGTCTCGGCCCCATCGTCGGTGGCTCTAGGGTAATCGCGCAAACACTAAATAACCATTTGATGAGCGCGCGATATCCGAGAGCCTGGGATCGAACCACTCTGTGCTTTACTTGAATCATGTCGCAATTAAACAGCTTCGAAAGCTTCCAGAACAACCACAGCTCAAGCTCTGGTCAGTGCATATTTCAGCTTGCGATAACCGAAATGCTTTTTTGCTCTAACGCAACGGCGCACTTGGCAAAGGGTAGTGAAACCCCATTTGACCGAGACTTGCCGCCCGCTAAGAAAGAGCCAGGCTGTTGGATCCTCCGCAGTGCCTGGATTTGAAGGAGTCGACGTTGATGACAACATGATATTACCAAGAGATGTTGTGCCGTAGTTTCGCATAGCCCGGCTTGGCGTAACGTGGTCGGCTACTGAAGGACCAAGATCAAGAAATCAGCTCTCCTTGGCTCTTGGCAGTGCGTTCCAGCCCTTGGAAAGGGTCGTTAGAGGCGGCAAATATTGATTTGAAGTCATGTTAACCTTGAACAAACTTTGGAGGCTATCGCGAACCATTTTAGAGGGATTGCTAGTCATTTGGACTGTGGGGTTATGCCGTCCATAGCCGGTTTCCCCTGTTTCCCCACGACGCTCAATGATGGGCCACTTTTACAGGTCAGGCACGAATCAAAATGGTCAAAAAGGAATGGTCAAGATAGAGCTATAGTACAGCGAGGTAAAGTTGAGGGAGGGATACATGGACCAACGGTAAATAAGTAAAAAAGATATGATAAGAGAAGGACTCTTGAAGAGCCCGACTGTTTTCCAGTCGACGCGGGCCTGATTCGAACAGACGCCTCCGAGGAGAATAGATTTCTAGTCTATCGCGTTAGACCACTCCGCCACCGCGCCTTATCGGATTGTTGAAAGAGGCTGTCAACTCACGGTCTAAGACCAGCATTTTGCAAAATCCAGAACGTGCTCGCAGCTCATGACATGAAAGTGCACTTTTGTCAATTGATCCAGTCAGCGACCGTAAATATGCCTCGCTGTACGCCTCAGTGGCTATGCCAACGCCTTTGTGTAACGTCTTTCAACCTTCTTCCCCGCCCGATTTCACGGCTTCTCTCCATGTTAATCGTTTTTATCGCAACTGTCCGACGCTTGTTTCTTCCACAAACCCGAAAGACTATTCTCTTCAGCCGGCGTCACAATGGAATTTGGACTGACATTTGGAGCTGTCGGCGACTTTATTGCAATTACTGTTCTAATCAAGGACATTATCAAGGCACGCAATGATGCACGTGGATCCGCCAAAGAATATCGAGAGCTGGTCCGAGAGCTTGATACACTCCACCTGACACTGGAAGCTGTTCAAAAGACCTGCGAAGATCCTCACTTGACTGATTCTCTTGAAGATCTTACCAAGATAGCACTTGACACAGTATCTCACGTCAAGGATTGCTCGAATGGGTTTCTGGATCTAATCCGCAAGTATGAGCCGATCTTAGGTGCTGTTGTGTCAGGAAAGAGCAACTCCTTCAAGGCTATTGGAAGGAAGATTCAATGGAAGCTGAATGAGAGGGAAATTGAGAAGTTTCGTGCCGAGGTGATGGGGTGTACCATGGCACTCAATGTTTTGCTGGAAGTTATCACAGTGTGAGTGAAGTGCCATCTTTGAATATTTACCCAAGTTCTGACATTAGTAGGCGTATGTTGCAAAGGAATCATGACACTCTGGCCAAAGAGCAAACTGCTGCCGAAGGCCGTACAGCCGCATTAATACGTCGATCAGAAGCGTCATTGAAGGCGTGGATAAGCTTCATCGGTCGGCAAATACTTCGTAGGCTACAAATCGTACACAGATCAGGCATCGAGCTGAAGAGATCCATTGACCAGATCATCGCCATGATGTGTACTCTCTCCGGTGACCTGAGCTCTATCAGGGCCATCGTCATGCACCTCGACAGGGGGCCAAGCGATGAATACTTTATCCTAGAAGACGTTACGGGAAGGACGTTCCCCATCCATCTGAGAACTATCACCTCATGGGCGGTACTTGAATTTATACTCAACGAGCGCTTTAAAGGTAAGAAGGGTGCTCGAAGAGTACAGCGTAAGCTGTACAGTTTACGTGAGAGTAACACACAACGAGAAATTGATGGGTCTATGCCTTGGGAAAGTGCGTTTCTACCGCGCCAGAAGATCACTATGAGCTTGATCTGTAAAGATGCAGAGAATAACAATGCAGGCGGAAGAGTATCGTCAAGCTGTCCTTTCTGCCAAACGCCATCAGATCATGACAGCGGTGGTGAAGTAGAATGGTAATCCTGAATGATGATTTCATGGTGAGCTACATTGCTGACATTCTCATTAGTGCGAAGTGTAAAAGGTACTTCACAAGGGTAGTTGAACTTGACGATCCCGAAGTACCTCATAACCATCCTACCAGGCTGCGGAATTCAGCTCCTTCACCAGGGCGAAGGAAAAGGGAACACGATTCAAACAGCACCAAGACCTGTAGTATATGCCACTCCTCGAGGCGTCACGATACTGGGACAATCTCAAAGCGAAAGTGTTGCCTGTCAGGCACAGATTCAGAAACGGACTCGGATGATGGAGATGTCCAAGGCTTTGTAAGGGTTCACCTTGTCTCAAGAAAAAGGCGGGCAACTACCAAGGTCCCGAATCAAGGTGAACAAGAAAGATCTGCCAAGCTTAAGCGAATGAGGGAAGCAGAGAGGTCTTCGGTAAACGAGGTGGTTTGGAACAACAAAATTCTTCACAAGTGGCTGTCGGAGACATCAAAAATGGAGGTTGACCCAGCTCTGATCGGGGTTGATCCGGCTCTGGGTCGATGGCTTTCAATCTCGCAGCCCCCTACCGACCTCCTGGGTGCCAGAAAAAGGACTGCTGTCAATTACCGAGGGACTAGTACCTTCGGAGAGGACGATTCCGATTCCGATTCCGATTCCAACTCCGAAGGAGAAGATGGGACATCTGTTCCTCTAGTGGTTCTATGTCCTGATAGAGGTGTATCGGTGGAAGGGCCCCCTCCCCCTTCCCTTCCTCTCATGATTCCATTCCCCTCCAATTAACGTGTATTTGGCGAAATGTCGTAGGAGGTAATTCCAAAATCAGTCCATATAGTTCGACGGTAACATAACATACCAGACGGCTGTTGGTCATGATTGATACGATCCATCTATCGAGCAGCATCAACTACCATATGAAACAGTGTCACGAAGGACCACAAGTAAAATGCAGAGGCAATTCAAATTGGCCCAGTATTTAAGTAGCACGTATTGATGCAACAAGGAAGGAGTAATGCAATTGATAAGCCACCCACATACACATTTGCTGACAGCGACTGAAAAATATCGCCGTGCGATCAAGATTAAAGAAAGAAACGAAGGCGTTGTGTGTAAATGATTGATTGATTGACTGGCAGGATGAATGCAAAAAGCAAAAAGGTTTGTCGGTGGAGAGGCTCGAACTCTCGACCTTTGGATTACTCTGACCTGAGGCCAAATCATATTATGAGACCAACGCTCTAACCAACTGAGCCACACCGACGTTAGAGGAAGCGATTGATATGAATGATTATATTGTGTGTAAAGCAGTGATTGAGTCATTGTGGGTTTTAATGCCCATTGTTCAATCAAATCAATTTCAATGAAATTAGGCTGCGTGGAGTTATTACACGTTTACAATAAAAGACATTCAGTACCCCAATTATTTTTGCGATAAGTACTTGTCCAGCCAGACCTAGGTATCATAGTGCGGGCCAATGCAAGTATGTGTTACTCACTTGACTATTTATCACCCAATGGATTGAGTCTTGTGTATAACTTCTTTAGTGGTGAACATACTGGACACGTCCTCACCAGAAACCACATCACCAAGCAAAAAGTGATAGTCAGATATTCTGACTTGATATGTGCCACGTCAATGGATCGAACCTTGGACCTTGTCATTACTAGTGACACGCTCTACTACTGAGCCAACGCGGCGCCGTCTAGATACAAGAGTATCTTTGTGGGACTTGTCGACGATGGTTGAGAATCTGGATGTGAGAAACTGGTTCCTCGTTAGGAGCAATGGTGGTGCGGGCAGACATCTGAGACGGAAACATTGGCTCCGGGTGTCATCTGTTTATGACAGCCGCGTGATAAACGTGAGCAGGATATACTCCAGATCATATCGCTTCGGGAAGAGTGCGGGCACATGATTCCCTAGCGTAGCCCAGTCGACATTATCCAAGCCACGCATTGCAAATACATAGTCCCAATATTCGGGATACCATCCTGCCCATTCCCAATCCAGAAGGGCGACAATACGGCCATCGCGAACATGAACATTTCGGGACGAGAGGTCACCATGTGTGAACACAATGGGATATTCATCCCCAAGCTGAGTTGTGATCTGCTCCCAATAGATGGACATATCTGCATATCGCTGTCGTGGTCGCACAAGCCACTCTTGAAATTCTCTGAGGGTGTGAAATGGCCCGCCAGATCGGGTGAAGATGCTGGGAACAATAGCACCTTGTCCGTCGAGACGACCGATATAGATACCTTGGATGGCACGCATTTGGGCGATGTAGTCACTGAGTTGAGTGAGAATCTCCGATCGCTGGCGTGGTTCCAACGATGGCCAGGCCTCTTTCAATGACTGTCCTTCGATGTATTCCATTGTGATGCGATCCCAATCGCTGCTACTGACTTTTGGTACAGGAATTGTCGTGTTTTCTTTCAGGAATCGCAATACATGTGCCTCGTTTGGAGACAGGTTGCTTCCCATACCGTCAGGAGATGTGGTGTACTTGGTGACTGTATCGCCATGTTTGCACTGGTAGATAAGCTGGCCTTCCGGATATGGTGCAGGTGTTCTTGCAGGCGGCGGAGAATCGCCAAATAGAGCAATACGCCGATCTCGAGCCTTCATTTCCTGGAGGCGCTGCATTTTTGGTCATGTTGGAAAGTGGACGATCAGTGTCGTGTCATGCATATTGGGTTGGTTGGTTCACGTTGGCAAAAAATAAAATCCCTACCGAACACCGACAGGGATCAAAAATAGTTGACAAGACTGGGATTCGAACCCAGGCCCCTTTCGAGACTGCGAATCGTCCTAGTTCGAATCGAACCTGAACACAGCGCCTTAGACCGCTCGGCCATCTTGCCTTTTGATTGGATACTGATCGGACTTCGCTTGAACACATATTATCGCTATTCCAAATTGTTGAGACTCGAGATATCGTACTCAAAGCATCGTGTAAGTGCTTCGCGCTTATTGATAAGTAGTTAAACACACTTTGCGAGATAAATGTCTACTTATCTAAGATCTTGTAAGCTTTTCCAGGATAAAAGCCGAGTACTGGCTTTCTCAAGTTCATGATGCGTGAGATGTCATGCTGTTGCTCCCACGTCTTTTGGCAGATTCATGATCATTTCTATGAAGTCGGCCAAACAGCATGACTTTACAAAATTAAAACATTCGGGTAATTTAGAAAAGTCCTTAGACTATCCCAGATCCTATCAAGAGTCGATACAATTCATTTTGCCTGCGCAATGCCTCTATCTGTACAAACATCGCTATCGATAAAGTCTACCCTAGAGTGGACATGAGTGCAAACTCAGTGGTCATAGCTTCTCAAACGCGTCACGACGTAATCTCGATGGCGCAAAACGCGTCGTTGTTCCCAGCCCCTTCGTTTCGCACGCGAATCTCCCAGCCCCTTGATGAAATTTGCGCCACGTCGCGTTTCTGCTGTAAAACTCTGATACAAGCTAACGGTAAATGCCGTCTCCATCAGTGTGCCACGGTTCTACCGCGTCTGTAGCGCGTAGGGTCTAACACTGCCAGGGTTAAGCAGAATGCCACGCCTCAATTCCTTAACAAGGTGGGATGCTCAGTCGTGAGACCACGTGCAGATTAGGTACCTGTGGTGTTACGACTGAGTATGACCTTGTCACACTATCTTATCAAATTCCTTATCTAGGCTCATCTCATCTCAGACTTTTAGGTTTCCACCAGTGTATCAGGTTGCGCTCCCCTCGCGCCATTTCCGCCAGCGCGTCAACTTAAATTTAAGGTTATCGTATTCGATCATGCATGGTACCTTTACGAATCCAGACAACAATTTTCACGTTCAGAATTTGATCGTAAGCGATGTATTAGGGGTGATATCAAGTACGTACGAGATACAAGTACATAATGAAATACAAAGAAGAATTATCATCCGCCATCGTGTGCTCCATACGGAACGTCATCCAATCGTAGAAGCCGTCGCTTCTGGCCAACAAGAAAAAGGGAGTTAAAGAAAGGAGAGAAAAAGAAGGTTACTAAAAGTTGATATGGTTGAATTACATTCCTGGAGGAGTGAAACCAGGAAGCTTAGGCCATTCACCAAGACGGCCTGGGTCGCCTCCAATTCGGACCCAAATGGCGTGCGAAGGAGTAGGACCGTCAAGAATAAACATCTGGTACCAAGAAGGAGGGCTGACAAAAGCATTGGGAGGTGCAGTAACCGTGCAGGTCTTGCCAGAGCATGAGAACTCGGGGAACAAGGTACGTTGACCCATGCTCACACCGTGAGTAGCACCAACAGAAGCCATAAGCGAGACGCGAAGCTTAGAAGCACCCTCAGCAAGGTCGGAGGTGATAGTGAAAGTGTAGCTCTCGCCATAAGTCCAGTCCTTGTCTGAAATGGTAAACTCGGGCTGATCAGCGCCGGAGAGGAGGTAGTCAGGCCAGAAGTACTCGATGCGCTTCTCCTGAGGGTGCTTGCCTTGGTCCTGAGGGTCGGAACCAGAGACTAGAACCTTTCCGTCGCTAAGGAGGACAGCTTCGGAGTGGTACAGGCGGGCAATGGTGGTGTTGGCAAGAACGGTCATGCGCTGGCCGAGAGGCTCCTCGGGATCATACACGACCGCGTTCAAGTTTGAGTTGTCAGCGAGACCGAAACCACCGCGACCGACTTGGGCTCCCCCGAGGATGAGGTAGCGACCATCGGGAAGGGCGACCATGTTGGGCATGACACGCTTGGAAGGCTGCGACAGTTAGTATGAGGAATAGAATAAGAAGCGATTTCAATGTTACTTACCATACGCTCGATAGTCCACTCGGCTCCCTCGACATCAGGTGCCATCAGGACACAGTTGTCAAGAGCGTCGTTACCAGGCTCATGAGTAGTACCGCCGCAGATGAGAACCTCAACAGGGTCAGAGTAAGGAGCCTTGTGGGGCAAGACCATCATGGTACCCTGAAGAGGATAGTTGCGACCAGTCAATGGGTTGTTGATTTGACCAGGCATGTCAGGAAGTTTCTTGATAGACTGGAAGTCGGTCTGAGAAAGAAGACGAGACTCATTGAACTGAGTAAAGAAAATGTTACCGGAAGGCAAGATAGCCATGTGAGGGTAAGAGTTGGTTCGGCCAATGTTCTCAGCGCGCTCAAGGTAGTCGAGGTAGGTCGACTTGGTGACACCAGCAGGGTGAGGAAGGACTTCAGCGGAGGGAACAATAGGGGCGTCAGAACCGGACTCGCCACCCATGGCAAGAATAGAACCGTTGGAAAGGACAAGGGCAGTGGGATACCAGCGAGGATCAAACAGTCTCAGCTGTGAGTAATCCTCCTCCCAGACGTTGGTGCCATTGTCAACTCCTTGGGGAGAATCAGGAGTGAAGAAGCGAATACCATAGACAGACTCAGCAGACCATCCACCAATGTTGATGATACGTCCAGCCTTGTCAGGAAGGGTGAAAGAAGCAGAGCAGAAAACATCAGTCTTGAGAGCGAGTTCACGGTACGTGTCGGTAGTGTAGTCGAACTCGAAAGAACCCTCAGTGTCATCATCAGATGTGCCGTGCTTCTCGACGAAAACGACCTTGTCGTTGATGCCAACGGAGCTGATCAGGGGAATGATAGGAGAAGTGGAAAAGTGGTCGTATCTTCCAGCCTTGGGACCGGAAGCGTAATGGAATGTGTTGAGGGAAGTGCCGGTCCACTCGTAGTAGTTAATGTGGTTGCCAGCACCGCATGTGGATTCCTTGTCACCAGGGCAGGCCATGCTACAGAAGCTGTCGTCCTTCCAGATATCACCCTTGCGCTCAACGGCCTTGAGATCGCCGCAGACACATTGACGACCGTACTCAACACCACCAGCGGAGTAGCCGAACTTCTGGCAGCGAAGGAGACAGGTCTCGATGGTCATGTTGCTGGTGGCATAGCTACCTGCGTCTTCATACATCCATTGGAGAACGTAGGGGTTGTTGTTGTCGAAGACACAGCCCTTGTACTCCCAGTCACCAGGGAGGCCTGTCTTCTTGGGAACAGGGATGGGGTTGACCTCGAACTCGCCATCGGAGTAGAGCGACAGACGGCTACCAGCTCCGCACATCTGGCTGCTGTCGCCGGCGCAGGGCATGTTGCAGTCAGATTCCTTGGTCTTGGAGGCAGCATTGTTCAGGACATTGCCACAGAAGCACTCCTCAGCGTACTCAAGACCAGCGATCTTGAAGCCGGCCTTGATGCAGGTGGCGATACACTTCTGCGGCGTCATGTCCTTTGAAGGTCCACCGGGGGCGGCTTCCATGGCACGGCCCGGCGGGTCAATGTAGCATCCTGCATAGGACCAGGATCCGGGCAGATCAGTGGCGACAGGAGCAGCTGTACCGGAAGCAGAGGCAGAGGCAGTAGCAGAAACAGTTTCAGTGGGAGATCCAGAAGGAACAGAAGATCCGCCAGCTGAAGCCTTGCCAAAGACAGTCAACCTGTCGCCGGCGCCGCAAGGCTGCTTGTCATCGCCTGTGCAGGGCATGTTACAATCAGCCTCTTTGGTCTTGGTTGTGGGCATTTTGCTGCCGCAGACTAATCACAAATCACAGGTCAGTCACCGAAATCGATCGATGTTTACGAATGCACTGCATGCATATTCTAAAAGAGGATTCACTTACAGCACTCCTTGGAGTACTCCATGCCAGCGAAGGCATAACCTAGACCGACGCAGTGGGCGACGCAGGTCTCAGCTGTGAGGCCCGTCTCATCATAGTGGACAGGGCCGTTGAGAGCGCGCTTGGAGGTGCTATCGATGTAGCAACCCAGGTACTCCCAGCCGTCGGCTGGAGATTTAGGCGCCGTTAGATCCCTGCGCAGGATCACGCTCGCGGAAGCACAATGAGCGGACGCTGCGGCGAGGGCAGCAAGACGGAGCACCAACATATTGGAAAAAGTATGTTGTGCGAGGTGACAGAAGTGGAAGAGGGGCGTAGGCGAGACAAACAAGACAGTAAAGGCAAGAGTAACGAAAGACTTGAACAAAAAGGAATGAATGTATGTATGGATTGCGTCAATATGTTGGAAGTATGATGTGCAGAAGGGCTAGAACTTTACTTGCGAATAAAGGAATGAATCCCCATGCAATGCAGGAAAATCGGAGGGGAAAATCGGTATGTTGGCTGGATAAACCTATACATATATGACTTAGATCCGGAACCGAGGATAGCAGGCTCCTGAGCCTTCTCGCGCCCACATCCCTTTGCCCTTTCTCACTTGTGCCCAGAGACTACCCTTTCTTGGTACAGGGAGGCCCCTTTTCCTCTACATTAGCTGTTCAATAGTGTAAAAGTCAGCCCATTAGCAACCCCAAGAGAATTAAGATTCTTACTATTGTGCACGCGAACAGTATAATGGTCCTTGTGATTATGCACGTCGACGGGCGCGTGGACAAGGAAAGTAATGAAATATCTTACAGTGGGAGCCTTGTGATCAGACAAATGCACTTGAGAGGATAACTCGACGGTGGATCAGGCGAGTATTACTGCATATTGGATCCATTTTGGACGACATGGCAGGGGACGTCTTGGCAAAAGGTCTTGAATTAATTGCTGACCGGCGCCAAATCCATTCAGCCTTGTGATCAATGTCTCTGTATGATAACACTTTGGAGTGCAACTTTAGCGGAGAGAAGAAAGGTTGTACAAGCTTGATCGACAGGGTCAGGACCGGGATGAGAGCGGGTATCAGGCTGACGCCCAGCGGTTGCTAATCTCTCGATCTGTACAAGAGTGGGTGGAGTCCAAGACTTGGGACTTGACCATTACCAGAACCCCTGGACCTGAACCTTGGTCGGTGGAGAAAAGATGGCGAGGAGCGAGTTGAGCCAATTGCAAAGTCTAATTGTTTCGTTTTTAAAGCGGTTCAAGTTCAAGTGGGCTATCCGCAGCCTCACTTAAAGTATATCCATACAAGGGCCCGTTTAAACTGAACGGACTGTCTCACAAAACAAATCGTCTGTTCACTGTCAAAGAGGCTCAGGGGGTTGGAGCCGAGCAAAGCAAAGTAGGTACGTAAAGCGAAGCGAACCATCCATCCCATCCCATCTTGGATGGTAGGATGGGCGGGTAAAAGATAGCACTAGGCACAGATACAACCCATGCTCAATTTGGTTATTCGGAAGGGAACGTGCTTATGGCCCGATTGGTGAAGAGGGGAATAGCCGAGGGAAGTGGATGGATGGCCGAAGCCCCTGTATCAATGTAACCCACACAAAAAATGCATTGCAACCTCTGCCGTTCTCCCTCATATCGCATCGCAGAGCGAAGAAAAAAACACGAGCCTTGGCTGCAGGCAAAAGTTCTACCTGCCTGCACAAGACAGGGGGAGACTGCATTCTGTTAGCTGCAGTGAAGAAATATATTTTATCAGGGTTTTTACGAGCGCTTAACAAGGGTGTTTATCATATCATTCTCGGTCTTGGTCCAGTTGAGGCGCCGCTTAGCAGCAATACCAAGACGTGTTGGTCCGTAATTGTTATTTCTAGGCCAATATTGTGCCAACGCATAATCTTGGCCTTTATGTTATATGCAATAAGGGACTATGCTCGTAGGGTTCAGTGGAGAAGTGTTGGTTAAAAATACATATGCACTGTAATTGCTGTACAGTATGGTATTCTTTGAATAGAAATTCCATCGACGATCAAGCCTCTCATCACTTTATCCAGATGTGCCCTGTAAGCAAGCAGTAAGCAGAGCGATCCAGGGTCGATGATCAATGATGACTCCATATAAAATGAAAGGGTAACTGTCAGCCTGGGTCTGCAAGGTCCACACAAGCAAATCTGGTAAACTCTCCGATTGCTGACACAAGATCGAACGCGATACAAGTGACAGATAAAGAGGCTTTTCAGTCGCGCCAATTACGTGTATTCGTTCATGTTGGTGAGAATTTAGTACGAAACAACGCAATCCGTGTAAGATTAGAGGTGCAACACCACGTGCAGCAAGATAACTTCATAACACAAGACAAAAGATAAGACTATCAAGACATTACAATGATACCATTCTGTATACTATACTATTTCCAAAAGATAAAAAAAGAAACTCAGCCCTAAGAGATACTAATCTTGCATGATGCTTCAGGTCGATTTGACAGTTCCACATGCACCCTCCTGCCACATCTTGACAGATTTAACAACCATACCACGGTCCTTGACAGGACCCCACGTGGGAAGCCAAGTATCGTTGGCCTTCCAGAAATCACGCATAGGGGTCTCGCTGCTATCAGCCCAGGGTTTATCGCCGACCGCATCACTGTAAGCAGAATAGATTAGCATCCATTCCAATGCAGGTGAGATCGAGGGGTAAAAAAGTGGAATAGAGTCGTAGAAAAAGAGGAGAATGAGACTTACGGGAACCATCCGTTGGTACTGCCCACTGCAACGTTGAGGATGAGAAAGAATTTCTCGTCAAACGGTGTGTTTTTGCGACCGGTGCTGCTCCACGGGTCCACGGGGATTGAACCATTGATGGACTCGCCGGCGAATTCACCGTACGTCCAAAGGTTCTTGTTCTTGGTGAAGTCGAAGAATTGAACTTGCTGCACAGAAGTCAGTTACAGTCCGTAGAAAATAGAGAAAAGACTTACTCGGAGACGGCCGTCGAGCCAGGTGAAGAGATACTTCTCACTCCATTCAAGACCATAGGTGTGAAACTTCTCAGAGTAAAGGACTCGCTTTCCTCCCCACTCGCCATAAGCTCTCCTCCAGCGATCATTCTCTGTAGCAGTTCCCCAGTGAAGCGCCGAAGACACAAGGTTGTTACCCATAGGATACGTCTTTGCATCATTGCCACGGCTCTCAGCAATATCAATCTCACCCGACTTGGGCCATTCACCGTAGACGTCATCTTGAGGCATCATCCAGATGGCAGGCCAGAGCCAGTCACCTTTAGGCATACGCGCCACGACCTCGACGCGCCCGTAACGGATGGTCTTTTTACCTTTTGTGTTTAGGCGTGCGGATCGCACGGGGTTGATGATTTGACCGAGAGTGGCATTACTGCGTGATGCGCAGGGCCAGCGGTCGTTGTTCTTCTTGATGGTCTTGGAGGTACATGTTCCCCAAGTTTTGCTGTTGGTAGTCATGTTGACGGTGAAACCATTCTCGAGCTGAGCTCTGGTGATGGATGTGCTCTCAAGAGTCGCTGTAGGGACGATGTGAAGGCCCTCAGCGTCAACATATGAGTTGGCTGGATCATCGGTAGTCCAGTCAAAGGCACCAGTACTGATGATTATTAGTCAAGGAAATGAAAAGAATTGAGGATGAGACATACCCGAAGCCGTTCATCTGAACTTCATGGTTCCAGTTGTTAAGGTTCTGGAAATGGTCGTCCATGACCAAGCAGTACTAAATCAATTAGTTTGTGATGATGATGAATTTTATAAGCTTCACTTACATCATGCTTGGGGACATTGGTCTCCTTCCAGCAAAGGAATCCTCCAACACCTGAAAATAAAGATTAATGACTGAAAAGAACACGAAAAGAATGTCAACTTACCAAGACCAAGGAAGACACATGTGTAGAAGATGGTGCTGTCCCAATTCCATTGCTTCTTCTTAGCCTCTAGCCATGGCTTCTCAAATTCGCCTTGGAGACGACTGCTTCTGAAGCGTCGACGGACACCACTAGATGCTGGAGATTGTTAGATAGAATAAAGAATAGTAAATGCACATACATACCCTCAAATGAAGAAGTATTGCGAGTATATCCCAATTGTCGCGATGTCACAGACTCAGCAGCAGGCGTCGCTGCAACAGGTGTCGCAAAAGGGTTCTCAGTATTGTCAGGACCAGGCGTAGCGAAAGGATCTGCTGTGGTCTGCTGCTGCAGTGAAGAGCCTTCTGCAGCAGCAGCAGAGGTGGCAGTCCTTGAACCTTCCATGACCAAACCAAAGTGGGGATATGTCAAATGCCAATGTTGGAAGTGACAGACAAGGGGATGGGAGGGGGAAAGGAACTGTAGCTAGCGAACGAACGAATTTATCCAAGGGACAGTTGGTTCAAGAATGCATTCACCTTTCTTTCTGGGAACGTCTTCTTGGCTTGTCGAGCTGAAAGCAAGGCCAAGACAATAATCGCTACCAGAACCCAACACGAACAAGAGACAGGGATAACGGAGACTGCTGATCCTTGGGTCTCGACCAAAAGCTCGAGGTTTATCTTGAGGTGATTATGCAAGATTTCAATACAAAGATATGATGAAGGAAACGTGGTGCAAGATGCATGGGAAGTGTTGAGATGTGGGATAATCTCGCCTCACGCCAGCATCCAATATTTCGCCATGTCCATGGATACCAACAAACAAGGCCGTAACTCACCCGTCGGATGAGGTCCAACAGGCACATGTCGAGATAAACAAAAGAAGAAACTAACCCAAAGAAAATCAAAGCGTGTGTCAGCGTCAGCGGCAACGGGTCTGGGAAAGAAGCTAGGAGAGTAAAAAGTAAGCCACATATTGCTGTCAAAGGCGCGATTGGCTTAGCACCGATCCAAGGCTGTGCGGGCCGGTAGCAGTTACGGTGGGATGCAAAAAAAAAAAGAAGCAAAAGAACCCCCGGTTCGACCGAGTAGAGGTTCAAAAGGAAAAACTTCCACAAGAGTGCCCATGGACCGTTCTTCTGTGCTTAGTTATGCAGGTTTCATATGCCGTGTAACAATGTAGACATGCCGCTACGAGTCAAAGAGGAAGTTGAGTTGGTGAAGGAACCCCTGGTCCCTGTTGCAGCCAAGAGATATATGACCAGGGGCATTCAAGACGTTATCAAACTTATCTTGTGAAGATTAGCAGGCATTAGGCTTAGGCTCTTCTAGGCCCTCACCCCCCCCGCTAGCGGGTTACGGGCCGTCCACTACACCATGCCCTAAAGATACTGGCTCGACGTTATCTTCCTACAGTAGCCTTCTTTTCCTTCTTGATTATCCCACGCTAAGGCCGTATTGACCTTGGTTTTCGTCTTGTTTGCAACGGATTACGTGCAGTTGATATGCTTTTCCCGGGCTACTTGATTGGTTCTTCACCGGAGACAATATCTCGATGGCTGGTGATAGTCATCTAATATTAGCCATATTTGGTTAAGCGACCGGAGAATTGGTGAGACTGAGAGACATTTTTAATTTTTAATTTTTAGACGCCGCAGAAGGACATGACGCTTTCTGCAACCATGCTCGTATGGAAAAAAAGTCAACGACACTTCCATGTGGGTTTCAAGTTGACTGATGACTCTTTGACCAACTGCCGAAGGGGATTTGCGCCTGCGCACGTTCTCTCGCTTGCCCTATCACCCTCGCTAAAGAATTAATCCCGCTTGGAGGCGTTGCGTTGTCTCGCCGAACTTGTTTGTTTCTCGCAGCCTTACTATTTGTTTCTCTCCCAACCAGATCGTTTTACTGGTTTGATCCGATCTTTGAGGTCCTCCGCCACCCTGGCTGAATCTGGTTCCCCACTGCGCAAAAAGTTCCAGTCATTGCAAGCCAGGTCCAGGTCTCGGGGGAAATAGCGGGGATAACACGAAACCTTGGAGACACAACGACCTGGAGGGGCAAATAGAGTTGGCCAGTCAATTTAATTAACAAGGCTGGTTTTATCGTAACCGCTGTACTCTACTGTAACTCTAACTCTATATCCAAGATATGATCCCGGTGGCGGGTACCATACCCTCCGTCGTTATGGCTACAAGGGACAGCCGACAGCAAAGCAAGATACTGTACGTTGGTTGATGCCCGTGTTATGTTGCTGTCAATCAAATTTTGGCGGACTTGGCATCAGCTCGCTAGAGGTGAAAGTGACAGGGACAACAAGACATCCATGCGTTATTCACTTCTCCGTCTCCGTATCCCAGGCACAAGAACAGGGGCACAGGGGACGGTGGGGGGCAAGGGTACGGGTTTGAGAGGAGACAGACACGTTTTTCTCGTGCAGTTACTGCAACAAAATGGGCAAGGATTTGCATGTCTCTTGATTGTGATTGTTGGTGTTACGTTTTTAGAAGAGGGTCTGATCTGGCTGGCCCTGGGTCCTGGCTCGGCCTGGCCTGGCTGCATCCGAGACTGAGCCTGAGTCTGAATCTCACCGAGAGATATGCATGCCGAGAATGATATCCCGTTCCCAACAAAGAGAAAGATGCGAAGGATAACGACAGCAGCCACTACCCACGTTCCCTCTTGTCTGGTCTGCTTTTCTCGTCTGACCCGACGAGTGCATACTGTACAGCACAAGGCAGCTCCGAGTCCGTGGTCGAATCCAGACTCCATCTCAGCTCAGATCGGTCAACTTCAGCTCAGGCTTGCCACTGCGTTGGTATCTTTGCCTAGTGTTGTCCATCCCACCGTATCGTACTGTAGATTCCCATGCTGACACGGATAAGCCGTGTGCAAAAGACATTCATAACTTGCTTGACCCGCGGTTACCCTCCATACTCTGTTCATCTTCATCTGCTCTTGTCTTGGCTTTGAGAAGCACCTCCTTCCTCTTCCTTTACCTTTCCCCCATTCCCACACCCTTCCCCCTGGTCGTGTCCCGTGGGCAGATCATCACCTTCGTTTGATCACTCTGCTTTCTCTTGAGCCACCCAACCGCTCGTTATTTCATCGCTGCGTGTGACCTGAAGCCATCCTGTGTCTTCACCTCCACGTGAGCCATGACTTCTGAGAAGCCTGCCTCTCGCTTTATCGAGTCGGGCGTGCTCCAGCCGCCCAGTCCCGTCATGGACTCTGCGACTCTCAAGAGGCTTGAGGCTGGAGATCACGAACCTGCCCCTACTCCTCCTCCTCCTGCTCATGTGCCCTCTGTGATGCAGCAGCAGAAAGCGCCAGAATGGACGAGAAGAGCTCCGCCTTCAAGATCTGCGCACAGCTCCTACTCGGGAACACCAGCTGTCATGCAGATTCCCGATGCCACGGCTGCGGATCTACCAGTTGTGAGTAAAACCTTTCTCTTCACGGCTTGAACTGTTTCATGCTTGGGATCCAACATCACTGTTACCCTCTTCACCGCCCTTGCTTGTGCTTTACCCGATACGCTGGGTGGCCTGTTGGTCCCCATCGGCCCCTCACCAACAAACAAACAATCGCTTAAGTGATCAACATCGATACTGACGATCGCAGGTGGCCAAGTACATCGCCCGTCGTGCGACTCTACTAGGCTGGTTTGATGAGCCTGCCGCTGCTGCCATCACAAGCGGCTGGTCTTCAACATGCATTGCACTCAAGAAGCCAGATGGATCGTACCTGTACAATCCAGATGACCCAAGCCCAGACCTGGCTGCCGCCATCGGTCGCATCAATGAGTCTGCTGTTGTCTCGATGTCGTCTGAGGTGACCAATTCCGTTCTGGATAGTATCAAGCCTGGACAAGGTAGCCTTATCAATGAAGACACTGGTGCTCGCATTCCCATCGTTGCTAGCTTTGCCGATATTCATGATTCACTTGTGCACCTGACCAGCGCATGCATTGTTGTGCAAGAACGATGTGTACTGATCTGGTCTCACGAGGCGAGAAATGTTCTCAATGTCGCGCACAACGTCGAGAAGCAAATGTTGGCCTTTGTAAGTTGCTTATCATCAAAATTCCAGTGCTTGAATCTAACTCTTCTACAGGTTGTTGGTCCCAACATGCCTCGTGGTATGCTTGCGCAGACTGAAGAACACTCGGAGGAAAATTTCCACACGCCTGTTCGTGGAGCCATTGATGAGCGAAATGAAGTCTACCAGGCCGCTATCAAGGTTGAAGAAGGCGGCGATGATGACGATGCTGATATCGAGAGCAGAGCGCTCAGACGCCCTACTCTCCTTGTCCACTCTTTCAGAATCGGCATTGTCATAATGTTGGTTATTCTGACCCAGAGTGTTGGTATTTCCAAACTCGTCCGCCAATGGTCTTGGGACGGCGACTACAAGCGTTTTGCGTTGGCTGCTGTCGTTCCTCCTCTAATGGTCTTGTCGCTGTTCTTCTTCATCGTTGTCGTCAGTAGTGTCTTCCAGCTTCTCCTTCCCGCTGGAATCTGCCTCAAGAACTCCAAGTTCCACTCTGCAGTCAAACCCAACCCCAAGCGATACAAGGACTACCAACTTCCTCACATAACTGTACAAATGCCTGTCTACAAGGAAGGTCTACGAGGTGTCATTGTCCCAACCATGGTCTCAGTCATGGCAGCAATCCAGCACTACGAGAACCAAGGTGGCACAGCTTCCGTCTACATCAACGACGATGGTATGCAGTGCATCCAGCCCGAACTCGCCGCAGCTCGCAAGCAGTACTACCGTGAGAACGGCATCGGCTACTGCGCCCGTCTTCCCAACAAGAAGTCCCCTAAATCCAAGGGCTTCTCCTGGTTCAAGCGCTCTCCCCCCGTTGACCCTGAAGTCGACAACCAAGACGAGAGCTCCATCTCTCCCCAAGGCCGCGCCAATGCACTCGGCTTCGTCCGCAAGGGCAAGTTCAAGAAGGCTAGCAACATGAACTACTGCCTTGCCTTTTCCAACCGCGTCGAAGATGAGATGTTGAGACTCACTGAGCTGGAGTGTCAGAACCGTGGATGCAGTTATGAGGATCTGACTGCCGAGGACGATGACCAACTTTATGAACAGGCTCTGCAGAACATGGTAGATGCTGACGAGGGCAATACCTGGGCTGAGGGTAACATCCGCATGGGTGAGATCATTCTTCTTATCGACTGTGACACTCGTCTCCCCATCGACTGTCTTCTTTACGGCGCTCTTGAGATGTACGAGAGCCCTGAAGTCGCTATTCTACAACACGGATCAGGCGTCATGCAAGTCGCCCACAACATTTTCGAGAACGGTATCACCTACTTCACCAACATTGTTTACACGGCCATCAAGTATGGTGTTGGTACCGGTGATGTCGCTCCTTTCGTCGGCCATAACGCTTTCCTTCGCTGGAAGGCTGTCCAGAGCGTTGCTTTTGTCGATCCATCTGACAAGGTCACCAAGTGGTGGTCCGACTCGCACGTTTCTGAAGATTTCGATATCAGTCTGAGGGTTCAAATGGCTGGTATGATCTGTCGACTCGCTACTTATCACAACGGTGGTTTTGAGGAGGGTGTTTCCCTGACGGTCTATGATGAGCTGAACCGATGGGAGAAGTATGCTTATGGGTGCAACGAGCTTGTGTTCCATCCTTTCTACCAGTGGATCTACAAGGGTCCTGTCACCCGACTCTTCCTGCGATTCCTTTGGAGCAGCATGCCAGTGACCAGCAAGGTATCCATTATAGCCTACATCTTTACCTGTAAGTATTTGCCTCACACCCGTTATCTGAATCCCATACTGACTTTCTTAGACTATGCCATTGCTGCTGGTTTGCTCCTCACCCTCATCAACTACGTCCTCGTCGGACTATTCTTCTACGACCTAGACCAATTTTACATGCCCTCATGGGGCATCTGGGTCTCCCTCCTGGTCGTCTTTAACGGTGTCGCCTCTGTCGCATGCAGCATGACGCGACATCGTCTCAAGGAGAAGTCATTCTGGTCTTCCATCCTCGAGGCATGCAAATGGCTTCCCTTCCTTCTTCTCTTCTTTGGTGGCATCAGCATCAACTGTGCCAAAGCCCTCCTCTGCCACGCCTTCTCCATCAACATTGAGTGGGCGTCGACATCCAAGGAGCTGGGTCCTACGGGTATCTACATCGGTCTCAACAAGATGATGCACCGATTCAAGTACACATTCCTTATCTGCTTCGTGCTCGCCGGCGGCATGATCTACATGGCCGTCGCAGCGCCCTGGGGCTGGACTATTGCACCTGGAAAGTTCTCGTCCGGTACTTTTGCTATCGTGCCGTTGGCTGTCCAGATTTCTTGCGCATTCTGTTTGCCGATCTTCCTCGGCTTGACTTAATCACAAAAAAATGGGAAAATTTATTATCAATGGGAAATTAACGAAATATTAGAAACGAAAATGGAGAACTAATACATACATATCATGAGAAAATGGACAAATAGTTACTGAACATTACATACATAGAATGATACTAGGGTAGCCTAAGAATGCTCTCATCTAGGCATGGTTTAATACTACTTTAACCTTCTATAATTATCCTCTTGCACCTGGTTATTCTCGCGACTACTATTTCTTAAGTGTGCACGCCTTTGATGCTTCCAATTGAAGATATATCAACTGATACTATCCCAAAACGCCCAGTCAATATCCGCAAACTCAAATCCAAAAGGTTGCAAGTCATCTTCTCCAATCCTTCCTTGTCCAAAGTCGAGCAACGAACTCATCGGCGCATCTTTATCATTCGTATCCTCAATGATGATTCCTTCCGTCTCGGTCAAGATCTCCTCCAGTTGTGACACAAACTCCGGCTTCTCCATGTCAGTCAAGCCAGGCTTCTGTCGACACTCATACCAAGTTGCGATCACCGACTTGGCTGCATGCGAAGTTCTTCGGTCTTCTGACATTTCTGTCAATTGATCTGCGACCGCGTATAGATCGCTGAGTAAGGACCATGCTGATTGGATCATAGTAACGTCTGTTAGGCTTGACATATCTACCAAGATGCCAATGACTGAGGTTGTTAGTATGAGACTGAAAGTCAGAACAACAGGAAATACTTACGAGCATACCAGACAAACGAAGCCTCTGCAAGCCAACGAAACTTATGAAGCAGAGGATTCGCATATGACACAACTTGATACCTCATAGCCTGCATACACGTGTTGAAATGGTCAATATTGGCCTGATCGTCCCCCCGAGGAGACTGCAGCTTCGCGTCGTGGGATTTCCGTAACCGTAGTATATTTACGATTGCCCGTGCTGAGATCTGCAGCAATGTATGCAGAGGATTGGTAGGATCACAATACTGAAGAAAATGTTCGTTCAAACTGCTTTCCATCCCATCAACCATTGCAGGACTCAAACATCCAAGCAACGACCCTTCACCCGCAGCTATCTGCTTCGCCTGGGCAAAACGTCGAAAACCGCGCTGTTTCTCCATGATAAAATACGTGAAACAAGTATACGCAAAGCTCGTAAGACCAGTCCGTTCTTTAGGCGCAACCTTTGAACTCGGATCAAGATCTTCGTCTTCGATGTTGAGTGGAAGTCTAACGTCCCAGGCTGTACCGAAAGACAAGGGCGTTACGCCGTTCTTAAGAGACAAAATAAGTTCGAGATGTTGAAGCTGCCACCAGAGTCTTCGACGTTCTTCTGTTTCGATGGGCGAAAGGCCCAGGACTGTGCCGTCGCGGTGGATGCCGAGCTGTTCGGCGCTGCGCGATATTAGTGCGATTAGGCTGGAGAGACTGCGGGGTGATAAGACGTCGATGTTTGCTTTCTAAGAGTTGTTAGTGCTGGTGAGCACAAAATGGGTAGGGAACACATACTATGTAGAAACAGAACGCCTTTAGCGTTGCGATACTGTCAACGGCCAAGAGATTCATCCTCGAGAAGGCGATATCACATCTCATACGACACTCATCCATCAAGAGAGCCCTCGCTCTACCAAACCGCCTCAGACATTCCTTATTCGTCAAAGTCATGGCCGCAAATAATCTCGTTGACAAGATCAACACTCGCTCGCCATCGTCAAGAGCATTCCACTTTTCTTCATTCGATACTGCAGCTTTCAGGTGAGCCAGGGTCCATTTGAAGTTTATCTTGACAATAGGCTCGACACGCTCCATAAATGTGTCCCAAAGTTTGACAGCTTCTAAGGCAGGCATTTGTAGAGGTAGCGTTTCTGAGGTAACGGAATTATCGCGCCATGGTGAGCCGTTGAATGCATGAGGGAGGAATTTAGCTGGTGATAAAGCTGTGCCTCTAGGATCATTGGAACTGAACTGTGGTTTCGGTCCCTTGTAAAGTCGTGAGACGTCTATCCACGTCTGCCAACCCTCCCTGACAACCCCATTAGTTAATCAAGTCCCATGCGATAAAAACATCTCTTTTACTTACGATTCCTGATACACTCCCTTCCCATCCTGCTGTACAATAACCGGCGTCTGAGCACGACTGCCCTCAGACAAAGGCGTCACACCCGGCCTTTCACCATTTTCTGGATCTCCGCCCAAAGACCTCACAATCTCTTCAAGTTTCTTGATGCGATCAAATGGCGAAACATCCGGATACGTGCAAGTATCATTTTTGCGACGCTTACAATTCGAACAGGGCGGTTCTGATCTATCGCAGCGGACTTTTCGTTTCGCACAGGGCTCACATGCTTGAGTTCTCATGGTGGTCGGTCTTTGTTCAATTTCCGACACGATCGACAATTTGGGTCTTGGAGTTGAGGATCTATCGTGTTGCTCGATCCATGACGTTGTTGTAATTAAAAGCTCGGGGACCCCGCGAGGTTTTTGAGGGTGAGTATTGACTAGCTCGGGCTCGGTACCGAGACCGAGATTTTGGAGGACATGTTTGATTGGTCGATTGGGAAGAATCCTTTGCGATAGGGATCGAAATGTGTAATTGACTTGGAATGTAAAGGAATGTTTTCTTGATATTTAAATCTATCTTCTTTCTCGTATTTGGTTTCTTGTAATTACTATCAATTGCTTTATTCCAAGTCGTGGTGTCTATTCATAAACTGCCACTCTCGATTCAACAACACCTTCTAACACTATCATCGCGTACACTGCTACTAGCAAACTCTCCAGTATGGACGAAAAACACCACAGAACTTCTGACAGCCCAGAGCGGCCAAGTACTGAAGCAGCCAATCAACACTCAGATACCACAGACGATGTCAAGACATATCCTCCAAAGAAGGTCGTGCTACCAACTATGGTCGCTCTTTTCCTCGTCTTTTTCCTGGTCGCACTGGTAAGCCATACCCAGTCCCACTCGTCAAACCTCTACTAACACCATCAAGGACCGAACTATCATTGGTACAGCTATTCCAACTATATCTGCCGAATTCGACAGCTTTGGCGACATAGCCTGGTACGAATCTGCCTTCCTCCTTCCCCTCTGTGTCTTCCAGCTGTCCTTTGGTCTCATCTTCAAATACTATTCCACCAAATGGGTTCTCTTCATTCTTACCGCCATATTCGAAATCGGATCTATCGTCTGTGCTGCGGCGCCTAACTCGAATGCTTTGATCGTCGGACGAGCCATCACAGGCATTGGTGGCGCTGGTATTGGATCTGGTGTGTTTATCTATATAACACTCTTGTTTCCTCTTGAGGACCGACCAAAGTATCTTGGATCTTTGGGCTCTGCCTTTGGAATCTCTTCGATCTTGGGTCCTATTCTAGGAGGCTATCTTACGTCGGTCAGCTGGCGTTGGTGCTTCTGGATCAATGTTCCCATCGGTGGTCTTTCTTTGATCTTGCTGTTCATTCTTGCTCCCAACAGACCATCACCTGCTAAGCCGGCCGACACATGGCGTCAGAGGTTCTTGGATCTTGATCCGATTGGCTTCTTGCTCGTTGCTGGCGCGATCGTTTGTCTCCTGTTCGCCCTCGAGTTTGGTAAAGAGGAGCAACGATGGTCCAGTGGCCGTGTCGTTGCTCTGTTCGTCGTCTTCGCCGTCCTATTCCTCGCTTTCGCTGGATATCAAGCATGGAGAAAAGAAAAGGCTACGATCCCACCAAGAATCATCTTCAAGAGGACAGTTCTTGCTTCTTGTCTTCTCAATTTTGCTATCAGTTCTGTTCTGGTGTTATACGCCTTTTACATCCCTGTTTGGTTCCAGGTTGTCAAGGGAAAGTCGCCCGAGGGCTCTGGCATTGCTCTACTGCCACTCCTGCTCAGCAATGTCTTGTTTGTCATCGTCAGTGGAATCTTAGTTAGTGCTGTTGGGTACTTCACTCCATTCTCTATCGCTGGAAGTGCCATTCTTGTCATTGGCGCTGCTCTTATTTCTACTTGGACTGCGGACGTTAGCCAAGGTAAATGGATTGGATATCAGGTATGTTTCTACAGCAGAAGATTTAGGAGTATTACTGATAAATCGGCAGATCATCACCGGCGCAGGCATGGGTCTCACCCTCCAACAACCAGCCATCGCAATCCAAACCGTCCTCTCAGAAAGCGATGCCGCAATCGGTCTTTCCATTCTCAGTTTCGTCGGCTTCCTTGGTGGAACAGTCTTCATCACGGTAGCCCAAACCTTACTTCAAGGACAGCTGGAGAGCAAGATCACGAAATATGTTCCAGACATCGACCCCAGTCAACTTAGCAACAGTGGAGCTGCAAGCATCAGAAAACTCGTGTCGGGGGATAAGGTGGATCTTGTATTGAAGGCGTACAATGACTCTATGAGGCCTATCTGGTACCTTGGCCTTGCTATGGGCGCGGCTGCCTTCATTGTATCTTTTGGATTGGAGTGGAAGAATGTCAAGGCGGCCAAAAATAAGTCGTCTTCTAAGGCCTAGGTAGATGTTAGCAGGTAGCATAAAGTAACCAGATAGAGTTTCTTTGGATGTTGTGTAACAAACGGTGCTTATAATGTTTACTTGAGCCATCAGCAAGCACATACGACCAAAGGTA